TGCCATTGTCAGGGTTACTCTGCTGGATTGCAGTTAAGAAGCTTAGCATTGAAGGACTTCTCGTCTACATGGACGACTCTTACGGTTGGGATTTCGCCGACAACCTCATCAAATTTTGTGGTCGTCGCCCCCCCCGTCGGCAGGTTCNNNNGGTTCTATTGCTCACATTCTGGGAAGCTATCGGATGCCCGTATGAGGACAGGAAGCAAGAGGATGGTGATTGTCTAAAAATCATTGGTTTCTGGGTTGATCCCAATCGTGGTAGCATCTCACTTCCCCCCGATTCCGTTGACACCATTGTGACGCACATTACCTCCTTCCTCGCTCATCCCAAACGTTCGCCTATTCTCCGTGATTGGCAGCGGCTTGGTGGGCACCTGAATTGGCTCTTTAACGTGCTTCCATGTGGGCGGCCTGCACTTTCAGGGTTATTCCGAAAGATACGAGGAAAGACTCACAGCTCAAGCCCGGTTTTCCTGAACCGAACAGTTCGCAAAGAGCTGACATGGTTGGCAGGTGTCATTCGCCATGCTATTGGTGTTCGCTTCGTGGATAGTCTCAACTGGACGGACGACAAGGCTGACATTGTTCTCTGGACGGATGCAAGTCTCCGTCTTGCCTTGAGCTTTTACTATAGTGGTAATGGGTTTGTGTACCAACTCCGGCCACCTCCTCCTGGTACTGCCATTGACATCTTCTTCCTCGAGCTGATCGCCATTATGTCAGCCATCTTCCACGTTGCGTCTTTTAAATCTCCACCACGTCGCATTCTTCTGTTTACCGACAGTTTGGATGCGGTTGGACTGCTCAACTCGCTTGCAGCATCTGAAGATCAGCACAATGCACCCCTCTTAGGTATCGCAGAGGTTATTCTGACCTCAGGTGTTGACCTTCGTGTCCGTCATATTCCTGGAAAGGATAACATTCGCGCTGATATGCTTTCACGTCTCCTCCTTGAGGACTTTCATCGGCGTTTCCCTGCAGACCACGTCCAGCTCTTTGACCCTCCAAGGGTCCTCCTGCCGGCGCGTTGGAGGGAGTGCTTTTAGCTGCACTCGGCGGGGGCGAGTTGCGTTCACGTTCATCTCGCCCCCGTCGCCGGGTGATGGACTTGGCTCACCTTGACCGCAGGACCCTTTGGTTGCAAGCGTCCGCGATTGAGAAGTCCACATCCCAAGGTTACGCGACTGGCGCGCGCGACTACCTTCGGTTTTGTATAACACATTCTCTTCCAATTAAGCCAACACCTCAGACACTTTCCTGCTACATTGCCTACACCTCTCAATTCATCGCCTCTGGCCCGAAATACCTGTCCGGAGCTCGCCATTTCCTCGCTGATTTCTATCCGGAGTTTGATAGCAGTCGTTCTCACCCAATTGTGCAGGCAACAATCCGTGGCTCGATGAAGACCCGAGCCGATCCTATCCGCCGCAAACTCCCATTACGGCTTGAACATCTTTCAGCCTTTCTCAAGATAGCAAGAGACTCTAAGTCATATGACAATCTACTCTTCATCACCATTCTTTCTTGCTGCTTTTATGCTTGTCATCGAAGCGGCGAACTCGTTCAGAAGAATGACTCACGTCTCTTTGATTTGCGTAAGATAATTTGTCGCTCCTCCCTCATCTTTGTCGATGGCCGTGCACAATATCGATTGCCTTATCATAAGGCGGATCGTTTCTACCGTGGATCAGACATCCTGCATAGCTCGCAAGATGTGGCGGATCCGGTCTCCCTCCTCAAGGAATACGTCATCCTCCGCAACAGCATTCATGGGACCAATGTTGCGCTTTTCTTGAAGGAAGACGGAAGCCATCCTACATGCTCTTGGTTTGATGCAAAGTTTTTTGCTGTTCTTGATCGAACCTTTGGTGGTCACTCACCTCGAGCAGGGGGAGCAACCTTCTACGCTTCTCTTGGAGTGTCTGAGGATGTCATCCAAGCGATTGGACGCTGGTCGTCAGCAGCCTGGAAAATTTATGTGCGCGAAAACCCAACTATTCGGGCAGAACTTCAACTCGCAGCGCTGCGCCTTCGACACCTCTATTCTCCTCACCCCTCGTGACCTCGCTCTCATCTTTCTACACCTCCTCCATCCCCCACACACAACATCTCTACACCCTTAGCCCTCTCGCTCTGTCACCAATGCAAGCTGGAGGCACATGGTCGTGTGCCTCCGTTTATGGCTAATACCCGTCTGATCAGTCAGCAGAGGTCGACGTAAATGCGGGTTCCAAGGGAAAGGAGCAATTTCGGAGGCCTCTGGCCTCTCGGATCTATATCCTCTCTTACCTCTCTCTCCTTCCCTGGTCCATTTGCGTGTCGTTGCAGCTTGGTGCCATTGTTTTGGCGGATGCTAGACTTGTGACGGTATGGCACATGAGTGTGACCACGGTTGACACCTGCACTGCGCCCCCTCTCTTTCTTTCTTATCAACCACCATCTCTGCAGTGCAGGTAAGCCCTCCTCTCTCTCGCTCTTACGGGCATCCTAAGCTCACAATCTGGATAGTGAATCCCTCCTGTCATCTTGTTTATCTTATTCTCATCTATTCACTATCCTATTGTGAGTTTCCACTCTCTCCTCTCTCGTCTTGAGCCTTACTGTCCCTCAGCTTGCTCATGGCTCCGCCATCTGGGCTCCTATCTATTTCACAGTAAGGCTCTGCACCCTTCCTGGCTCCGCCATCCCTCGCTCATCATCTGACAACATCCATTGATCAGATTTTGATCTAATCCATACCCTCGTTACCCTCTTTTTTCATCACCCGCCCTCCTCTCCCTTTTCTTTTAATGGACAATTTAAGTAGTTTATTGGTACATATACAGTTGTAGCCCTCTCGCTCTGTCACCAATGCAAGCTGGAGGCACATGGTCGTGTGCCTCCGTTTATGGCTAATACCCGTCTGATCAGTCAGCAGAGGCATCCAAACAAAACGAGGATTTCGTCCTCAATTTGTTTGGTCGCCCATTGAAGCAAACACGGTGATGCCAAACAAAGGGACTTCAATGTTCTCATCGCTCTCGCTCCTGCTGTCCACATCTCGCCATTGCCGTCGCCGTCCACATTTCGATCCTGCCACCCCTCTGTCTCGTCCTCCCTTGTCGCTTTCGCCCTCGCCATACCCTGTACCGTCACCGTAGCGTCCTCGTTGCGTCGCCCTCGTGGTGTGGTTTCTTTTTCATCGTCTTCACCCCTTCATCCTGGTCGACAAATGGCAGGTGAGAGCGGGCTGGGCAGATGCGGAGGTCGAGTGTGAGAGAGGAGATGGGGAAAGGGGGGGGTTGTCGTGCCGATTGCCGTTATGGACAGGTGGTTGGTATGGCCGGGGCATGCTGGAAGGTGTGCCGCGAATCCAAAGAGCTCCAACCGTCGAGATCGGGGGTCCGAGGGCTGTGTTACTGGAGGATTGGGCGATGTTGGGCGGGCGATGATGGGAGACGTGTCGTGGCATATCGGCGAGGGTGGTAGATGTGGTGGGAGGTCGGCAATGCCAAGGAGTTGGGGGTGGCGGGGTGGGAGTCGGCATCGTCGAAGAAGAGCCAGCCCACGTCCCTTGGCGAAGGGGAGGGGCATACGCCGCGAAAAGGGCGGGTCGTGGGCGTCAAGGGTGTTGGGTGAGCGAGCGGTGATTTGGCGAGCGGGGCGTCATCCGACGGAGCGGAGAAAAGGGTGGGCGTCGCCGTCTACGCAGAAACGCCAGCCCATATCCCTTGTTGAAGGGGAGGGGCGGGCGGTGTAGGTCGCACGGGTGCAGGGTGTCCAGGGTATGCAAGGGCGTGGTTTGGCGCATGTGGGATTATCCGAGTGAGCAGGGGGATGGGCGAGGGGTTGCTGAACACACGGAGAAGCCAACCCACATCCATTGTTGAAGGGGAGGGGCACACGGCATGGTCAAAGGATGTCGTCGGCTGTTGAGGACACGGAAGGGGCCTTCTTAGTTATGTAGTTGTAAATGAGATATGAAAATGATATTACTTACCTTTTGTATGACGAACGCGAGCCTTGGGCAGCGTTTCGGGTGTGAGGTGGAAGTTAAGACATGTCTATCTTAACAGAGGATGCCCGAATAATTATCAAAAACATCAAACTCCCTGCCTTCTAAGCATTCTAAGGGGCTACCTTCGAAATACCTGCCTCCGGTGGCAGCTCATTCCAGTACTTTTTGACTCATTTTTTTCCAAATATAGTTAAGTCCTTGGAAGGAGGGGTCTTTTTGGGTCAGAACCTACCGATTCAGCCGATTCAGGGGAAATCGCTTCCCACAGTGCATAAGCGCCCGTGATCTGTCCTTGTGATGTAATCATAAAAGAACGTGCCCATCTTATTATTTGCCAGTCTGCCACACTTTTAAGGGTTCAAAACTTAAATACAATATCCATGGGTTCACAACTGATTTTCTTTCTTGCCATAAATGATGAGAACATACTAGAAAATGAGAGACGAGCGTGAGCATTCGACCTTGGTCATCTCGGCGAGAGCGGCTGTGCTCCTGGCTTGATTTCAACGGAAAGTACCCAAACGCTCAGGGAGTATGAGAGAGTGGTGCAATTATGTACAATTTTCACTGATTTCCGAGAATTCTCATTATGCTCTTGTTTACATTTGGGGAAGACTTAGTAGAGATTCCAGAGTTGAATCTAAGTTGAAAAAAATAGGACAAAATCTAACTAGCCTTCAAAATTGAATTTTTGGACCTCCCGGAAGAACCCTACATCATTGGAAGTCCCAAAATGCCTCAAATTCTGCCTATTATGAGGGACAGAGTCTCGAACCTCGCACCGAGGCCGTGACAATGCCGAGGAGGGGCCGGTAAATGTCGGGCCGCCAGGGATCACACGTCACACGAGCGAGCCAGAGCCGAAATCAAAATGTCGAGCGAGGCTTGCGGTTCTCGGACACCGTACATAGAGCAAGCATACGGTTGAAAGAGAAAGCAAGACATATAAGATTGATTCGTAGATTACTATGTAAATAGATATGTTACTTGTCCCCATTGGCGTAGTCGTGTTATACATACAGGCAATGATCAGCTATCAAACCAACCAGCAAGTGTGACTTCATCTGCTAGACCTGCCCATGCTGCTCGGCGTGCTTTCCTACCAGATAGTTCCGTTGCAAATCTGAGCCCAGACTCTACGTGAGCATTAGCCGGTGTCTCTAGAAATGGGGCGTACCGCAGACATTCATCCAATCTCCATCTCCCGCGTCCATCGTCCGAACTCGAGCTATCATCTTCGCCAGTCCAGGCAGGGGTATAAGGGAGCCCAGGACACAGTCGCCTGCTGAGAGCGTAAACCATGCCAGCGATAAAGGCGTCCTGTGCTCCAACCTCATCCACAAGACCATCGTCGGCGTCGCGTCCGCCTGGTGTCTCCGTAGCCTGGGAATCGTTGTCGTCGTCTTCCGTTGCCGTATATTGAGTGCTTTGGTTTGTACCCTGTCCTTGACGTGTATGGCTCCTCGCTTGTTGATACAAATTACTCCTCTCGCTCCCATGTCCCATATCAGACATGTAGTGGCTCCCATTGGTCGTGAAGGCTTGAGAGGAAGGTGTTCTACTCCTTCCATCTGCCCAAAATTCACTGCCGCTTCTGACAGACTGGACCTCCGTAGGCATGCCGTTGAAGGTGGCATTCAGGTGGGTCTCGTTGGCATTCCTAGGGGGAGGGGGAGGCCGGTCTTCCACCCAACCTGAGCTCTGGAAGTACTCCTTCGTTGGAAGGGATAGGACCGCTCCACCTTCCTTGCCCCAGTATGCTACGAGCAGCGCATGAGGAGGGGCAATGGTGGCGAGAGAAAGTAAGAATATGCGAGGCGTCGTTTCGTACTGCGGGGAATTTTGTTGGGCATACTGTTTGTTGAAGAAAAGAACATCCGCATGCGGTATCAGCTGTCAAGGACGGCCAAATGATCAGAGCGAGCTTTGTTCGAGGAAAAAAGGGCACAAACCGCCTCCACTCCCTGTCTACCTTTCCTGCCAATGTCGACACTGAAAACGCAATGACTTCTCCATTTCCGTTCGCGTGCTAGTCCATCGAGACCTGTTATGTTACTCAAAGTGGTTTTGACTGATCGTCCTTCGAAGTGAATCCAATCAAAGGGGGCCGGACTGTGAGGGTTGTAGAGAATGGGATTTGTGGGAGGACGAGGGCCTGACTGAGACGGCCGAGGAGTCGACGAAGATGCAGGAAGATTAGAGGAAGATCCATACGTGGGTATCGTTGGGCTGATAGTAGGGGTAGTCTGGGGATAATTCTCTGGGGCGAGTAATGGTCCAAGTAACGAGATGAAGTCTTCATGAGTGATATCTGGCAGTGGGTTGTGGTTCACAATCATTCGGGTATTATCTTCCGCTATGGGATCCTAAGCCCTTGCCCAACGCAAAAACATTATCGAAGGCTCACCCGAATTTAGGACCCATGCACTTGGAACCCCTGCATCTCGCCATATTTTGCAGTACTGCGTGATGACCCCTTCGTTCTCCAGATCTCGCAGAATCATACGCCCTTCCTCGTTTCCCCCGAGGGAGGCGACAAGTACAGATTCTACCGCAGGAAATTGGGCAAGGACAGAAAGGACCTATATCAAGGTAGGAAATCAGGTCCACGGTTGAATGAGAAGGATGAGGCCACACCATGTTTGCAGACCCCCCTCGCGTCTTGTCCACTGAGTGCGCTCGGATCACCGTAGATGGTGCAGGATGGCATGGTACGGACAAGGTATGTGTCATGAAGAGCGTCCCAGAGGCCACAATGCGTAGAGGCCGGCCGGAATATCGGGAAGTTGGGTATTGGTTGTCATCTCGTTCGCGTCGTATTTTGGTCATTCTGTAGCGTCGTTGAGAGTATCAGTGAGTAATAGACCGAGAAGAAAAGAAAACTGAGTGGAAAACAGCAGCCAAAAGAGGTTACTTCATCGACGTCCTGGCATGATTGGTTGGGAAGAGTCAGGGCATGATCAGGGGACTTAGCCCGATCATAGATACCACGAGATCAACAAGGACGCGCAAAGGCGCGTAACTCACAGTCTTTTCATGTCCTCCAGGTATTAGACGTCGACAAATGACGATGCCGGGGGGATTGGGTACGACACGAGACGGCAAACGGAGATACGGGTGCAGAATATGTAAAGTACTTTTGGGAGCCTTGAAGTCGGTGCCTATTTCATTTCTACATCGCCGTCGCCATCTACACTTCCATCTACACTCTCCCAATCGTCATCGTCATCGTCTCCATCTTCGGCGTCTTCCAGAGGTGATGCAGATATGCCCAGTGAATCCAATTTCGCTATCAGCTCTTTGACATGCCCAAGTAAAGGTTTATCGACATGCTCTTGATTTCGATGAAGCTGGAGGATATGTTAGCGCCGACCAAAAAGGAAGATGGATATTCCTTACCACTTGACACGTCTCGAGACAATCTCTTGAATCCTTTGCCAGCTCTTGCCATGTCAATTCATCAAGCATGCCTCCACTTTCTTGAGCTTGTTCCGCCATGAGGTAAAAACACCATCCTTCCAGATACCATGCCTCCACTTCTTGATCGTCGGAGGACATTATTCCATGTAGGACGAGAAGAGCAGAAGCATACATCGCCAATTCGATAAACAACTTGACTAGAACCAAGCGATTCGGAATGGGTGGTAGTTTCGGGTCATCTAGAAGAAAACGAGAAATTTGAGAACGCAAAAGCAAAATATGTTTCATGTCCATACCAAGATCCAGGTCTTCCCATCTGGACCAAGCCTGTTCAAGGCATTGCTTCGCGTCATCGGGACGCTGCTGCGACATGCGTACTGAAGCTAACGATTGCAGCGCCTCTGGATTTCCTGGAGCGACTTGTAACGCGTTCTCAAGGAGATCTTCACAAGTTTTTTCAGCCTCTGGTTCAAAACTAGATTTTTCAAGATAACAGATGCGAAAATCTCGGACTTGACGCACCATAGATCATACGAGGGATCCATCCATATTTCCACCTGTCCGACCAGAGCTCTTACGATGTTGTTCTTCACTTCGACCTCATCACTGGAGCTATCGTCTGCGGCACGCTCCTTCCCTTTTAACTGGGCTAAGAGAATGTTGACAGCGGCTTGAAAATGTTGTAATGCGAGTTTTGGATCGTCATCGCTCAGTTGAGCAAGATAAAGATGGGCGGATGCTGGTGGTGAAGCAGGAGCATCGGGATTTGGAGGCAAAAGAGACAAGAAAGCCTGAAGATGTCATCGTAGTGATCAATTCTGACAGACAAATTGCATTGACAAGACCGAGCATACTTCTTTCGCAGCTTCAATCTCCCCGGTTTCTAGAAGACAAGCTCCAAGCATCTCTTTAGCCTCAACATTTTTTGGGTCCTGCTCCAAAATTCGGCGCGTGAATCGTAAAGCAAGTTCATAGTCGCACTGGACAATCAGAGATTGCGCCTTCTCCAGTAGAGAATATATCGAGGGAGTCTTCACAGCATGCTGTACAGGGAGATCGGTTACTTTCGTGTGGGCCTTCTTCTGTGTTCGCGTTCGACCCATGAAAGTGAGAGGCGGAAGAAGAGATTTGGATGATCACGTGCTAGCGTTTCCGAAATCATCGCGATGCTCGGTTTTCCGATTATTGTGCTGGGTATAGAAAGAATGAAAAAGAAATAAAAAATAGAAAAGAGGGGGAGCTTGTGTGCCCCTCAAAAATACCTTCACGGCAGGGCAGACAATCTCGAGGGCGTCATCCCAATGCTCGGAATGGGAAATTTTTCTGTCGCGCACCGTGCGCGCTTCGAGATTGCCAAATTGAACGGGCCGGTGTCTCCGCGTCGCACTGACAGGTATTGACCGCATTGCTGACACAAAAGAATAAATTTACTTTGTAGAATTTATTCCACCATCATGACACAAGGCCAAGTGGTGAATATGGGTGGATTTCGCTGCTCTCGCGGTTGCAGGAGCCTACTCAGTTTCCTGCTGTACGGAAAATAAATATTTGTGGCTGTGCGGTGGCAGTTAGACTTAGGGGCTCGGTAGCTACCTTGTTCCATATTCCATCGTGCTTGATGCACCCACCACCACCAAAAATTGATACATGAAAGAATATTTTTTTTTGTAGTCTACCTGTAAGTTTACAGCCGGAAGACTACACTGGAAGCTCGTGAAATTTGTCGAGAGATGTGATGTGTCAGCTTTCTCAGGCAGGTATTGGCAGATACCCGCCCAGCACAATGATCGGTAAACCCGATGCTCGGTGTCAATTGGCATCTTGAACTTGAAGTTTGCGTTGTTGCATCCAACTGCGCCTGAGGCATGCTGCTTCTTCCTTGATACCCGCTGCTGCAACGATTTTTCACCATCCCTTTCATAACCGTCTGATATGAGTGCGAATTCTACTGGCTTCTTTGAGTATGATGGCTCAGCAGGGTCGGCTTCGAAGGACGAACTCTTCCTTGAGCGTCTGGACACTTTTATGGAGAAGTGCCTTGCAGACATAAAGGCTTTCGCTGAAAGAGAGCTACAGCCCTACGAGGAGGTCTCTCGAGGCACTCCATTGGCGATGTGCGCATTCTGACTTCGTTCTTACTAGACTCGGCGTTGCATTGCTCAATGGCATGCTAAGTACCTCTTTCAGCCTCCAGTTGGGACTCCCCTGTCGTGTACGGCCTCAACATTTGCAGATCTTGCATCGGGTAGAGCTTCTCAAGGTGCGTGCATGTCGTTTTCTGGCCCGTGCTTTTGTTAACGCTGTTTGACATCAGTTCGGTCCATCTTGCGTGATACTTCGCGTATTCTGGAATCGCTCTCCGAAACATCTGGCGTTGAATCATTTCTACTAGCTGTAGACCCGCATGAACCGACAGATGCCGGCTTCCTGGGTGGCTCTCTTCGAGGCCGTGAATTTTGGCGCGGCATGAGAGGCGGAGGGGAGGGCGGAGCCAGGTTATTCAAATCACACCTCGTAAATCAACTTCAAACCCAGCAAAGGGTAACAGCTGTTGTTCAAACTCGCGATCTTGAGCGGCAGGTCTCTACTCCTCCCAAAGGTGGCCCATCCCGGTCAATAAAAACCGAGTTGTATGAAAGCGTTCGGAGTGCCCTCCGGTGAGTAAAATCGACTGGCCAACCCGGGCTGTTTCTCAAATCCTTGTTCTAGACGCGCCAGCGGCATCCGCAATGCAGAGATGAAATGGACCAACCCAGAGCGCCTGGATGCCTTTGGTGTCCGTTTAGTTGGGTGGCCAGAAGGCGTCCCAGCTCAAAACCCGTCAAGCTTAAAAGTCAGCCAGAACAAGATTTTGCTTGAAGCTATTCAATCCGGCACTATGCGATTCGAAAAGCTTTCAAATGCTCAGAATGTGGGATCAGGCGAAGTGATTGAAGGAAGAAGCCCTTCTAGAGCCGACGGGGATGGCGTCGATGAAGATTTTTCATGGGCGTATGACGCAGATGCTGGCTCTCCCCCGCCCCAACCAACTGCTCAGCCAGCCGCAGTCCAACCTCTCCTCGCAGCAACATCACAGTCATTGGATAACTCTAATGCTAACCGTGTTTCATGGAGCCTGGATGTGCCCGATAATGATAGAGATCTTACGGTAGAGTACGAGTGGGATGGTGCATTTATCGAGGCGATGAGCACAGGGGAAAAGGAGTGGAATAGTGATCTGCAATCACCCCCTGAGCGACCGCGGAAACGACCAAGGAGTGAGGAACCGCCTGAAATATGAAGACATGCTGTAGAGTGCATAATTTATGTACGGCATTCTTACTCATCGCACACACGAGGACGAAACGTAAAATTCGGCTTTTTCGAGGTCTCATCGATGGGCACGCAGCTGTCGTGCGCAGTGTTGTTCCGAGTTGACACATAAATAACACGGTGACTACAAATAGCATTATTAGTTCTCCTTTCTTGTTGGGGTTTTCTCTCATCCACTACCATGTTCTCCTCCCTCTTTTCGTAAGTGGTGTTATCAGTTCCTCGGTAAGGTACCTTATGGCATTTGTCCAGAACTGCCCCCCCTGTTGATCCCACGGCACCGAACTTCCGCTCAGTCTCCTCAAATGTACCCGAGAACGAGATCTTCGGTGAACTCGAGCCCAAGGACACGGAATGGGCTTGTGCAGGAGGCTTCGTCGCTGAGACCCAGACGTTCTACATTACCACGGAGGACGGTGTCAACATTATGTGCCAAGTGATCCACTCTTCCGTTGGGTGAGGATTGTTCATCGATCTCAACCGTCTGTTCTCAATTCGATTTCTTACAGCATCTGGTATCCTACTATCCAGTTCACTTGCAAGATCGCGAACCCAGCGAAGGGGGAAAGAATTTGGAAGTCTATCAACGTCACGAACTTTGTAACTCCTCCCCCAGGCTACGACAAACGCTCGAGCAAAGCGGACGAATACTCTATCTTGTACAAGTCGAACCCGGATTCCGAGTTCCCAGAATCTTACACCATCCGTGCCAATCTTGGTGTTGATCTCCAAGTCTCTCTGGAGCTACAACGACCAGCGTCGATTCCAGGATGGAAAGTTGGCAAAGGACCCAAGGGCGGTTACTCGTACTTCGGAACGGACACCAACAACGCGGAAGGATACGTGATCCATCGCTTCTGGCCTAGCCTCCAAGCGAGTGGCCATCTTATCCACAACGGCAAGGCCGATCCCGTCAAAGGTGTTGGGATGTTCGTTCATGCCATCCAGGGCATGCGACCCGACCTCGTCGCGTCCGCTTGGAATTTTGCCTTCTTCCAGAGTGACCAGCTGGGAGGGGTGTCGGCCATCCAGATGGAGTTCACGACTATCGACGCGTATGGCAAACGCGGCGCAGGGTCTGGTGGGGTTGTCGTAAATGTGGGGTCTCTCGTCATAGGGAATAAACTAGCCACCGTCACGACCGAAACAAAGTGGCCGGGCGAGGAACCTACTGGTTCTGTCATCTCACGGGCATTGCACCTCAAACCCGAGAGTGACCCTGACACAAGTTATGGCAAACCTACAGAAATCGTCTTCGAGTGGAAGGGTCCATCGATCGTTGCAGGTGCACCTGGCACAGTGGAGGGGAAGGTTCAGACTGATCTCGGCACTGTCAGCGAGCCCAAGGGTCTCATCGAGAAGGTCGACTTCCTCGCAGAAATTCCCTATGTTATCAAGATGGCAGTGAACTACGTCGCGGGAACAAAGCCCTACATTTACCAGGTACGCCGCAGTTCTCCACTTCTTTAACACTTCCTAATTCTCTGTACAGTGGATCAACCCAGCTAAGCTTTCTCTCACAGGCCCAGACACATTGTCTCCTGGGCTTTCGTCGGGAATAGAGGTTGAAGGATATCTTTACAACGAGGCCACGTTCATTTCTTAGATTTCCTGGAATAATACTGTATCTACCCTAATAGTGGGAGTGCCTATATAAATGACGATTTGACGATTTGTATCATGACTTCGCGGCTCCGAGGGAGAGGAAGTTCGAGACGAGTCAAATGGTTTGTCAGTCGAGATTCACGTGCCAAGAGTGTGCCAAGCCTAGTATCGTCTCATTTCGCAGCAAGCCGTAATGCGTTTGTTTGAAATTTAAACTAGCCGTCCTCCGTTGTTCGTGTTCTACCATGAATGATGTTGCGCTGCAGGACACGTTCTCTTCTCAAGACAATCTCCAGGCCTGAAGCACCCTCATTTCCGACTGCTGGTCGCCTCCAGTCCACCCTTGCAAGAATACACCGAACCCCAAGGCTTGCGTATCCCAAATCCACCTCTTATCGCCACCCTCCCCTTCTCCTTTCTACACTATTCGTCCCTCCATTACATCCTCGCCTCAGCGCCGGATTCCACTCGACGCCTCGGAACCAAGGACTACCTCTCATACCCCTACTAGCTTCTATCTTCAAGGTGCGGCCCCAGAGATAATCCTCATACGTTCCTAGCTAACGACGTTCAATTCAGGCCTCGGCAGGGCTAGAGATTGTCCGCACTGCCAGTCGGATAGCATTGACATTTATCCCCTGGCTTTTGTTCAAAAAACACAAGTCGAAACGAGTAATCAAATATGCCGCCATTCACGGTGTTCCCGCGTCGGAGGAGACTAAGCAGAAGCACTTGAAGAAGATCCGAGTTAGCACCAAGTTGCTGCAGCTTCTGCTGGCTGTACCTTTTCTGCTCTTCTGGTCGACTGTGATAGCGAGCTTGGAACGGACGCCATTGACTGGAAGGTTTGTTATACCTGAAATTATCCTGTCAAATCTCACGAACATTTCTCAAAAATAGATGGCGGATGATTCTACTATCACCGGAGGAAGAAGACGAAATCGCGTCCCATTTAGCTGGCCCTGGATGGTACAAGTCGGTCGGTGACATCCTAGCAGAAGAAGGCTCTCCGAGGATCATCCCAAGTAGCGATTGGAGGTATGAATGGGTGCAAGATACACTTCGCCAACTGGAGGCCAGCATTCCTGTCCTTTCTCGTGAACCCGAGCTGTGTCCTAACTGGATGCAAAACGGCCCAGAAACACAGCCGCTTCCCCCACCTGCAGATTTCCCCCTTCGTCCGCGACCTCGAGGTTCCGAGTACCTTCGATGGTTCTGCGAGAGCCTAACCAACAAGCATTGTTCAAAAATTCCCGGGGGTCCAATACCAGGCCCTCCATACTCTCTTCTCGTGGTCGAGAAACCTGACTCGTCCAATGCATTCTCATATGGATTCGGACCCAACGGTGGCAGCGGCGTCGTTGTTTATAGTGGCTTTTTGGACGACATTTTCTCAAGGATGCCACTACAATGGGAAGCCCCGGAGCAAGCCCCACCCTCCCTATGGTCGAGGCTTTTCGGTGGACTCTTTTCCAAACCAGCTCCATTGCACCCTGCGCCTACTCCTGAGCAGACCACGGAGCTTGCCATTCTGCTTGCACACGAGATGGCACACCTCATCCTTGCACACCACTTGGAGAGTTTGTCATCCGTTAATGTCATCGTGCCTGGCACACTCTCCATCGTGTCCGACGTCATCCGAGTCCTCATATTTCCGATTACAATGCTCTTTGGGCCGTTTGTCAACGACGCAGTGGCACAGCTGGGCAAAGTTGGGTCTGGAGAACTCGTCAAGATCTCGGAGTACTGCACAAGTGCGAAACAGGAGATCGAAGCAGACGTGGTTTCCGCGAGGTATGGTTCTCTTTCTTTATAGACTAATTGGATCAACTGATTGTGATTGGCTTCTATCCCGTGAAGGATACTTGCCCATGCAGGTTTTGATGCGCGAGATGCTGTTCGATTTTGGGAAAACCGGTCTGGCGCTGACGGCGAATGTGCGAGGCACGGACAGCACGGGCAACCTGAAGAATCTACTAATGGACCAATGACTGTTGCAAGGCAAATCATGAGCTCAACGCATCCCATCAATCAGATTCGGGTCGACAATCTCAAACAAGAACTCGCTCGGTGGGAGAAGGAGCGGCGGAGAGCACTGTCAGCTTTTCAGTCTTAGGTTTCTGGGATACCACGTCGTTATGATCTGAGCATCAGGAGAATTCCTAGTTTGTAATACAGTAGCTGTAATATTATTATCTTGCCTGCTTGCTTTCTATTTACTCTCCACTCATTACAAGGACTGTCTTCTCGAATAGGATCCAAACCAAAAGTCAATCTATTACTTGTCTAGTCATGTGAGCACATGTCCGAGGGGTTCTATTAGATTCTATGATGATTGTAGGAGGGGCTGTTGGTCGCTTATCGTTTTATAGCGCCTGACTAGCTTTGTATTACGTGCACCGTCTGGTGATTCCTCGATCTCCTCTACAATTTCGTATCCTCCACGTTTTGGCAGAACAATGATCCAGACCCAGTAGTATAGGCCACAGCACTGGAAAGAGAGGGATGAGAACCAAAAGGGCGAAAAATGAAGGGGAACCTCACAGCGAGCAATCCCAGCCCAGCGACACAGTACCTAGTGGTATGCATATCAGATCTCAGCGTTCGCATGGCACCAGCGACCGTTCGAGGGACTTACGTTGCATACCAGAACGAAACATCTGCATGGCCAGGCTCAGGTGGTACCCTGATACAAACTGTAAACGCCGAATAGATGAATGAAAAGGTAGAAAACACACCAAGGCATCACAAGGAGGAGGATACAAGAGGAGAGATACAGAAGAACAAGACTGTTCCTAGCTTGCAACGTTGAAGGAAGGATTCCTGCAATGGCTCTCCTCTTTCGAAGTATCCAAACACCAGCCGCCATGGCTGAATTGAAAACCTGGCCGCGAAAATAATAAGGAACTTGAAAGGTATTGTTACAGTAATTTACCATTGCCGGATAGGATGCCAGGTCCAAAACAAAGTTGAAGGCATCTTTCGCTGGAATAGCAACGATGACAAGTATGGTGAGGAAACCTTTGAGTGCGACAGGTCCAAGAGGTGTTCCGAAGGGCTTGATGGAGGAGAAGAAATTGGGATATGGCAGCAATCCTTGGCGAGCGACTTCACGAATGATACGGGCCTAACAAAAGTGAGGAAGGGAATTTTTTAAAGGCACCAATAACCCAGTTAATACCTGTCCTATTGTCTGAGCCGACGGGAAGCCACCTGTTAGAGTGGGCCAGCTTGAGGGCAACCAAAACTCACGACAGCGATCTATAGAAAGATGTTAGTCTCATGATCAGTGGGGTTGAGCAACAACTAGAAGACTCACGATATTTCCAAAGCAACTACAAGCAACGAGTAGAGGAAATATCTTGGATCCAGTCGAACCAAACACGTGTCGAAAGAACAACACTGCAACCAATTGCCCAGAATGCCTGATTTCCTCTCGAGGGACCGCCGCAACATATGCTATGTTTATGAACAGAAATAGCACTGTGACCAGGAAAAGTGATATCCTTCCAGCCTTCCGGACGGTCCTGACAGGGTCCTTGGATTTGACCTCGGCGAGCACGTTGAAGGCATTGTGCCATCCAACGAATGCATGGTTCGTCTTAACCTAAATGAAGCTAGTTAGAAGTCCTTGAATCGTTTTAAGAGGAATCCGTACTCACGAAGGCCGTTGCGAGAGCATTTGGATTCCCAGAACTTCCCTCGAAAAGATTGTGGAAGTTAGCCCAAGGATCTTTAATTCTTGTGGATCCCGAGAGAACAGCCAATCCCGTTACAACAATACTGTCGTTATTTCAGCAAGCAGGACTACTTGCAAAAGGTATGCTTACAACACGAGAGACGCGATTTTGAAGACCGATAGAACATTCACAGCACGGAGAGCCCACTTGGTGGAAATAGCGACACCTCAGTGCTTTGTTAGCGACAGGGCAAAGGAGAAATTGACGAACTTACTTCCAACAGTCAACACAACAGTACCTATCGCAACCAAAGTCTGAGATTTGTCCGTTATGGGCACGTCAAAGGCAGACAACGAGTATTGGGCAAAGACGATTGCATTTGACGCGCTAAAACTAATTGAGACCGTCAGGCTGTGAAGCAGTGAAAAGAAACAGGTATTGAGAATATACATACGATGTCAAGACTGCCGTGACAGCAAATGCTGTTGAAACGAGGAACCGAGGCTTGGGGTACGCTTGCTCCAAGTAAACAACCTCCGCCCCAGAGCGATGTGGAAACATTGAAGCTAGTTCGCTGTAAATGCCGAGACCAGCTGCGAAGGCGAAGTACCTGGCGTCAGCGTCAGCGTGGAAACGGAGTGCCCCCAGCATACCAAATGCAAAGATTGGTCCCAAAACCCAGTAAAGCAGCAAGAGGCCCACAGAGCCCACAGAATTTAGCATGACTCCAGGGACAGAGTAGATTCCAGATCTGTTTCGAGCAACCGTCAGCACGACCTCGGGAAGAAGCGAGTATTGCGCACCCCGTTATCTGCCCTACATTCAACATTATTGCTGACAGCAGCGTCACTTCACGACCAAGTAAATCAGGCTGGAAGAAAATATTCAATCATGAGATTACACTACAACGAAAAAGATCAGTACCCTTTCAGAAGGGGCGCCGACGACATGGTTGACAGAAAATTCGACTTCCGTGGGGTCGACGAGAGGAGGAAGCCCGATAGACATTCGACGAGCCTTGGGTGAAGACATCGTCAGAAAAGGAGCAGGAGAGTAAGAGGGCGCGCTAACCCAGGGTTTTATATGGCTTTAGCAATCATGATAGCTAATTTTGAACACCAGTGCTACAGTAGTCATCCTGCTGGTGCTCATTTCGAAACAAGGTGGCGTCATGTAACTCGATCTCACGGCAAACAGAGATTGAAATACGGCGTTCTTGATCTGTGGGTGGTCCAGGGGGCAGGAAAGCGACTGCGACAGAGAAGTAGTGTCAATCCGGGCTGGTCGAGCTGGTTGTTGGAGGGAAAGATGGACGCTGGCCGAGTCGAAGTTGTTCGGGCCGGCTTCCTCGGTCATGCACTCCTCACTTTTTCAAGGGTCTAAGTGCGTATATTGACGTAGAAATGCTAAGGGACAGGAAATATGGCTACAGTGAATTGCAAACTAATTATCCAACGGAGACACAACATTAAAATACGTGGACGACATGGGTATCGGAGAAGGACATGACAGACAGGCAGAGTGCTTAGTTTGCTGTCGCGTTTGCGTTTGCAATACACTGAGCCTGCTGGGCGTTGCAAGCACCAACATTGATTCCACCCCGGTTGCCCGAAGCATTTGCAGCGTTTGCACACTGGTTGTTTTGCACATCGCTGAACAAGGGCATTGAGAATTACATCCGAAAGGATGGCTCAAAGACACATACCATGATCGCACAAGGGCATTTCTGAGGTTGTTGAAGGCTGCATTGCCAGTAACTTGGAAGCGACCGTCACCAAGGGCTGTCACGACGGGGGCCGCAACTCCTGCGAGGTTGCCGTTGAAGGTTTGAAGGTTTCCGCCAGCAGCAGCTCCGCCGTTGTTTCCAGTGTTGGCATTGTTGTTCCCGTTGTTGGCGTTGTTGTTGTTGGCGTTATTGTTGCCAGCGCTAGCACCGTTATTCACAGGGGGAGGGGTCTGGGGAAATGGGTCAAGCGACAATGATTGGTACGCAAGATAGAACCATACCGCGGTAGAGGCGCCAACAACTCGGCCCTGGTCGTCAATCGCAGCAATCGAGGCGAAGTTCTAGCAGCAGAAGATTAGAAACCATTGACAGGACGGGGGTCTCAGGGCTTCACCGTCGAAATACCGAAGACAGCGTTGAAGGCGTCAGCTTGACCGCCAGTCTTGGCCGGAGCAGCGGAGGCGGCAGCGGCAGCTTGGGCGCAAGTATCCTTGGCCGTTTGATCAGCTTGGCAGGTATTGGTCAAAGTATCGCAGATGGAACCTGGGTGGTGTCAGCAAGAAATCGTCATTCAGGAGGCCGGTCACATACGGGTGATAATATCGATGTTCTGCGCCGATCCGTGATTGAAAGAAGCTGAGGAGGACACAGCTTAATTTAAGCGCTCAATGTAAGGCAACAGGCCCGTACCTTTATCAGCGGGTTGGAAGCTGGTTTCCCTCCTGCCATCAAATCCGGCACCAAATTCGATCTCGGGGACCGTGCACCGACCGAAGACGCCAATAGCGCCCGCAGCACCAGTGGCCCCATTGCCAGCGACGTTGGAAGAAGGGGTAGCCGCAACAGGTGCAGCAGATTGGGTGGCGACAACGGTGTTGGGAGCAGCGGCATCGACACCACCAGAGACAACCCGTCCTGTATTGTCTACGACAGCAACACCGGCGAAGTTCTGGAACGGTCTGAGCCCTTTGTGAAAATTGTGTAACGAAAGATGAAAGCGTACCGTAGTGATTCCGAACACAGCGTTAAAAGCGTCAGCCTGGGCACCTGTCTTCGCAGTTGCGGCCAGTGCAGCAGTCTGTGCTTGAGCGCAAACGTCCTTAGCGGCTTGGTTGGCTCTGCAACTGTTTGTCAAAGTATCGCAAATAAATTCTAGGTTCGGGGTGTCAGATCCATGTTATACGCGAAGAGGACGGGGAACGTACGTGTGATGATGGCAATATTCTGAGCAGAGCCGTGGTTGAAGGATTCTGAGTGAGACATCAGCAATTGCTTCAAGAAATGGAACGTCTTCACGTACGGAGATCGGCTGGGCGGAAGCTGGTCTCACGGCGATTGTCGAAGCCAACGCCAAACTCGATTTCGGGCACAGTGCAGCTTCCAAAGTCTGCGCCAGCGGGGGTAGCGGGGGTAGCTGCTGGTGGTGCAGCCGTCGTGGCGGCAGGAGTGCCCGCTGTAACGGTAACAGCGTCCGAGATAGTCGCCTGAGCGGCACCAGCAGTAACAGTGACGGTTACCGCGGTCTATAAAACTAGTAGTGAGAACCTGCTTTCAAATAACGAGGAGTTCATCTGACCACGCAGTCAGTCGCAGCCGGAGATTCCTCGAGGACTGGCTCTGTCTCCTCAGGCTCTTGAGGGACAGCAGGGCTTTTCAAGACACTTGAGACCGGCAATGGAAGAGCAATAGAAGAAATACGTACGGGTTAGCCGCTACGCCATCGAAAGGAGCTGTGTTAGCCTGAGAACCTCTGCGAACAGTGGCTTTCAGAGCAGGATCGAAAAAGAGGTCCGGGTCATTGGCAGGATCCTGAGCTTGAACTAGGCCGTTGAGCTCCGGGTTCTTGGGTGCCTTCTGGCAAAAGACGGAGTTTCGCAGAGTGGGCGGGTTAGTCGAAAAGTCCTAATCACAATTCATGAGTTCTTCGTCTCTTCAATATCCCGTTGCAGAATTTACGGGAGGGGTGTTCTTCTCGACCTGGCGATATTCGACAGCAGCAGCAACCATTAGGGCAGCCGTCGCAGCGTCAAATTGCTTGCTCGCGTCTATAATAAAGATAAATTATAAACTAGGCATTTTGAAATCAAAAGCTTTCTATACCAATAATGGCGTCCGCCATATCTTGCTGGGAGCATTCTGGTTGGGCCGCAAGAAGAGGGGTGACAGCCTGACCGGCAAGGGTACCGCAGACAGCTCCACCGCAAGCATCCCGAATCTTCTGGAGGACAGCGGGTTGCTCCTGGCCGAATCGTCGAGGATAGAGATGGACAGCACGGCCATCTCGTTCGAGAATGTTCTCGCGTCCAAGGGCCTGCTGCGACGTGATAGCGAGGATAGAACAAAGGAGGAGGCCAAAGTTGGATTTGAGGAGCATCTTGGGAAACGTGTTGATAAAAGAATGTGCAAAGACTACCAAAAAAAACCCTTGAAGAAAAAGGAGAGAAGGAAAAGGACACCTGGTCAAAGGTGAATTGGAGAGGCAAAAGAACGAGCCGTCAACGACACAAGCGTCTGAGGTTCTCTGAACCGAAAGAATGAGAGGAGAGGAATGGGTTGGACGGGGGCATTAGGGTCGCTTTAAAAGTAGTTTGGTGTGTCTGGACTCTGAATCTGGTATATCCAGCCGATGAAATTCCGGGATGTTGCTGTGCCGACCGTGGACTACAAAGCCCGTCAACACGAGCGTCCCCCCAAGAAAGTCCAAAAATGTTACAAGCGAAGGTGTAGAATCTAGATTGGTGGAACTTCCAGATGGAATTATGAAATACGAAAGGGGTGAAGAGTTCGCATGTTTGGCCGAAGGTGGTGCTCCGCCTTGATCCACTGACATGATGGTTGAATACGCTTGACCAAAATGAAAGGCACCGACAGGAAATGACAAGGCCGTTATCAGCCGTTATCACTTTTACCTGAAAGACGATGTTGAGGGTACAACGAGCGCCTATGTGTAGCTTAATAGAAGTTTAGTATACAGTCAAACCGTACCTGCTCGTACCTGCCGCCGGTGATTCCTCCTTCCTTCTAATTCAGTTGTTAAAATTCTATGCTTCTACAACCAAATTACATATGTTCACCATCACTTGGCAGCCTACTCCTAAGTAATAATGATTCGCCCGGAGTTCAAACGTTCATGGGGCGGGTTATGTAAGTATGGGTGATCATCAAGGAAAGAAAAGCGGATGCAAAAATCGCCAGGGTTGGTGATGTACACGTTGCCAGCTTACGACGAAGCCGGCAATCCCCCAGTCAGCTCAGTGACCAACAGCCCTCGGCGTCGAACCTCCAAAGACCTTCAACGATGTCGAAGATGGGATCATCAAAATGCTTCGAGGCCTGAGGCTCGACAAATGAATTAAAGATTAAAAGAATGCATAATTTACGAAGCCATACCGCAGATCTACTAACGGTAACCATCGATATCTCCAACCGTCTCTACCAGGAGGATGTGCCAATCCGATAACGAGCCAAGCGGCACGAGATCAAGCAGGAACGGCGCCCTTAGATCGAATGAGGTCGGGCCAAAAGCGCCGCACCCAAGGAATTTCTTCCAGAGACCGCCGCTGAATCAGTTTGTGAGACATACTCTCGTCTCGAGGGTCTGCTGCCTCCCTCAAAATCTCTGCTCCTTCTTCGATTATGGTTCTGATATGGTTGCATCTGACACCTGAGCCTTCACAATGACACCACAGATGCTGTCGTGAGCCCCAACCAGCAGCATTGATCATTTCCCATCCATGCATTATTAGCAGCGACCTCCAAAAGTCGGCGTTGGGAGGGGACTTCAATGTTTTGAAATATGTGGAGTAGAAAGCCTCCGCAAATCCAGCAATGGTCTCGTGTGGCCCCAACGTGGCCATTTCGGAAAGAGACAGAAGGTGGAGATAAGATCCTAAAGACGCCACACACCTTCGGTTACCCAGCAACTGAGAAAAAAGAGTGCATGTACTCACCAAGTTGGGCAACATCAGCAGCAGCATCGTTGGGCCCTGCAAACTCCCAATCACAAATCCCGACAGCTACGGTATGGGGATTTTTGTCGACGTCGGTGCGCATCAACGGAGCCTCGAGGTCAATCAAGAGAGTGCCGAACCATATGTCACCTTGCGCGAAAACGGTCTTCTGGCGAGTCCTCCAGTGTTTCAAAGCTGCTTGCCCGAGCGACTTGAAGTCGGGAATCCCGGCGTCCCGCATATGACGGGCGGCCTCTGCTATAACCGCCTCCATAACTCGGTCAGAGTCCTCGTTGACGAATTTATCGGCAGAAATACTGTCAAGGATGGAAGGGTCGTGCATATCTGCCAGAAAATGACCAGCTATTTCCCCAAGTTGGGAAGAAAGAGAAGGGGCTGTTTCAGGGTTGGTCAAAACGTCATACAAGTTGGGTAAGGATCCAAGGTCGCTTTGAACGAGAATGTTATTAGAGCTGTCGTAAAGCAACAGTCTTGGCACCATGATGCAAGGGTTTTGCGGAAGAACATGAGGAAGGGTACTGGCTCCCCCAACACCCAGCGTTAGACGGAATGCCTTGAGGGCTTCTGCCTCAATAACCTCCAGAAAACAATGGGTAAGCTTCGAGAAGAAGTACTAAATAGACTTACCTGTCGTTGAGGGGAGCATGGTATCTCTGGGTGTTTTGCGAGGAAAGGCGGCGCTTGCTTGATGACAACAGACGAAACAGAGGTGAAGAGGGCATCAAAAGAGTCAGATAGCACGATGCCGGGCGAGAGCTTTTCGCTTGGATTGTTGTCATTCTTCGGGAAGCCTACGCGCACTGTATAATTTGCAGCGCCGCCACTGAGCTCTTCGACTTGCCAACCTTTAGCGCCTGTCTGGTTCTCTAGATAAGCATGAAAGTTGAAAGGAAGGTGAGCCATAGATATTGCAGGATGGAAAATGAGCAGCTGCAGTGTTGGCCGTATCAGGTGGACGAAACTCAAGCTCGAAAGGAAAGGGGACAGAAAGGAGAAAGGTACTTCGCAATTTAAGTAGGACGAGTTGATTGCTCGGTAAAGTCTACACGTGGTCACCGGACAACAGGAGTTGGTGATTTGCCTATATTTATCTCGTGTCTATCCGGACGATGAACTGTCTCTACCGACCAACGCCTCTACCTTCGCGTGTTCGGTGAGAGTTTAATGGTGGTGAACGGCATGTTCTTCGCCTTGGAAATCAAGAGCATAAACTATAGGGAGAAGTATATGTGAGCGTCTTCGCGTCAAGGCATGGAGTTGTCACATACCTGAACCACATTCCGTGCAGCGAGACTGCTTATCCTTCCTCACGTTAAACCAGAGGACATCATGGGAGTCAGCTGGGGAGCCAGTGCAACCAACGATACGCTCGACGTCCTGTTATCATATGAAGAGCCAGGAGGATGGTTAAGAATATTTCGCCAGCACACACGAAGATTGTTGCAGGTCACGCACATAAGACGGAACCAAAACGGGGCTGGCTTTCGTGCCAATACGGCTGGCGTCCAGAGGGCTGTCGTCGAAGACCTTGATGCCTTCGAGCTCTCCCAAAAGCTGCAGACGTTCGAGACCGGTAGCTTGCTCAATGTCGGTCGGGACGGTTCCGGCTTTGGCACCTTCACCGTAGAGCTGGGGAGGAGGGGGTCCACCCGACGAGACGCGAACGCTGGTGGAGAATGCGCGGAGAGCGGAGGTGGAGGATTTGGTGGAGGCACGCGCCGCGAGGGCGGCAGGGCGAGCTGCACGGACAGCAGTTTTGAACATGGCTTCTGGGAGGACAGACGGAGAGCGAAGGAGATGAGGGGAATTTGTCGTGTCACACCGCATACATGTCACGCTGTCACCCGACCTTTCCCGCGTCGTTATCAAGGTCGCGACGAGACTGGACCACCCCACGCAAGACCAGCCCGTCCAACGAGCGCTCACTTCGATTTTTCCTATGCAATCACGCTCCCGAACTATCTTTCACTGAAGAAAGGACGCGTTGATACCGTCTGCGCTGAACCCCGACTTTTCAAATGTCGAGGTTATGTCCAACTTTTATGTCCAACTTGAATAGACTTGAATTCGCAGTGATCCACAGCCAAGAAACCAACGTAACGTGTGGACTCGCATTTCTTCAGCGACTATATATTTTCGCTTGGTCCTCTCTTACGTTTCGAACAAAGAGACGCGTTTTGCTTGCTGGGACTCGGATGTACAATTTCGTGGTAGGGCGCATCTTTACCTCTGCAGAAACACGGTTATTTACCTATCCCTCAAAGGTAACAAGCACCAGGAAACGGAGACGACAGGCTGTAGATCCTTGCCTCTCCGTCATTTCGTCGTGCCCACTTCATTTGCAGCTGAAACAGAACTGAAAATACCGCGTGGATCGCCCCTTGAGCCTCAAAACATCTGTGATACTGGGATTCAACACACGGTCGTCGCCACAAGTAACCTCGTCATTGACGAAGCTCCCGTTGCCTTGCCTGAAGCTGTCACAGTTGAACATTTTCTGAAGAGATCAGCTATTCAGAAATCGACACCGGCTCGACAATATGGAAAGAAAAGATATCGTGTACAGTCATCCACCGGCCAATGAGACACCACCGGCTAATGATACACCTCGGAACACCATGAAGGATTCAACTGTTTGCTTTGAAAAAATAACCCCATTCTCTATAAGTCTTTAATACATTGTGTATAAAATTTTGTGGGTTCTGGTGAAGTCAATGCCCGGTAATAAAATCACCAAAATATTCATTTTGGTTGATTTTGTCACACCAGTCACTGGTACAGCATCTCTGGCTGTTTCTGCTCACGTTTGGTTGATTTTATGGCATACAACTGGTATAAATTTATTTTAATGGCTCTATTACACTGATTCCAAGTGGTTTTATGAGAATCCATGGGCTGGTTGAGTTCTGGGATCAAATTTAAATTTCAGTGTATCAAATGATGGTGGATGACTGTAAGAGTATTTAACGACGATACCACTCAGGAGTCCTTGGCCTTTCGCGGTGATGAAGTCAACTGTATTCAATTTCGCTCGAAAACCGTGCCCAGTTTATGTAAACCTGTCGTTCCTGCCGAATGCGAGCCGACTTCTCCAGGTACTTATGCCATGGGCTGTGAACGTTGAACGTTGAACCGCGGCCCGCTCCCACGGGTCGACTCTTCGGGCGCCTCATCAAAGGATAAGATAATGTAGTGATAAGGCATCAATGCATCACCCTTCGTAAGGTGCTCATCGCCAAGAGCTTCTTTTTTAACCTGCTCCTCGCTTTTCTTGTTGCTCCCTCCCACCTACTCCCTGGTGTTTGGTACAGCCACTTGGCATCCGGCTCGGACAGCCTCTGGTTTTCCAAGCGCTCAGGGCAGCTGGCGGCTGGTTTGTCCCTCCAGCGCAGCGCGCCGCAACGCCAACTCACATTGCGTCGCGTCGCGCTCAAAGGGGTTTCTCGAGGATCACGTGATTCAAATCTGAATCGCTATTCGTACCCCACATTCAAAAAGAAATCAAACTCTTCCTCCAATACTCCAACGAAATAATCTTATTCGCCATCGGTTCATAACTTTGTGGGGTGATGTACTCGCTGGTTCGGGTGTCATGCTTCACTCCATGGACAACTTTCCTTTACCCGCATGGGATTTAGGTTTGAGCTCAGAAACGTCTCGATCGCACCTAGCACAACACCTTCCAGACCTCTGAAGAAGTCAATGCGAGGAAAAGTCCAGAATGACGACGCTACAGTATCCGACTTCACCTCTCTGCCGTTCGTACCGTTCCTCGAAGCTGAATCTTAGTATAAGGCCATGTTTCACTCCGAAACGTGAGTTTATTTCCGATTGACGGGCATTAAGGATACGAGATAACATCTCTTACGCTTGAAGCAGGAACCGAGAACACCATGAGCATGCAATGAAAAGCGGGCCTGCTTTGCAGATTGTTCCAGCTAATGCAAGCGTAGCCTAAACTAAAGAGTGAGTGGTAACTTGTTGCGCAGATCCCTTCTTCCACGGAGACGCCATGACTGTTCTTTTTGACACAATAGACTTGAACTCCAACCCATGCAGCCTCCACGACATCTTACGACATCTTTGCAAATGGTACCGATTGAAGAGGCCTATCAAGCAGCAATAGAAATATCAGCACCTCAGCAGTCTGCTGATACTCGTCCAGAAACATCTGCCAGGGCCTACTTGTCCCGCGAAGAACAGGCTCTCGTAATTCTGCCTTGCACTCCGTCTTCTCAGTCAGCTCCTTTGGTGTCGTCTCTGTCTTCTGCTGCTCCTTTGCCTGCTCTTGAACCCGCCGGGTCCCTTGATTTATCCAAATATGTTGCCGCCTCCGAAAAGCTTCCCTCACAGAACCTTTCCAGCATGGAAATTGTGGCCCGACGCAGGGAAAGCTCTGACAGGAGCACAGCTAAAGTCTCACTGAAGCCGCTTGGTTCTCTTGTGAACAGCTTTCTCGAAAGTGTTCAGAGTGTCAGGGAGCGGCCTAGCACGACTTCAACTGAAACGGAAGCAGGCATTGGAAGCATCCGCACCAATCCATCTCTTCGAGGACGTAGCTCAGGTCATCACCCATCCTGCTTCATTACGCATACATGCTGTCGCTGAGATGTGCTCCCGGAATTTAGGTAATCCTTCCAGCTGTTCAGTTCCTAATCCCATGGCTCTGGTTGGAGCGACGCACCCCTTTGAACCGATCCAATCCCGCTGGCCATTCTCCCACTCCGTCAAGCAATAAGACGCGCCAACACATGCGCACAACGTTCGTCTTCCAAGCCCAGACACTCTCGCTGCACTCGAATCGCAAGATCATCAGGTGGTCCTCACCGCCGAGCCGTTAGCACCGCCGGATCGCTTATCCTTTACCTCATGAGAGCCTTCTGCCTGCCTCGACCTTCGGATTTTATTGGATTGTTACGTTTGTCGCGAGGTCGGAACGTACCGCTTATCAGGACTGCCACACTCGGATTCTGTATGTCCAACACGCAGAGATACAAAGCAATATGATTATATGTTACAATAAATTACTGAAGAAATCGCATCCGAAACAGGCGATCACGGAGGAATAATTTATGAGGGCACCTGTGGTCAGGAGTCGCCAGATCGCGAACGACCATCCACCCTGTAACAACGCATGTTGGGGTATCTCAGCGTAAGCCCCCTGCTGGTCATTTGGGCATGGATTTCCTCAAACTGACGACAGTATCAAGTGATGAAAGGCTACAGTCGGAGAATGACACTCACCCTGGTTCCTTCTGGCAAGGGCAGTGTTCGGTTATATATCGTCCGAAGATATTCGCGGGAGGGCACCCCATCGTCGTCTTCCGTGTCGATGAGTTCTTTGACGTGCCAGGTTAAAACGAGTTTGTTGCGTTGAAAGCTGATGTGAATGTTCTGCTTGTCGACAGAGTTTGGGATGTCAAATGTGGCGACTATGGCGCGACCATCCGTCGACTCGCGAAAGTTCGATCTGTAAGGTATTTCATCAGTAATAGGCGAGGGACGCGAGAGGGTGGGATATTACATTGACTTCTGCTTCTTGATGGATTTGGGGGCCGAAGTAGGAGGTGACTCCATGGCAGGAATTTGCATAGGCGCGGGCTCCGCAGCGAAAGTGTTTGGATGGAGTGACCGCACCTTGGGCGCCTCTTTCGCCATCTTCTGTTCTTTCTTCTGCCGAATGCTGCCCCAGACTAGATCAAGGGATTGAGCATCAGCTGGGGGTTCAACATCCTCGATCGTAGACCCGCCGATATTTGGGTGTGTGTAGAACCCTCGGCCTAAAGCTCGCGCTGGGTGGTACGAGGTGTCATAGTCTGTGGAAATATCATCGGTGGAAGGGTAATCGATTCCGGTGACCGCAGGAGTGACCGGAGACAAGACGACCTGGACATTCCTTTCGTCCTGACGATTTATGGGGTATGAGGGCATGAGACTCCACGGGAGTGGGGGGAAAGAGACGAGGATAAGGGTTGTGAGGGAGCTCGAGTAAGCGGGATGTTGGCGATGAGAGCGGTCAATCTGTCAATTTAAGCAGAGCTTTAAACGAGTTAGGGTCCGTATCAGCATCGCATGTCGTGCTTCACTCACGAGGTAGGTGGCGAGGAGAAAAGTCGCGAAACCGCGTCACCGAACGGAGATACCGGGAAGACAGTGCGTTGAAGCCCTTGTTTTGGCCTTCTTCCGCGAAAGTGAGGGCCCGTAGAGCTTACAGGAAGGATCTCGAAATAAAGAAAGTCTGCCGCATCGCGATAATCTATAAATCAGAATATAGAGAGATGTCGAGAATAGAAGGAAAGGCATTGCAGATCGTAGCCGACTGCCTCACCGTTTGCATGAGGCTGATCACTGCTTACCCCGTTCGGTAATATCGGTTATTTCCGAGGTCCCAGTCGGGCGTTCACAGGAGAAGTTTTCGTTTCATCCACGCCATCCACGTTTTTCTCTCCTCCAGTGGGCTCGGAACCCATGCACTGTCATATCTGTAATTGAATCATGAGTGTTGTGCCGCCGTTGAATCGCATGTTCAGACTCCAGTGCACCTTTCAAGTTCGTGGAGCCGCGACGCGGAGACATCCTCGACTCCAATTAGCCACCGATATGTTGTCTCAGCATCTGCGTTGTTTTCTCGTCTGAAGATTCGATGAACCACGTGTAGTCGCCCTTTGAACTTGCTATCTTCGTGCAATCACCCAGACCACAAGATCAATCACTTCAGCTTCTACTTTTGTGCAGGAAGGTTCCTAATTCAGTCCTGGTTACAACGATTCTTGGCCTCGTATTTGTCAAACCTTAGGCTGGCTTTCAGTTTATGGATGCCATTTCCGACTCTTTATTATGTACTCACCGGCAACTATTCGGATAGCAGTCTCTTACAACAATGATTAGCTTCACTGCGTCGGTGTCGTGATTGTGTCATGTAGAAAAAGTAAATATTGGTGTTGTCAAATACGCACCTCATTCCCTGCTGCCACTCGGCCGAAGAGTTAGAATTTGAGGTGACCATCAATTCATATTTGCAAGGAATATACAGTTGCTGCAACGTAATGGGGATGGGACGAAACAGGACGCCACAGAGAATGCAGACTTCGACATAGGGTCATAATGGGGGTTTGAATTTCTTGTTAGAATACCCAGTAGTAGTGCGGCCCATTCCTAATCGCCGTTTCACGCCCACTGTCTGAGGTGCAGATAGAGAGTTAGTCTGGGGAGAATTCGAAGGTTGTATCCGCGGAAGGCTTTGCAGACTTGGAAGGTCGGAGACGGGACAAGGGCGAGTGTAATGTGATGCCCTCGGCGGTGATGAGGCCATGGTAGACGAAATCACTGAAACGGACGGCGTTTCGTAAGATGGTGTGGGTGGGATGGTTCTCTGTATTTTTGGCGGCTTTGAGGCAACACGAGCAGACGGTCTGGAACTGCATTCGCCAGGCAGACGATTTTGGTCGTAATGAGGATGTAGGAACGGTCCAGTAGATTGCATTTTGGCGGAGGCTTGTTGAGAGTTGCCTGCGGTCAGTTCAACCTTCCGCTTCACGACATTTGAAGCGACCGAACCCGATGCAAGAGGAGCCGAACTTGTAAGAGAAGGGTGTAAATGGAACGTGCGGTTCTGCGGATGAGCTGGGGCAGAGACGACAGTAGCATTAGTCGAAAAGGAAGGTTGGGAACGGGGCATACTCCAATGAGCAAGGGTTTGACATGGGGGTTGGAAAATGTCCCGAGGCCCTGGCCTCGAGGATTCAGGATTATGTCCTTGTGGATGGGCACTTCTATCGGCATCGAAGGCAGTGAAGACGTCTATATGCTGCAACAGACCCATTGAGGCTGGATGCAGGGCAGCTGCTGTTGCAAATGAATTATTCAGAGAGGCTGAAGGTTTGGCGTATCGCTTGGATTTGCTGAATGGTACTTTTTTGTTGTAATCTTTCATGAATGTAGCAGAAATAGTAGCAAGGGCGTCTGGAGCAGCATATATGGCGCTTGCGTTTACTGCAACGCGAAATTAGCGGAGACCGGGAAAATGAAGCAAGTATTGTTGACCTGGGTTAAGAGGTACGTTCATAATGGATCTTTTTGTGCCAGCTAGGGAGACGGTGGACACAAATCCGTTAGACGTTTGGAAGAACGGTCGGACACGGTCGCCTTCGTAGTCGCTAAAAATATCTGTAAACGAACGAACCCAAACGCTCTAACGAGGCATTACACGAGAGACTTACAGCTCCGCCAATCGACGTTTGATTTCAGCTTCCTCTGGAAGTGGCCTTTCCAGAACTTTGGAAATCACTGCCCGGCTCTCAGGAGCAAAAAGCGGCACGTCGTGGGTGAACAACGTCTGCAAGGTATTATCGTCAAAGCTGAACTATGAAGAAAGTTGAGAAGCCTACGTCGTCCTTTTGCTTCACATCATCAACGAATTCGGAGAGACCTTTGTTCTTTGTCTTGCCAGCAACTTGCCTCTTGTCGGAATAAAGAAGATAAAGGAGGGTCTGAGCTCGAGTACATGCCACATATAAAAGACGTCTGCCATGGGGTCAATTTCAGCCGATCACTGTGTTCGACACTCTTACCGTTCTTCGTCAATGTCTTCTGTTCGGTAGAAAGGAAAGGTGTCGTTGTCAACTGCCGGAAAGAGATCAACATGCTAAGCATTTATTCTCCATTTCCACCACAAACCTGACGGAATTATAACCACTGGCCATTCTAAACCTTTCGCTGAATGGCACGTCGATAGTGTGACTTTCTGAGAGGCCTTCAGTCTCTGGCACCTCGTGAGTTTGGTATAGAGGCGACGTACATCTTTACTTTCGTCTTCAGTCTCATTGTCTCCCTCTGTGGAAAGCATAGATGACTGCAAGAATTGCCGAAGAATTGTCCTAAACAAGATCTTTGTTCGAAGTTCTGCACAGTCTGTTAGAAGAGTGTCTCACTGTTCTTCGGCTGGGCCGATTGGATTTCCGTCGGCATCAATAACTGAGAAATCGTGCTTTGGTCCTTCAGTTTCCACCTCGCTGGCGAATGTGATGAGTTCCTTCACGTTCTCCCATCTGCTCTCCCAATCTTGCTGCGACTTTTTCAAGTAGTCTTCATAATTGATCAAGTCAAGCAATTTTCTAATCATTTCCGAAGGGAGAGTGTTCTGAATTTAAATTGAGCGAAGAGTGAGACGGCCGCTATTAAGATGTTAGCATATGTCATATGTGCAAACGTACCTCTTCGTCTAGGGCTCGTAGGGCGCGAATTGCCTTGACAAACGAAACCAGTTTTCGTTTAATCGGGGGTTTAATATCTGGAACTTTGCCATCGTGGATCCTTTCGACGAGTTCCAATTGCGAAATCTTCAGCTTCGAAGCTTGGGCTGCGATTTCTTCGATTGACTATAGGAAGTATGTCAGTGTCAGAGATGATGCAAAGACACAGGAACTTTACCCTGTCGCCTATTCCTCGTGGGGGTATTTTAACAACTCGAAGAAACGCGGGATTGAAGCTTGGATTATCGATAAGCTGGAGGTAGGCGAGGAGATCTTTGATCTAAAAGAAGTTAGTTAGCGTGGAAGCCGTGGTGATTCAACAAACCTCCATTCGTTCAAAGAACTTATGGCCACCGAGAATTCTGCAAGGTATGCCTTCCTTTTGCAGAGCGCTCTCGATAGGGCGTGAAAGAGCGTTGAAGCGCACTAAACCGGGCAGAAAATGGTTTAGTTTCCCGTTCCCGTTGAAATGCATTCGAAACAAACTCACTGAGAATTACGAAGTCACCCCACTTCAACACGCCTCCCATATTGGCGACACATCGCTTGATTTCGGCGGCAATGAAACCTGCCTCTTCCTTCTCGTCCCCGAAAGAGCATAGAAATGGAGTTGTTCCGAGTGGATGTGTCGTGTGGAGAGATTTGGCGATGCGATTTGTGTCTCCATCACCATGTCAGAGTTCCAATGCATCCACGTCAAAGGGAATAATATAATACCTTCGGAAACGATGGCGAGGCACGAACGAAGAATGGCAGCAGTAGAACGATAGTTCTGCTCCAGGAATATTTGCTGTGTGCCGGGAAAGTCTATTGATCGTATGAATTTAGAAGTATTGGTGAGTGACACCAGCCCACCTTCTCTCATCTGACCCAAATTTCCAACCTCAGCTGAGCGCCACCCGTAGACTGTGTGCACGTTGCTACGTTAGTTACGACAACAAATCGGCAACTCAAAAAGAACCCACTCGATTGATCAGGGTCTCCAACAACTGTAAGGCAATGTCTGATTCCAATAGCTTTCATGAGTTCATATTGCATGGTATTTGTGTCCTGGCTTAATGGCAAACGTCAACCAAGAGAGGATAAAGAAAAAGAAAAACCCATACAATTCATCAACCAGAATGTGCTTGCACCACAAAACAGATTCTTGGTGTTGGGTACATAAGCGCACGCCGTAGATGAGTAGATCATCGAAATCAAGTGCATTATTGTCTTGAAGGATCTTTTCATAGCCCACATAGACTTCCGCCAATATCCGATCAATACTCTTCACGTCCTCTTCTCGTCTCACAGGGTACTCCCGTCTTCGCTTCAAGTCCTTCTCTTCCGCTTCCTTTAGAACCACTGCAGCAGTTTTGCCTTTGGCTTTGGCCTTTGAAATGCCTACGGCAGCGGATCCCTCCGTTAAAAGTATATTATGCTTAACCATATAGTCCTTGTAGGGCTTCATCAAGGATATTATCAGTTTCTTGCTGGAACAGTCTATTAGAAGCTATTTGGCAAGGGTCCGATATGACACTTGCCTCTCCTCAGCATCACATATTGTGAAGTTGTCTATGAGGCCAACCGCAGACGAGTACATGCGGAGAAACCTTGCGCAGATTGAGTGGAACGTTCCCAGTTTCAACATCGTCGTCTTCTCATTGCCGATTAACTTACATAACCGCGAACGCATCTCGTTCGCGGCTTTGTTAGTGAATGTAACAGCGCACAGGGCAGCCGGAGGTACGCCGTGGACAAGGATTAGATAGGCAATTCTAGATGTCAGGACCTGCATAGGTTATAGTAAGCGGTAATACCAAGGAACCCATAAACAGGAGTTGTTACCTTCGTTTTCCCGCTCCCAGGACCTGCCAGGATCTGCAAAGGGATTGAAGCCTCATGCTGGACAGCTAGTTTGTTTCGCGTCAGAGCCAGGAGAACATGAGAATGAAGTGGCACACCCTTTAGCTGGGCAGGATTGAGGTACTTTAATAAGAATCCAGGTGCAATGGGTTCCTCAGTTATTGAACTCGATGTCGTAGTCGCGCTTGAGGGTTTCCGAGCCATTCGTGTAGGTGGTTACAGCAGTAGGATGAGGATCATTTGCTCTTGTTGGAGTAGTTTCGAGAGTAGAGTGCCGTCGATACGGTGAGTCAGGACTCAGGAGCTCCAACTTGGCAATGGCAGACAAGTTTGCCAGTGGCTCGAGATCGTGACGCGTGGGCGCGACCATGGCACGTGATGTTACATTTGGTGTTCGAGATGTCACGGCAGTCACCATGAACCAATCGCTGACTTATGCACGACACACCGCGGGGCAGCGCAGCGATTTCAGTTTTCAACGCGAAACTCTGTCATCTTTGGCGATTATTCACCCCAGGTCCTTCAACCTCGTCCTTTCTTGGGACACAAATTGTGGCACAAGATGCAACGTGTTGAGTGGCTATCCGTTCGCGATCGGGCAATATCACGGAACGGTTCGTTACCAGGAAGAACTATCGGAAAGTTTGGCAACTGGAAGACCGCCTTTTATGGCTGGCGATTCGCTTTCGGGTCCTGTAAGTCGCCATATGTTTTCATGCTCGAATTGAGGCTGAGTTGGGTCTGCACGCCGTAGGGCTCAATATATTTCTAGTTCTGATACCCGTCTCGGTGCCGTGATTCTATCAGCGCTCATGTGCGGCTGTTTAATTCGTACTCCAGTGGGCAACGACTTTCACCATGCGAGAATCTCATGGTCTGACCTTTGCGTGTAAGTGTCAGTCGTCATCTCGAAAGCAGTGCAGTAATATTGTTCGGCTCAGTGTGCATTCTGGTATTGATGCCGTTAGTAAGGGTAAGTTAGCTGCTCTGTTTGGCTAGATGCAACGTATCTATACTGACTTTGAGAACAGCTCCACGACATATCAACTCGAGAGCTCGCCAACAGAATCGGAGGATCGAAGACGGGCCTCTTGAATGGCAGCATGGTGATTCATATATATGTCTACCCTTTTGGGCGATGCGGAGCTCAAATGGATTTTTCTATTTGTTCAGAGTAATTTGTGAGTCGTCATCAAGAGCCAAGCTCTTGGATTGCTGAACCTCCGTACCGTATATCTAGCGTGGAAATCGTGGTTGCGGTCAGTCTAGTGCCTTTAAGATCATTACAGGTGTAATTTGATCACTTGTTACTCAGGTCAGTGCCCTACGCAAGTGTGAACTGCGAGTGGTGCAGTCGATGCGTAAGCGGCTTCCTTTCCTCTGAATGAATAGTCATCCAACCGTTGAATTTGAAGTTATCGGGTCGATGTTGAGCAAAATATGTAAGTACTATGCTATACCGGGGCGTGCACATCTGACATTTTGCCTCTGATATCAGTGCTTGTTCTTGGACTTTGCTTCTTTGCAGGCGGGATGAACTTCTCTGAGCAGGAATTTGACCCCAGTAAGCTATAAATGCTATAGAGCACCCTCGTATCCGCTTGACCGCAGTAGCTGCTACACAGATACACTCGTCGCTCCTGAGTCTCAGTGTTGGAGCGGTCGTCCTTCCGGCCGCATACCACTTTACTCTGAGCAACCAAAACGACGCTACCTTTGATGCCCAGAAGCAGAACATCCTCCACATGAGCCACGGGGTAAGCCTGGTTTCTTGAGTTATTTTTAGTTGTTGACAACGATCCAGGTTTCCATCGTCCTACTATTCAGTGAGTCTTCACGGCTTCCAAGATACGAGTCATATCAAACGCGGTTCTGTCAGTTTATCTTGCGTATTTACTGTTCCAACTATGGTCGCATACATATTTGTACAAGGATCAACACAACAAGAAGAGCCACCGGCTGTCCGCTATTATCAAGGAGAAGCGTATCCGTCGCAAGGCCAAGAATCGGGCAATCCCTCTCACCCAGACGGGAGGAAAGGTAACTGCTGACCATGCGGGCCATGATAACCACGTTCTTGATCCTCCAAACCCGCCCTATATCCTTCCGCCGTTGTCTTCTACATCAACTGCCACTCTAGGGTCCGAACCTTCATCCGACAAGCTCGATTTTCCATCTGGTCCATCGACAGTTCGACTTGTTAGCGACGGAGGAGTGCCAATGAATCGAGAATCAACCTTTTCCTCGACATCAACCAGTATTCCTTTCGGACTACATGGGACGGACGCAGAGAGCACTCGTCACGATGTCGTGGTCAACGCCAAAAAGGAGCCTAAAATGAGCTGGTTTTTGACTTTAACGCTGCTTATACTCGTAACTGGAGTGAGTCCTTGCGTACGGTGGATGAGACATTTGCTGACCAGAGAGGTCCGCGCTCGTCAGACTGTTGCAGTAACTGTTGACTGGCTGGTGGAGGCCATGGACGGAATATCAACGACCATAAGCAAAGAATGGGTTGGATTGATTTTGCTTCCGGCTGTCAGCTCTGTCGCGGGTGTGTATCTTTTCTTAATGAGAATCCAAAGCCTGATGGTAGATCCATAGAATGCATCACGGCGGTCCGAGTCTCTGTCAAAGACGAATTGTCTCTTAGCGTTAGTGTTGCGGTTGGATCCACGATTGTGAGTATATATCTTCGTCTCTGCACCCCGTTGCTCATTCTCTCAATCGAGCAGCAAACGGCCTTGTTTGTCATCCCGTCGGTCTTCAAGAATCGGTGTAATCGTCACTCGCTTATCATAGCTCATTTTTAGCTTTACTGTCGTTCTTGGCTGGATTACCGAGAAGCCTTTGTCGCTATTAATGGATCCCTTCCAATCCATGGCAAGATTTGCTAACTTCTACGAGGACCTCCTGCCTAATGTACCTCCTGCTTTAGGTCCTTTACATTGCCGGTACTCTATTACATGCTTGTCATTGTTGATGACAATTCATGTCTCTCGCTAGTGCACACTATGAACTACGTCGTTGCGGATGGCAAGTCGAACTGGCTGGAAGGCGTTATTTTGATATGCAAGTGCCTACTAGCAATGAGGATGGCTTCCGAAGCTAATACTTCTGCAGGCCTCTACATTATTATTGCAGTATCATTTTGGTTTTATCCAGGTGAGACTGAAACACTTCATGTACGATCCCTGACTAAATAACCTCATTTCTTCTGACAGGCTCGAACATCTCCAACTCCTTGGCCGTCTGCACGCCTTCGCTATAGTCGACCTTTTACCTTTGTCTCGAGGAACCAATGGACCAGCTACCTACGAAACACCTAACAGAAAACCAACATTAAAGCTACAGTATACCACATTCATTTATCAGCCCCCGACAACATAGAGGAAACATAACTATTTACTTTAATAACTCCCATACGATGCAATGACTCCAACACGGCTTCCACAGGCCTGTGCATCCTCTTGTCACCCCTCTCTGTATCTAGCAAATCCAATTGCAAGGTACAAATTACAGAAAATCATTCACAAGTGGGTATCCCATTCGTTTATGCACGCCCAACACTACATGCGCCAACTATTACTGATTTAGATGTAGATTATTCAAAGAGCTTGTCCGTAGCGAACTGACCAGTCCGAGCGGTCATCCTTTACAAGTTCAATCTTTGCTTCGACCCCGCTTTCATCTACCCCATGGCCACCACTCGAAATACGACGAAGAGTCCGCGCTCCATCACTCAGACCACCCGAATCACTATGGGAGATCGACTCATGTTGAGTTGTCGGCACTTTGAACGTGAAGTTGTCGCCAGTTAGATCCGTCCCACCGACGAAAGTCCCCCTGGTCTTCCTCGTGCCGATTTTCGTAAGTCGATACACCCGACATGCCATGATGTTTACGACGGCGACGTTGGGACCCATGAGGATCAACCTCAGCGAAGAGCTAGTTGCATGGGCACCAAAGTACACCGCCAGGGCTGCGATATCCAGCACGACTGCGTATCTAAGAAATTATGAGCAGCCAATGAGCAATTAGTGGAGTCGAGGAAATTTCACGGGCTTACAGATAGGACAATTGGCTCCGCTGGAAGAAAATCTTTGAGAAGTGACATTCTGTCCCAGGAATAAGGGCTTGCATGAGGAACTTATACAGGATCGCCAGGAATACGAGGGTATCATAGGAGAGGCCCGCCCAAATAGAGGCTTGTATTCGTGCGTCTTGGATAACCTTCATGCATAATCTGGTCTGACCAATGCTTATGCTTGTGGATGAGACCCAGGTGAGGCTATAGCAGGCGACGGCGACCATCCACAAGCCAGCGAATAGCGCAATAATGACCCTACACCCATGATATACCTGGGAAATCCGGAAGTAGAACAGGAGCGCTGTAAACGATTTTGCCGCTATGAAGAATCCGCTCAAGACTCGGTTTGCGAGCCGGCAGTTCGCAAATCTTGTCGCTGTAGCAAGCACAATCCGTCAGGATTCTGGATTAACGTGTCGCCGAGCGGATAAAGCTTACTGTGTTGAATCGTCTCCCCTGTGAGATAACCCAAGGCTGCCATCCTGCCAGGCACGATCCGCGAAGTGAGACCGACCGCTAGTTACCACTTTCCCCATAAAACCAAACTTGCCTTGAAAGGAAGTACGCGATAGTCGACCACCCTCGCAATTTAGGTTTGAACGCCAAGCGGTACTCGAGCGTCAGGCTGTGTAGGATATCCCATATAAGGATCTAAATAAATAAAAAAAGGTCAAAAAAAACATCAGCATAGGAAGGGACATCTCTCGCCAAGTCAAATTTAGGGAAGACTCACACCTAACGAGCACACGATAACGTACACCGAAACTGTAAATTCGAGAGCCTCATCTGGCTGAAGAAAGGCCATTGGTGTGAGTGGGTTGGGCAATTGCACGGATGTTCGGGCGGCCATGGCCAATGGCATTGGCATCCGAGTCGTCAAATTCCGGGCACTTGAGGAGCGTGCTTGGGCAATCTTCAAGCTTGCTTCAAATGATGGGTGCTCCTCAAGCAGAATCAAGCAGAAGGGAAGGCCCACCATCTCACCTCCCCTGTACTTAAAGCTCTTCCAACCCTAGCCCCCAAACCCAGAAACACGTCGACCAACATGATGCATCAGCGACACGAAGCGTCTCAGGCATCAAATATGCATCAAAGCCCGCGTCTGAATCGACGCCACATCGTAGAACAGAATGGAAGAACCGAGACCCAAGGTTGTTTTCTCGTTTGACAGATAGATTGGATTTTGCGACCACTGGGAAGAAGTGATGCTGACATGATATACGCGTTCCGACATGCCCGAGCTCTTTTTGGAGATAGAAATCTACATATTTCTTGATGATTGAAGTACGCATGCATGGAGTATGTATATGCAAGATGTATCACTCAACTACGTAAAGTACAAAGTTGTTTCGCCTCCTGGCTAAATGATGAACTCAGAAATCCGAACCTCGAGGAGGTACGGATATTGTCAACAGTGCAAGGTGTAATGCGAGTGTACCTACAGGGACACCTACAGTCAAACGACCGCAATCATAGGTGGTACGAGGCACTATCTCCCCTCGCATCGTCAGGGAACATCATCCTCGAAGCACGATCACGAACGCCGAAAAGATCAAAGCAAGAAAAGCTCATGCCCGAAAATACCAGACGCAGGGTATTGGAATATCCAACATATATCCACCCTCAACATATATCCACCATGATCCATATTCCAACAGACTCCATCCATCGCCATTCACTGCGATTCTCTGACATCCTACTGCACCTGCACCTCACCAATATCAAGCCAAGAACTCGACGGACGCTGACAAAGTCCACAAAGTCCAATGACATCTTGAAGGCTCACGACGCCTACCCGGCTCCTCGTACCTCCTCTTCGACGTCACAGATTTCCTGCACCCCTTCTCTGAAGAACACAACGTTATACTCCAGCAATCCTCGCCTCTCTTGAAACACGGCGGTGGGTATCAGTGCCACCAGTGCCAAGTGTTTCGTGATCAGGTGGTACGTCAGCGTCGTGTTTACGGCAGATGCTCCTGAGGACGCCGCGAGGGATGTTGATGCAGAGGGGTAGAACAGATCCTTATTGCCCGTTCGCGTTCGCGTGTATCCCGGAGTCGGCGGTTTAGGTGTTGAAGTCCCTGTGTGCTGAGATATTGAAATGTGGTCGGCGGTAGAGGGTCGTGACGATTGTGTCGAAGAAGGTTGAGCGGGGCTGGAATGAGATCTGCCGTTGGAGTTGGTAGGTGTTGAAGGTGTCGGAGGTGTCGGTGATAAAAGGCCATTGCGTCGTGAAGTTCCGTTGGTTGCGATATTGTTCAAAGCTGGCGAAGAAGAATGTGAAGAGGAAATAGATGCATGAGGACGTGATGACGGGCTGGTGGGTGATGGGCCGAAGACTGCGGTCGGTGGAGGTATGTTAGGAGTAGATGTGCCCGATAGTCGTTGGCGGCTCGGACTCGCCGTTATCGACCTACGCCATCGAAAAGGGTATGGAATTAGGCGAAGAAGGTCGACTCGGATAAGAGATAACGCACTTGTATAGGGGACCAAACGAGTTCAGCATCTGCAGGTAGTCACAGCACAAGTTGTGCGTCGCAGAATCCACCGGAGACGCGTCAGTTGCAATATACAATCGTGAACGTGTGTCGAAGAGGAAAGCCTTCGGAGATTGCGAATTCTGCGGAAAAAATGACGTCGGATTAAACGCCGGAACACAGGGATTTTCGTTGATTGGGACATACCGCGCAAAAGACGTTGAGCAGTTCCTCGAGGTATGGTAATGACTCGATAAGTTTGTGCAGCACTCGCGAAAAGGCCTCGTGAAGCGAGTGATCGTAGACGGAAGTCAGGTGGAAGTTGAGCTGCATCTGCTCGTACTCCGGCGACATATCCAGCAGACGGTCAGACACACGTTCATGGATCTGCCGGAAGTTCTCTGTTTTGTGGCGCGTCAGAATTATGTGGCACGGAGCATTCGACGGAACATACCGATCTTGTCATCCTCCTGAAGTTTTTCAGCCTTGTGAACGAAAACTTCTAGGCTGATATCCGGATTATCTGAGTATGACGCGACTATGAATTCCACAAGTTTTGATATGGGTTGGTTATATAGATCCTGCCGAAAGTTAGTAGAGCCATTAACGGAACCTATCGGAGACATACTCGGATGTCAATGACGAAGATGATTGTTGAAAATTGCGAAAGAGGAGCACCGAGAGACTCGACGGTTGTGTTTGCCGGGCAGTCCCAGATCTCTAGAGGAATGACAGTGCTGCCACAAGAGAACGATAAGGAGTGTAGTTAACGGGGTGAACGCGATGTTTAACGGACTCTACGTGGTGCTTGACGATGCGCATGGTCGTTTCGAGGTAGAACGTCTGCTTTGGCGGGAGATTGTTGAAGAGGACCTGTTGGATGGAGGTTTTCCCGGCTCTGCAGCATGGTCAGAAGTGACAAAGAGCGGAACGATCGCGCGCACCTGCGGAGGCCGAGAAGCAGGATCTTTGTGCGTGCAACGGAGTCTGAGCTTGAGCGGTGCACATTGAGCTTCGGTCGCTGGTTGAGGGGGCTCGAGGACTGGGTGGAGGAGTAGTTTGCGGCCATGGCCACAGGAGGACCGCTGCGGTAAGAAATTAAGCTTGAAGCCAAGTAATTTTGATGACATGACTAGGACGGCCACGTGATGTGCGGATGTTCGAATCCTGCCTGGTGCCATCTCGACAGGTTCATGCTCCAGTTGCCGCGGCATCTCTTCCTCTCCGCCGACGCACGTTCGTCGCCTCCACCCACGGTTCTCACTTCCTCCCAACATATCAGACGGCCTGCACTGTCCTCCGGACGTGTATGTTTTCGCCTCCCGACATCATCGTACTCCAGTCCACGAAATCTGAGCAATGAAGTTTGGAACCAAGATAAGCGTGAGTCTCGCTATTTCCGGTAGCGGTCGTGCTCTTCTCACTCTTCACACCACGACAGACCGACCTCTACAACGAATGGCGGCCATTCTACCTCGATTACAACTTGCTCAAGCGCGAACTGAAGGCGAGTATGCTGGGCTCTCTCCCATAGTTGCTTTTCTTGCGCTGTTATGACGCCTATGACGCCATCATGCTGACCGTCCCCGTATATCCAGTATCGGACCACCTCATTTACAGGCTGGACTGAGAAGGACGAGGAAGCGTTTACGCGTATGCTCGAGAATGAGCTCGATAAGATACATGACTTCCAGAAAGCGAAGGTCCGTTCCTATTCCTATCCGTCCTCTCCTACGTCCTGAACACTTCCCAGACATCCGAGCTGGCTCGCCGCATCCGCGACGCGGAAAAGGATGTCCAGCGCCTTGTCGTTGAAGAGCTGGAGGATGATCACCGCCATTCGACGCGTAGCAAGGCTGCCTCGTCTGCTTCTTCGACCAATGGTGATGTAGAAGGCCAGCAACATACCCACGACCCCTATGCTCACGACGGCGGTTCCGATGATGACCTCGACGAAGATGAAAACTCCGACGAGTCTTATGATGCCCTTGAGGAGCGGTTCCATGGCTTAGAGGAAGAAGTCGCCGTTCTCGTGGCAGACGTTCACGATCTGGCACTCTATACAAAGCTCAACATCACCGGGTTCATGAAGATCCTCAAGGTACCGTGTTGCTTCTCTTTTCATATAACACCACGCGTCTTACTCGTGTACTTTTGTAGAAACACGACGTACGTGGATCAAACCTGCTCCATCACACGGAAACCTGACGTTCTTTGCAGAAACAAACGAAACTCCAGCTCAAGACCACGTTCATTCAGGACTACCTGGAGAAACGCCCGTTCTACAAGTACAACTGGGATGCCCTTATTGTCAAGCTCTCGAAACTCTATGACCTTGTCCGAACTCGTGGCCATCCAGTGCAAGGTGACTCAAGCGCAGGTGGCAACCAGAGTGCCTTCGTTCGGCAAACCACAAAGTACTGGGTACACCCCGACAACTTGGTGCCTCTGAAGTTGGCTATCCTTCGGCACCTGCCTGTGCTAGGTCTGTGTCACACCCTCTCATGTTGGAATGCATTTTTGACAATGTATTCAGTATTCAATCCTGACAAGGAGTTTGAGCAGAAGGATGCTGGTAAGCGCTTTGTCGCACATTGACTGACATCTTCGCCTAACAGTTCTTTAGCCATCACTTCCATTTACTTTGACAACGAGGACCTCGAGCTTTACCTTGGACGCCTAGAAAAGACTGAAGGAGCGGAAGCCGTCCGTCTACGATGGTACGGAGATGTCGATAACAAGACGGTTCGTGACTATCATGTCTTCGGACAAGTATGTTCTCTTACGGTCTGCCTGCTCCTATCTCCAGATCTTCGTCGAACGCAAGACGCACCGAGAAGACTGGACAGGAGAAAAATCTGTCAAGGCACGTTTCCCACTCAAGGAGCATCTAGTCAACCCTTTCTTGCACGGCGAGTACACTGTCGACGCTGATTTCCAAGAGCTCGTCAAGAAGGGCAAGAAGACACAGCAAGAAGTGGACAACATGATCCAGCTAGCGAACGAGGTGCAATATGCGATCTTGACGAAGAAGTTGGTTCCAGGTATGTTCAACTCTTTCGTCCTCCTTTGCGATGAGAGACTTAGGAGATGCATAGTTATGCGCTCGTTCTACAACCGCACGGCCTTCCAGCTTCCTGGCGACGCTCGTGTCCGCATCTCACTCGACACAGAGCTGACGATGGTACGAGAGGACAACTGGGATGGCAAGGCTCGTGCTGGTGAGAACTGGAGAAGAACGGACATTGGCATCGATTTTCCATTTGAACAGCTAGTACCTGAAGATAAAGAAATCTTCAAGTACGTGCTAACATCTCAAGGGTTTGTTGGAGGTTTAGCTGAGTGACTTGGCTTGTAGATATGGTGTCCTTGAAGTCAAGCTCCAGACCCAGTTAGGTCAGACACCACCGAAGTGGGTTACGGATCTCGTCCAGTCGCATCTTGTGGAAGCCGTGCCGAAGTTCAGGTAGGCATCTTCATGAAATTGGCAGCTTGGGCTTGGTGTTGACCATTAGTAACAGTAAATTCATTCATGGATGCGCAACTTTGCTTCCCAACCGTGTCGACCTTGTGCCATTCTGGCTGCCTCAAAGTGTGTTGCTTTACTCGTTTCCAATTTATGACCAGAACACTGACCTCTGTTATTTCCTTGTTCAGTGGACGTCGACATCCTCAAGCCCGATACAGGTTACCTAAGCGTCATCGAACGACCTTCAACATCAAGTCAACCTTCGTCTAGCAGAGGTACCAACCCGACGTCGCCCGACAAGACCCCAGGCTCTTCCTCCGGCGGCTCAAATTCTCCCATCGTTACCACTCATTATACTGAACCGCTCTCTGAGGGTGAGGACGACGAGAATGATGCTGACTTTGGCCCTGCCAGGGACGAAGACAAGCGGACTGGGCTGAGTGGTGCTGAGGTCAAGGCGGCTATCGCCTACCGTGAACAGATGCTGAAAGAACGGAGAGAAGAGGAAGAGGAGGATCGGAGGCGGAAGAAGAAAGATGGAAAGAAGAAAGATGCTCAAGATGGAGAGGTTGGGTTGGAAGAGGGCGAAGAGAGTGGGGAAGACGCTGTTGCTAACGGCACAGAAGATGTTGCACCCGCAGATGGAGGCAGCAAACGACCTCGACCGAGGGTTTTCCGCGAACAGTCAACGATATCCAAGAAACTGCGCACGAGAGTTCTTTCAATAGACCCACTTGCACCATCGACAGCCTTCGACGAAAAGCTCAAGACCAAGCTCGAAGGGGCCCAAGCCAAAGAGGACCGGCATCACAAGAAGAACCGCTCAGCCTCTCGGCACTCCCATGCATCAGGCTCGCGGCGGGGCTACGGGCGGCGGAACGACCAGGTCGGCGACGACGAGGCCGCAAGGGAGGAGAACGCCAACGACGACCGGCCTGCGGACGAGGTAGAGGAGGAGGCTGCACTGGGTGGGCCGGCGAAGCGGGATGGGGACGACAGGATCCTGGATAGACGCTGGCGCGCGCCTCAGGGCAAAAAGATTTCGGTACCGGTACGGATCGAGCCCAAGGTATACTTCGCAGCGGAGAGGACGTTCTTAGTGAGTCTTTTTCCGTGGTCATGGTTGATTGCTTGTTTCCTTCGTTTTGGATTTGGTGTTTTCATTTCCTGCCCTTGGCAACTTGGATCGGTTTTTTGGATTCTTCGTTTGATGTTTTAGTTTCGGCCTTTCATTTCCTGCTCTATTGGCCCTGCCTAGTCTATTGTCTCTGCGAACTTGTTCGACGGTCATTTCTCTCCACGGATCGCTTCGTGGAGGAGGTTTCTCGCCGTTCGTGATTTGATGATGATGGATATGCCTGTTATTGACGTGCCGTAGTGTGTCCTTCTCCTTCCATCACTGATCCTTTACCTCTTGGTTTCGCCTCCGATTTTCTCGTGGCTGTCGAATGATTTCGTGGAGATTTCTCGCCGTCCATTCCGAGGCGAACTCGGGAATCCAAGCCTTCGTGCTGTCTCACAAGATTCTATCGCATGTAGTCAGAGCCCATAACTATGGTTCTACCGGCGACTGTTGGCGGTGGTGCTGTGTTTGAACTTATCTCCCGTTATCTGCTATGGCGTTTTTCCCGCCTTGTCGACGTTCTCGTCCTGTCGTGGGGCCACACAGTTTTAATCATGTCCGTCTTCTGTGCCAGCCTTACGCCAGCCTTCTTTTTCTTGTCAATACGTTGGTCAAGTGGCATAATCTCTCCGTGCTTTCGTGCTTCTCTTCACGACAAGCTTCTGCTCTTCGCCTTCTATTTCCTTTTGATAATTACCTCATTCGTGTACTCATCCTCATCTCCTCCACAGAAATGGCTGAACAACGCCGTCTTCATCGGCACTATCGCCACAACTCTTCTCAACTTCATCCCACCCGAAGACACTCGTGGACTCATCAGCGCAGCCTTGTTCACCTTGGCCGCACTTCTCGCAATCGCGTACTCCGCAGGAATCTTCGTCTACCGATCTTACAGACTGCGAGAACGTCATGCTGAGGGCCTTTACTATGACAAGTATGGGCCCTCAGTACTTTGTGGCGTCCTGTTCATAGCGCTTCTTACCAACATCGTCTTGAGATGGCCGCAGATGTGAGCCCACACCTGCGTTACTGGAACGCACGTCAAGTTGTGTGCGCAGCATGTGCGTCTTCTGTTCTTGAATACAACCACAGCCAATGTAAAACGCATGTGACGGAGGATGAGTGGAGATGACTATCTATGTAGCGTCCTATTTTTTGATAATCTCATTTTGGTTAATTTATCAATGTTTTCCTTGCTGTCCTTCCGGTCTCAGTTTACCATGAGGCAGTTAGGTCGCCATCGCTAAAATGAGAACAAGGGCAACCTCTACAGTTCCCTCATCAATGGATCTGTATGTGGCGCGAGAGACTCATGGGGCTTGGGTTTGCTGTCGATAATGGTGGTATATGTCGCTTGTCTGGTTCAGGCCTCCCAAACTGCGAAACCCAGAGAACTGCTGCATAGCTACATTGACCCGTTGATTTCAGATTGAGTGTGGCCTGTTTCCCTGTCGTGCACACATGGGGGATTGGTAACGAAGAACATGGGGCTTGTAGTGTACGCTCGTCAGAGTACGAGCATTTGCAATCTTCCTCTCGTCCTATCCCAACGTTGCATAACGAGTTCTCGGCGAGGTTCTGCCATGTATAGTTTAAACTCTGCCGTAATACATTGGCTGGACACCGTTCTAATCGTCGGATCGTCGTGGTCATGCCACTCTTGTGGGCGATACGAACGGGAGAAGGTGTGCAGCTGCTCGTCAAGCTCTTCATAGTCGATCTCTATTGTCTTTTGATAACTAGCTTTCTGTCATGAGCTAATTCATATCCTGTTGCCTACGGCTGGTTAAACTTTCGAGGTAATCCAGACGCAGCTGTAAGCAATCCATGAACGATCCGGAGTATTCCACGAGATTAATAGGCTACACCGTGTATGTCACCATCACCTCCATCAAAATGGAAGACACAACGAGATGACGTTTCCCCCTGAGCTGCAGTGACGGTATACGTACCGCGAATGACGTGCAGGAGGGGGGAGGCAGCCAGGAAAGGTTGTATTGAACATATGGAATTGATCTGCCCATAACTGACAGGACTGATCCAGAACGACAACGACGGCGAGGGAAGCGCGGTGCGTCTTTTGAAACCCACGAACAATACGGAGGACGGAGGATTCCATGGTTGTCCTCCTGTATGTACGGCCATCAAGCCCATGCTAGGTCGTCGGTGTGGGCCAGATGATCAGAAGACATCCCGAAGCCCCAATACGAGCTATTTGCAGTCCAGAAGGCCTTCTGGCCAAGTTCACAGCAGCGGCGGGATCAGGTGTTGACTCCGTCCTCAACCCTCCATTGGATACCTTTGCATGTGCATCATGCTTCGCGCTCTCTTCCATCGAGGCCCGCGGCGCTTGATGACACTGTAAATTGAAATGACGTGGTGGTGCATATTCGAAACCGTTTCGAAGTACATACACGAGTCCAAGTGCAGCTATACTTGTTTCCCCAGGAAGTCCGGACGGGAATAGTCCCTGCTCGAAGGTCGGATGGAAGATGGTGGTGTAAATGGGTTCAGAAAAAGAATTTGTCCAGGACGCGAGGCCGGCCCATGCTGAGTCGACGGACGTTGTACGGCCCAATTGTCGCTAGCCTGTGTGTACGATTGGTTGACCAGACACGCGTTCCTCCTCTCCCGGCCTCCAAGAGATTACAATTATCCCATCGTGCCCGCATCCGCACTTAATCTTTAGTTCAGCCCCCGTTAACGAAGGGGCTGCATCCGGGAAGTGCGAACCCAGAACACGGATATCGCTTCCCCTGCGTGCCCGTGATACCGTCGGCCTACAGCGTGCCTAAGTATAATTCTGCTGGTATGTCGGACACGATGCCATCCATGGACAGAACGGCGATAAGTCCTGGGCAGCAAGCTTGGGATCTGGACCTGGGGGAAACCCAATTGTCGCAGATGACATAAACGCGTACTAAGAAAAGCGCAAGGCGAGCAAAGGTGACAGATCCCAAGTACGAGAGCAACTTGCAGGCTTGTCGTGAGTCAATTCCTAATACGGCCTCCGGAGAATGGATTTAGGCGACAACGAGATTGAGCTCGTGCATAGATATGGAAGTGTGCAATCCGAGCTCGCGGTTAACCTGAAGCGTGTTGTGGGGATGACTGTCGATGACTGGGGCTGATCTGACGACAGGCAAAAAATATCGTGACTAGATTTTGGAATGGGACACTGGGAGATAAAGGCCGTTCAGCACACGTGCGTAGGCAGAGAGGCAGCACGCACCTTAGTAGAAAGCCGGCAATTGATTTTGAAATTAAGGGCAGACGGAATAATTGAAAGCTCGGGATGGATGATAGGTGATGAAAGGCGGCCTCCCACACGAACGCATGGAGCGTAGACCACGCGCCACACCAAGTCGGAGGTCGGTCTTGAGTTTGCAAGTCGGCGTTATTGGGGAAAACCTCAGTTTACAGTCAGAGGGGACCAATGACTGATCGACCTCAATCGAGTAATGACCCCGACGGTGATCCTCCTAAGTAAATGTTCCTCTTGTGTATAGGCTTCGACAGTGGATAACAAAGTTGCCTCCCGAGTATGTCGAGGTCGCCGTCCCGTTGGTGGAGAGTGCGTATGTAATCAACACCATTTGTGCTTCCTGTCCGGGATCACCGACCCACGTAGAAGTCCTCACCATCGATGATGGAGATTGATTCGAGGACATGGTTTTGTTAGATCTGATGGTTTGTTTGATCGCGGACCTCTCGCAACGCAGGATCACTGCAACGAGGATAATCGACAGCGTATCAGGGGATGAGACAGATGGCTAAATGTGTGAGCCATATGGTCGTTGACCTGTGCTATAGGTTGCTGGAACTGTGAGCGTCCAATTGTGAGCAATGAGGCGTCATTTTGAGTGATCGCGGGGACGCTGCGACTTTGCGGAGAGGTGGACCACGTTTTGGACATTGAGGCGTAGGCGAAGCAACGATCAACGGGGTGATCCTGTCGGAATGCGTTCTTGCCCTGAAGCGTCTTCCATCGCAGAAAACCAACCTCCAAGTGTGAGTAGTGATCTCAAAGAGAAGAATTGCAGGTGAATGCGAAAGGACGGCCTGCTAATTCGGAGGTGATGGATCAACAAGGAACCACCGGGTCTTGATTATCTTCGAATCATGGTGGACTGGTTCGAACTTGGGCCGTGAATTTCGAGCTGTTCCATTTTGCATCTTCGAATAATCCGACTCGGGAGACAAACGCACATATATGGACGACGGAGCTCGCGAAGAGATGTGACTCGCTTTGGGTCAGGCGGCAGATGCAAAATGTTGAAGTTCCACCATTCGAGTGTCTAGATGGACATGTTGCGAAAAATGCAGCATCTGTTTCGTAGACACATTCAGCTACATTCTCCCAAGTTGAATGGAGTAATCGGTGCATTCAACTAACCATAATGCCAAAGTAAGGACCAGAGTGAAGCCACCATTCTACCGTCTTGACGACGCTGTTCACAATCTTGTTATCCTAAAAGTGCACCTAGAGGCCTAGAAGCAGCGCGTATCCATAATTCTGTCGGAGGAAGAAAGGACCGCCGTAGATGACAAAAGGACATGAGAAAGTGATGGTCGGGCACATTGCACGCCGAGGCGCCGTTGTCATCGGCGGGAAGACACGTCGTAGTATGTGGGCGCGGCAGCTGAGTAGAGACTCTTCTCAAATATGCGAGCATGGAGCCAGGACGGTAGTGTGCTCGTATTCTTCTCTTCTTAGAAGACCATCGTCTTCTACCAAGAGCAGCTTGCAAATACGAGGTCACGGTGGTAAAAAAAAACGTCAAGCAATCCTATCAATACCGCACATGAATTGATATAATCTAGAACGGATTTTCCCAGCGAACAGACATACCTGCGATTCTCCATAGCATCTGAGGCCATACTGAGTCCGATAACGCAAAACCACACTCAGTGCAGGCTATAGGTGTTCGAAATACACAACAAGGAGGCAGAGCGCCGGAGGGAGAGAAAGAGCTCAGGAAGAAGCAGCCTGGGTATTTATGTTGCTTCCAGGGTCATGAATGGGGAGAAGAGGCCGTTGGGCGCTGGCAGGTTTCCGCGCCCGAGAATGCACCTGATGCGGTATTTGACGCTGAGTGGTGCATCCACGACCGCTGAGCACATTAAGAGGCAAGATGAAAGAGGTGCAAGGGCCAAAAGCGCCGATAAAAAGTCGAGCGTCCCGCTGGAGGTGGACGCTTGTACAGCCTGAGCGGTGGTGAGTTGAGAGAGGAAGAGCCAACGCGCTCGCGCCCATGCCATATCGAGCGGTCACGTGACATCAAACTGCCAAACACTTGCGATTCCCGGCAGCACCGGTATAAACCTGACAACATCCCTCTCGCGCCCAACAACTCTGCTCTTGCCCTCTTCACCGCTCCCCCCCTGTTGTTGTTTTCCTGCGTGATATACCATCCAAAACCTCCTCAGTGCATCTTCGACCCTTCTGCGCCTCCAGGGCAAGCTCAGCCTACGGTTATTGCGTTTCCCGGTACGGTCGGGAAATAGGTGCTTCCGGAATGCTAGTTTGCCTCTCTTAAGTCTCGGTCAGAAGTTCGTTCTTCTATCCTTTTGAGCCCTCTCTCACACCTCCTTCAGCCTTCAACGATGACCATCCAGCTGTTTGCAGCCCTGACAAAATTTCTATGATTTTGTGCGAATTTCTTGTTCTTTCCGTCGTTACGAGAACCTGACTCCAAACCCAGTTCTAGCGGCCTTAGCGCGCTCGCAGCTCGGATTTTACATCCGAGAATGCTATCTGGCGCCCATCTATACCAGTTGTGGCTCCATTGGTGCACACCACCTTAGCCTCGACTAGGATCTGGCGGCACCGCTCAGCGGATGGGCGCTCTCAGTGGCATAGTCAGGTGAGTGTTTAGTCAATTCTGATGACATAACGATACAAGTTCATTTGAATATTATGTAGACGGGATATCATCAAACTAAATCCTAGAGTACATGGAAAAGTGAAGGCATCAAACGGGCCGGGGAAACAAAAAAGCGAAGAGGAGGGAAGTCATAACAGGATAGATTGTGCGGGGAATAGGTGCGTCTGCTAAATCCTAGTGCGTCGTGAAAATAATAATAACATCGTGGCTCATATCCAGCATATACGATTTAGATAAGGAGCAATTGAAGTCCTTGCTCTCGTATTGTTTCGCGAACATCAACTTCTTTTCCGCCTACATCACGTTTCTGCCAGACGGCCTCCATGAGACGCCGGGTTTGGAGGAGGTTGCCGTAACTGTCGTTCAGCCCACGCATTCGACCCTTGAGGAAGTCGCGCCTCGTGGAGTCGTTCGACATGGCACCAGCAAAACAGATTGGGAAGACGAGGGCCCTGTCGAGATCGCTTGGTTGAAACTTTGAAAAGAGGTGGACAATCGTTTCCACCGAAGTGCTGATCTCAGGTACGCCTGCCATTGAGAAAAACCTGGGTTAGAATTTGTTGCTAAGACGCTAAAACTTTGAAACTTACCAGGCGTGGAGTTGCTCAAGACGGTATGGAGGTATAGGTTTGCCGCCTCCCGGAAAAGACTTGCGGCCCAAGAGCGCTCCTCCTCCGATGGGACTGTCGCATCTCCATTCGAGTGCAGTCGCGGTTGCGACACGTCGGCGCCGCTCGACGGGTCCGTCGAAAAACGCCGTAGCTGTTGCTCGATAACCGTTCCGCGCCGAACAAGCTCTGGGTAACTTAGGCAGCCGTTGCGTATTTGCGACGCTTTCCAGTGGGCGAGCGCAGACACCTCGGCGATGGCCAACATCGCTTCATCTGGACATCCCGTCAAGGCGTCCATTCTCAGGCGGTGGGGCACTTCCAGCTCAGCTCCGTTTCCCCAAAAGCTTTGCTGGTCGCCGAGAAGCCTCTTCCATAACGGCAAGAATTTAGGCGGGCGGGCGACCGAAAGGCTGGAAAACACGTCAAACCACTGATGAAGGAAAGATAACGTCAGCGCCTGAAACGCCTCGAATTTTTGGGGAGGAAAACGCACCAATGTCGCTTTGACGCAAAGTTGGGAGGTTGGGGACAGACTGAGGAAGGCCATCCAGGGATTTTCGGCGTGATGGAGGTTCGTCTGGAGGAGCCATTGGGAGAGGATGCCAAACGGCTGCTCCCAGTCGCAGCTTCCGCCCGCCATCTGCGATAGGCTGATGAGGTGTAAGGCCGCGAGGGCATCTTTTTCTGTCCAGCCGTTGTGAGTCGCGTTGTTGTTCTCGAGTCGCAACAGCGCCTCATGCCGCAGATAGCTCGTCGAATTTTCCGCGTTTTGATTTGGCGCTTCTAGCCCTTGCGAGACGCGCATCTGCTTCGAATACAGGTCGGCCAAGGCACAGATCGCCAGCGACACGGCTCCGCGAGGCTCTTCGACAATCGCCTGTCAGGAATAATTATTAGCTTTTCTCGAAGGACATCAACAGCAAGGATCGAGCTTACAGAGTACGTAATATCGGTCAGTGCTTCTCCTGCGAAGAAGAATTGCACTTTTCTAACGTCGTTGAAGTAGTTCATCACGAGCTGCTCGTGCATTCCGGCATGACCAGAAGGGTTGTAGAGCGAGGAAAGTGATGAGCTGAGGAGGTCGTTGGGGGTGGTTGGGGGTATCGGCAGGAATCCGTACGATGCATCGTTCAAGGGGTCGCCTCCGACTGCATACGGCTGAACCGGGTTCAACTGAGATTGATAAGGGTGGAAGCTCGTCTCGGGCTCGAAAACGTCGGGGAAGGTGGTCAGCTGGTCGAAGGACGAGCTGGAGGAACCTGCGAAAACATAGGTGGTGAGTCTTTGATTTGATTGAGATGTATCTCTCTTCCTTACCGGGCAGCGCGGGCATCAAGAGATCACTGTGACTATGGTTGTAGGCGGGGTCGCCAATTTGCTGGAATGCGTTGTAGCTGTGGTTGCGGCTGCTCACAGAGGAGCTATGCCCATTGCCGTTCGTATTCGCATTGTGGCGTCGGTGCGGCGGAACTTGGATCGGGTTGTGCCGAGGCTGTCCGCGAATAAGGCCTTTCGACGAGAGTTGAGCCTTGATGCTAGCCTTGTACGCATCGACGTTCTTCTTATCCTGCACAGGTCGCAAGAGACATCAGTGATAAGCACAATGCGAACAGGGCAGAGGCGATGCGCGTACCCTCATCCAGTCCGGCCGCTTGGGACCCCATCCGAGGCACTTGATGGTCAGGCGTTTGCACGTCTTGCACGAGTCGCCTTCGCGCTGCTCGTCGCATTTCTGGAGTGGGGGGGAATAGCGCAGGTGAGTGCGCTGTTATCACGTATAATCAGGGCTGGGGACACGGACCTTCCGTCGAACACGGCATGTCCTATATGGTGCGATCGCGTTAGTGCACGGTCCATATGATGCTGTGTGTCTATTTACGCACCAGCAGCCTCCTTTGCCCGAGTTCTGGGTGCGAGGTAGGGCGGAGGTGGGTTGGTTGGGTGTTCCGTGCGCGCTTTGGGAGGACTCGCGATCATCACTGTTGCTGTTGTTGGTCATGAGGTCGAGGAGCGGGGTGGTGGTGAGGTAGGGGGATGGATTGGTGGAGGAGGAGGGCGAGGGCGACTGGCTCCCAGCAGGGGAGGCGGTGTGGCTTCTGTAGGCCATAGGTTATGGGTAGTGCGTCAGGATGATGGAGGAGGAATGGTCGTGTTTATTATAAAATGGCCGGGAACCAGAAGAGGAAAAGAGGCGAGATATGGTCGGAGTAATTTGTTAGACGCGTTCGGTTATGAGGATAGGGTTCGTAGGAAAATCGGTCTTGATTATTCGTCAGATACCGAAGTGGCTGGAAAGGGTTCGCCCAAACGGGAGTGTGAGGAAAGCAGGCTGGGACAGTTGATGGTCTGTATCCAAGGGGCTTTGAGGACGTAGATTGAGTTGGGATGAACATAGATGGATCCTGGCTCTTTTGTGTATGTACTGTTGTGACAAATTCCTTTTTTCGTCGGTGGAGGAGCTGGGTTTCGAGTTTCCCGGCATGGTTCATTGATCGGCAGATTCCCTGCGTAAATGTCCGGGGCAGCCCAAGATCCCTCGATTTGGGTGCGCCGCGATTCAATTTCCATCCTCATCGGAGAGACGCTGCAAGCGACACGGAATTGTATTGCTTCCGCGGGCCCATGACCAGAACATACCCACTAACTTCCTGCAGATCGACGAAGACCAGCAGCGTCCACATCGTGGTTCGCGGCGAAGCACCCACCACCAGCACCAGCAGACGACCCGCGAAGGCAGAGCGAGAGAGCACAGCTTACCTAAACACGCGACCGACCCGCATCGCAACGCTGCTGAATGAAGTCTGTGCGAGCGAGCCAGCAAGTGTGGGCATCGTCGCCCATGTGCCTGCCTCTCCAACGATCACAGAGGCCAAGTGCCTGATGACGTAATCTGATCGATGTCCATATCCGGTAATATCAAAGATCCTTGGCACGTGTGATCGAGATCGATCTGATCTTACGCTGACCCCATCACTCATCCGAACAGCCAACCGTCTTCCTTACGATTCCTCCACTCGCCAGCCCAGACCAAAGGCCACCCGCTATTCCTGGCTCTGTGGGCGACGTTCCAAGTACAGTCCACACTCTCCAGAATACAACACCGCGGATCGGCACCGCATGTACCTCCGCACAAGGTCTTTGTTCTCTCTTCGTCTTCTTACTCTGTATTCGTCCTTGAAACTCCAGATAACGGGACTGAGATTTCGGGGTAGTCAAATTATATAGGACATGAACAATTGCCGACCGACGAAGACCTGGATACCATGTAGGACAAAACGCGTGCATATGAGGATTTACAGGAACGGGAATATTGCGAATCATTTTGTAGCGCGATGTTTCATGTAGATCAACTAGTCGAAGCAAGCTACGACTGCAGAGTGGTGGTAGGGATATCGAATCGGAACTTGGAATATCGCGTTTGAGAGTATGGAACACAAAAAAATGCAGGCGAGCGAGGAGGAAACGTGAATCAACGATCAGAGATGAGAGAGAGAAATTAAAAGAAGAAAAAGAAGAGGAAAGAAAGTCCTTCGTGCGGGTCGTCATACGAGTAGGATCTCCATCTTGCTCAGCAGATTCCGCCACTGCACGGGCTTGCTGCGATGCTGCGACTTGCGCGTGTCCCACAATTGTCTTAGCAGCTGCGAGATCGCCTCACAGTTGCCCACGTTCTCGTGCCCCGAGTTCTGCTCCAGATGCAGACTCAACACCCTCAAGTCGTCTTCTCTATCCGTTAGGCTGCCGCAGATGAAGATCCCAAACACCGTGCTCCTTACAATCGCAGGGCGTATGTCGCCCAAGCCAGTCGGGAAATCGAGGATCGCGCGGAACGTGTCGCGCACGCACGTCTTGATGTCCTCGACGTGCGGGTAGTCACCCGACTCGACCGACTTGAGGAACAGTTTCGTCGCCGTGCGGAAGATCTCCGACGCGAGGTGGCGCGACCACTCCTCCGCCGTGTGCTGGGGACGCTTCGGGTGTGGGCCCTCGGCGAGGTATGGTTCGATCTCCTGCACCCTGGACACCAGCTCCCTTACGCTGAGGTCGCCTGTCCGCTCGTGCCGGTGCTTCCAGTACGACAGGTACGACGTCTCCGCGAGCGCCCACACGATGGTGTTCTCGCAGCCCATTGGCGAGAGCATCGAATACGTCGGCGGTGTGCCCACCCAGCTCTTCTGCGGGCTGAACAGCTCGCGAACATAGCTGAGAAGGAGAGGGGGTCGTTGTGTTGTGATGGATGCGAGGACGTCGAACCAGATCGTGGTCTTGACCACGAACTCGTCTTTGGGGTTGGCGGCTTCGAGAGCTGCTGAGGGGTTGTTGTAATATCTGGGGTCGCTGAGGACCCTCTCGGTGTAGGTGCATGCGAAGGAGAGGAACTCGTTCCATCTGCCCATACCTCCGTCGAAGAGATATAGCGAAACGACATGGAGGGCAGCCATCGCATCGTCTGCACTGAAGGCTGGCTTTGCGTCGTTGAGAACCTGTTGCAGGGATGTGATACGGTTTTTGACCCTTTGATCGAGCGTCAGGCGAAGTCGTTGGTTGTCTTGTCTTGCAGTATACAATGTCGATAGTAGCCTCACGGCCTCTTGCGATGCTGGGTGTGTGCTAACGGCCTCCCATACCATAGCTGGCAGTTTGTCGCTGTCGCCCAGCAGGTACTGGATTTTGACGATGTTGGTCACATACTCATGCATGGACTTGTCGATGAGTTCCAGTGGAACGAGCAGTGATGGGACGATGAAGTTGAGATTGGGATTCAGAGGATCGTAGGGCATTGCGGATTGGAAGTCGTCCACTGGCAGTTCGAGGTGGTAGAATTTGGAGAACGACGATCTCGTTGCAGGAGCTGACAAGAAAAAGTAAAAATACATTCAATATTATTATTACACATAGGGTATATAATCCAGGCTTATCTCACTTTCTGGGGTTAAGGCGTACAGTTCTTCAATCGGCTGGTAGTAGTTATCGTTGTCGTTGTCGTGATACATCATGGAGTCGCTCGGCGAGTCACAGCGAGACGATTGGAAATCTACGACGACAAAGTAAATACAGAGTCCGTGATAGAGGAGGAAGACAACGAACCATGGTGGGGGACAAAGTAAGTATCATCGCGTACAGGGGGGTGATAGTCGTAGTAGCCGCGAACCGAAGATGTCATCTGTTGGAGAGTCAAGCGCCCGCTGAATGGGCGGTCCGATTCAACCGAAGCATCTCGGGGCGACGGGCTGCTGTTGGTCGAGGAAGTCCCGCTGCGATTGTAGTTGCCAGCATCGCCCTCGCGGTACTCGCTGAGCATCAGGATCTCGTCTTGGACGGGGTTGCGAGAGCCCGAGCCAGCGTGGCCCTTGATCATCCCCTGCGCAGCGAGGTGGGCCTTGATCCTGTCGCGGATTTGCGATACACGGTGGCTCTCCTGTACAAGCAAAGCGACGATGTTAGCGCCCATGGACGGGACAATGTACAACATAGCCCGAGGTATAGACGTACCCTCAACCAGTCCGGGCGCTTGGCTCCGAAGCCCAGACACTCGAGCTTGAGTCGGATGCATGTCTCGCAGCGATCGCCAGCGGCGCCGACTCTCTTTTCGTCGCACTTCTACAAGGACGCCACAGCAGGTTAGACGGCTATGGGATAAGGGTGGCATGATGGGGGTGGGAAGGCAGAACATACCTTACGGCGGATCCGACAGGTGTAACAGCCTGACTTTGCGCGGACGGCGCCCTTGGGTTTGGTGATGCCGGTAACTTTCTTGTTGGACCTAGGGGACTTCGGTGCAGCGGGCATGGTGCTGTATGGCGGGTAGGTAGAGGATGAATCAAGACGTGCTGTGTGAGATGAGACGTAGCTGGAAGGCGAAAGCAAATACAAAGCGGGGAGATGATACAGGAATGCGGGTGCGTTCAGAGCGAACGGACTGGAGATACAGTAGGGGCAAGCAACATGGTTTTATAATGACGGTGGTGGTAGTAGAGAACAATTCGGGAAAGTGCCTTTGCTCGTCCAGTCATCCCAAGGGGGGGCCGCAAACACAGGTCAACCGCCCAATCCAGCGCCAACTGATGGTCCCCGGGGTCCTCCTCTTCCGTCCAAAAACGGAAGCTGCCTCGTTGTCCCTCTTTTCGGCCACGGGCCATCCACCGAGTCACCCTGGAGGCTGTTCCTAATGCCTTCTCCAGCTCAACCGTCTTCGAATAACTTCCAAATCCATCTTCGAGCCGTCGTTCAGAAAAACGGGTACCTTGTCTGTTCTCCCAACCTGCCTGTTCTATTGATTCTTAGTGTACTTAACCTACTCTAGTCTGAGGCGGTACGAATTCGAAAAGCTAATGACCCATAGCCTCCTTGAAAAGATGAGTGGAGTGGAGAAGGTCCTAAGAATAAGCAGCACTGACACCCAGATCAGTCACCCTTCGATACACCCACAATCGTTTGCATAGAGAACAAAAGCCTATTCATCCCACGCTGCGCTCGTTCGCTGCACAAGATTACGGGAAAAGAACAAGCGCAACAGACATAACGTCAGGGCACCAAGCCGCGCTAGCGTCGCCACTGAGAGAATAAGGTTAAGAAGAATTTTTTGTAAAGGGAGAGTACCGGGAATTCGAACTGCATGCCCACAGACTTGATACAGTTCGACAGATGGTCGGTGCGCGTGCGCGTGTGCGCCGTATATTCTCCATCTAAACCGGGGAATAATTAGAGTTGGCCTCTATCCGCGGTTAGCGGTTTCAAGTTACGGCCAATAGTTCGGAACCCAGTGTTGGCAAAATGCACTCCGGAATAGACACCCTCTTCCGCCCTCTAAACAAAGTGGGCATATGTGGCATTCACTGCCTGTCGCACCGCCGGTACCCATGCCCATCATCATAGATCGGCGTCGCTTTTTTCTCTTCATGCATCATGATCATCGTCATCAGCATGAAGCGAAGCTGCGATAACGAACACAAAATGCTTCCTGCAAGCAGGACTGATGCATTTGTCGTGAAAGGAAAAAAAGGAAGATAATACAATTAGAACATTTGAGCGGATTAGGATAGCCACACACACTGTAGTACGAGTAACGTGCATTTCAACCTGAAGAGAGTGGATGATGTAGAAACGGAGTAGAGTCAAGAAAAAAAGCTCGAAAATCCATATAGAGGAGATGAACTAGGCTGGAGAGCAGACGATGACGGTGAAGGTCTAAACGAGCGTGTAGGGTGTCACCTTTTGTCCACGAACGAGCACGAAGAACGGGGACGGAGTGAAAAGGTCAGAAAGAGGGGCGATAAGAACACAACCACCGTCCACCTCCACCCCACGATTTATGTAGTCTTCGCCTCACGCATCTCCTGCTCGGGATGATGAGCGCTTAGCCCAATCGACCCAGCCGCTGACAGTCGCCGGACCTTGCTCTTGATTCCGGAGCTCGTCGTGGGCGCTATTCCGGGGGCGCTAGTGCTCGATGGGCTTGTCTCATTTCCTGGTCCTGCTGCAGACGCCCCCGCGGGTGACTTGGACAGCTTTCCCGGGACCTGTCCTGATTCCGCTCTCCTGGCTATAAGCGCACGGATGGCGCCCATCCACTTGATCTCGTCCTCTTCTGTCGGCGCGCACAGGAGGAGCGTGCGTTTCGTTGTGACGATCTTGAACGTGTGTGGGCTGTTGGGTATCTCTGACTCCTGAGATCCAACAGCAGGTGGTGATGCGACTGATGGCGTCGTTGGCGCCGGTCTGTACGCGTGTTGTGGCATTTCGAATTCAAGAGTGTCGAGGATATCATTGAATGGGAACTGTCGATGGGGTTTCGTGTCCTATAGGATGCACGAGGATCATACCGTTAGTCAATCTTCTAGCTGCGCGCCCAACACAAAAATAAGATATCTACCATGTGGCTCCCAGAGTAAACAAGTTTTTCGCCGGTGAGGACAAACCATCTTTTCCGCCAGTTGTTGCGGCGTTTAGATCCACACTTCATCAGGTATCCAGAAAGGACCACCTTCGCTGGGTCTTTTTGTGGCGCAGCACTCTTCGACGGTGATAAGGCCGCCGCAGCTTGTGTCGGCGAGGTATAGACCCGTTCTTGTTGCGCAGGCATGGCATCTTCCGAATCCGACGAGGTAAATGCATGTCCATACGAGACCTGCGGAGGGGATGACGAAAGTGGAATCGATCCTCTTGAAACTGTGCGCGAGCCGGCGTTGGTGCTAGGTGGGATAGGAATCGGTGCAGACGCAGACGTCTGTGTCGACGTGGCCAGCAAGGTCTGCCTGGCATCCTCGATTGCCTTGACCCAGGCTTGCACCTCCTGAGCGTTTGACGCTTGTAGGTAGAACGTGCGTGTAGGAGATATCAACCCGAAGGTGTTGTCGTGTCGTTTCAAATTGACTGGTGTGCACGAGTGGACGTCAGACAGCTCGAGCAGGTGTAGTAGGCGGTACTCCGCGGAGGACTTGTAGTACGCGATGTGCGCCGGGCGGAGGACGAACCAGCGTTTCTTCCATGTCTATTTATCCGTGCATCATTTCAGTATCAGACGAGTATGAAAGAAGGGAGCAGACTCGGGCACCTTTCGCCGCTCGCCCTTCTTCCACAGGTAACCCGCTTTGATGACACCTTCGTCGATCGAGTTTCGCGGACGCGCGCGAGCCTCCGCCGCCTTCCACCCGCCCTCTGGAACATCTTCGTCGTCCTCCGAGTCCTCGCCACTGTCTGACCTCCTCTCAGCGATAGACGACAGCGGCGGCTGCACCGACGACGCCCCGACATGCACGGCCGTCGTATGCCCGCCCATCGGCGTTGTCGCAACATCTGGGGTCATGACCGAGTCCGAGTCCGACTCTGTGCCCGACACGGGGCCAACTGTGAGGTTCGTGGGCTGTCGTACCAAGGTGCATTATTAGAACAAAAACAAGAACCCGCGTCTGATCATGACGCACGCACCTTTGGCCTTGAGACGGAGTGCACTGAGAGCTTCCGCTGGATTTCCTGTGGTGTTGGTGGGGGTGCGGCAGGCGACATTTTTTCCAGGTGCTGGGGAGAAACGAGCGCAATTTTATAGGCTTGCTGAACAATGAGTGGCCCACAACGCGTAGAATGGAGGTGATCAAGAGGTGGACATAGACAGACAAGAGTGCCACTTGTCGCTGTTGGATGCGATGGGTTACAGATGCCCACGCACGTGGGCGTGACGCGCATTAGTCACACGCTTCTATGCGGGCCGCTTTACCGGCCAGCCGGCGCTCTTCTTTCAGATGCCTCCTCACCTCGACTCCGGATTCTTGAAGACTTGGAGGGTCAAAAAAATACAAATTATCTAGCTTTTGCTCGAGTTGGGAGCTCTTCCGAACATGTTCTTGGACCTACAATCAGCAAAGCGAGAATAAGTCTCAAATTTGCCTGATGGCATATTCTTTGAGTGCCTCGGTTGCGTTCGCCATACTAGAACTTGGGATCTGGAAGGGTTCAAACTTTAATTTCCCATTATATTTCGCTTTAAAGAAAGCCCTCGCAAGCTGAATGAAATAAGGACGATTTTTTGTTCAGGAGCGTGGAGAACGCGAGGTTGTGCCCTTGCCTTTCCTCTCAGCACTGCCTGAGAGCTGTACACCACCGCGCCGACGCCACTCTCAAATTAAGCGTTCTCTATATAGAGCATGACCTGTCATTCCGTTTTGACTAGATGAAGGGCTATGCGTTCATCCCAGTGACATCGTTTTTCGAGAAACGCCCGGGCTATGCAGTAGTAGTAAACTTTAAAGATACCTCACGGACCTTTGAACTAGAGAAGCTGGGCCTTCACCCCTCCCCAGATAGAAGAGCAATTTTCCGACCTTACAGGATCTTTGAGGTGGGCATGTCGAACGAGGCAGTGTCCGGTGACGCCACAGATGGATAGGGGCTGAATTTCCAAATCGGGAAAGCTGACGGCATCAGTTCCGGGCGGCAAAGCGACCCTCCCTCCGCTATCTAATCTGCATCCATCCACCATGTCTGAAGCAAAGTTCGAGAAAGCCGTCGCCATTATCCAATCCCTCCCTAAGGATGGACCCGTGAAGCCAACTTCCGACGACCAGCTTTACGTGCGTAATCTCTTCGGAACACCTCTAGAACTTCGGACTCTCGATTGACCTTTCCGAACAGTTCTACAAGTATTTCAAGCAAGGTTCGTTTCCGAGTTCCCGTTTTTCAATCGCGTTCGGAATTCGCTGACTTTGGCATAGCCAAGTTCGGGGATAATACCACAACCCGCCCTGGCTTGCTCGATTTTACGGGCAAGGCGAAATGGTGAGCACCCTCATCCCGGAATTCCTCTTTTCCCTCCACCCCAAACTTAAAATGCATGCTATCAGGGACGCGTGGACCTCTGTCAAGGGTGTTTCAAAGGAAGAAGCCTGGAAGTTATACGTCGAGAAACTTATCGAGGTATGTCACGACCATATCATGCCCTCACGAGATCCGCTCCAACCTCGCGCCTTTCATTAGATTCTTACCGCTGCAGGAGACGAGGAATCAAAGAAGCACATCGCAGAGATCGAGGCTGCTTAAAGACTTGCAAGTGCGATAACAAGAACCACGTTGTAATGTTAAATCGACAGTTGCCCGGTCATCCATCCTAGTCCATAATCCTCTTGATCCTGTCCCGAGCCAAATGCAACAATCCCATTCAATGATGATGAACCTGAACGAGCACGAAGAGAAGCTAATGAATTACTTACCCGTGTGCACGGAATTAGAATGGAGGTGCAGCACAGACTTGATAACGAGGTAGTGCAGGTGCGGTGCATGTTGACAGTCCGAGTACATGTCCTCCGGGGTCTGTTGTATTAGATACAGTACACAGCTGCTACCTAGCGCGCGCGAAAGCCTCATTGGCGTCTGTAATTGGCGTCTGCAGGCCCAGGTCAAGGACCCCGTTCACCCAGATGGCGTTTTGATCGGCCCAAAGTAGTATTTTCTTAATTTACCATTTTTGGAATGTGTGATCATTCTGGCTGCCATCTTGTGGGCGCCCGGCTGATGCTCTCGCAAGGGCGAAGGATTGTCGCTGTGGGGGGAAAGTCAATCAGACGAGACTTTTCCCCCGAGTCCTAATATCACGTCGGATGATAACTACTCGGTAATCTGTTTTTTGTCCTCATCCTCGGGGGCTGGACGCCTTTTGGCCCCCAATTCTCGCCTAGGTCACCGGGGGGACCTCATCGCGCTATCATGCGATCCGAGTTTCGTAACAAGAGCGAGGTGAGTGACAAGGGTACAATGTATATTACCCTGCGGATCGACATTTACAATATCAAGCCCCTTTTCAGTGCCCAAACACAGCACGGCCCACGGTCCCAGTGACCCCGCAGCCCCATGGAACCGTCAAATCGAGCTCGGATGAATAGTTGCGGGAGTGGAGTGGAATTCTCAAGGCGTCATGATAGAAGATGGCTTCCTGACGGTCGTAATGTGATACCGTTAGAGTTCGCAATGTCCCCACGGAGACCCTGCCTCGTAAAAACCTTGCTTCCTATCAAAGGCCAACCAACACCCGGTCAAATGACGCTCCGGTTGCAAAAAGCTTACTTGAACATCCTTTCCACGGCGTAGTCGACACACCCGCACCTCGTGTGAGAGCCCCTTGACCCGTTTTGTTTTGTCGTGTCCGCCATGCTGTCGAGCACACCACCACAAAAGGACCGCTCTGATCACGAAAACCGCAGGTGCGGTTCCATCTCTAATCAGTGACTCACAGATAGCATAATATTTGCTGCCGAAGCGCCTTCGCCTTGAGGCTTTTGAATGAGTGAAGTTCTGCGAGAACAAAAGGCTAAACTAGTGTGGCGTTTCGCGCAACTACGATGCATCATTAGGCCTGCAATCGGAGATGACGCTGACACCTGTGGGCGTGGACGGCAATTCAAACCCAGCGGCCTTCCGTTGCTCTGAAGCCCGTCGTTTTTCATGTCTCTTCGTCATAGCGCCTAATTTATTTGTTGGCACCCGTACTGTATGTAGAACGTCGACAGAATGATCCCGGAATGGCAAAGCGCCATATCAGTGGCTGCAGACGACCGCGACGTCGTCTATCTCCCGAGGTAGTGCTTCTTCTGTGTTAAACCCTATCAACGTTCACTGAGCCATTTTCTCACAAACGGAAGGGTCGGCGCCTGCCATGCGATAATCCCGAGGCTGTGGTTGTATAGTTTGGGGTACAGGAAACCTAATACGCACCCCAAAATCATAAGTACTTGACAAGAGTGAAGATCATCGCCGTGTCTCAGCGTGGCCATGGCCATGGGACGACGCCATAAATCTATCAGACTTCATCCCCAGCCTTTTGCAATTCACAGGGATCTGGTGGCACCTGACGCCGACGAGCCCCACAATGCGCCGCTATCCCTCTGGAAAAGGGCTCCTGAAACACTCATTACATTAGACACGCAAGCGGCTTACAGCACGCTCAGGAGAACGCTTCAGGATGGTAGCAACTGGTGCTGTCTTTCTCGATTCGGAACAAAAACAAAGTGTGGACGTCGGTGACGTCGATGATCCAATCAATTGTTCAAAATACGGTGTGCGCTTCGTTCGGCCGCAAATCCCCTCCCTTAACCCTCCTCTCAGACCACGTTGAAGGAAATTTACAGCGCCTCTAGCATGCAGAGCAAGACGCGTTGATGGACGGTCGTTGGGCGCCTGCCATCAGCCGAATGAATCCAGAAATGGTCATTGAGTCTCAGCGCCTCGGTATCTTTGATCGAGTGACCCATCCGTGCTCTCGAAGTGTATTTCTTTCGAATGAAACTCTAGATCGTTAAGGATATTTTTCGTCGCTCGGGCATCATTGTACGCAGTCGAGTGACATTAAAAATCGAGGGTACATGCTGAAGAGTGACAATACTCGACAAATAGCATAGAACATAAACGGAGGATCGATAAGAAACGCGCTCTTCTTTCCAAGCTGCGGCGACCCACCAACGTAGGCTATGACATAGACCACGAAGTTCCTCGCGCCACGAGACCGTACGGAAAGGAGAAGCGAGGTGCGCGACGTCGACTTGTCGATGTCTCCGAGTCGTGCAGGCTCGATGGCCAAAAAGTTTTTCTGTATAGTCTGTCTTCCAGGTCCGCATTTGGCGTGCAAAGCCCATCAGTTGACCTGAGAAACGGTATAGCCGGAGGGTAAAGACACGCGCGATGCGGAAGGTCATTCCGAATGTTCTAGCATTCAGAGGATTCGAGGCGAACTTGAGGTGTAACCGACCGGATTCGTCTATCGATAATGAGAAGGGGGGTGCCATGCTTTCGGGGTCCCCCTCTCGTCATGCCCGTCTGAAGGTCTGCACGCGTTCGAAAAAAGCGTCATGCAACCGTTTTCTTACTGATATTATTCTGTAAAAAAGGCCAAGGGTATCATTAGATGGATCGTCGAGCGAGACGACAAATCTACCTGAGGAGATTATCCATGAATCAAATAAAACGGATATTGCTCGTTTTCCCGCTGCGCCACGGTGAGAAGGACAGAAGAGCGAAAATAAGTATGCAGTATTTCCCCGAGTGAAACAAGATCTGAGATGCTTTGTCGAACGTAAAAACTGGGGTGCAGGTAAGATGCACACCAGAGCACCCAGAATTGACGCCGTGACATGATATGAAAGTTTCGTACCTTCAACCATAGCTCGAAATACCCCATGCGCACCCGCTCACCCTGCGACTTATGCCTGCGCAAATGAAAAGAAATTCGCGGAGTAAGGCCAGCGCCGAAAAGAGAGCTCGGTAAGACGCCCAGTACGAGACACTGGACGCACAATCTACAATAATCGATCCGTCAGCAGGTGTGAACAAGAACAATTGTCCACCTCTTATCGCACATCTATCAAAGTTAATCGTCAGCTGATATCCAGAGCCAGTCATCGCACTTCCTGTAAGCTCCAATTAGTCGGCCTTGTGGGCGCATCTGACAGATATTCTAAGCGGAAGTCGAGCCTATCTGGCGCAGCAGAACGTTGTCGGGCTCTTCCTGGGGTGTAATAGGATTGAGAAGCCCGTAAGAGTCATCTTAGCTGTGGCACCGAGTGAGTGCGTGTGCCGGCACGTAAGAAAGCTCCCAGGAAGGCCGCTTCCCGAGCACGAAAGTCTACCGCAGGAGGCGCGAAGAGGCAAGCGGTCTCCAAAGTTGCGGGAAAACCCTTCGATGGCAGATTCGGGGTCGCCTCGTGTCATCCTAGGCTGCGATGGGAGATGAGATAGAAGACGATAAGGGAGAATCATCCACAAACTGCGGATGGACGGGAGAATGTCGAGATTGAGTGGGCTCGCATGACTCCCATTGGGGGCGATTTCGTGTCCCTCTTCGTGAGGAGAGGTTTGAGTTGTAGACAGAGACAATCTTACAAAGGAATGGCCAGCCAACATTGGAAATTCTCTGCTCAATCGTTTGAATGGCCATTTCGTTGTCTGAAGGTCAAATATATTTTCACTCGAGACTATCATACAAATTATTGGACAGTCAAAATGGCCGAGGACGTAATGTCCTCGGCCATTTTGACTGCCCAATCTTTTGTCGGGTCGTCTACAGTAACAATATCTACAACGTAACCCAGTTGCGCGCCTGTATTGCAGAGGGAGAAAAGCTGGGTTGGCAAAGAATCGAAAAAATAAGAGCAATCTCGCACCATTTCAACGTTCAAGAACCCCGGCAAGAACTTGGGGCAGCTCATCGTCGAAACGGCATGCCATGCAAGATAGAGTATCCTCGTCCCCAAATTGGAGCCAACGCCAAACGCGACAACATTGGGGGGAACCGTTCTGCAGCACATTGGAAAGAAGTGCTTGAGCGGTTATCTCCAATCCGTGCACCTCTGTAGTGGGTTCCAATTAGCGATACGACGTACTGAGAGCCCTCGATCTACAAGATCGCTTGCATGAGGGGATGGGTTGTGGAGACGGGAGGAAAGAGGGGTGGAGGATGGGAAGGGTGGGGCGGATGGGAAGGATCGTGGGGGATCGTGGATGTGGTTAGGAGGGAAGAGAAGTGTGCTGACGTTGAGCGCCAACAAGCGTGGTCTCGTGGACGGAAGCCTCCGCTTGGGTCAAGGGTTTTGCGGGGCTATGCTGTGCACATACAAATACAAGTAAGCGCCAGAGCGCCTAATGCAGACGCCCCAAATTGGCGCTCCGACATCCATTCTGGGAGCCAAAAGATATTGCAAACATTATCCAGATTCATAAGAGTACAGGCCGTAGGTATACAAGTGATACGAAGCAGTCGTATCATCCAAAAAAAAAATAAGTCAGAGCAACAGAAAGACGAATAAGATAGTCAGTATGAGCACAATGCGTGAATGGGTCGTGAAGAGTCGTATCAGTAGTGTCCAACAACAAATGAAAGAAGGAAATGTCGAAGAGATGGTATAGATATCTAGAAAATGTCCAATGTGAGAGCGATGCTAGTGCTGACAGGTGGTGGTGGTGTGTTTTGGACAGTTCGAAGACAATAAGCGGGGATGCAGATAGGCGGCAGGAAGACAGCCGAGGAGTACAATGGAGGAAACGGAAGATCACATACAACCCGATTATGAAGATTCCGCTGAGTACGTCGACGACCGGTGGTCCGGGTTCGCGACGAACAGATTCGGCCTCTTCACGAGCCCATAATCTACCTGGACCCGCTTCTTCGTCCGCTCCTCTCTATGCTTTGTGTTCGTGGGTGGTGGGCTGACCGGTGCCTCCTGCGACATCCGGCGCTCGAACGCCCGCACGCGGGATGCAACACTTGGCGACGAGTGGGGGCTATTGTCTGAGCCCGGAGGCGTCGTCGATCCAGTACGAGCCTTCGAGGCGGGCCAGGCAGACGGAGGGGGCGAGTTTAGTTGAGGAGGATGGGGCGTTGATTCCGAAGGTGCTAATGGGTGGGACGAAGGGTCCACAAGCGAGCCTTTGCTCTGATGCGTATCCTCCACAGGCGATGTGAAGAAAATCAAGTTCTCATCTTGACCGTGCCAACTATCGCGACTGCCCTCTCTCTCCCTCTGGGCCTCGCCAACACCCAGCTCCGACGCCGACTCATGCGTATCAATACTGTGCCCGCCAGTGGAACTTATACTCCCTGTTCCGCGCTGGCTCCTCGTCGTTACCCGCTGTACAACATCCATCTGGCCCGCCATCCTCTCTATGGCCTCTGAGTCCGCTGTCCGGAGCGAGGTCATTGATTTGCCATGGCCTGTCCCAAACAGCCGCCCTGAGTTTGCGCGGGAGAGGAGGGCCGCCTGCTGTGGCGACATCTTCTTTCCTGCTCCGACCTCTGCACTGCCAGGGCTGCCCGTTCCAGGCGAATTCTTATCGGGTGTCGGTGACGAGACCACGCTGCGCTCTTCGATCGCGACGAGCTTCGGCGGTGGGTTCGGGTCGCGAATCTCGTATCCTGCTCGAGAGACAACGCTGGACCGGCGATCTAGCAGGCTCGTACGTGAGAATCTGGACCACCACGAGTTGGACCGCCGCATGGGTTGGCTGGAGCCGAGCAAGCCTGCGCCAATGATAGACGATGTCTTGGGAGGCGGCGAGCGAGGTGGTAGCGGGGTAGGTTCCATCGAGGTCAAGGAAGTTGCACGAGATAAGGAACCTCCAGGGAATGGACTATTCTCACTTGAATGCGCGTGGGAAGAACCAGAAGTGCTGAATGTCTGAAGAGGTAGGGTGCTCTGGGACGTGTGTTCCGAAAGTGGGCTGAGAGGATGGCCAGCTTGTTGTGACAGCGGCAGGACAGTTTTCAACGGTGGTAATGTTGGCACAGCACGGATCGACGGGCGGGAAGGATCGAGTTCATCGTCCGATGTCTGATCTTGGTCTCTGTACGGTTCTGCAGCTTCATCGAATATCCTCCTCTCCTCCTCGATAGGATCAGAGAATGGATCACGATAGCTCCTCCCACTCTTCGAACTCGTAAAGCTCGCCTCTCTCTGCCCATGGGGTCTCGTACTAGCACCCATAGCAGCACCGATGAAACCCGTCTCCTCGTCCCGGATCAGCGACGCGCCGTCCGAGAATGGATCCGCCTTTTCTCTCCATGGCGTCGGCAGATTGCTCGGGCCTTGGCCTGTCGTGCTCACCTCTCGACTCCGCAGGCCACCGAGGATGCTCCGCAACGACCATGAGCTGCCAGCTGTCCCTTCTCGGCGCCTGGCATTGTACCACTCGCCGAAACTTTGCGTATCTTCATCCGCGAGCATGTCACGCCGCTGCTGCGGGTTGCTGACTGCTCGTAGTCTTGTTGCTGCCCCGACCAATCCTAGTGTTGCCAGAATTCCGTGGTGAGCAGGCGGCGGTGAGTTGATTTCGCTCATGTTTGCAATTGGGATCCGCTCGTGGAGATGTGGACTGCCTCGATCGTCGTCGTCATATTCGCCGAGTGCTATGAATCTGCGCTCGCCTTCTTTTGCACGATGCTGCCGACGGACGTAATATGCTACTCCGAGACCGACGACGATGAGACCAAGCACACCAAACGCAGTGCTGACAGCAATGGCTGTTGTGCTACTGCTGCTCCCGCTATCATCGTCATCGTTGCTGCCGTTGCTGCCGTTGCTGCCGTTGTTGTCTGGCGGAACACCGACGGTCGACGTTGGTTGAACACCACCATTGGTAGGTTTGGGTGGAGATGTCGGAGTATTGGGCTTGGGGGTTTGGGTCGGCAGAGGGAATGTTTGAGTGGGAGTAGAGGTAGCAGGTGGTGGCGTGTACGAAGGAATGAATACGTTTGAGGAGGGGTCAAAAATCTGCAAAGGCGCTGGCGCCGGTCCGCTGTTTGTATATCCTAGACGGCCGGTCAGAGAAGGCATTGGGGAGGAAGAGACCAATCATACCGAAGCCGAAAATAACCTGACCACCGTAAAATACTGCACAATGGTCTCTTCTGGGCCCGAGTAGCGATAGAGCGTCAATCCGGGTCCATGTAAGCGTTGTCGTGTCCAGCACCCAGCCATCTTCAAAGTTGTTCTGTAGATTTGCGTCACTTCCTCCGTGGATGATAATCCTTTCTCCTGAAATCAGAACAGCGGCGAAAGACATCCGTGGCGAAGGCAGGTTGGCTGAGTCAACCGTGATGACAGACCACGCCAACGTCTTCGATTCCAAAACCCAAATCGTGCCAAGAGAAAGCAGTTCGCCTCGAGATTGGCAATACCCTCCAAACACAAGGATCCTGCCATCTGGAAGCATGATCGAGACATGGCCATAGAGGCCCGGGGGTGCGTTTGTCGAAGGAAGAGGGTTGAATGTTAGGGATTTGGGGTCGAAGTAATAGTGGTCTGACAATGCATTCTGGGAACCATCCGCCTTCTCTCCGCCGAATATGAACACCAAGCCATCAGGAGATGTGGCGGTTGAGTGCCGTATACGCCGAATAGGCTCTCCTCCCCATGAGGAAGGTTCTGAACTCCAGGTAGGGCCCAACCGGGAAAAGACGTCGAGGAGTGCTGCGGAATCGTTGCGATCGGTGATAACGATGGGGGAATTGGCGTCTGGTTGGCCTCCGAAGAGGAGGACGTCTGTGTTGTTGAAGGCAGAGAGGGTGTGCCATGCGAGTGCGGGGCCTTGGGAAGTTGAAGTATTCGATGAACCGCTGACAAGTTCCCATCGCGGCGACTCGCCGGTAAATGGCGAGGATAATGAGAGGTAGAGGATGTCGTTGGTGTTGGGTGCTTGGGTGTAGGAATACGAGTTGAACTCGTCTGTCTTTCCACCATAGATAAAGAGGGCGTCGTAGACTAGGACGGTGGCTTGACCCCATCTATACAAACACCCACGCATTTTGTTGATATCCGAGAAAGGAGAAGTTGTAGAACACACCTCGGAGTAGCATCAATGGCTACAGCGCATTGAAGCAGTTGAGGCAGCAAGAGTATGCTCCAGAGCTTCCAACGGTGCGGCGAGGCGCGATACATGCTACCAGCTCGAAATGCGATGGTGGAGGTGGGTGATTTTGAAGCAGATAAGCTATACAGAAACTCAGAGAGTTGAGACAAGATACATTTGCAGTCGTGACGTCGTGAAAAGTCGTAATTGGTTCGTGGAGTGCTCCAGGAAACTCAAATCGGGTGAGTGCTTGGAATGGAGTCAGCACAGCCACCGTCCCTTTTGGTGGCCCTTGGCAAAGGAGCTGAGAAGAGACCTGGCAATCGAGACCCAGTCAGCTATGCAAGGGAAAATATAACGCTAATCGTCGTACGAAGACACCACCATTGAGTCTTCTCATCGCACGTTTGAGGAGACTGTCCCAGCAGCGTTAGGCTAAAGACAAGATTAAGTAGATCGCATCGGTCCAGGACCCGGCCCGTCAGTTTGTTTGGAGCTGTTGCTTTCGATTTTTTGGACGCGATGAAGTCCTCCCTGTAAAGAATCTAATCCCTTACTGCTCTCGACGATGAGTAACCTCATCTCGGCCGTTGCATGGGTCCGTCGAGGTGTTTCCGCTCAGCATCCCGCAAAATACGTCCTCGATGATCAAGAACTCGAGCGCGTCAGTGCACTTGCACGGATCGAGCTCGAAGATGCCCGCGACGAACTACAACGGGCTCATCTAGCAGCACAATCGATGGGCAAGGGTGCTGAAGGAGACGAGGCGGATGATAATAATGTCGACGACGATGATGACGAGGCCAATTGGGTTGAGTGAGTATTTTTCTACCGCAGTTCTTCCTAAGTTCTTATGGTATTTTTTCTTGCCAGTGAAGATGATGAACCTATGGACGTCGATTCTGGCGCAATACCCAAAGCCAAAACAGATGATTTATCTGAATATAAGCTTGATGACTATGACGATGACGCCCCGGCTACAGGTAGCAAACTCTCAAACCTTTAAGCAGCGTTATCCGACTTACTTCGCTTTCATCAGGCGGAGGCCCATTCACAAATATAAAGGGCCTAACATACTACAAAAATAATGAGGAGGATCCATACATCACTCTCAAAGACGTATGTCTCAAACTCTATCCCCTCATCTCTCGATCGACCACTCTTCTTTAAGGAAGACGAGGACGAGCGCGAAGAGCTAGAGATTCTACCTACCGATAACCTCCTCGTCGTCGCTAAAACAGAAGACGATATCTCTCAGCTGGAAGTCTACGTCTACGACGAGTCACAAGAAAACCTCTACGCCCACCACGACCTCATGCTGCCCAACTTTCCTCTCTGCCTTGAATGGCTCGACTTCCCCCCTGCCTCCTCCTCCACGTCTCCCACCTCCAGTACCAATTCAACCCTCGGTCCAACTACAAATGGCTTGGGGAACTACATCGCAGTGGGCACGCTTGATCCAGAGATAGAGATCTGGTCTTTAGACGTGATCGAGGCGATGTACCCCGCGTCGATCCTCGGCCGGCCCGACGTGTCCAAGGCGCACGTCCCGGTACCGAGCGGTACGGGAAAGAAGAAAAAGAAAAAGGCGAAGCACCGCCAAGTTGAGACGGCGTACCACGTCGATGCCGTCCTGGGCCTCAGTTGGAACAAGAAACAACGCAACCTCCTGGCGAGTGCAAGCGCGGATAGGACGGTCAAGCTGTGGGATTTGAGTCGGGACCCGACGTTGAATGGTGCTGAGGGGCAGAGTGGGGGCGCGATTAGGAGCTTCGATGTGCATAAGGACAAAGTTCAGGCGGTCCAGTGGAACACTCAAGACCCAACGGTGCTCTTGACGGGCAGCTACGACCGGACGGTGCGCACGTTCGACTCGAGAGCACCTACCACCGGTGTTGGTGCTATTGTCGGCAGCGATGTCGAAGCCCTGAGATGGGATCCTTGGGAGAGCTACGGATTTTACGTCAGGACTTCCTTTCCCTTCATCCTTTTATCCGTTTCCTTATTTTTATGCAGGTCTCTCTAGAAAACGGCCTCGTCCTCAACTTCGACGTCCGCACCCTTCCCTCCAACCTCGACCAACCATCTCCCTCCCGCTTTACCCTACAAGCGCACGACGGTGCCGTTTCCTCCATCGACGTCAACCCACATCTGAAAGGGTGCATCGTGACTGGTGGATCAGACAAGCTCGTCAAAGTGTGGAATATCACAGAAGAGGAGAACGGGAAGAGGAGCGTCAGCTTGGTGACTTCCAGAGATTTGGGTGTCGTATGTCCATTTTCTGTCTTCACCACTCCTTTTTGGTATTCACAATGGCTTCTTTCTATAGGGCAAAGTCTTCTCGACCGCATTCTCGCCAGACGATCCTCTAACTATCGCAGCGGCCGGCTCCAAGGCCAAGTTGCAAATATGGGACGTTGGCGCCAACTTTGGTGTTCGCAAGGCGTTTGGTGCTAAGTTACGCGAAGCAGGACGGACGTTGAAAGAGAAGGAAGCTCACGAGGGCGGAGGTGTCATTGGTGTCGTAGAAGATGATGATGACAGTGAAGGAGACGACGGAGACGACTAGATGTGTAGATCACCTCCGTTCGGGTGTCTTCAGTGCTGTTGACGTATTTTGAATATCCTGCCTCTCGAAGCACAAATTTATCGGCCGCTAAGTTGGATTTCAGACACGCACAAGATCATCCAAAGAAAGTTTCTATTAGTATTCTTCCGCGGTATAAAACGTGTATAATGTTATAGATGATAAAACGCCCACACAAGACGTGTTTTAAGGGTATGCATTTAATCGTTATCTAGCGTCAATCGAAGTTTCTCCTGCGGTAGGAGATGTTGCGAGGGGCCTTGGGCATCGTGATCATCGTCTGCGAGAACAGGGATAAACGTCGACGTCCAACAAAACAAAGAGAAAAAGACGTACATGGTAATTGTGATCTGGGACTCTGTCAATGCGCATTTCCATAGCCCGGACAACGGTCGAGATGAGAGTGCCCAATTGGAGGTATGCAAACTACGAGAGTAACTGTCAGAAAACCGAACGACGATCGTCTAAGAAAGGGTGCCTAACCTGTTCGCCGATACACCTATGCTTGCCAGCACCGAACGGTTGGTAAGGGCTCTCCGTTCCCTTGCTCACAGCACCGAACCCATAATCGATCTTCTCGCCATTCTCATCGAGGTACATCTTGAATGCCTGAGCAGCAACGCCCTCCGAGTCGTTCCAGCGGTACGGATCCCACTTCTCCGCATCCTTCCACACGGTCGGGTCGCTTTGGGACACGGCGGGCGAGGCAAGAACGTAGTTGCCCTTGGGGACAATGTAGATGCCGTCTTTCGAGGGTGCGGAGAGGGTGGCAGGGATGGGTACGTCGTCGCGGACGTAGCGCATGATGCTGTGGATGGGCGGATGCATGCGGAGGGTCTCGCGGATGACGGAGTCGAGGATGGGAAGCGTGCGCAGTTCTTCGTGTGTGAGAGGACGCATCTTGCCGTCTGGGCCAGTGAAGTACTTAATTTGTTCCTGGTAGAGGGCCTCGCTGCAAAAAAGACGTCAAAACACAAGAAAGAAAGTGACCGCAGGGCTCGTTCATTACGCACGCGACTTTGGGGTTAGCAGCAAGGTGGAGGAGGGCCCATGAACCTGTCGCAGAGCTCGTGTGTTGACCGGCCATGAGAAGAGCAATCATGATATGGGCAATTTCCTCGTCGTTCAGGAGGCGGCCGTTGCGGTACTTCTGTTGCATAAGAGCAGCAATCATATCCGGTTCGTGCTGTTCGACAAGAATAAGTATTCAGTTCATTACAGTCTTAGCAATTCAACTCACATCGTCATGGCCAGTTCTCCTCTTCTTGATAATGTCGACATAGAAGTTGCTCATCTTGACATGCGCGGCATCTCGTCTCCTGTAGCTCGGCAGAGGGAGGTTGGGGAACAAAAAGTTGATGGGCGTGAATCCGTTATCCAGGTCGTTGTAGTACTCTGCGAAGCTCTTGTTCAAGTTCTCGCGGACCTCTTTACCCTGGAGCGTGCGCGACGCGGTGAGGATGGTGATCTCCTGTATGACCTGGACGACGTCGAAGGTGCCCCACTCGTTGATGTCGTTCATCTGGTACGTCCTGAAGCTGGGATCGTTCTTGAGGAATTCCTCGATTTCGTCCTCGATCATGCCGACGTATGCACGCAGATTGTCCGTTGAGAGACCGACTTTGACGAACTTCTTCTGCTCCATGAAAACGTCATTTGGAACGTCGTAGACGACGTCCTTGCCGAAGATGGGGGTCGTAAGGTGCTGTAAAAACAGCTTAGAGAGGGGCCGAGTTTGAAAGAAGAATAGCTACCGTGTACGCATCCTCAGCGTTGAAAACAGTCGACTTTCCTCCAAGAATGAAGTTGTTTCCTTTAGGGCCAAGAGCAACAGTGACGCGACGACCGAGAAGGATGAACGTGAACACATCGCCATACTGCATTTCCCTCAGCAAAGCCGACCTTAACTGTAGAGCATCGTACGCACCTTCTTCTGGCACTCAAAGAAGAAATTCAGAGGGTCGTTGCCGTACTGGATCGCAGAGCCAATAATAGGCAACCAGTGGAACACCGTCGGCGGATCCGTTGCCTTGCGGGGTATCACCTACGACGAACAAAAGTCAAACCCTCCATCCCACTTCACCTCAAAAACAGGAAAGGCCACGTACGAGCTGTCTCAGGACGTTGATCACAATCGCAATAATCGGCGCGTTGATGATGAGCAGGAGGACGGTGCGCTGGTTGTTGTGGAAGTGGGTCTGGGCCTCGGCGAAGAAGCCCTGCCAGGCGTCGCGCAGGGGCAGCGTCCCATTGAGGGCAGCGAAGGACATGACGAGCTCGCAGTGAAGGGACGGTGGGTAGGGTGGGAGTCCGACGAAGCTTGAGGACAGTTGTCAAAATTCACGCGAGGCTTATATTCGGGCCGCCGAATTTCAGAAATCGAACCATTCGGATAGGTCGTCCGCTATATATAAAAGGCAACGCGGGCGACACAACCATGCCCGCTCCAGCCTCTCGTTCTCCTGCAGCCCAGACGCGGTGTCTACGAAAAAAAAAAATCCAGTTGGCGCGATTGTTGGCTTTGGCAAATGGAATCGCCCGCATTACATACGGGTCAACTCGTTCGTTTAAACTTGCACAGTATCAATTTTTTGGCTTCACAGATTTACAGTCCGTGAGGTGCTTCCAAGCTGCAACTCAACTCACTGAAATCTCAGAAAGAACCGAAATTTGGCTTCCTTGAAGGCATATTTTATTGATCTTAGGAATATACAGCCAACACCCATTGGACAGGACAATAGGACAGAGTGCAAACTGCAAGGGTCGGGATATGATCGGAGTCGACGAGCTTTCGTACGAATAGGAAAAGACTTTAGTCGGAGGCGCCGTTGATTGACAGAGCAAGGGAAGCGTTTCCTGGACGGACCTCTCGATGTGAGAGGTCACCGAGCGAGTGCATATGCACTCAAAGCCAACCTAAGGCAAATTATGAGCATACACAGGAGTATATGCAGGAGGAAAAAGAACGCACTGTTCCAGGTTGGGCTTCGATGTCGCCTTTCCATATATCCGTACTTGAGAAGAGGAGAAAGACATAACGTGAGGTGCCTGAAGAAGGTCAGGAGGGAGACCGATATGAAATGGCTCAGGAGATAGGGTGCTGGCTGCGGAGCTCCTCACCACATCCTTCTCCCAAGCCTATCACTGTCAAACCATTTGGAGGGGTCGATGGAGGCGGTACCGATGTTGAGATCCGTCAAGTGTGCAATATTTAAGGCTCGGAGGTGGAGAAACGAGTGACTTGGAGGGGAGTGGTGCTGCGCCCCGAAGAGCCCGGCTGGTGGATTGAAGATGATTGTTCGGAGAAAGAGCCATTTCTGAAGAGACCTTTGTGGTGTAGGGACTGAATTGAAGTGATGAGGAGGAGTGATAGACGCGGGGATGGGACGGATGCAAAATTGAAAATAGGCACAACGGATGGTGGCTGTGGAGCGGAGATCGGTGGTCACGCACGTCATTTGGATGCTCTCTCGTCCCCGCCTCCATCGACTGTGCAGAGTTGCTGCACCTCCGCCATCCTGGCTGTCCCACCAAACCCGCGCACCCGGCTGCGCACAAAGGTCGCTGCTCTCGTCCGCTTCAGGCGCCCGGCACGTGTTCCCTCGTCTCCATCACTCCCAGACACTGTGCCTCACCCAGAACACGCGAGCATCGTCCCGCCAGCTACCGCCCTCTCCGCCGCATCCCTCCCAGACACCCACACCCCGGCACCCATGACCCAGTACTCCTCACCCTCCCCACCGCCCACGAAGCCCAATCTCAAGGCCTGGTGGCGCGGGTTCACCTTCGTCCAGGGGGCAAAGCGCCCTCCGCCAGACACAACCACCCCCTACAGACGTGCGTCCACCCTTCTCACCTCATTGTTCTCATGCCCACTCTACCCTCTCTCCCAGCACACGACACGGCCGATCACCCCGTCTTCGGCAAGTCCCTCAACGACAGCCTCACCTACGCCTCCGTCCAGATATCCACCGCAAACGCCAACGGCGACCTCTACGTCTGGGGCTACATACCTGTCGTCGTCGCAAAGTGGTTCGTGCACTCCTCGCCTGCCCACACCGTCCAAGTTAACGTTCCCAACAGCGGTCTGTATCTGAAGGAAAACGGTTGGTCGTCCCCGCCTCACTCCCCTGTCTCTTCCCTTACCCAACCCGCCGCAGCAACTGAAGTCCCCGGCACCTTTCGCGTCAATGGCTCCAACAAGCGAATGCGCGATCTCCAGGCGGCTTTCGAGACTCCTCCCAGAGTACGTGTCTCTCTCTCTCGGCCACCGTCACCGTGTACCTTGGCACCAACTTATTATCTTACCATCTATTCTCCGTATAGTACGGCAAATCGCTCGACTGGAGGCAAGAGACCTACACCACACACGACGTAGCCAGCGTCTTTCGGAGATACCTCACCCAGATGCCTGTCAGTCCTCTGCGTCCGCGTCCGCTATGCCTCTCGACAACTCACTCTTCCTTCTTCCACAGGAGCCTGTTATACCCTACGACATGTACCATCTCGTGCGCCAGTCTCTCCTCCATCCTCTTCCTCTGCCAAATACTAACCGTTTACACCCCCGTTAGTTCCGTGACGCCCTCTGTATGTCTTCCCTACCTACCTACTACCTCCGTTACCCATGTCTAACGCCGTCCAACAGCCAAAACACCCTTCAACCACGAAGAGACCGTATCAACCTTCAAGTCGCTCATACGGCGAATGCCTAGACCGAACCAGTACCTCCTACTATACGTGCTCGACCTCCTCTCCGTCTTTGCGAGGAAGAGCGACAAGAATTTGATGACTGCAACCAGTACGTCCCTCTCCCTTCTCCCATCTCCCTTCTCTCTTCTCCCTTCCCCCTTTTTCCATCTCTTTTCTTCCATTTCTCTTCCTTAAATTTAACCTGAGCGGCATGAAAATGGCGAAGAAGTGATGGTGGAGTTCCAACGAGTTATGATGGGCATGAGGGGGTTGGCAGGGGCGACGCATGTCTGTAGGGGGAGGGTGTGGAGGATGGAGGGTCCGAGAAAAGCTGGGGGCCTTCCCCTAGCTTTTCAAAGGATAAGATAATGGAAGTGCGACTCCAGATTTCGCCGCCGCACATTTGCCACACGGGCAAATCCAGAGCAAAGGAATGGGATCCTCCCCTCGTCCTCGTTGTCATCGAGGTTTTCTTTTTTCGACCCACCCACCTTCTCCCTTCAGTGTCTGGGGCAGCTGGCTTCCCCGTCTATATTTCTTATATTTGACTCAAGCACACCCAGAACGCGTCGTGACGCGTAACCACTTTAGGTTTTTCCGACATTTTTTCCCGTCCCTTCTTTCTTCTCCCCTTTCCCATTCCTCCCTCTCCCACCCCACTAACCACCCCTCTTACCATACAGACCTCGCAGTGATCTTCCGTCCCGGCATCCTCTCACACCCCGAGCACGAGATGTCGCCCGCAGAGCACGCCCTCAGCCAGCGCGTCCTCGAGTTTCTGATCGCGCAGCAGGATTGGTTTATGTTGGATATCTCTCCGCCGCCCGAGACGGGGCCTGATTCGACGAGTGGGGGTGGTGGAGGCGGCGGAGGAAGCAGACACGGGCATGGAGGCGGTGGAGGAGGAGGACAGGGAGGGGGTAAACGGAGGGAAGGAGGCCCTAGTAGGAGGGGTACGGGGGATAGTGCCGGTCCTGGTACTTCTGGTGGCGCTGGTGGTGCCTCTGGTTCTGCTGGAGGTACATCCGCAGGTGCAGGTGGAAATGTGGCGGCACTGGCACTGGGCACCCAGAGGAACGCAGAAGCAGGCCCGTCGAGGAAGCGGGTGGGCAGTCTGCCAGCGCCTATAGCGCCGATGAGCACCCCGGTGGGGATATGGGGCCAACCGCAGACGCCGGCTCAGCAGGTTATCGCCCAAGCTCAAGCTGCGAGCTCGAATCCGAACCGACATGGAGGCCAGCTGACGGAGAACATATCCCCGCCGTCGTCTGCGCCGCCCTCGCCCACCGTCCCTGGGTTTCCTGGCGGTCGTGCTCAGAGTCATGCGCAGAGGCAGTCGGGCCTGAGTAGTGGGAGGAGGTCTTCGCCGCTGGGCACGAGCCGGAATCCCCAACACCACCAGCACCAGCACGGGCATGGCCAGCCGCATAGGCCCGGGCACCAGAGGACGACCTCGAGCCAGACGCACCCGCAGACGAATGCTGGTACGTCGACGCAGTATTACCCACCGATATACGCTGCGCTGCATACGACGTCGCCTGAACCTCAAGCAGAATCCCAATTCCATTCGCAACGCCCATCCCTACCGCCACCTCCACAAGCACACATCCAACCGCCCCAACCGTTCTCCTCGCTCAATTCCCGACCTCTTCCATCGGGCGCCTCCGACTTTTCCTCGATCATGTACGTTCCCGCTGCCATCCCTTCGCGCCCTTCGCATCCTTCGCACCCTTCCAATGCCCACTCCTCATCCCTACCCCTACCCCTACCCCAACCACCAACACTCACTTCGCCCTCTTCCATTGACGTAGAGATGGAGGACGACGCCCTGTCCATAGGCTCCGGGTGGAGGTTGATCGGGTACGCCCCTACGCCTGCCGCTGACGGTGTCAAACCGAAACATCCTCTCGGCGGGCTGGGTGTGGGCTATGGAGGTGGGTACGGCACCGCGGTCGGTGGGGGTGGGTTCTTGAAGATGGGCAAGGAGAAGCCTGTGCTGAGAGGTATGGACAAGGAGAAAGACGACAAAGAGAACAAGGAGGGCAAGGAGAGGGAGGCTAGAGAGAAGGAGAAGGAGAAGAAGGAATTGAGGATGGTGAGGAGAAGAACGACAGCTGCCCACCCAGGCTCTGAGCTCGCGCTCGTGGCGCCCATACTCGAGGACGCGCCGTCCTCCTCCACTGCGACTGGTGCTAGTGCTACTGGTGCGAGTGGGTCTGGAGTGAGTGTGCAGCGCAGCCGGACGTTGCCTTCGAGGAGGAAAGGAGGGCTGGACGAAGGTGGAGGTGTGGAGGGAGGGGGGTCGCCTAACCTCCAGGGGCAAGGAGTGCAAGGGCAAGGACAAGGGAGGGGCCAAGGGCAGAGGGAGAAGAGGGTGCTGAAGAAGCAGAGGAGGGCGTCGACGCAGACGGGCTCCGAGAGGGAGAAGAGCCCGACGACAACGCCGATACCGGCGCCTCGGACGTTAGGATGGACGGCGGGCATGGGAGGAGGAGCGGGGGCGGGATCGTAGGTTCGTCCTGAGCTTGATGATTCTACTTTCTTTTCTCGCTTTTGGGTTGCAATGAACCTGGACACTTGGATGCATGACGGACTTGCAGCTCGGGTGCCAGTGCTTTGCTACCTCGAGTTTCTATTTTCTCTTTTCGTCTTTGACACGTCCGTTTTTTCTTTTCCTTGATATTTACCTCCTGGGCGCAAGGTTGCTTTACTTTTACTTCGCTTTCTTGCCTCTTAATCTCCTTTGGCTGCGACCTTTTCACGGACACCATCTCATGCATTTACTTTCATAGCAGCAACTCCTACACTCTACCCGTACGACACGACTCTACTACGACGACGCACGCAGTGCTCACACTTTAATGAATTCAACGACTAGGTCCTCACTATTCTGATGATTCTGCATTTCCACATCACATTACATCACGACCTGCTATCCCACTGTCCCTCCTCTCGTACATTACCCCCCACGCTAGTACCCGCACCACATGCATACAAGTATGCATATCCCGTTTCGTTTCGCTTTTCACGACTTAGCAAGTAAATGTACAAGGTGTACCATATAGTAAATGGATGCTCTCGGACGCTCGGGCTCTTTCACGTTACAAACTTTTCTCACTATTTCTTCGTACTTAGTAATGGACTCTCTTTTGAAAGTGGACTATAATACTAAGCAGTAGTAGTATGTAGATACTGCTGAGTTCGTTTTTTTTCGTTGCAGTGTCATTCGAGTTCTGCTCGTTTCGATTATTCAATACGTACTTAGCTTTCGTGGATCTAGAGATACGATTTTTTTACGGTTATGAGTAGTTTGGGACGTACGGATAATCGAGTCGATGTAATTAGGTAACTTCATACACCAGTGTGGAACTACGAGCTGCAAGATGATGAGCTTTGATAATATGTTATTCCTCAAATCCAGGGCAGTGCGGAATTCAACAATCACAAAAAGTATGTACATAGTTGCCATCGGGGTGTATTACACTGTCAATGTCAAATTCTGAGTCAAATTCTGAGATGTGGGCGCCTGTCTTGGCTTCCACTGTCCAGAGGATGAGAAGAGGCTACGAGAGGTGCCATTAAAAGTTTAAACCCTCCCCGGTCGTTATCGGTATTGCCACAGCGGGCTCTTGTGATGTGATGGAACGATCTGCGCCACATCGGGATTCCCGGGAACACCATTTCTGGTGCCAATCATAATTGGCAAGATCGGCAGCCACAGCGGGATCAAAATCGACCTGATGAGCCATCATTTCTTCAACTTTCCCCTCGCTCAAACGCGCTCGAGTTCTCACCAAGCGCTAATCCTGTACGGAAGTAATACAGTGGAGGTTGAAACGTTGACCATGCAACCCGAGCATCTGAGACAAGGAGGGAAGAGTGGGAAAGGCTATAAATTGGGCGGCCAGTCGCGCTATTGCTCATCAGCAAAACAGCCCACTCACCAGCGCCTCAAAACACTCATTCTCTCTTCTCAATAAATACCCAACTTCTTTCTAAATCACCATCTTGACGATGAGGTTCTCTCTACTCCCCGTTGTCGTCTTCCTGGCCGCCGCCGCCACCTCCGTCCTCGGTCAAGTGTGAGTGCCAGTTGTGGCATTGCCTGATGGCTGTGTACTGAAGCCATTGGCTTACCCAGCGACGGTGTCAACGTCGACGACATCTTCGAGCGCGACATCACTAGCCCAGAAGACCACCTTGAGGCGCGCGACGTCCACACCAACCTCGCTCTCGCTCTCCGTGAACTCGAGGAGGTCCGCCAAAGGAGCTTGGACCACGTACGTCGAACTGGTTTCTTCATAAATACTTAACCTCTGACGAGGAATGGATCATCTACAGGCCTACCACGTCAAGCGCACCATGGAGACTCTCGAGAGGTAAGTCGGAGGTTAGGCTATATGTCATCAAGCTTGTACTCATTGCAATTTTACTAGACGCTCGAGGTCCACTTGCTATGCCGCATGCGCTGCTCAATTCTCCGGCGCGAACAAGATCGCTTGCTGGAAGAAGTGCGACGCGATCTGGAATGGAAAGAAGAAGTAGATCGTCGTCGACTAGTAGTCCGACTAGTGGTGCTTTTCGCTCTAGTAATCATTCCTTACTACCAGGGTCCCCTTTTTTGCGTAGTCACATCAGCCTAGTACCCACACATATTTAACGGTTAATCCATTATTTGTAACTCTTTTTTCATTGACGCGCCTCAGCCATCGACAGTTCAAACGTTGTGAAGAGCCTCTGACCTGCTATGATAGGCTGTAAAGATCGCGAAGTTTGAGCTTCCAATCCCTTCCTTTTTCAAAGTTCGATCAAGTATTCCTGTAAAGATGTCAAAATTTGGTTCTTGGAATTTCTTGAAGTCCCCTTCTAGTGGACCAGAGAGAGATTTCGAGCTGTTAGGTAGTTGGCCGGCCCGGTTAACCGGCCAACGAAAAAGGCACGTCACCCAAGTACTCGCCCTTTGGTCTCATCCCCAATGTCCCTCCGTTCCGCCCTCGCCCGGGGTGCCCAATGCTCACGAAGAAACACCCTATTGGGTGTACGATGCGCCTCCTCCTCCCATTCATCACCCTCAACATCATCATCCACCACCTTGTCATCATCCGTCCCAACACCAACATCCAGTAGCCGACACCTCCATGACTCACCCGCAACGCGTCCCCAACACCCCACCTCCCCATCCCTGCCGGGGCACAAAAAACCACGGCCCAGAAAACCACGAAACGGCTTCGAACCCACCCGCGACACGAACAAGTACTACCCAATGGACCCCGAGGAGGTCGAGGCGGACGAGGCGCTCCTCCTGCCCCGTATAGAGAAGCTCGTAGGGTCTAAGCCGACACGGCTTGCCCTGCGTGAGGCCGCCCTGGCGAGTAAGGGAGTGGAGGGCGAGCCGCATTTACCGCATCCAATCAGGGCGGACACGGCGGCGGCGATGAAGGCGGTGCTCAGGATGGAGGCGAGGCAGACGACGGATCTGGCGCAGGTGAGGAAGGGGGAGTTAAGTGTGGCGATAGAGGCAGAGGAGGAGGACGAGGCGGTAGGGTTGTCGTTCGCGCCCGGGACATTCGTGGAGACGAGGAAGTATGTGTTTTTGTCATTCATGATTTGATCTTCGGTCTCGTTCTTATGCTATTCTACGTCTACAGGAACGAGCAAAGTGTGCAGGGCATCGTCCTGGACGAAGTCGTCGAGGACCGCAAGTGGACCGTGTTCTCGCTCAACTCGCATGGGGAAGTATTCGGGCACTCGCGCGCCGACGTGCACTTTGCCGTGCCCAACTTCATCTCTGCCGACCACGCCGAGCGGTGCGGAACGCTCTTCATCACCAGCACGCCCTCCCAAATCGCCGCGCGCGTTGAAGCCCTCAAACAGCTCCGACTCATGTCCAAGAAATCCCAATCCGAGGCTATGGGGACCAAGTCCTGGGAAATGCAGCGCGCAGTGAACATCTACGACCGCGTCAAGCACGGCGACCCCACGCGATGGGCGACGACGACCGTCGAGGAGGTGACGCACCTCTTCTACACGCAGCCGTCCTTCGTCGACTACTACACGACGCACAAGTACCTCATGGACAACTCGCTCCATTATGTCGCGGCGCGGAACTACCTGAAGACGCAGCGGTTCGCGGTGCGCCCCGAGCGCGACGTGCGCGAGATCAAGGAGGTGCTCATGTATATTACGGAGTACCGCGACGGCACGCGTGTGAATGGGCCATTCCGGCGGTTCTTTAGGAAGGCGAAGCGCGTGCTGCGGGAGTACGAGAGGCTGGAAGAGGAGGGGAAGAGGAGGGATCGCGGTCCGGTGGGGGTAGAGCCGATGGAGGTGCAATGGAGCGAGGAGGACCAGCTATTCCTCAGGTTCCTGCTGCGCTCGTGCCAGCCCACGCAGTCGAACCAGTGTGATCCATTCACGGCCGGGCGGAACGCGATCATGAAGCTCCTCGTGCCGCGTGGCCCGCCCCTGCAGGACAACATTGTCGCTGGAACCGTCATGAAGCTCGGCATCATCGCGCCCTGGCAGAACTTGTATGAGCTGACGCCCAAGTTCAACCCTGTGGGCGACTTTACGGTGAGGAACTCGCTGGCGGATGAGGATAGGGCGATTGTTGACAGGACGGTGGGGTATACCGCCAAGGCGGGTGCGGTGTTGGGCCCGGAGGATCTGCGTCCTGCAGACCCGCTGGAGGGCGTCAGACATGACTTTGGGGATCTGACGGTCTTTGTCATTGATGCAATGAGTGCTGAGGAGCTGGACGATGGGGTCTCTCTGGAGCATATCCCTGGCGAGCCAGATGCATTCTGGGTGCACGCCCACATCGCCGACCCCGCATCCGTCCTTCACCCGGGCCACGTGCTGTGTATGAGGGCCAGAGAACGCGCCTCGACGTTCTACTTTGGCTCGCAATCGTTCCCTCTCTTCCCCAAGGAGCTCATACACCATCCCAAGCTCGGCATGTCGCTGGGCGATAGGTCGAAGACCGGGCTGGGCGACCGCACGATCACGCTCAGCATGAAGGTCGACATGCAGGGCAACTTCCTGGACTACAAAGCAAGAGCAGGCCTCGTTCATAAGATCAGAAAGGTCACATACCACGACGTCGACCGGGTGCTGGGCATTCCGCCCCGGAATACGCACTATCCCTTCGGTGGCCCACAGGAACCCCCAGAGCACACAACCACGTTTACCGAAGACGAAACAACCGACCTTCGTATCCTCAAGCGCCTGATGGACGCGCAGACCAAGCGCCGCGTTGCCAACGGGGCGATCACCTTCGCCGCCGAGACACCACGGATTGACTGGAAGGAGCGCCCCGATATCCAGACGCCCTGCATGACGGGAGCGATATTCCATGGCTTCCCGGAGATGCGGTACGCGGTGACGAGCTCCGTGGACGAGGAGCACGGCGCGCACGGGATGGTCGCAGAGACAATGAAGCTCGCGTGCCGCGCGGTGTCGCGCCTGGGCACGGACCACGGCGTCCCACTCATGCGGCGCGTCATGGATCCCTGGGTGGCTGCATCCGAAGAGTCCCATCAGGCGCTGCTGGACGCGCGCACGCCGAACGGCATAGTCAGTCTATTCTCGAACCTGCACCATATTTTGATCAATACGGCGTCGGCGGTTAGTCTGCTACCCAAGGGACATGCGTCGTTGGGTGTGAAGGACGGGGAGGGGTACGTCCGTGCGACGTCGCCGCTGAGGAGGTACGAGGACCTCGTGGCGCATTGGCAGCTGCACCACATTTTGCAGGGTGACAAGGCACCTGCGCGTCCCCCGTTCGACGTCGCGGATATGGAGAAGTTCGCGGTGGACGCGGTCACGCAGGACCGGACAGTGCGACAGCTGCACAACGCGGACAACACGTATTTCGCCCTCGTGCGGATCCAGCAGTACTTGGAGGACATGAAGCGTGGAGTCGCAAGGCCCGAGGGAAATATTTTGGAGGGCTTGAAGGCGTTCAACACGATGAACCTGAAGAGAAACATGATTGAAAATGTGAACCATACGTTCGTGCACATTCCATACCTGGGGATGATCGCACACCTGGTGGACTTGACTATGGACTTCGCGCAGGTCCGGCTCTCGACGGAGCTCAGGGTGAAGGTCAAGGACGTCGAGTTGGGCATCAAGAGGCCGAGGTTGCTTGTGACGTTGGATGACAAGGGGTCATAGCTGTTGGGTAAATTATTCGATGTCGTATAATGTGTATACTAGGTAAATCTCTAGATTTCAGAATACTAATCATAACCCCCTCTTATACTGACAACAAAATTAGACGCTCATGACATTTTGGTCATGATTTAGTCAGCTCCAATTTTCCATTTTTCTTACCTCTTCATTTAGACACCCTTCTTGCCTAGACCCTTCTTGCAAAATTTGTTTCCAGCGAAACGACATCGGATTCCATCTGAGGGCCGCAGGTGAACTGGCTAATAACTGGCACACAGCCTTGGCGAGGCCTGCCGAGAGAACTATTTTTATCCCGGCTTGCCGACCCCTCTAAATTTAGCCCATGCAGTCCACCTGCTGAGTTGAATCATGCGTTTTGGGAGGGGTGGGAGTGTGTCCTCGGATGTGAAAGGGTGTCGTGGGCGAGAACCGTCATCATCACCGTCACTTCTTCTTTCCAACCACCACCATCCACGTTCAAGTCGACATGCCAGCCTACCGCGACAATCCATTCGAGCACACCAACGAGAGTCGCCCATCGGACCTCCAGGATTATTATGATACGGTGCCGGTGAGTCTCGTCTTTCATGCTAGATCTATTCATAGACACCGCACAACACCGTCAGAGTGTGGAGAGGCTTTCTTCCTTGATTTGATGAGGAAGGGCAAGCTTCGCCGTTCTCGAAGAATGAGCTTGAGTCGCCTCAGTTTTTCAACTGATCGATCACTTTCACGACCCATTTTCTCTTCCCTGAGCCCTTTTTGTAGTCAACCACCCGCTGACCATTCAACTTCCTTTTAGGCACCCCACCGCCTTTCAGGGAACTACTCTACTTCCTCCCTCCCAACAGGAGCCAGCCACCCAGCCCGTAACACGGAAGGCTTCCAAGGCGGCATACCACTAGCCACTGGCCCCTTCTCTTCCTCCAACTCAGCCACCACGTCCACGCCCTACCAAGCCATAGGCTCGTATAACCAACCATTCACCGCCGAGTCCACAGACAACCTCCCAGCACCTGCAGGCGGTTATAGGATGGCTGACTATGGTAACACTATGTCCCGCGAAGGGAGCAATGTTATGAGTAACGCTACGGAACCCAAGCTAGAGACGTATGGCAGTCGTGGAGGGAGTACGTGGATGGAGCCGAAGGCGCCAAAGTCGAACCGTAGGAAGTGGATTGTAAGGACCTCACTTTCCTTCTCTCCCTTCTGATGCCTACCGTTGTACTTTGTCTCACCAGGTTATGAGCATTTGCCTCGCCGTCGCGGGCATCATTATCATCGTAGTTACAGTCGCTGTCGTCGTCTCAAATAACCACAAGAAAAATTCGACGCTCTCCACCACCTCTGGCTCCACCTCTGGAACTAACAGCGGCAGTGGAACAGTCCAGACGAACCCCCATGATCCCAGCAGCTTCACGAAGGACCCGAAACTGCACCAGTCGCTCTATGGCATTGCGTACACGCCTGTGGGCTCGCAGCTGCCGGATTGTGGTAATTCACTAGGTACGTTAGCCGTTTGTTTGGCAGTTGGTGTGGGCTCGTGCCGCCTGTCGCGGAGAGGACGTTGTCTTGTGCGAATTGTATTTTTGGACGTGACGTACTGAAATAGCTCTCCACAGAGGCCGTCATCCAGGATATTCAGGTTCGCATCACTCGGTCTATTCTCGATCTAATGGCTAATTTTCCCAATGCTCAGATCATGTCGCAACTAACAAAGGTGCGTACAATTTGAGAATCCTCCTTCCTTACATTCTCTCAGCCGTGCCTTTCTTCATAGCGCATCCGCCTCTATGGTGCGGACTGTAACCAATCCGCACTCGTCGTAAGCCATCTTTTGTCTCTCCAAATACAAATAGCCGTCTAAAAACGATCGACCCGGAATAGCTCGAAGCCATCAAGCAGACCAAAGTCGACATGACGGTGTGGCTGGGTAATTACCCCATCGCGACGGACAACAACGCCGCGTACCAGCGCCAGCGCGACGTCATCAAGCAGGCCATCCAGACGTACGGTACGGACCACATCGGCGGCGTCACGGTTGGGAACGAGTTCATGCTGAAGTGCGTCCTTCAACTGTTAATTTTTATCCTCTCTGTTTCAAATCTGTTGACTTGACTCTAGTTATGTGAATGCCAACGGTGCCACAGACGCGAATAGCGCGATCGGCAGCACCGGCGCACAGATCCTCATCGCAGACATCCAGGACACACGTCAGATGCTCTCGTCCATTGGGGTTAGCATCCCCGTCGGGAACGCTGACGCTGGAAGCTACTTTAACAACCAGGTCTTGCAAGCTGTTGACTACGGGGCAAGTCAAACCTTGAAAATTTCCAATGATAGGTTCTCAACGGAATATCTATAGATGGCCAACGTCCACCCCTGGTTCGCAAACGTGTCTGCCCAGGAATCGGCAGGATGGACAGCGGACTTCTTCGCACAGCAGGACGTAGCTGTAGCGAACAGCCTATCGAACAAGCCAACGATGTACATTGCGGAGACTGGTTGGCCTACAGTACGTACCTTGTATTCTCCCCTATGTGTGCCTCTAACCTCATTCATATCCGTAGAAATCGTCGGATGCAGGGAATGCGAACAACGGCCCTTCGACGGCATCTGAGGCGAATCTGCAGGTGAGGTTGATTTACTAGAAAAGACACGTATTTCGGTGGTTGATTATGGCATACGCGTAGATCTTCTTGGACACTTTCGTATGCCAGGCCAACAAGAATGGAACGGGGTATTTCTTCTTCGAGGTAGGTGGTTCAGTGCTCTTTGCTTGACAGTCGTACTGAGAGGGCCGGCTTAGTTCTGTGATGAGGATTGGAAAGTAAGAAATCTACCTCAAGTAAAGAACAATTTTTTCGACACTGACAAATTCTTCTTCAGGACAAACAATTCGGAGGCGTTGAGGTATGACCGAGATTGGAATTGCCCACTCCCTTCTTCTAACTCTTTATTTCACTAGGGATGGTGGGGTTTATTCAACCAAAAGTACGTTTGCCCTTCATCATTCTGATTTCCCGCTTATATCCTTGTTCCTGCCCAGCCGCACGCTTAAGAACGTCGTCATCCCCAATTGTCAGTCACCCTGAACGCCGCGCTCATGCGCCACACTCGCCAAGCCAGGGTCTCATCAAGCAATCATCGCGTCGCGGAAGCAAATTGATGCTCACATCTCGAATCTAAACCATCATGCCTTCATGGTCCAAGTACATTTAAATAAAAGGACGATATTATTAATTCCCATCTTCTGCATACTCTATCTGCTTATTTATGCTCCCATGACATTCACTCTACGGGCGTTTCATCTACTTTCGAATTTCGTACACACGTTCCTTTCTAGGTTTTACAACCTCTTCCGTTCGCTTTATGTAATTTAAAACAATGGACTTGACTTTCTCTTCTGTGGGTAATGTAATCTTCTGCGAATCTCGCGCACTACTGCAGTCCGTCTCTTCTACCTCTTGCGCTGAACTTCAGGTTGCGCGGATCGCATCCCGCGAAAGGCATGCACAGCGTAAAACGCCGCTACATACCAGCTCTGCATGAGATTCGTTATCTCTAGCTGCGTTCTATTCGCCCGTTCACGCGTCTTCTCCGTCTCGAGATTGGTCTCGGCCATCTTCAGCCTGAGCTTCTGTAGCTCGAGCTCGGTTCGAGCAGTCTCCAGCTTGAGCTTGTCCAGTTCGAGTGCTTCGGGTGAGAATTGCAATAAAGCCGTCTTATGCTCTAGTTGCCCAGCTTCGAGATGCAGCTTAGCGGTATTTTGCTTGACCTGTGCTGTTGTCAATGCTATTTTTGCCAGCCTAGATTCGGCCACTGTGTTCCCCTTGTCCTTGACGCCGAGAATAGCTGCATATATGCACTGTTGAGGACGGGTATTACACGCTAGATGAGCAGAATCTACCTTGGTGACGCTGCTCTCTCTCTGACTCGCTTTCGCTTTTGCCCTCATTCTCATCCTCACTATCACTGTCACTATCACTTTCACCGTCGCTCTGAGAAAACAGAGTTTGCATCCCGGGACTTCTATTTATCAGGTCTTGGAAGCCGCGATTGAGAATCAACAAACAAGGTCGATAACAAGAGAAATACCTTGCAGGATGGCAACCTGAGTATCTAGAATGGTTGCGGCATCTGTCGCAGGCATTGTGTATGCGTTAAGATAAAGCACCAAGGAAGTCAGGACCGTGAGCGGGGGTCATCGATATCGGTCATCACCCCAGTTGGGTTATCTACAAGGCCAAACAACCGCCACAAATTCCGATGCTGACACCGTCTTTACGCACCCCCTGTGCTTCTTGTTTCATGTATTCAGATTGCAGAGCGTAGTCGCTGTAGCTCGTATACATGCCGCTGCATGGTCGCATATATGAAATGCTTTCTTCCTGAATTATTAGGCCGAAGTGCGCCACATTTACCAAGCCGGGGGTCTACGATGACGGTATCAGAAGTAAATTGTCCGTCCATTTGCAAACCTCAAGATATTTATGTGCAACACTAACAAGCATTGATGGTGTAGCGGTAACATTGGGTCTTCCCATGGCCTAGCTCCGGGTTCGACTCCCGGTCAATGCAACGTCTTTTTTCTTGTCAATTCATCTTGATGCAACAAAGTCCGGTCGCAATCCATCATGGTTTCTCTTCTGCTTCTGATGTTATCATTCTTGGACGGCTTTTCAGAAAAAGGTCAACAAGATGGCGGGAGCGGTTTTCTTCAACTTGTTCAACGAATTTAGAAAGAAAAAGGAGGGCCCAACCGGGAATTGAACCCGGGACCACGCACATTTGACTCCATCCGGAGCGGGGAAAACCCGAAGCGCGTATCATACTACTAGACCATTAGGCCGCTACAGAAAGTTCCCTATTTTGTAGCCATGTACTCCAGCATCCCTGTTTCAGACCCCGAACTTCTAACGTAATAACCCAGTTGTCAGGTTCAGCTTGGACCCCGGGGATGACGAGGAGCCTAGTCAATGGCATTGAGTGGATCTTTGGAATTGCCTATGGGCCCAAAGGGACCGCGGCAGACCGCTGAAGCGAATGAGTACCTGATTGCTATCCCCGAGCGATTTAACTTTTCTGATGAGCCCAAGGAGATTTTTGTTTTGCTAGGTTTTGCTACTCGTATGGGTAAGGGTTCCTCCAAGAGCTGCCCTATATGCTTTTAGATCATAATGCGAGCCTGGACGCTTTACAACTTGCTAGACAACTGGGGAAATCGAGAGTAATAAACCAGGTCATTCTATCTATGTATGTACAGGATGGCTTGAGAGCAACAGGAAAGTCCAGAATACGGTGATTAGTGAAGGTTGGTAAACTATATACGGCTCGTCCAGAATACTCGTCCATGCGAATCGAGAACACAGTGTCACCTACTCCAGTCCACCGAACGCCTGAGTCACCTTCCTCGTCTGGCCATCGGGATGGGAAGAGCGCGACCCCATCGACGCGAAACCCGATGCCACGATGGTATCCAAATGAATGAGCATGTGAGCTTGTCAGATTCTCTTCAGACAACAAGTTGAACAGGGCAGGCTGACTCTCGGTTTGGTCTCCAAAATCGGTGTCTGGAATGATTAATCCGATCCGCTCCAGTCCACCATGACAAAAGGCGGCGATTTGTGGATGAAGAAAGGCTGGGATAGATATGCACCTAGCATTCAATCCTCTGAACTTTCGGTGCTTCCACACTGGTGCCTGAAATAGAGACGAACGGCGAGAAGGGAGATCGTCGGATTGAGGGGCGGTGAGAAGGTCATGAATTCGTGACAACGATGCATCTGCGACAAGCAACCTGTCGGATGGGAGAAGCCAGATTTTCTGGAGGGAGGAGCTTTGTCAATACCAGCTAAATATACTCAGATACTAGGAATGTAGATCCAAATGCGTCATATTCTGGCATGCGCCAAAGCCCAAATTGAAGACCAACAACCTGTCGGCGGAAAGACCATCTGTTGCCAAAGTCTATGCCGACTGCCATAAACACCATGACTCGGCCAGATTCATCGTAAGGGGGTGGGGTGAGTAGTCGTGCGATGTGTTCTGAAGCATCGAGATCAACACATATTCCACTGATCCGTTGGTTATTGCATGCAAGAACCAGCGTCCCCCACGGACAAGGTACCTATTGTTCCAAATATCTGGCGCAAGTTCCGCTGACGAGGACTCGGCCGTCCGCAGCCCACGGTACTTCAGCCCCTTTCCAACGAAGGACTAGGCATTCGAGTTCGCAAGATCCATAGTCTTGAATGGGTTTATTGGGAAGAGAGGGTTTCAGGTTCGTGAAACGGGAGTACTCCTCGAAGAGGTACATCCAAATTGGACGTGCCTTGGAAGCTTCGTACATTCGCCGACAAATCTAGCAGCAGGAAACAAGCATCTTTTCTTGCAGAGAGCGGGCAGCGACACATGCGCAAAACATCATCCCACTCCAGCCGCTTCATAACCTCGACTAACATTTATAATGGTAGGTTCACCAGTCCAGTAGGATCGTGCGCGATCTATGCGACGCTCCAGTGAGAACAGGCGTGACAAGAGAGTCATAACAGACGAACTCACTTCACCGGGCTTGAGCGCAGGGGCATCTGGGGAGAATATCGCTTCGAAAGAGTTCTGGAAATCCTGGTCATTAGGATGGCCAGCAACGTCGAAGGTTGGAGACGTGTTTGAGCCTTTGGAACAAATTGTGTTAGCTGCGGAGAAAGGCGACATGGCAGGATGCTATGTGAGAAATCAAGGGATCCAGGAGTAGAACGACACGAAAAAAAAAATTGACGAGGGAAGGAGGCCTCAACAGCGCGGCTTGAAACACCAAAAAGTAAACACCGGGAGCGGCGCTGGAAAATGTCTGCAGTTTAGGCAGACTCTTCCCTGAACGCTGGTACTAAGTGGTGAATGTTCCATGCCAAGACAAGAAATAGAGCAGGTATTGGCGACATTTCTCACGCCTCGAAACTGGGAGGTTCTGAACTTTATATCAACCATTCCTCGCTCGATAATCTTTACGATAGCATCTCACTATGATGATCAGAAAGAAAACATCTACAACACGTCTTCCTCAGAGCCTCCTGCAACAACTCGACGAGTCTTCAGGTGCGTTCATATCCTGGCTATGCGTATTTGAAGTCCTGAAGTCAAACAGATCATCCGCAGAAATTCCATCGTACTCGTTCACTACCTCGCAAAGAGGCGAGGAAGCAAGAACGAACATCCCAAAAGCAGAAGAAAGTCGCGTACTTTTCACATTCTCGCAATGCGCAAAAACGTCCAGCGGAAGAAGAACATCAAGAGTCCCCACAACGCAAGAAGCCTCGTCAAAACGCTACCCCGGTCAATACCCCCACTGCCGCTCCAAGTTTCAAGAAGTCGATAGAGCAAAACTATGAGGCTTCCAGTACAACTCAAGGTTCGAACAGCAAGCCTCGTCCGGTCGAGAAAAGGCAGAAGGCACATACTGTCGCTCACCTGAAAGGCCGGAAAGAGGAGGAAGAGGACAATTACATCGCGTATCTAGAGTCGAAGCTCGGTTTAGGAAAGACAGGAAAGCGAAAGCATGCTGCAGGGGTGGAAGAAGATGGCTTAGACGGCATGTCGTTCTTTTCGCATGCATTACCAAAAGCTTAATTATCTCGCACGTCAGATCTCCTTGACTGGGCCGATTCCGTTGTAACATCTTCAAAGGTGAGTCCTTTGGTCCACCTACACTGCATGTCTTAATACGACTTTTAGAACGTCCAGCCTGAACCTGAAGACACCGATGGTTCAGACGAGGACGGGGACGACTCTGATAGTGAGAGCTCTGGGAACTACGACGACGGAGAAGAATGGAATGGCATTTCTCGCGACAGTCCGGCGCTAGAGGCGCCACCCAATAGCAACCCGATGGAAACTGCGATCGCAGAACCAGCTCCGACAAGTAGGTGTGTTGCTCGCACGACCAGCGCTATATGCTAACGTGCTCATAGGTTCATACGTTCCTCCACACCTGAGAAAGCCCCAACGACAAGATGATGCTAACTCGGGAACGATCCTGAAATTAACAAGACAACTGAAAGGTCTTCTGAATCGGTAAGAGTTATATCAATCCGGTTTGGCTACACCCCAACACCGTCCTTGCTAGAATGAGCGAGCAAAATATCGGGACAATCATTACCAGCATCGAGGAAGTATACAGAGAACATCGTCGGAATGGTATGGGTCTGCACAAATTGTCTATCTTCTAACTCATCTTGGACTAGATGTCACCTCGACTCTGACAACCTTAATCATCAACGGCATCTCTTCACACTCAATGTTGCTGGACTCTTATGTCGTTCTATACGCAACTTTCGTCGCTAGCTTGCACAAAATCAGCGGAGTCGAATTTGGTATATTCTGCGCTCTCATGTATCGGAAGGTCGCTCATCCATGCCTTAGCCGCCTACATCGTCCAGTCAACAGTCGCGGCGTACGAAAGACATTTCCACGACATGCAGGACGCAAATCTTCAAACGGAAGATGGGGCAACGGAAAAGGATGGGAAGGAATGCTCTAATCTACTCGTTCTGATCGCCGAGCTCTACAACTTCCAAGTTATTTCATCTGCACTTGTATTCGACATCATCAAGGAGCTTCTTAAGGCAGAGCTGACTGAGTTTAAAGTTGAATTGCTGCTCAAGATTGTGCGGGGTGAGTTGTTCGATCTTTCATCCAGTCCTTGGCCTAACTTGACTTTCATAGGTTCAGGCCAACAGCTCAGACATGACGATCCGTCGGCCTTGAAGGATATAATCCAAATTGTGCAAGGCAAGGTGTCGCCAAAAGACGACGGCATTAGGTGAGCTGCCTGCCCGTTGCAGCATCTCTGACTGATGCACAATTCATACAGCTCACGGACGCGCTTCATGGTCGAAACCTTGACTAATCTCAAGAATAACAAATTGAAGAGGAACTCAACTCAAAATCAAGGCGGAGCTGCTGTGGAGAGAATGAAAAAGTTCCTTACTGGTCTCAGCAAGACTCGCCATGGTGCGTGGTGACGTATTTTTAGAGTGCCACCGAGATCCTCACAAGTCCTCAGTCCTCGCACATGACCCTCTACGGGTATCACTTGAGGATCTTCATTTGGCAGAAACCAAAGGTAAATGGTGGCTCGTTGGCGCTGCGTGGGGTGGAGACCCTCTGGTAGACAAGCAAGCGGAGTTTACCAAAGCGAAGGATGTGGCTCAGGAAGCCGATGCTATGCCCGACGACTCTGCCAACCTGCTTAAATTGGCTCGTGCGCAAGGGATGAACACCGAAATCCGTCGTGGAATATTCGTTGTTCTGATGAGTAGTGCTGTAAGCCTTTTGGGCCGGTGGCGATCAATGCGGGACTGACTAGTACCTCTCCTATTAGGATTACACCGACGCATGCGAAAGACTTGCTCAATTAAACCTTACCGAAGTGCAACAACGAGAAATCATCCGAGTGTTACTTCATTGTTGTGGAAATGTGCGCCTCCTCTCCTGCCTTCCGTAAAGCCATCCCTTATCGTGACGTAGGAGCGTTCTTACAACCCATATTATGCTTTGGTCTACCAACAGCTTTGCCGCACATCCCATGCATACAGGATCACTCTGCAGTATAGCTTGTGGGACTTCCTTCGGGACCTTGGCGAGTCGAATGTTGGCGGAGCCGCTATCGTCAAGAATCTTGAAGACGGTGATGGGTTCGACTTGGAGGAGATTTCGGAGGTTCGCTTGCGGAACACTGCTCGCGCGTATGGTTGGTGGATCGCCAAAGATTCCGTCAGCCTTACTATCCTGAAGGTAGTGTCAAGTCTGTCACTTCGGAGCACCATCTAACGAGTCGATGATAGCCTCTGGACTTCACTGCGCTCAAATCAACAACACGCAGCTTTCTCAGAGAACTTTTCACCCAGATCTTGGTCAACAGCCAACGATCTGCGCCGATTGTCTCCGATGTCAGGAAGACGACATTCACGCGCAACCGTAACGTCGTGGAAGAGATATTCATCAAAACCTCGCGTGTGCAAGGGTTGGCAATGGGCCTTGTGTACTTCCTTTCCAATGCGTTCCAAGACAAACTGGATACGGACGATGAATTCAGCAAGTTTCTTCAATGGGCCGTTGGTGTTGCAACGGAGACATTGCGTACAGGTGTCGCTATTGTGCCCACACTATAACTTTTTGGGTCGATTTCAGTTACCTTATTTACTTCTTTCGAAAGGCCACACTAGAGCATACGCTGCCGCTCTTCCCAGCAAAGGTGAATGTAGGGTGCTGGATCCGGGAACTGCAACGATTATAAGAGACGATTGAATGGCAGAATGAAAGTACGCACTGATATATTAGCCCCGCGCCAGAGTCGCCTGTAAAGTTCGCCTTCAATTCTTCCTCGGTGAAGTTACACGCTAAGGAAGAAGTGCTGTAAATACCACTAGCCTGAGGATAAACGAGGTGACGTACACGTTATCAAGAAAAATCCTCCTGACTTCAGCAGGCGTGAGACGCGACCCGGATAGTGTACAGCTGGAGAATTTCCATTTTCATCTCTTTGTCCCAGCGCGATCGCGTCGTACGTTCCCTTGTCCATGAGGAAGTCCCACACCTCCGTACTGATAGTGTCAGCACTGCGGATACCTGGTCGTTGGGGGTCCTCTTGCAGGAAATCGCATCTTGTGAACGTGATCTCCAACCCTCGTTCCTTTTTCGCGGCAATTCCTTTCGCGAGTGTAACGGCACCAGCGCTGTAATCTATCCCATGAAGCATTTTGGGGTCGTAACCAGCCTCGAGGAGGCCAAAGAGTAGCGTCCCATTACCGCTGCCGACTTCCAAAATTGATCTATCAGGAGCGGGTGGGAAGTTTTCAAGTGACCATTCTACCATTTTCTCGATACTCTCTTCGCCGAACCTATGGATCAGTATGAGAACTAGCACCATGCGTCCAGAGAACACCACCACCACTCACCAGATTTCGCCTTCTTCCCCGATCTCCTCAAAGGTTCGCAATTCCTCTTCATAAACATCGTCCCAGCTTGAGATCGGGTGAGTGCTGTGAAAAGCTCGTGCAGTTTACTCGACGTACTGCTCTTTTGTACCAAGTTTCGATGGGTGTAGTTCAGTAGTGCTCATGTTGATCGTTGGAAGCTGTTGATCCACGGCGCTATTTTTAGACTTCCTTATCCGGATGAACTGATCGTCGACTGCCGAGTAAAATGGCTTAAATGGCTTACTGAACTTCACAAGGAAACAGAAAAATGTACAAAATATCTTCCTAGCTAAATTACATATTGGTACAGAGAATTTAAACCATCAAATAGGAAAGACTACGAGCGAGAAGGCATAGGGGGTTTCATTAGGCCGAATTTACCGAGCAGCATCCTGACTTCCAGTGAACGAGTAATCAACGGCATGTCTGCCACTGGAAGTAGAAAGTCTATTCCAGAGTGTCAGTCAAGTGACGAGGGATATACGAAGCGCTGCTCACGTGGATCAGGGAGGAGTCAACCTGCAACGCAGGGGTTAGCACAGAGCGCGTTGGAGAAAGGGGAAAAACACCAACGGAATCAGTTGCAATGTATCCGCTTCCGCCCTTGTTATCTGCATTGCTGGCTTGGATCGATGTTGCGATATTGAGGACTGTTCCTTGAGAGTTGCACGGAGCTGTATTTGTGAAAACTAGGTCGAACGGGGCTCGGTAGGTGTAGTACGCTCCTAATAAGCAATGAACTCCAGATAATCCAATTTTGGCCATCCGTACTAACCGTTAACGGGCCCGACGTGAGTCTCAGTCGCGGTAGCTGTTTGAAATGAGATCAGCGAATAGGGAGATAAGTTTATAGACCTACATTGGTCAAGCTGCCCTTGGACTAAGATAGGAAACCCAAATCAGCGGGGGGATTTTCGTATGGAATATAAAAGCCTACAGTAGTAGTAGTTCCTCTGAGTGGCGGATACTTTATTGTCAAGTTGATAATATCCGCGCTTTAAGATAGTGAAAGTTAATTCCGGTCCGAAAAGATTGAGGTGACCTGGCAGACTTACCACGTCCGAATACGCAACGCCGAAGGTAAATCCAGGAGGAATGCTGGGTAGGCAGAATTAACACTGATTCTATAAGGATGGAAGGCATATACCTCAATCCGAAGGTCAATTGGCAGTTCTTGCGATTTTGGCTGATAGGAATCCCAGGGCCGACTTCGGCGTAGTACTTACTGAAAGTAACGGTGACGGCGCTCTTTTTGTCTGATGTAAAATGTGAGGTAATGCTCTACTGAACGAAGCAGGAAAAAATATAGGTATTTTGGCATACCATTGAGCAAATAGTAGGCGGACCCAGGAGGGCAGCCGGAACCATTGAGGCCGAAGCTCGTTCTGTCGGGGAAATGTGGCACTAAGATATGCGCCTAAGGAATTGTAGTCGGCAAGGAGACGTACACATTGAAGCCAGCCGGAGGGTCGGTGATTTCAGGCAGCCCCGCCTGGGGAGCGGCATAAGCGCTCGCGGCGAGGAGAAGAGACACAAAAGCTGAGGCTACGAGTTTGAACATGACCGTAAGTCTGGGGGGCGAGGAACAGCGAAAGCCAGAATATAAGCGTCTCCCAAGCAAAAGTCGTGGTCAATGGCCAGACGTTCTAATCCTGTCAAGGGTGATAACAAGGCGACAGAATCACCGGACTCATAACGTGGGCATGACATTTCCCTCTGTGCGATGATATTTCGGATATAAATCGATACGCGGTCACCTTTTCATCTATACGGCTATTTTATTGTAAGAAGAAGCGCGCTGAAGATCAGATCAGAAGATATTTTTTGAGGCCGATCTATGCGCCCCGGGTTATCTTCGAGAAGCGATTGAATTGAAACGCTTAAGGAGAGTAGAACGGAACGTTAATACGCGGAGTCAGGAGGACCACGAAGTGCTCATGTCTTGGGGTAGTGGGCAGGCGAAAGTACAGGTGTAAGCTGAAGGTGATGATCGTGTCAGGTCAACGTAGGACGTTTGATCTGATTGAATTTTGAGTTCTCTACTCGAGGTCCCGTCGGGAACGGGTATATCCAGGAACTTAAGTCCAAGTCAATGGCGCCCAAAGGCCGCACCTATTTTTAGACCAGCGGAGATTAAGGCCAGTGGCAGTGATGTTACTAGGAAATCGACAGCCTAGGTCATATGTTCTTGCGTGGTGATAAAACGCTCGCATCGTAAACGAAGGACGCGGTCTTCAAACCGCCATGTGAACACAAAGACGACTATCATTTTGTTTTCCTCCGCTTTAACTACAATTTACACAAATCACGAAATTTCGATCACGTTGGGTCATGAGGGAGTACGATATCTTGAGGGTATCCAGTGCGGCACGCAGGTTTGCGCGTCTAGCACTTCTGCCACTGGAATCCGAAGGTCTGTTGTGGAAGAGACGTTTAGTTAAAGTCATCCGGTGAGTCGAAGGTCCATTACCTGTTTAAGCGCAGTGTCGATCTGCAGGGGCATGGTTAGCGCCGAGATCTAGGCTTCTCCGATGCAACTTACCGAATCGGTGGCAATATAGCCGCTTCCCTTGGTGTTCCCCGCATTGTTGGCGCGAAGGTCGCTCTGAATGTTGAGAACAGTCGCGGCTCCGCAAGGGCTTTGAACGGTCGCGACGAGATCGAAGCTATCGCGGTAGGTGTAATCGGCGCCTGTGCAAAAAAGGATAAGCCGACGATTTGGAAAGTTATCGGTGTACGCGAGGCTTACCGGAGACGGGGCCAGCAAGGTCAGAGCGGGCGGTGGCTGCATGTAAGTCGAGACATGAGTTAGGAGCACAATATCCAGGAAGTCTAGATACCTTGCTGGATTTGTCCTTGGACTGTCACGATTACGGTCAGAGACGGAGATAAAAAGGGAGAGTATTCGGTACGCACAATAGTAGATGGACTGCTGGGCAGCAGTCACCTTGTTGTCGAGTTGGTAGTATCCACGCTTAGAAGGGCTGTATTAGCACATGTACCCACCATTAAATAATGAACCTACGTAGTCAACAGTGGCCACACCGAAGGAGAATCCTCCCGGAACCCTAGCAACAAAGAACATGCAGTCTGAAGTTCAAGGACGAAATAAGAACATTTCTTACTGAACTCCGAAGGTAAGCTGGCAATTCTTGCGGTTGGCACTGATCGGGATGCCGGGTCCAACTTCGGCGTAGTACTGAGAGAAAGTGACGGTGACCGCAGTCTTGTCAACTAAGACACGTATATACGGTGTCAGTCCAGGACTCCAGAAAGCAACGAGGGCTGGAAAGTCGACGAACCGCTCAAGACATAGTAGGTCGAACCCGGGGGGCATCCCGAGCCGTTGACACCGAGGCTAGTACTAGAAATTTGTCGAAATGTTAGCGATCACACCCTTGTTCACTGGAGATAATGCTGGGCTTACATGTTGAAGCCCGGGGGAGGGTCAGTGATGACGGGGAGGTCAGGAAGGGCGCCCCCGGGCCTTTGAGGAACAGCCGCGACAGCAAGAGCGCATGTGAGGAAGGTCACAGCAGAAGTAATGAACTTGTACATCTTCGAAGAAGGTGTGGGGAGGCTCAGAGCAAAGCATGGTCCATTTTATGGGCGGGTTCAAGGTGAGTAGGAGCGGCAGTACTCTGAAAGAGCAAACATCTCCAATCTGACGACAAGAGGCCAAGACTTTGCTGATCAAGTCAGAAGGTGGTATTTTTACCCGAGGGCGGTTATTTCGGCTCTAAGCTCGACGACCAAGTTTCTGTCAAACTCCATGCAGTCGTCCGTTTTAGGCAATCAACGAGACGTCGTCGAGACTCTCCCGTGGGAAGATTATCGGGACCCTCCTCATCTCCGCACGCGAACACGTCCACACACTCTCGGATCGTACAACTTCCTTCGGCTGCCTTGCGACGAGGCATCTTCTTTCTATTGAAAATCCTTGATTCCGGCCCATATCTCGACATCGCCCAAGCAATTCCATCAAGTAATCCGAAGAAGTGTCTTTTAATTGACGGGGCGGACGGGATGGACGCTGCGTTGCGCTCACTCTACGACTGCGACTTTGGGCCTTCCCTCTAAGGCCGGCGCATCTTCGAAAGCACCACGTGTGCACCCTCGGCTATTTGACAAGGATATTGCGCTCAAAATCCCTCGTTCTATGATTCTGCTGGACGCCTGGTTCCCCGTCTTGTCACGTAAATGTCCGCGAGGACAACTTGGTGCCGTTCTTCTCGCAGAAACTCTGGAATGGATGCAGAATAAAAACTAACGAGAATCATCTGATAGTGATATAGCGTTTATCCAGCGGCTCTGGAGTGGACTTAGGAGAGTCGAACGTCTCGTGAAGGAAGTTCAGAAAACCCAAGGTATTTCCGTCTCGCATGGCCTCGAACAACTGGCCGCAAATAAGGTGGACTTTTGTGCTTACAATTAGCCGACACATTCTTCGAAGCATGTTCCAGGGACTTATGGGGGAATCCTGCTTTCTCTAGATGATCGCCCAGAATATCCTATCAGTAATTCCGGTTTTTATAAAAAACCTTGAAGGTGAAGAGTTCGTCAAAGTTTTTGCAAAGAACTTGAATCACCCCAATGGCCCTCCTCTCCTCCTTGTGGTACGCTCTCCTCGGCAGCATCTTCATCCTTGGTGCCGCTGCTCAGGACTACGCGATGTACGTCGATCGTTCCTCTTGCACACTCCTCCAACTAATCGTCTTACACAGAACCGACTACACGGTCACTGGCACAGGCTGTGTCCCTGGAACGGTCACTGCTGAAGTCGCAGGTAAGACCGCGCTCCACGATCGCTTTGAATAGAGCTGACTATCCGTAGGTGACTCCAAAAACATCGCCGTTAAATACAACAAATTCGTCGCAAATGCTGGCCCGAACTTCGGCTACGACGACGGTCGCAAGAACTGCCAGCTTACACTGGCTGTGAAGTAAGATTTCTCCTCCTCATACGTCGAGATGCTCCTAAGACCTTTCCAGGGCACCCAGCGGCTATCGTTTTGGCTTCGATAAGTTTAGCTACGTGAGTAGGCCTGGATCAGGTCACATGCGTTCTCCGACTGAAGGCGTCTTCTGTCAGACTGGTTCTTATTCCGTCGGCCAAGGCGTAACTGCCACGTACTCTACATCCTACTACTGTAAGCCAGTACTTCGATTGTTCAGCCAGGATAAACGCTGATGTCAAGTCCTATCAGTCCAAGCCACCCTTGATCAAGCTCAAGGTGGTAAAGCCTTCGTTGGCCCTGCTAGAGGCGGTATGTATAGTCACTTAAACTTCTGGCTCGTTCTGATCCCACGCTTTGACAGATGCTGTTCTTTCCGATTCTTACGATCAAATTGTCTGGAGTGCTTGCGGAGCTTCTGCAGTCGTCGGCATCAACACGGTTATTCGTGTCGACAATAGCGCAAACCCGGCAGCCACCGGTGCTTTGACCGTGCGCAACAATCCTGTAAGTTTCGCTCGACGCGTCCTTAGGCCCTCACTGACCAACCCTCCTATAGTCTACCAGCTTCGTTTGGCAAAAGTGCTAGTAATATTGGTAGTTTGAGTCGAAAACCCCAACATGTGAAAACCCTATAAAGAACTTACGATACACCTTTTTTTTCTGTACTACAAAATGGAATAAAAATACCCCATACACAATCCTCCTTCTACGTTTGAATTCTGAAAACCTCGCATGCGGTGGAAAGGCTGCTATCATCAAAGAAAAAGGTCTGAGGTGCCGTACAGTCCGTAAAAACGGGTTTTGGAGGAGGGCTAGGGTATTCCATCGGCTAAATCGAAGAAAAATGCGCTGGTAAAGAGGGTTAAAAGAGGGCTCTGCTCGATTATTGCGGGGAAGGCACCGAGATCGAGGCGCTTAAGCCCCCCGGAGTAAGTGCTTCAATTGTGTTCCGGGGGCAGATGCCCGCTTCGCTTTCTCCGAGATCTCGGGAAAGTCGTTCTGTGCAGTTCTCTGTCCGCATCGAAGCCGCCCACCTCCGCTAAGGGCTCGGAAGGCGAAATATCATCAGGTGGCGTAGAAGTTACTTTAGCCGCACGGAAGCACATGTAGCGTCCTCGAGATCCGCTTCTTTGGTTTTCTCGGCACCCAGATGATCATCCTTCGCCGTGCTCTCTCATCCAGGTGCTCATTTGACCTAGGTGTTGGCCCATACCTTGGGAATGTCGTACGATACGCCGTAAAGATAAGCAGCCTTTATCAGCATGTTTGCCGCATGATTTGAGATAATCCGTGACGCCATCCAGAAATTGCGAGGTCCAGGCTGTGAAACGAAAGCGGTAACATTGTGACCAAAAAAGGCAAGACGTGATAAATCGCATCGTAGCTCGTCGGCACCTCAGGGAAATAGAGGTTTAAGCACGAAATAAGTGCTTCAGGCATATCTAGATGCAATTTTACCTTGAGATTAAGATCTTGGTCGTGCAAATCGATCGTCGCAGGATCTAAGCCTCTGGAGCGAAGTGGGGACCGAACTCCATGCAAAGAGAAGCAAAATTTAGCCGGAACCGACAGGAATTTCTCCAACAATGTCGAGCATCTCGTGGAGAGATCTGAAAAGCAGGGATCGAGATGTAAGAATTCTAAGAAGGCAGCAAAACGGCATGAACCACCTTGAATGCCGCAGGCAGAAGCAATGGTAAGAACGAGGACTATTGCGAAGTTCACGGTGAATTTCTATCAAGAACGTGTAAGTAAGCAGTTACATAACAAATGGACAGACGGATAAATGGGCGTACTCCTCGAAAGTAGAAGCCGAGAGCTGATCTCGGCGGAGGAGATATATTGGAGGTAGGTTCACTAGGGCCTGAGTAGATGTCAAGTGGATTCAATGTATGTACCGCCATAACTGCCTCGATGGTCTTGATCAGTGGAACGATCTTGGAAGTAGACTTCATCACTTGACATTGAGATCATCCGAACGGGACAACGATCTCGGGCCCGTCTGCAGAGCCTTATAATACTTGGCGGCTGATCGACGTCTTCTTACCAGCGGCTCCGAATGAGATCACAAATGACCCTTGGTGAAGTTCCGACATCCTGAAATGAGCAGTCGCCTTGGCCATCAGGAATGGCCAATGGCAGATTTCGTCGACAGAGCTAGTCAGAGGCTTCATTCGACCCCAGCGTTGAGTACTCGGGTTTATCGGTGCGCCGGCAATTGCAGGGGAGTTTAGCAAGAAAGAATAGAAGCACAGAACGGCGTAGGTGCTGGAAAGGTTGAATATTAGGGCCGTATAGTCAAGAGTCACAGGATGGTGGGCACCAACATGACGACCAGAGGTTCTTCACGAATATAGAAGTTTCTGGACTTCGGTATCGAACGGCGAAGGGTTGGTGGCGCCATGTCTTCGCATTACTCCAATCTTCGAAACCTTTTATTGAGGCAGCGAGGTTCGCTCACAACGTGCCAGTCCAAGCGGTCCGGGTGTGGAGAGTTTCTAAGGAAATGACAGAGCTACGTGAGCCAATGGAATATAGAGCAGGATGGTGCCGTAGACGGTGATTATAGTGTACTGTCGGGATAATATACAAAAAAATAGTGTAATGCTTCAAATCGAAATGCGTTAGGGCGAAATAGCAAAGAGAGAATAGGTAGTACTTACGACATAATACGGGTCTACCGACCTCTCCCTTCTTTCTCCAAGAGATCCTTGGCTTCGTTGATTTTACTGGCGAGGTAGGGTGAGCCACCGCGATCGGGGTGGTTTGCCAACATAATTTGCCGATGTGCGTCCTTCAATTGTGTACGCAGTTTGGGGCCGTCCCTAACGCACGTCGAGGTCAGCGACTTCTCTATTGGGAGAGCACACGGTGCTTACTTGAGGCCCAGAATCGCAATGGCTTCTTTGCGGTCCATTTTAGCCCTGAATCCGCCTTTCACCCACTCCTGGGCGGCACCCCTTCCAACAAAAAGTCCGCGCTGCACGAGAGACCGGCCGAGAATGGCGGCGCTGATAGCCCCAACCCCAAGAACGAAAGCTGTCGCCATTGCGGAGTCCGAGAAAGGCACAGAGAGAGAGAGAGAGTGAGGAACTTAGGAAGTAGAGAGGCAGAAGCGGATGTGGCGGAACGTCACAAACTAGCCTGCACGTGCCTGCGACATTTCCGCGTCCTCAGCTTGCACGTCACCACCAGCAACCATCTCGCCGACAGCCAGGCATCATGAGCCATAGTTTTAAGCGCTCACCCACCGTCACCCATTTGCTCTCCAATAAGTATGCTCGCTGAACACCCTAGTCGCCACATTTTCACTTCCAACATCCAGCATGTGACGTAATAACTGGACCTCTTCGTCGTTCGAGGCTCAACTGCCTCAACCTACGTTAGCCTCGTTCGTAGGTTCTTTTGTACCGTCAGGATAAAGAGGCGCAATTCCCGTACACCCTGCCGCTCTACGTAAGCTCTCTTTATTTAAGATGTCAACCTACTGGTCTTACTCGTCTCCTCCATCCCAACCTGCATGTCAAACGTCGTCCTCATTACGCAGAAGATATTCAAGGCTGATAGTTCAGCTGTATTTTCCCTCAAAACATGCAGCGAAGACGACCTTGTATGTTGTCTACCCGCTTTCAAGGCCACCATCTGCGATGGCATCGTTGGATTGGCCCCCGTATATCGGACCGATTTCTCATTGCAGTCTCTCGCAATCGCGTCTGCCACGACAGTGCTCCTGATCAATATGCCTTCCAGAGCTTCAAAGAAAAAACGACCTGGCAAGTCTAGGAAGGAAAACCAACCAAACGGGCGTCGTCCTCGGGATGCGTTACGCAACTTCTTATGTGATACCACCATCTTTAAAGTCGCCTTTCAAATGGATAGATTGGCGTCTTCCCTCTTCTTAAACTATTCTTTGCTCGTCGTTAGTGGGAAAGACCTGCTCTCCTTGTCTGGTGATGAACGGCACTCCGTCCAATCCCTGATGAATTCTTTGGGAGGCGAGCTCACACTTCACAAACAACACGTCGTCCAGCTATTTGTTCGAGAGGAATCTGCAGACAACAAACCAGAGACAACAGCTCTGCAAGCTTGGAGCGCGGGCCATGCTGCCGTGGTGCCTCATGTCCAACAAAAGTTAGAGAAGATCCCCTCAATCAGCACTGAGGCGATAGAGGAACGTGTAAGCCGCGCGTTTGAAATCCCTTCCTTTTTTTTAAAAAAAAAAAAAAAGTTAACGCTGAATATTGCGCAGATCCTGACGATCATAGCACACGCTGTTCGTAATACAGCCTCTCTCAACGCACTGAAACCTCTGCGAGTAAAGAACGAGATACAACAACACAGTGCCCGTCAAGGCGGAGAATTGACGGTCGTGTCACAACGCTATAAGACACGTCTAATGCGCACGGCGGGACATCAGGTAAGTCGCATGCTAGCTTATTGTGTCCCATTCTTTCACAGTATTTTCCAGACTGTGGAAATCACAACGTCCGAAGCTGACGGCAGCAAAAGAGTCATCCAGGCTAAAGTTTCCGGCACCAAAGGACGACAGGCGATGATATCCCTTAAGGGCACTCTCGAACAGAATGCTCGACTTCATTCGGTGGAGACCATTGGCAGGAGCCCGCCAACTCTAGCGGAGGCGCTCAAAACGACTGTCCTACTTCATGCGCTCCAGCGACAGATCTCGTTTTCCAATCACCCGTTTATTCAAACGATGTGGGAGTCCAAAGGAGGCATCTCTTGGCGAAAGACAGAGAAACTGCGGACGCCTGCACCCTTGTACTATCCTCCCCGCGGCTTGAATGCATCACAAGAGAAAGCTGTTAATGCCATTCTCTCTGACAAAGAGAAGTCACGCGTTGTTCTTATCCAAGGACCACCAGGCACAGGGAAGACTACTGTTATTGCAGCAGCTGTAACGAGCATCACCTCTTCTTCTGATCAAGAAAACACCCTCTGGCTCGTAGCCCAGTCCAACGTTGCCGTCAAGAATATAGCAGAAAAGCTGGCATCTGTCGACTTCCTGGACTTCAAGATTCTCGTTGCCAAGGAATTCCACTTTGATTGGTATGCCTTTTGCGCTTCGTATGCCTTAACAAGAAAATGACTTTCCTTAGGCATGAACACCTTTATACGAAAATCGAGCCGAACCTCATTCGGTCAGACGAATTTGTGGCAGATGGTGTTGTTACGGAACGTCTGCTTCAAGGTTCAAGAGTGATTTTATGCACCCTCAGCATGCTTTCGAACGACAGAATTTCGGCTTTTAGTAGTTTAGTTCCGTTGCAGACGGTCATCTTTGATGAAGCCAGTCAAATCGAAATTGGTGACTATCTCCCCATGCTCATTCGCTACCGGCCAACAATTAGCAAACTTGTGTTCATTGGCGACAACAAGCAACGTACGCTCCGTCTCGCTCTCTAGATTGAGCGTTTTTAAATCGTCCTTCTTTAGTGGCCCCGTACGGAGCGAGCGACATCACAGGCCTAGGTAGCATCTTCGAGAAATTGCACCTCACTAGCCGAGCAATCTTCCTCGATACTCAATGTAAGTTGCGATGCCCTTCAACGCCTTATCAAGGCACTTGATGCTGACTATCACCAGATCGAATGCCGACCCCGATAGGCTCGTTCATATCAGCCCGTGTCTACAAAAACAAGCTCAAGAGCAAGCACCCTATTTTTGACCCCGCTTGTTGTCGCTTCGTAGACGTGAGCAACGGCGCCGAGGAAGCGAAGGGTCGCAGTTGGCAGGCAAGTTTTCTCCCGTTGTCGTCTCCTTCTGTTGTTGGATATTCTCTTTCTGCCTTCAGAACGTCCGCGAAGCGAGTGTTGCAATCAAGGTCGCTCGTCAGCTGTTGGCTGCCGGGAAGTCCTTCCGTATCATTACGCCCTACGACCCGCAACGCTCGCTCTTGGAGAACAAACTCAAGGATGCCAAGCTTCCGTGGGAGGATAAATGTTTCAACATCGATGCTTTTCAAGGTCAGCGCCTAGTTTCGTGCGCCTGTTTTTCTGTCGTTCTGATGCACTTGAAGGCAATGAAGACGACTACATCGTCATATCTCTTGTTCGTTCCGAGAAGATGGGATTTCTGCGCGAAATGAGACGAGTGAATGTCATGCTGACACGATGCAAGAAGGGGATGGTCATCTGTGCAAATCGCCGTTTCGTTGAAGGGAAGGCTGCCCAGTCGTTGGTGGGCCAGTTGGCAGCATCGTTGGGTCACGAAACCTGGGTAGGGGCCAACGACGTGTTGACGAAAGGTGTCCAGCCATTTAGGTGATGTACGAGTAGCATAGATTGCTGCTCGCTTCCATCTCTTGACCATGGAAATTTGTCAGGTGGAATCTATAAAACGTACATTAGCATCCCTCAATCCAGGTGTTCTTTTATTGCAGTCCTCTAATACCAAAGTTTTCGTAGACGCAGTCGAGAAAAAAGGTGCAGAGATTTGGTGGTGTGACGGCCGTGACGAGGGGCTTTGGTTCGAAAGAGGCAGTGATTGTCCAAAGATCTGAACCACCTCGAGGCCGCTATCTGCTTCTAATGGGCTGGCCGATTCGATTCTCGCGGGTTAACCTTTCTGTCAACCCACGACAGGAATCCTAGCCCTCCCACCGACAGCCACCACAAGATGGCCATTACCAGACGTGTATTTCAGCCTAACATTCTTGACGGTCGCGCTCCTGCGATCAATAAACCACTTCCAACACATCTCATCCCAGAAAATGAACTTTCTCAAAGCGATATCTCCACTGTTTTCGACCATCCTCGCCCTCTTGGACTCTCTCCCGGCTTCGACGAGGATGGCCGATTGGTGGCATTAGCCATCGCGGACGACACACAATGCAGGATCATCGAGTTTCAACATCCTCGGCGCGGCAAGAAGGCCACTGCTCTCCCAAAGAATATCCTCGATGGGCGACAGATTCTGCAAGACTCTATTCTTTGTCGCCCGGTCGGCGATCTCTTCGCCTTCGACATGGCCCCTCTCACGATGTCCATTTACGGCGACTTGGATGCCCGCATCACAAACGCCGTCGACATCCAGTCAGCATTCCCTGTTAAGAACCCTGCCGCAGATCGTAAACCTCTTGTTGCAATTAAAGCAGCCATTGGCGAGTCTGACATTAAGATACGGGAGGACAACATCCGCGACCTTTTCTTCTACCCTACGTATAACGAAGACAACCGCAACCGCGTTAGCGACCTCGCAATACGAGCATGGGTCTCCCAGTTCTTGCCAAGCTTCGAAAACGGGGCAGAAACATTTGAAAAGGTTACTAGGATTGACACGAAGAAGCTTGAGGGCCCAGTGAGTTATATTTGCATTACAAGGCTGAGTTTCTCTGAATTCGTTTCATCTAGGCTATAGAAATGATCGGCAAGCTTGCAAACGATTCCCTGCGTCTTGATCAGAAGAAGACCACATATACGACCCATATTGTCACTCAATCCGTTGATGCTGCCAGCAGTGAGCTCCGCCTCAGCTCGAACAACTTCAAGACTCGCCTTCGAGGTGATCGAGTATGTTAGTTTCAGTCTTTCAAGAGAGACTTGCTATACTCATGAACGTGGTCCTTATTTCGTAGCGTGTTCGCATGGGTGTTGAAGGGAACCTGGGTGCCTTCACTGTTACTGCAACAATGGGTGCTGTATCCGGGCGTTCTGGCAATGTTAACACCACAAGGAACTTGACTGATAAGCAGATCATGACTGTGACATCAATGGGGCGTGATGACCCAACCACAGCAGAAGCAAAACGGGCACAGTCTATTCTCCAGTATCTCCAGGGCAATCAAAACTTTGGTCCCTGGGTGCAGAACATCTGGTTCCCCACTGGTGATGATTCCCCTCTTGTTTGGCCTGAAGAATGGACAACTCAGAATTCCAACTCCAAACCTCAGACCTTCAAACCTCAAAACTCCAAACAGAAGAAGGAAGGGCTGAACCAGCCTCAGCGTACTCTCAATCCATCTCAGCAAAAGGCTGTTAACACCATGCTCTCAGCACAGGATGATCATCATATTGTCCTTGTTCAAGGTCCACCTGGTACAGGAAAAACTTCTGTGATCTCAACCTTTGTCCAGTTTGCAGTCAACATCTTCAACAAGAAAGGCATCTGGCTTGTTGCACAATCCAATGTTGCAGTCAAGAACATTGCAGAGAGGCTCATCAAGGATGGCTTTGAGAAATGGAAGCTTCTTGTCTCAAAGGATTTCCACTATGACTGGTATAGAATTTAAATCCTGATCACAGCTGCTTGACAGACTGACAATCCTTTTTCTTAGGCATGAACATCTCTATGCTGCTGAGATTGGCAAACACCTTATTCGCTCTGATGAGTTTCACATAGCATCCAACAAAGCCAATCTTCAAGGTGTTCATGTCATTCTCTGCACCCTCAGTATGCTATCTCATTTCAGTATTACCAAATTCACAAAAGAGGTTCCTCTGGAGATTCTAGTGGTGGATGAAGCAAGTCAGATTGAAATTGGAGGTTATTTCTCAGTTTTCTCCAAGTCTATATCTTTGAGAAAAACCTGTTTTATTGGAGATGATAAACAATGTATGTCATTTCTTATCACTCATTCTGCAAAATTGCTTATTAGAATTTCAGTGCCACCTCATGGTCAGGAAGACCTCAAGAACCTTCAAAGCATTTTTGAAGTAGACCATCTACAAAAATATGTTGTATTTCTTGATATTCAATGTACAGTCACTCTTATATTGTTTAAATTTCTCTTCTAATTAATATCTTTTTTCAGACCGGATGCCTCCTCAGATTGGAAACATTATATCTGAGGCTGTCTATGACAACAAACTAAATTCTAATCCAGCACATCCTGTTTCTGACTCTGTCAAGACTTGCTACTTTATTGATGCCTCTGGAAGAGAGCAACCTCAGCCAGATGGATCATTTAAAGTATGTTCTCAGCTATGTTCAAAGACTTTGTTATTGATATGGCTTTCAGAATGACCTTGAATGCAAAGTAGTATTACAACTTGCACAAAAGCTTGAAGAACAAGAAAAAAGTTACAGAATCATTACACCTTATGAAGGGCAACGTGGAAATATTGAAGCTATGATGAAGATTGAAGGCCTTGTATGGGGGGATAAGTGTTTCAATGTTGACTCTTTCCAAGGTTTTTCTTTATTTCTAATTTGTTGATCTTTAATCAACTGAATACTAATCTAATTTACAGGAAATGAAGATGACTACATCATTATCTCTGTAGTCAGATCTAGAAGCTTGGGCTTTCTGACCAACTTACGTCGCACCAATGTCATGCTTTCTCGCTGCAAAAGAGGCATGTTTATCATATCCTCTAAGCAGTTTTTAGAGGGTATTGGAGCTCAAACATTGGTTGGAACCCTACTCCAGAAGATTGGAGCAGAGAATTGGCTTACTCAAGCTGATATTGAGGCTGGAAATTTCTGAAACACAAATGTTTTCTTTTTTCTTTTTTCTTCTCATTCTGTCCAATAGTCCTTGTGTTTGATCCTTTCCCTATAGAAAAACTAGGAAATATATTGCATTGAAGTGATTGTATGAGTGAAAAGAGTGCATGAAATATTATCTAAATTACAGGTATGAGATACTTCTTGAAGCCAAATCCTGCTCTACTATCTGCTGGCACAACAGATGCATGTCTTCTAAGGCAGCAACAATTGCATCTTTGAATAATTGTACTGATGTCAATGAGCTGGAGAATTTGGCTTCAATGCCAAACTTAAATCTATCAGGTGCAGCAAGGTCTTTAAAATTTATCAGACCTTGCAAGCCTGGCAGAGATATAACATACTCACAGTTGATTCCATATCCATCTTCATATGCAGCACCAAAACCTGTACCCTTGAATAATAGTCCAGCACTCAGCCCACTAGTACTCAGCTTCCATTGAGAACTTCTTTCAAAGAGTTCATCCTCAAACAAGGCTGCTGACTCTCCATTGAGGGGCCGGAGCAGGAGTTGGAGGCCAAGGAGATGCCGATCAATACCACGACCTGTCATTGCCTCTCGGGTACGTCGACTATGGGAAGCAACAGCTTCCCGAAGGAGATTAAACCGTTCAGAGTCCTGCCATCAACCAAGGTTCAAGAGCAATCCAATTGATGAGATGAAATGTGCCTTACCGTTGCTTGAGGATTGACCATACTCAGGACCCACAGTCGACATTCGCGACTGAAGGTTCGTAGAGTTTCTGTCCGCCCGTGCTTGAACATCCTTGTGAGGACAGTTTCGTAAGTCGCCGTAAACTCGCCGCGAGTCCGATACCACGCCAGCTGCATTGCCATTTGTATGAAACCATCGGGGGAGAACTTATAGTTGCCTAATGACGAGGCATACACAGAATTCAGACTCTCGAGCACAAGCAACGAAAATGAGAATGCTTACCCATTCCCTTGATCCAATCTGTCCCATACTTTTCAAACCAGAGAACACTGTCGTCCGAATTCTCGAGAACTTTCGTAGCGCGATTAGCAGCCGCTCGCGATTCCTTCCACAAATTTTTGTCGGCAACCCAGTCAAGACGTTCCCAGCTAGGCTCGTCGGCTTGACTCCTGTTTGTCGCTGGCAATTTGAAGGCTTCGGCATCGACACTTTCTACTACACCATACTCCGCGACAATGCTTGGTACGAGGGCATCCACAGGTGAGTGTTCGCCGGCGGCACCAGCTCGCGTCGAGGGGTCCACGATGAGGGTGAAGGTCTTGTCGAAAAAGCGATTCGAGAAATTCTGGGTTGTGCCGCGGATAGTATGGAGATGCGAGTCGAGAGACATTTGCGAGGAGGAACGTTGGTGAAGGTGGCGCAACGACGGAGGAATAATGTGTGTGGTGTGTTCAAGGCTGAGACCCATGATAGCATGCTGAATTGCTTGGTGTGACCTTCGATTCTTTGGAGACAGCGCAAGCAGATACCTAAGATTCTACGTTTCGAAGACGGTCATAAATGTGCACACGACTAGAACGGTCAGGAACAAACCCTGGCCCAGTAATCACGTTCATCCGCACTGAGAGCACCGACCGGGAAAGCTTTCTCTCCGTGTGCCAGACGTGCTTCAACATCCAAAACGACTGCCCTAAGACGAGCTTCGATTTCACCCGGTGAAAGTAATTTCAGGGGTGCTTTTGGGTTTTCCGGGTCTGGAGGATGGTATACGACGACTGAATAACACCAGTCATGGATCATGAGAAGAATAGAACGAGCTGAACGTGTTGAGAGTGGTGGAAGTTCCGAGAGGGTATCGCAAAAAGATTCGGGTATCCGACAGATATTAAATATCTTTTCGATGCTTTCCATCATCCATGCGCCGGCTGGAGTATACAACAGATTAGAGAAATCAACACTGACGGTAATGTCAATACGCACCTGAACTTGCTTCCGACGCCTTTGCGCTGCCAATATTCCAGATGAGAGGCATTCTTGCAGAGAAGCACCAAGGACCTACGTCTCAAATGCGTTATCCTTGAACTGAAGCATGCGGTGCATAAGCCATGCGGCTCTTCTCAGTTGCCAAAACGTAGTGCCGGCGCGATTGTTGTTTGTCTCTCCGCTCAAGGCGCTTCGGGGAATAAGAGGATCTTCGTTGAACGCTAGCCACCAATTGGAATTGACAAGCAAGGGGTCCCGCCATTCGAGGTAAGCTTTGTCGATCCAAAAGTTGTCGTCGAGCCAATTATATGGGGAGACCTTGTCCAATGCTGTATATGATACAAAGGACAGTAAGCGGAAAGGCAAGCAATACGCGAACTCGACGGACCAACCAGACGTTCTTGAAGGACATGGCCGATGCCAGACTCGAATTCGTTGGCCCATTTTTTGCGTAGCGCGTATGCTGACGAGAATGTCATTCCGCCATGGGTTTCATCTTCGAGTAAGAAGGGTTCGAGAGAGGCAAGGTATCTATCTAATGTATGACGCAGGGGAGGAATGGGTAATCGGCCACGGGTTTTCTTGCGAACAGAAGAGGTTGTCGTTGACGATGAACGCGCCTGTATATGCGCCTGACGCACAATGCCGGTCCTGAGCATGGTAAGCGAGGAGGGAGGAGTCCGAGGACGACGGTAGAGACCGTGTCGTTGGCCTTCACAAAACTTGGAACTTGAATGACGAAATTGATTCCAAAAAGACCCGAGAAAAGTTCCCACGCATCATTCCATTTAATCGCCTCTCATAGTCCAAGAGACACATCCAGCGTTAATTTGTTGGGAAACCCGGCTATACGACGACTAGAATGGACTGATAAGGCTCACGTTCCCATTTCCGAGCACCAGAAGAAGCGGCTGTTGAATGGTCAGAGCGATGGCATACACAACCATAGTCGATGAAGACCAAGCGTTAACTTAATGTTGACATCCCACATGTTTAGGCTTTTTAGAACTCTGAGAATCACAAACATGTCAAGATACAAGGAAACTAAACATCACCCATGTGCCCGAAATCATCAGGCTGCACGAGTGATTATGATAGGGAGAGTTGGTACAGTGCTTTCGAAGTCGAGATTCGGCGTAGTTATACTGGTCATCTGCCAGACAATGTCTTTGTCGACAGAAGGAGAGAACTCGAAGCCTTCCACGAGGAGTGTGAGCACAACCTCTGCATCCGAGAAGAGTGTAAGTTTAGTCGTCATGAAAATAGTAGGCGGTGTCACTAACTCATCTCCAGCTGCGCGAACTTAAACCCACTGCAGAGAGAAATTGCATAAGTGGCAGCCAGAAAGCAGGCAGAAAGAATTGCTTACATGCAAGATCTACCGCCAGCGAAAAATGTCAGCCTGCGAGACAAAGCGGAAGGGTTTGACAAAAACATTCGAGTGACCAGTTATGTAACAAACATACAGATGAGGGAGAACGCCCGGAATGCGTGCATTTAGCACTGATTCTGGGAGGGGTTGAAGCCATCGTTCGGGATTCCACTCATATGCATCAGGACCCCAGACCTGAGGATTCCGGTTTGACGAAATAACGGAGACGAAGACGTCCGTCCCCTTCGGGACATGTATCTCGTGAAAGTCAGTGCCGTCGATCCCCTTAATTGGGGCTGAGAGAGGCAATATGGCATCTTGTCGCGCACTATGAAATGAACAGATGTTACATCATGTCCTTTCCGCAAAAACCAATGAGGCTCACTTTCTCATGAAAGTGGCGATGGGAGGATACCTAGAAAATGTGCTGCGTCAATTGATGGCAACAACACGAAAGGCTGTCGCATTACAAACGAAGCGTCTCCTTGCAAATGGCATCCAGATAGGGAAGAGACATGAAGGTGTCGTAGCTTAGGTCTTCACCACCTGCGGAATCCCGAGCACTCCGGATTTCTTCTCGAAGCCTTTTTTGAACGTCTTTGTGGATTGAAAGAAGATGTATTGTTCGACAAAGCGCGCTCGATGTTGTGTCTGTGGCGGCGAATGTCAAGGAGCTATGGAAGATAGACAAGATAAACTGGCATATAGTCAAAAGAAATATGAAGACTAACGTGATTTGCCCTAAAATCTCCTTTTCTGAAAGCTTATCATCGTCCGACGTGCGAAGATTAGCCTTCACTATAATGCTTTTGTTAGGAAATGGCGAGCGAAGGCTCAACGAAGCTGAAAACCTACTAAGGTTGGTGATAATATCTTTTCCTCCTCCACTCTGGGCCGCCAATGCGGCATCGCCTTGCTCGAGAGCTTGCTTCTTGGCTTCATAGATTTCTACCGAAGTATTGTGAAGGGTATCGACGATGTTTCGCACACGATGAATTTGTTTAATAGGTAGCCAATCGACGAGGAAGCGCCGGAAGCGAGGGGGTCCCATACGTGCAATATAGGGTACCAAGGGGTTACGCATGAGGGCACTCGCCTCAGCGACCAGAGGACTAGTTGACATTTTTTATGAGTATGATGTGTTCACAACAAACAAGGGTAGCTTACAGTAGTTCTTTGGAAGCCAGGCCATAAGCATGTGGAACAGAACCTTGTTCGAGATCGTCAAAAGTATACCCTAGCCCTGCCTGACCAATAAGTTCCAGAGAGAGGCGAGTCGTCCACACTAGGATGTCAACCTCGGCCGGTCCGCTCTGTGTCAATGTAGAAAAGGTCTTCCGAAGCTGTGGATAATAATCAGATGAAGCGGGTGGGTAGGGCATTCAGGACATGACAGACCCTAGACGTAACTCCATAGAAGATTGGAACTGGGATGTTTACATGAATCAAGACAAATGAGAATCTCATAGGAGACTTACCCATTTCGCGCAGATGGGCAATAGAAAATATGGAATTGAGCATCTTGCGCTGGTGATGGTGGCGGTCACCTGATACGTGCAGGTTCAGGAATTGACGACACAGGAAATTGAAGATCAGGAACATTTACCGAGGGTAGTAAAGATTCCATCCCCGTATATGATCTTGTTGGTCCTTGTCGAATTGTTGGTCTATGAATAGTCATTCAAGACTGTAAGCAACCTACTCGAGGAAAGTCTCTGTTTCTTCGAATATATCTTGACCCTAGAAATATATGAAGATCTTCTAGCATCATATGTTGCGAGAAGCTCGTACTTTGATAAGGATGTGTTGGAGTGCCTTGGGGTCGAAGATGTAGAGATCGTTGGCCTTTGAAAGGAAGTTCTTGAGAATGCGAGGTCCGAGTGTAGATCAAGATGCTTACGCCAAAGAGGCCCTTGACACGCAAGATGCTACCATCTAGTAGAGAATGAAGACATGAGGATCCCGATGGTAAGTGTCAATTAAGATAGCAGATGGACACACAGGTCTCCGCAATCTTCCGGTGATAATCCCATCCTCTGCGGTTCCAAATGTCGTCTAGGGATCCTAATTGTTGTTCGTTAAATGAGTCATGATGCAATTGCGAGGAAAACCAATCCACAGACACGGAAGGGCGCACCTGTAGTCCACGAGCGGGCCTGGGGGCCTGGAATATTATCGAGGACAGTGCGGTGTCGACGACGGCGCAGGAAGAGCCATCCAGCCACCAATAATACAGTTAGGGAGAGCGTCTCGCTCAATGGGTGAGGCATGGTGAAGGGTGCTCAAGAAGCTCAATGCAAGGAAGTCTAGACCTGCTGATGTTTATAAAGCACTCGCTACTTGATAGCAGTGATGGTCTCACCGTCATCGACGGAGTTCACGGCGAGCTCTTTTGTAGGACCGTCTTCCATTTCAATTTCAATGGTGGGTCTGATACCCGAATCGGATGGAAATGGCGCAGGAGAGAACCACCCCAGGCTTATGTATTGCCAGCACATTACAGACTCGCACAGTGTAACCAGCGGAGGAAGAAGGAAAGGGCAAACTAGAGAACGTAATGCAAGTAACATTACTGCGGAGATATGGGTCAGGCGCCGAGCTTGAGGTTAAACGCATCACTTACGAGGTACTGAGGCTGTACCGACCTGCTGGACAGCATATGTGAAGATGTCAACCGAAGGGGACTGTATAGTGCCGTTTCTACCGTGCGTGGGTGCTCAAAACGTCTACTAAATGAGAAGGCATCGAAATTCAGCGCTGCGGCGTTGCTGAAATAAGCCGTTTTATCAGCGAAAGCCGCATACACAGCCGAAGCAGTACGAAAAGGTAATGGCCGTGCTGCTTATGACAAGGGATCGCTCGGAGTTGAGTCGGACAGGCTTGCACCTGTAAAGCGGAGTGATGCCATTGCGAGGAATGTTCCTATCGATAGATGCCCGTCGGGGTCATGCGGTTGATACAACGAGATAATGGTGATTCGACAGTTCCAGTTCTGAGATAGAGGGGACCCGGAAGGCAGTGGTCAACCGTTAGACCTTCACTTCAAGGTTAGGCCGCGTTGCTGTCATTTTATCCACGTGATTTCGGGATCTAATCTAATCGCGTCGCGTCCCTGAGTTCAACTTTGAACAAAGGGAACTGAGGCAACGGTGGTTGTACTCGATCGTCATGAAATGGGACCTCCAGCGCGAGTGATTCAAGCCCTCAGCGCGCAGTTTCCAAAGCCACGCGTGGATAATGTGAGTAGCTCGTTATTATATTGTCCAAATATCGAAAACAACATCCTGTTCTTTCAGGAATGGCTCGAAGGATGTTGCCAATGGGTCATCGAAGACCAGAATATTTCTCCTACAATTGCATTCGCTGACTTCATGGAGGCTGTGAAGAATCAGCTCATTCTATCCGATCTCAGGGACTCTATGCTGGAAGGTACCGGCCTTGATGACCATATTGGCCAATACACTGGCCCTTTACATGGTCCTCCCGTCCTCGTGCAAATCGTCGCCATCACAGAGATTGGAGCGAGCGCGTTTCAACTCGATCAGATACGTGTCGCTCGCGAAGAGCGCATGGAGGAAGGCGTTGGGAATGAAGAAGGGGAGGAAGATGGCGACGTTGAGGTGGAAGGGGAGGGACCCATGCCAAAATATCCTCGAGGCACATTAAGGTTCCTACTCTCCGATGGAGTTACAAAACTCGATGCTGTTGAGTACCGGCCTTTCCCCGAGCTTTCTCTTGGGACCACACCTCTAGGCTTCAAGGTATGGATTTCCCATGGCTAGAGGGTGTTTGCACTGACTCAAAAGCTATCCATAGCTTCAGCTCAAAGGAACGCGTATTCAAAATGGCATGGCCTTTCTTGAACCTGCCACCGTAGCTCTGATGGGTGGGCAACAAAGCGAATTAGAAGCTGAACAGCGTGAAGATTTCAAGCGTGGCCTCTACGAAAGGCTAGGGTGAGTCCGCCTGCCTATCAGAATCTCTTCCAGCGGCTTGTTAATCATCGTCGTTTCTAGTCGGCCTTACAATCTTCCACAGCCCGCAACTGTTGACCCCCCCGCAAATCAACCTCAGCCACCAGTCAGGGCACCTCTACGCGACATATCGCCGCCTGCAGTTCCTGCGTTCCCTCAACACGACGACGACGTGAATATTGAGCCACGAAGACGGATACCCACCAATTCCTCTCTCAACCCTGGATCCACCAGCTCGTCTACTGAAAACAAGCAAGCTCGACCAATGGCACCGCTACCGTCTCGGGTGGGTAGGCCAAGTCTAGAGAGCCAAAACGGAGAGGAAGACAGACGGCCGTCTGCCGCTGAACGTGCCACACTGGTCCATGCTGGGACAAAAAAGGCGACGAACACGATCTCTTCATATTTCAACAACGGTAATACGACTGCATCTAGCTCAAGAGCTCTGAGAAGTGGACAACTAGGCCTGACAATTAACAAGGCAGTCGAAGAACTCGATTTCAACTTTGTACCGACGACACGCCAACTAATGCGTACGTTCTCTTCTCCATCCCCTTCTCCATCCCCTGAGTCCAAGGCAGCGCAAGACAAGAAGGATGCTTCTTTTGATTTTGACCTCTTGGACGAAGTTGATCAAGAGAACGAACCCCCACCCGCTCAGCCCTCGAATTACAAAGGGAAAGGACGTGCAAATCCACTGCCTTCAACTTCCCAGAGCCAAGCCGAACCCAAAGCCTTTGTGGTCGATTCCGATTCCGACGACTATGGCATGATGGACGATGGCGATATCTACGAAGATGCAGAATTCCTCGAGAACCTGAACGAGGTGGAACAAAAAGCCTTGGGAAGAACATCTGCTGCACCGCCCTCTTCAACATTCTCCGTGCCCAGAAGTGGGCAAGCCAGCACCGGCTCGTCCACGCTTGCAAGCTCACGTACTCCGTCGTCGCCAATGCGAACAGGTGAAGTAATCGAAATCGACGACTCGGACGAGGAGATATTTGCTGATGACAAGGAGAACGAGCCGGTTGCTACAAGACATGTGCGCCGACGAATGGAAGAGAATGAAAGCATTTTCAGAAGTCGGGCAACGTTTGGAAGTCAAGCACCAGCCTTAAGCCAGAAAACTGGGCGGCCGATTGTCCTTGCCACCAGTCTCAGTGATGTTATCGATTTGTCGGACTGAGATTGAATGTTGATTATCTGGTGCCGACGCCCTTTTGTTCGTATTTCTACACTTAGTAGCCGGTCCTTTAGGATGAGCAGAGACGAGGAAGAGACGAGTCGATCCTGCATATATGTTGCTCCACAGTTTGCACCGCATTTTGCACATGGACTTTGACCATCGTTGATGTAACATGCACGATTTAAACACAGCAGTGCATGCTACCAGGATCACATCTCGAACGTCTCCGAGACATTATGTCGTTGTCTGTAGATCAAACCGTTCCCAAGAGCGACAGGCGAAAGACGACTAATTGTGCCTTCGTCCGAGTTCTCGCCTTGGAATAATGGTGTCACGGTGTCTGTCCAGACACAAAAGTCAGTTTAGACTAAGCAGAATTGAAAATACTCATCGTAACAGGCATAAGAAGTTTTATGAAGTCGGATGAATTGACAAAGAAGCGAAAAAAAAAAATATGTTGTACATACAGAAAAGCTCTAATAATCTGTCGCCATGCGCTCTTGACGCATTCGTCCGGAGGCAGCACAGGTAGGATATCCGAGTTGTGCCAGCAACAGAGAGAAAACACAGGTGAAATATCATCCAAGGATAGCGGTCTTGGGTTTCTTCTTCTTCTTCTGTGAGCTGGCAAAGTTACGCCAGCTATCAACACGCTGCTCACGATTATCTAAAAAGAGTGATGAGTGATGCCCAAATGAGGGGGTCGTTTGATGTGCACCTTCCCAATTTTTGTCGTCCTCCGCCTTTCGCTTCCTCTGGGCAACCTCCTCGTCCTTCTTTCGAGCCTCTAAGCCCTCATTTGCCAAGTTCATCTTAATCGCCCTTTAAGAGAAGTGAGTCGACAGCCGAGAAATAGAGCTCAAAACACACACTTTCTCCTTCTAACTTCCTCGTCTATCAAGAGTTGCTTAGATTGAATTCTCAGTTGTTGTTGAAAAGATGGATTCAAATCCTTCAACTTCGGATCCGATTCGGCAGTCGTCGTTGGAAGATTTAGCGCCTTGAGGGTCATGATGCGAGCTTGGTTGATGACCGCATCGAGTTCCTCACGTTTCGCCCTATCCGACAGCTCTGACTCGGCCTGTTCGAAGGTTCAACACGGAGGCAGAGTGTCATGGAGAGCGGGGACGCACCTTCTTCAGAATATCAAAGGCCTCTGGGGCCCGCTCATGAGAACATTTGTCCGGATGAATGACTGGGAGCCGCTTCAGCTACTGGGTTTTCAAATGGAATAGAGTACACTTACAAAGCGAGAGCTGGCGATACTTCTTCTTGATCTCATCTGCCGTGGCAGTCTCCTTGATATCTAGTATATCATACGGACTAAAGTACCGTCAGAATTAGAGCAATGGAAACACCAACGTGAGTCTTACTTGAGCTTGAAAGCCTTGAAAATGCGTTCCACTTCCACCTCTCGCTGGAAAGCAGAAGCTTCGCGGTTCAGGAGCTTTTCGATGTCTAATTCTTCCTGAGTGGGTTTTGAGGAACACGCTGCATTGCCGGACATCGAGGACGTGTATGAGCTGGGTTATGGGATGTGAATTGAGAGGTTGAATTTGAAAGCACCAAGTTCAAGTTGTGGCAGCAGACACAGATAAATGGGACCACGTGATCCAGTCTTTGAACTCCCCAATCCTGTCCGGAGCAGGGAGCAGTCACCTTCTTGAAATGACGCTGTCCTTGGGGTTCTTGTCGCGGTCTGTCTCTACAGTCAGTTATGCCTTCTCCTAGTTCCTAGTATCATTTTTGCATCACTTATCATTTTGCCATCTCCCATTGAACGGCCAGCGTCAAGCACTACGCTCCCTGCATTGCCCCTTGCAAAATAACTCATTTCATCATTCATGGCGAACGCTATCGACTGAATCGGGATCTCAGAGGAAGACTTCACTATCTTCATCGACAGCCCGCACGTCGTCATATGGCAGGATGCATAGTGAGGTGTACAAGGCAAAGAATAGAGCTCTGTTGATGTACACTACGGCGGTGGTATGTCGACTCTTGCTTCCTGCCACTCTGAACACACATTTGCACACGTAGATCGTTGTTGCTGTGGGCGCAAGCTATGCTGCTGTTCCTCTGTACCGCATGTTCTGTGCCGCGACCGGGTTTGCTGGGACACCGAAAGTCGGGACTGGCCGTTTCGAACCGGGGCGCCTTGTCCCAGTCGAAAACGCGACACGAATCAAGGTTCACTTTAATGCGGACAAATCGGAGCAACTTCCTTGGACGTTTACTCCTCAACAAAAGTTTGTAACAGTCCTTCCGGGAGAAACCAGTTTGGCCTTCTATACTGCCAAAAATACATCAAAGAAAGACATCATTGGCATCGCGACGTACAATGTCACTCCAGATCGAGTTAGTCAATTCGTTATTACGTTGCAAGAGTACCTCATATGTTTGCACAGGTTGCTCCTTATTTCTCCAAAGTGGAATGCTTTTGCTTCGAGGAACAGCGTCTCTTAGCTGGGGAAGAGGTCGACATGCCGTTGCTATTCTTCATAGACAAAGACATTCTGGATGATCCCTCGTGCAAGAATGTCGAAGATGTCGTTCTGTCATATACTTTTTTCCGGTGTGTCATCTTCCTCTCATTTTTTTTTTGCGAGCTTACTCTATCACCTAGTGCTCGACGAAATGAGCATGGGCAACTCGAGCCAGACGCGGATGAGGATGTGGTGCAGAATTCACTCGGGTTTGGAGGTTACGAACACGCCCCAAAGGCAGAAATCCGGAATGTCTCTGAAGACCATAGCTCTTCTACATCATAGATTGACGACTTTCGTAAACCAGTCATTATTGAATTGCAATAACCAATTGTACCTAATATTTACACCACTACTCATTCTACGAACAGAACTGAATGTAATTGCCTAATATTAGGAGAGGGGACCCTCTTCTTCGGGGACCGGCTGCTGGTTAGGCACGTCTCGTGCGTTGCCATTGTACGGTGTATCATGGCTGCTCGCATTATTCCCTGCTTTGGGGATCGGTCGGGGCTTGGGTCTGGGTCTCGAACCCCCTTCTATCCCAACTGAAGTCGAAGGCTCGGTTTTCCCTGCGGCATCCCTATCATTGGACGGAAGGAAGTCGTCTTCGCTTGTAGGTTTGCGATTGCTTCTACGCCTTCGGCCACCTCGTGAAGAGGCCTTTCCTTGTTTGCTTTGAGAAGCGGTACTCTGAGTCTTGGCCGTGCCTTTCGTGCTACCTTTCCCTGCGGCAGATTTTTTTCGCTTCTTGGTAGGAGGTTCTTCAACATCGCTAGCGTTACTATCACCGTTCTTGCTCTCATGGGGGCTCGGACTTCCGCTTGGAGCTGGTGTTGAAGAGCCACTCCTCTGACGGACCCTAAAGTCTGAGATAACTTGCTGAAGACGTTTGCTAGCATAGGCTTGACGCTGTCGTGGTGCATGAGTACCGCTTCCAGCAGAGATATCCAGATAGTTATTAAGGTCACCCTGACGATTCAAGGCTGCAGCCTACGAGGATAAGGCTTCAGTATGTCAATAAAAAAGAGACGAGAGAGCTTGCTACCTGTTGACGTTTGTTCATCTTTTGGATGATGGGCAAAAGTAAGTCATCGACCTTGGAACGTTGCCATCCGAGTTCTTGGTGCAAAAATCTAGAAACGGGGTCTGTACGACAGTATTTATTTGACGAAGCCGTGCACTCACTCCCGGAGGCCATCGAGGTCAGGCATTCCCCACTTGAATGGCTCTTCCGAAGAATCAACGGCTGGATGATAGTACGCATCTCTCTGAAATGCAGGCACTGCAGTCAATAGGTTGCCGAATTTGAAGGTCGACTAGCCATACCACGATGGAATTAGGCCAATCATTCGCGAGATAGAGATCTTTAAATTTCTTTTTCTGTTGGCGGGGGCTCAGTTTCCACCAATCGGTAGGCCAAAGAGATGCGGCGCTCACAAATTGCTTACGAAATTTCGACTGGTTGTCGCTCTCGGTGTCTTTGCCCGACTGAACCTTCGTCCACCAGTCCTTGAACTTGAAAAGACCATTACGACCAGGAAACTCTTTCAAGAGCTCCATTGCAACAACAGGCCCAACGCCAGGCAGGCCTTCAGTGTAGTCGCTACCGAGAAGATATGCAAGTTGGATGAGGGTATCCCTCTCTAGCCCTAACTCTCTTGACAAGTCAGAGAGCAAGAAGCATTCTACTGTCTTAGATTGATTGAACATATTCTTGAAGACGCGCTGTGCTCCAAAGAGAAACACATCCGAATCGTCCGTGATGACCCCGTCCACCAATCCCAGGGACACGAGCTCAGCACACTGGGCTTCAGCCTCCATCGGTGCAGTAATGTAAGGAATTCCGAAAAAGCGCAACATGGTCTACCAACCATCAGTCTACCATCCTGACTCATCAGGAACGCATGCACACACCATAATTTGTGCAATCATCTGTTGAGTGATATCCTCCGAGTCTCGCATCGCAGCCTTCCTCTGCAGATTGAGCTGCTTGATCTCGTCGTCGATCTCCTTCCTGACTTCGTCCATATTTCTGCCTTTCACCTGCGAGACAAACCGAGCGAATTCTCCCTCTTCGGCCTGAACGTCCATCTCTTGAGCTGCGTCCCAGTCATCTTCCTCTCTCGCGGCCGGCGATGGGGGTCGTGAATTATATATTTCTCGCACCGGAGTCGGAGTAGGAGTCCTTGACCACGCGAAAAGCGTTTCTTCGGCGTATTCGACGACCCCGTCCGATGCTGGCAGACCATTCGTTGGGACGTGTTCCTGCAGTGACGGTTCCGATAGTTTGGGTTGTTGCGCAGATATGGTCGGAGAAGGTGGTTTCTGTTGGATGGATTCAGGAACAATAGGTAATTCAATTTCTTCTATGTCATCGTCTGAATCAGTTAACGGTAGTGGAGAGGGTGATCGCGATGTTGGGTTCACATCTTCTACAATGGTCCCAGGCAGGGATGGCGGCGACTCGGCTAACTGAGAACTTTGCAAAATCGCCTCCGGAGGGATAGCAGTAGCAGGCGTCAAGTGCAGTGGTCGTATTTGCGCCCCCGCTTCGGTGTCAGTACCATCGCCTCTCACTTCTGGCACAACAGTAGAGTATGCCAAAAGATTCTTTTCCCTCGCGACCTCCGATGACGCAGGAGGAATTCGAGAATTAACTTCTTCCAAATCGTCATCCAAATCCTTCGGCAGCACGCCAGTTTTCTTGATTGAAGATAACAATGAAGGTGCACCAAAAAGTGAAGATGTGACAACTTGTTTAGAAGGAGTAGAATGTGGCCGACTTGGGCCAGCATTAGCTATAGAAAGAGCTGTCTCCAGACGTGTTGGCTGTTTATCGACGTAGAAATCGTCGTCCGATAAGCTTTCGTAAGCTCGAGGTGATGACAAAGATCTGGTCGATATTTGGCTTGGACGAGACGCCGAGACTGGCTTCGTTGCTGTAGGTTGATCCATAGATTCCTGGACGGCAAACGCAACTAAATCGTCATCGTCATAATCTCTGCCCGCTTCCATCGATATTGGCACATCGTCGTCCTCGTCATAGTGAAAGGGTAGGTTCGGTTTCGTTTTGCGATTAATGGATTTTGCACTCCTCTTCGTAATACCCGACAATGCCATTTCACGTTGGTATTCCCGCAAGTCGGGATCTGGAGGAGCAGGGATAGGACTAGGTTGATGAGATAAACGAGACTTTTAATGCCGATTTTCGATGACTTACACTTCGACCTCTTCCATTTCAGCGTCGCTGTCTTCGTCCTCGTCTTGTTTCCATTCTTCTTCATGATCAAGGACAATGGGTTTTTCACGGGTGCCTGTGTCCTTGATTCCGAGAATCCAACCACCATCTTCACCTTCGTTCTTGACCAAGACATACTCCTTGTTGCGCTCACTGGCAATTCGTATAGGAATAGCTATGTGAGCACTACCGATAGAGTCGGTCGTCGTTAGCAGTTGCTGAGTAAGAGCGTTACGTTGCCGAAGGTTTTGAATCTGCTGCTTAGAAAAATCGAGTGGGGTACGAGAGGTCTGAAGCATCTTCTGTAGGCGCGCATAGGACGTCTGTCGAGATTTCAACCGCAAATCGCCAATGATTTCGTATTGAACTTCAGTGGGCAATTCGCGGAAGGCGGGGGAGGTAATATCAAAATCTTCTGGCCGCATCTCTTCTATGAAATTTCGCAACTCATCTTCCGTGGCGAGTCGATGATCTGGAGCAGCGGAACGGGTGGCTTTATGGACCGCTTCTTCTAGATCGACTTCTGGTAATCGATATGGATCATGATCATGAAATTTGTTCTTGAATGAACTGGAGGGGGTAGGTGGTTTCGGCTTGACCGGTGTCTTGGGATACGAGCCGTCAATATCTTCCAAATAGACTGTATTGTCATCAAGAGGTGGGGCACGTTCTTTTCCCTTCGATGCCGTACGCGTAACTCTTCACGGATGTACGGTCAACCCAGGTGTTGTAGTTGGGAATGAAGCACACATACCGTGTATCCTGAGCGTGATTCAGCGCCTCTCTCCTCATTTGTGCAGCTAGAAGCTTCTCTGCAAGTTTAGCATGGCTGGATGCAGCTCCTGATTTCTTCTTCTTTCGCTCATTCTGCGGGGGACACATAAGTCATGTCGCGACACAGGCCTTTAGAAACATACCAGGGTTGTTCTTTTCAGGGCGGGTGCACCGCCGTCGAATACGAAGACCGGCTTGATGCCATAAAATAGCAATTTGGTTATTCGGCGCAGAAAGCCCAAGACATGTGCGTTGACCAAACCCCGTCCTTCTTTGTCGCGCATGGTGGCCTGGAATTGATAGATCCAGATACTTGAGTCGATTGCCATGGCCTTCCCTTCAACATTTTCAAGCCTTGTATCATGGTGTTAAAAATGAAGTCGCACTACAGAATTGAGGTGGGCATACTGGACGGGCCTCCCAACAGGGGTCAAAAGGGTCCACAATGACTTGACACCCATCGTAGCGCCAGGATGTGTTCAATCTATCCAATTGAGCTGACTAAGGAGCCAGCCATAGACAAGTGACTGCCAATGGAAAGAGAAACAATGAGTTGCGGCATGGAGTCAAGATTAGCGAAGGCCAAACGGATGTGGCGGTGACCATCCCGGCTCCGCGCGGCGCGGCACCCACCTAGCGCCCACCACCCACTTGAGTTCCTCCATCATGTTGCCCTTCGACCATCCCTGCCATGCGGGTCGTCTTTTTTCGCGGATTGGTCGCCCTCAGTGTTCTGTTCTTCGCCGGCCTGTCGCTCTTCTTCATCGGACTACCAGAGGCTTTGCGAAACTTCCAACTTCCCAGACCGCTGCAGAGAGGTTCGGGCGGCCAGGCTCTTCCCGATATCGATATGCCTCTGGACGGTCCAGAATCACCTAACAGCGCTGCATCGAACTGTCAATCGGGAGACATACATGTATCTGTAGAGACCGGGGTACCGGGATGGGACTCGTCACGTTTTTTGCAGGGGCCTCCGACAAAAAGCTTCAAAGATAACCTGCTCAATGACACATACTACATCACGTCTTGGGCAGATTCGGGATTCAGTACGTGGTACTTAACTAAGTTCGAAAACAGCAGTTGACTCTTGTCCCGTAGCAAACCAATTTATGGGCTATGTTAACATGATCTACTTGGGACTGATATCAGACCGTATACCTATCCTGCCTCCATTCGGCCCCCACCATATGTGTAAGGTTTTACACCCAGCTTCAGTGCGCAGTCATGAATTAATCATACTTTACTAGCCTATGATGCCGGAGCTCTTCGATTCAGCCATGTTTTCAATCTGAAATACCTCAGGAAAGCTCTCAACCGTCCAATCCTTGAATGGCACGAAGTCAAAGAAGAAGACTCCCCATCCTCCCTCCGAGAGCCCTCATCAGAAGAACGGGAGTCCATCGGCTGCTGGTCCACACGGAAAGAGGCTATCGCCAACCCATTGCGGGTCAAGTCCGTCATCGACCACCTCAAACTTGACATCGCGTACACCCGTGTCCCCTCCGAGACGCGCCGGCTCCCAAATCACGAGAATGACGACTTCCTGGTCTTCCACCAGCTCGTGCCTTATATCTTTCCGCGACATCCCTGGCGCCCGGCGTCCAACTTCCCTCTGATGCAGGCATCACCATTAGGCCAGCGGCAGTCCCCGTATGAGCAGGTGTCGTGCTTCGATTATTTGTACTACACCCCTAGAGTCGACAGATGTTCGAGATGCAGTACTCCTGGTCGCCTCCGTGGCGATTAGTAGGGACTTACCTGCGGTTCACGGACGAGCTGGTGGGCCTTGCACAGACCTATCTTCGACGGGCGTTCCAGATATCAGATAGAAACGAGCATCCAACGAGAAGTGTCGCCTCAATGCCGCCTTTTATTGCCGTGCATGTGCGACGTGGGGACTTTGGGCGTCAATGTCGGGATGGCAGGAAGCCGGAAGAGTGCTTCGTCCCGCTTGAGGAGTATCTCAAAGCGGTTGGGAATGCCATACAACAGGAATTGCACGAAAAGAAGGCGATGGACGTCAAGCATGTCGTCCTGATGTCAGGTATGTGGCCATGCATGCGTTTCTCCACTGAACTGTCATTGAGCTCATCGCAACAGACGAGAAAGACCCAAAATTCTGGGAAGAGACCAAGAAGCTCGGCTGGACGCATTTTAACCACGAACAGGATAAGACGGTGCAGAAATACGGCGAGTGGTATCCGGTGCTCGTCGACAGCGTTGCGCAGAGCCTGGCTTCCGGCTTCGTGGGGACTGGCGACTCGACGTACAGCCTTATGAGCGCGCGTCGGGTGGAGGACTGGAACGCAGGCCCTAGGTTCCTTGTCAAAAGAAATCTGGGCCACCCATCGTGATATTCTGGCGTCTATTTTGCATATCATTGCCCAATGAGTTGGCTATTTCGGTTTCGGTTTCTGCTTCTGAAGGGGGAACAAGTGGGGCAACGACTTGGGGCAGGCAGCACGACGCGACTCGTTCCTCGGCCTTTGTGCCTGTACACGACTAGAGGACGGCATCGGAGAAGCCGATGATCTTAGAGAACGCCGAACGGCTGCCCTCCATTTTGGCAGAGAGCCGCTACCTCCAACCACCAATACACCTTGCGCTATCGGTACGTGATGCCTTGTCTCATCTCCAGCAAAGGCCAGGTTCTCAATAGAGAAATATTCGGCTCTTGGTAATCCCAAAAGACCAGGAACACACCAAAAAATGTGTTCCTAATAACATCCGACCTGCCCTTCTCCCTGAAATCCGTGACACGGGTCTATTAGGTCTGTCTAGAGGCTACTATCTCGTGTCAATCCTACAACACCTTTTCGCTACCTATTCCCTTGCTATAAGTATGTATCCTTTGCTTTATCTACTTCTAAAACGCCCATTCCCTCATCAAGAGACATCTTTCTGGTCTGTTCTCAAGGAGAGCACGTAGAGTCGAGTTGAATGAACGCAGAATTCACTCAGGCAATAGACCCAGTCTATGTGTTCAGAAACGGGCTGTGTTGGATACATAAACCTGGGTTTGCATGAAATGAAAGTGCGACGAATGATGGAATATTTGGGACCAAGACTGACCATATTTTTAAGGAAGTAAAAATGTCTATAAGGGTATGCATGAAGACGATATAAACGTTGGCCCAAATGGTCATTTTGCTCACTGCCCTGGACGATATATGTTACAAAGAAAGAAAGGAATGCATGTAGAGGTCTGTCCGTAAGTCCGCAGGAGATCTAGCAAGATTCGTGGGGAGAGCAAAAATAAATCGTAAATTATCGTAGGCGGTGGTCATCGATGTCATTTTGGACTTGTTGGGCGAGATGGGCGTCCACGATCGGCAGTCTCCCCTACATTACGAGCGAGAGGGGATCCACGACCTGCAGGAGAACTGGCGCGTGAGGAAAATGGAGCAGTTTGGGTTGGGGGGATGAGGCCGCCATTGTCGTTGGCATTAGGTGGAGTCCCGTTACCAGGAGAAGCCCTTGGATCGAAGTTGGACATTCCAGTCGTCTGCATCCCAAGAGGCATCTGGCCACCCATCTGAGGCATACCCATGCCCATGCCCATGCCCATCATAGGCATACCCATCATCGACATACGAGGGTCGAATCCAGACACGCCAGTCATAGCAGGGTTCATCCCGCCCATCCCTCCGCCCATACCACTTCCCATACCGCCTCCCATACCTCCCATACCAGCGTTCATTCCACCCATTGCTGGATTCATTTGCGAGCTTGGACCACCGTTAGCATTCTCACCACCAATCTGGGATCCGGCCACTGAGAAGGCCATCATGGCTTGTCGATAGGCCTCCGCAGCCTGTTGTGCAGCAAACATATGTTGAGGATTGAAGCCGCCCATCATACCTGGATATCCCATCTGGCCAGTCATCATCGGGTTCATAGGCGCCATGCCCCCACCTGTCATCATCGGAGTCAATCCACCACCCGTCATCATAGGGTTCATGCCCATCATCGGATTCATACCCATCATCATTGGGTTCATCATTGGATTGAGCCCGAAACCACCATACATCGACCCCCCTGCCTGCATTTGCTCCAATTGCTGACGTTGCTGCTCATCGAAGCGTCTCTGTCTCTCTTCAGCAAGACGTTTCTCGCGTTCTCGTTCTGTCAATGCGGCACCAACACCTCCTTCGCGCTTCCTTTCTCGTTCATGAGCAGTGATAGCTCCAAGAAGGCCTGTTTGAGGGGGAGGAGGTTTATTGGGCACATTGATAAGCGCAGCACCGCTTTCGCGAGCGAGTTCTTCTTGTCGCTTAGCCGAACGATCTTCCTTGTCTTGCAGCCCGGCAGAAAGAAGACCTTGCGGAGTGAAGGCTTTCGTCATGGTTTCCGAAGGGTCAAGTTGCACGAATGTATCCCGAACTGGACCTTGTTGCTGCGGTTGCGGTATATGGCCAGCGCGGCCTGGATCCAAGACTTGACTCCAAACAGATTGGCGGGCAGCACCAGGTTGCGGGAATTCAGATTGTGTGCGGATAGGTGTGGCATCGTCGTAGTAGGTGCGTCGGCCTGGATCAGCATATTGATCTGAAATAACCCTGCGTTGCATAGGCTGAGGATGTTGTAATTCGTCTCCTAAAATATTACGATTAGACAAACTGCTATTTGAAAACATGTGCTGTTTTCTTTTTACCTGGACCACGGCCTTGAGGGATCTGCGGCAGATTTCTTGCTGGTCGAAGATGCGACGGAGTAGGCGGTATGTCCTGCAATGATTCAACAGGTCCTGACTGTCCTGGCTGGATGTTATGCAGCTGCCTGGCAGAATTAGCTGATGAAGAGAGTCCTTGGTGCGACGAGGTACTTTGAGTTGGTCGGATAGGCTGAGAATCGGAATCGACGTCGTCTTCCTCCTCCTCCTCCTCCTCCTCCTCCTCGTCTTCTTCCTCGTCCTCGCTGCTCTCCCAACCACCAGCGACGCGCGATTTCCGTTTCCCATTAGCCCGACCAGGCTTGTGCATGACAGCCTGGTGGGCGGCTTGCTGTGCCTGTGCCTTGGCCTTCCTTTCGGCGGCTTTACTAGAAGGAGCGAAGGACGATTTGTAGGGAAGGCCATCTCCAGCTGGTTGTTGAGAGGGTGTAGCACGGTCTGCCGCGTGGACGACGTTGAGGGGTTCGACCTTGGGCGTGTCCTGAGGTGGTGACTGCGCCGGCGGCACCTCCGAGTCCGCGATGTCGAGGTAAGTCAACGCCGCGAGCACCTCGCTGTTGGGGTCGTCGTAAGCCAGGGCACTCTGCTGGTGTTGCTGGTATTGCTGTTGCTGTTGTGAAGCCATGCTCTCGTCCGTTTCAGTGACAGTTTGGGATGAAATACTCTCCGCGTTGTTGCGGGATCGGACAGCGTGCGGGGCACGTGCGCCAGACGGTTTACGTCCTAGGCCTGATCGACTCGGGCTGATCTGGCCAATAGGCTTCTTCGCTGGCACGGCAGTCGTGTTAACCGACGACTTGGGAGAGGAAGGAGTTGGCCGAGAGGTGGTGTCGCTAGAGGCAATGGGTGTTCCACGAGTGTCAACCCCTTTGTCGCCCACACGTTCTTGAGTTTGTGGGATCACGGCCACAGGTTTATTAATGGGCTTAGAATCCGATTCATCAAGTGAGGTGCTGTCATCGTCGCCTTCTGAGTCGGGAAGCGTTCGACGTTGCTGAGGGCCAGAGTGAAGACCGCCTGAACCACTGAAATCAGATTGCTGCATGTAATAAAGAGCGCCTGCTTCACTGAGGAAGTCAGTGGATCGGTCATCTCCAGGAGAAGATTGCGCGGTCTTAAGAGAAGGTTGGGGTTGCAGATTCTGGGTTTGCAAGGTGGTACTTGATGGTTTCCATGTCGGAGAATGTCCGAGAGGGGAACTTGGTTTGCTATGACTTGTGTGGCTGTCGACATCGCGCAGTCGTGATGCGTGTTCATTGGCAAAGCTGGTACTCACGGTACTTGTGCCCTGCGTGTTTGAGCGGTCTTTCAACGAGGGGCGACCCAACGATGCCGATCCATCGAAGGGCTTATTTTCGTCTGGTTTTGGCGAGTTCATAGGAGCCGAGCTTGACATGGAAGTGAGGCTCTTGTTGTCAAATGTGCCATAAGACGTTCCTGCGGGCATTGAAGACGATGGATAAGTGTCCGATGATGCCAAAGTCGAACTTGGAGGCAGAGATGACGCCGCTGGCGCTGGAGGCGAGCTCGCTGATAACGGGCTATGCACCATGACTCCATCAAGGAGAGCAGTTGGTGGAGGCGACGCTGTCTGAGCTTGGTCAACCTGAGGAGACGTGCTGTTGCTTGGGCTCAACGCAGACGGAGCATCCACTGAGGTCGACCGGCCGTGCATATTGACACTCATCTCAGTGATGGGTGTCAGAGGACGTTCTCGCGATGATGTAGCATTTGGCGGACTCTTAGCGCCGAAGCTGAGAGGCGGCAGCTGTGGACTACCAAGAGGCGAAGACTGTAGGCCGGAGCCATTAGCTTGAGGTTGTCCATTCTCTTGTGTGGGTAGTGGCGGAAGGGCGTTATTACTTGCGCTGCCAATAGGAGGTAGAAGAGGTGGAGAATCAGTTGTCGTCAGTGGGCGTTGCTGTACAACCTGAACAGCTGGCTTCATATGTTCACGAAGGAGTTTCTTGATATGAGCTCGAATGACGGAGGTACGATCGTCGCGAGGATCCATCGATTCAACCACTTCTCGGTCGAGGAAAAGGGTCTAAGGCAACCATAAATAAGAGTATAAAGACTATAGAGCCAAGGAAGTACTTACTTCCTTCTGAGGGCCAACAGGGTATCCAAACATTAATGAGATAGGATCGCGAGGGTCCCATGTCCATGCATCAGGTCGACCGTACAGCTCAAAAGCATCATGCAGAGCTAGAGAACAACACTTAATAACATTGAAGGAATATGAGAGGAGATTGACGCCGTACCGACAATCCATTTCAGCATCTCCGCTGCTTGGCCTGTGCTGTTTTCTAACTCTGGCATAATCAAGCACCACCCTTCTCTCGTGCGCAAGGAACCAGCCATTTCTTCATCGCCAAGTGTGCCCTCGACTTTCAGCAACGTGCTGCGGCTAATAAGCTCTGGGCGTTCAGGATACACACCAAACGCTTGTGTGACCCCGGAGATTGTCATGAGCGGCTTCTTCCTATCCTTGGGCTTCGGTGAGGTGAACATTGAAATCATAGGTTTGGCGGGGAGAGGAGAGGATGGATGGTGAGCTTCTCGAGAGAACAAATTCGACATCCGCTTCTTTTTCATTGTTGCTTGAGCTGCCGCCTGTCCTGCGCTTGCCGCTAACTCTCCACCTTCTATGCCCTCTTGAACCGATACCCATACGCGTTTCCAATCTGTCTGGCCCGCTATGCGAACACGGGCCCAGCCTTCCATTTTTCCTCGGATAAGAGTCGTTGGAACATCGCGAGCTGTATCACCATAGCATTAGGACACATAGATATAAACTCCGGGAAACATACCATTGAGGGTGATCCTAATCAGATGGGCAGTGTAGATTTCCTCGAGTCGAGACTTCTCCCATGCAGCTAATCGCAAGGCCGCGGCCCATGAGATCAAGGATTGTGTTGAAGGGCATGAAAAGAGTAAGAGATTTGACCCTGCTGTGTTGAGGGTCAGGACGTTCGTATACCGCTTGGCCGGCGCTGTAGCGGTTGCAGGGACAGTAACAGATCCCAAGACTTGGACAAACTGTACAAAATATCAAGCAGACGAAGAGGAGGAGCAAGAAATATGGCACGCACGGCATCCGTCACATTGATGTAAGAAGGCGGAACTTCCTTTCCTTGCTTACTGGCTTCCTGGATCTCCTTCATATCCCAGACGCTTAAGGTCGTACCACCAAGCTGCGCCCAAATCTCCATCCAACCTTCATCCTTGTGCGGTTTTTGGCCATCAGGCTGCCGCTCGATGCGACGCACGAGTGGACCAGAGAAGTAGATCTTGTGTGCGTGTGCTACCGTAAGTTGGACAACAGAGCGTATCTCTGGATGGAGGGGTGGTGCAGTCGGTGCGGGCGGTGCGGATGCTGGGGCAGGTGCGGGTGTAGGTGATTGCGAGGATTGAGAGCCTGCTTGAACGGATGGCGACCGTGTCAGATTGGGCTGTTGAGGGCTGATTGCTGGGCGGCCGTCGTTCATGGCAGACAGCACAGGCTGCCCTTGCGGACGTTGTATATGCATGGGCAACTGCTGGGGCTGCTGGGGAGGGGATTGTGGTGGCTGTTGCTGAAATGATTGCTGATTAAATTGCTGTGGTAGCGCCTGCTGAGATGGTGGCGGAGACGCGAAGTTTAGTGGAGGTTGTTGGGCTGCATACTGTGAAGGAGGCATGCCTTGCATCGGGGGAAGAGATGGCCCGGGAGGTGGATTGTTCGACGACGGAGGTAAATATTGTTGAAGCGAAGGCGCAGATCCGTTTGCGTTCATATTCGGAGTGGAAGACAAGGCCCTCTGGTGCACGTTGCTCGCGCTATCACTGGACTGCTGCTTGTTTCCACGAAACGAAAAGAAAGAGCCCGTGCGAGAGTGCGACATCTGGGGAGACTGAGAAGGGGATGAGCCTCCGGGAGGGCTGTTGCTTCCCAACTGGGGATTTGGTGGAGGAAATTGAGCCTGATTCTGCTGTTGGTTGTAAATTGGCGGCTGTGGTTGCCCCTGTTGGAAGCGGTTCTGGAGCGCCTGCTGCTGGGATTCCTGGGCACGGAGTTGCTGGAATCTTGGTGGCGGGACGTAGCCGTTTCGAGATTCCCAGTGTACTGGAGCTGACGTCGTTTGCGGATACGAAGTCATGCGCGGATGGGAGTGTGCGGGTGTAGCATCCACTCATGGGAATCTGGGCCTGCTCGCTGCCAAAAACAGGTACGTCACAGTGCTCCCCGTCCACAAAGCTCAACAAGTCGTAAGCGTTATCTGGCATTCAAGTTGCATTACTGAACCTCTATAAGGACTTTTGGGTCGGTCCTCCCTTGAATAAAACAGACAGGATGCACAATGATAGATAAAAAAGCGAAAGCAGGACGCCACGATAGAGTCTACGAGATCTCGATACCGGGCAGCTATAATTACGAGGCCGTGATCTATGAGGTCCATATCGGCCTGGAAGAAATAAATGAGAGTAGAGTAGCAAAAGGACTTCCTACGGCGCGATCGTGTAGGCCAGCGTCTGATCGTGTAGATAAGCACCATCGTTCAATGGCCCGCAAAACGGAGACAACTCACAATTGGGAACCAACCGAGACCATGTGCCAAATTGAAAGCCAGGACGTCGCCCGTGGCGGCGATATTCGTACCATCGGTGACCAAGACGGTGACAGGTTTGGCTTGCGGATTTTCAAACGGTTAGATTCTAGGCGCTGGTTGAGAGACCACATACAGCCATCTGGATTTGTCCACTGGGCGGAAATGATCCCAGTGATATAGTCAATGGTCCACTATAAGTTTTATGTCAGCTTAGATTCAAAGGAGTGCTTATGAAAGACTCACCACATCGGTTTCGACGGCCAAATCGGACAAGCCGGTATTATAGTTGGCGACGAAGGAGGGTAGGGAACCAGGAGCAGCTGTCGAAGACGGTTAAATTCTACCGACACAATGACGGGATAGATAATGCGACTTACTGCCAGGATCTGCTACACCAGTGACAAGTACTCCGCTTACACACGGACCGCATTAGGCGCGCTGGTTTGACATCGGGCAATATCCACTTACTTAGGCAGGCCAACTCCAAGAGTTAGACCGCTGCTCGCGTCATACTGAACGAGACCGAGATTGGGGAATCCCTGTATTGAAGAGTATGAGCCAACAACACCTCAGCTAGATTCACAGGTAAACGCACCGACAGAGTACTTATAGTTATCCTCCGATCAGTGCGAGACGACCAGGAAGGGCTCGCAGTAGTGACGAGGTTGATGCCCGAGCCACTCAAGTCGACCTCAAGACCAGATGTTCCGAGAGTGAGGCCGCCCAGAGGCGAACCGGTCGAGGCAGTGATAGCACCAATGTTGATGTTGGCCTGGATTTCAGGAAGCTCAGATTCTTGGCGACGCTGGGCAGTAGCTAAATAAACGACACAAAGGTGTAAGCTTACATCCAAACGGCGATGAAAAGGGAGCTACATACACCGACGCGTCGGGCGCTTATGGGTCAACTCCCTCGCATAGAGTTCAGCTGGGGTCAGGTTGGTCGTTTGAGTGGCTTGGGCGCCTTTCAAAGCGAAGCGTCTGACAGGGGAATCTCCCGTGACGGCAGCATTAGCCCCAATAACACAGAGGAGGGCACCGATGAGCGGTGAGATTAGCAAGAACGAGCGCATTTCTCGATGGCGGTTACAGCGCGGGAGGAGGGGGAAGGGGGTCAAAAGAGCGGCAAGGAGGGGGATCCAAGATACCTAGCAGGAAAGATAGACAGAGAGACACGAAGGCTTTTGAAACGTCCACAAAACCAAGCCCTCGAATATATCATAATCGGCTCTCCCACTGTGGAGCGCGTTCGAGCAAGCATGCTTCCAGGATAGAACGCGGCCAAGGGGAACATCCCGTCAGGAATGGTAATTTGCGGCGCACAGACGGCGGGTACGCCTAGTGCGAGGCGCGATCGACACTTGGGGGGGTTTGCGATTCATCTATATGTACTTGCATGGGCTGAATCGCTCGAAGTTGTGTACTGTCCCTAGACTTCAGGCGTCGTTCGTTGCCTTATCCTGCACCGGCGCGGCCTCGGCGGGTCTCAGGTATGGTTGGGTTCCTTTTGAGGTGCGTTCAAGGCAGGCGCCGAAAGCCAGAAGAGTCGGGTGTTGTGTTTCATTCGGCGCTCTTGCACGCAGATGCCAGAATGGCAGACATTTCCTTTTTGAAATGAGCTCTCGATCGTCAGACTTGTTTGTTGCTGGCAATGCCATTCATGAGAGACAGTGACTGCCTCCAATACCAGTGGTGAGAATAGAGCAGTGGAGAGGAGCTTCAGGCGTTGAATCGAAGAAAATGCGAGCCTTGTGGTTCCAGTTGTCGCCTCATAGAAGGGGCTGGTTTTATTTGAAGGGTGAAATTGAATCGCCAATGAAAGCGCCGCCGATGATACAGCCTTGATCCATTCATAATCTGCCGATTACCTGGCACCCATACCGTAAGATCGAGGTCATAGCCCCGACAAGGAGATGAACAAACAATATGGAGTGCTTACGCGTTGTGTTCAAACGATACTGAAGAAAGAACAGACCTAGACGAGGCTGAAATTCCAAGTAAGACAGTGCTCCGAATATCAAACCGTCCAAAACTGACGCTAGGGCGGTCGCTGTCAAATGACTGTCGCCGTCGAAGGGCTCCGGACAGAACATGCCATTGAAGATGCATAGTGGTCAAGATCAAACTGCGGGGCACTTACGTCCAGTGGCACCAAACTCGAGGCTCGGAGGTATCATTTTCACTCCGGAATTCGCACCGACTTGTTGCCGACTTGCCTGCTTGGCTTCAGACCTGCTTGGCTCTCAAATGCCTCCAGAGCTTGTGGGTGAACAAAGGGGAACGTTATAATGTCAAGTAAAACGAGTGTTGTGCAAGTTTTGTAGTCTCTGAAATGAATGAAATGAATGAGGGGAAAGCATATGGCACAGAGTTCGAATTACTACAAATTTACGAGAGAGGCGTACTTCCCAAGTTTGCCTGCGTGCTCAGTTCATTTGATGGATCCTCCAACCGCAAAAAGATCTTCCCCATGTTCCTCTTTTGTATGTAGTTTTGTTACCGCTGGTATCCCCAAGGAGTGGCCGATGCGCCTACATACAGTCGGCGTGTCTGGGCAGTGGGGACAGGAAATGAGGCGATAAAATTTTCATATCTACGCATCCCTGCTGAAGACATCTTGTTGGGAGCGGAGAGACGGAACCACGTCTGGATGTTTTGCCAGTTGGGTCAGCGGTGAGCGATAGCGAGGGTGATGGTCGGGACAGAAGTAGGTGGATCCGCAAGAGAGCCAATAATGACAAACCTAGGACAGTAGGACGAGAAATGGATTTTGACCCGCGAAGGAATATCCCACAATTCCGTACTCTACGACATCCAAAACCCCGGGTATCGATCCATGCTACAAATTACGAACTTTGGCGCCGGGACAGTCCGTTCTTGGGTTAACGCACGTATAACTCCAGGTTAAGGGATGGCGGCAACGAAAGCGCGGTAAAAAAAAAACATAAGTTCCATAAGCGACAAGAAGCACCGTACATACATAGTTGCCGAAAGATTTGAATTGGAGAGCACTTGGCACTGAGAGTATGAGGTGGTTCCATGACTAAATCATGAAGAGGAATATAATCACACACCAAGACAACCGTCGAGGGCTACGTTGAGAAACGCCTAAATCAGTTATCTAACTCGGATTCCAATCGGATTCAGTAAAAGATAGGCATCTGAGGGTGGACCTGGTATTTTGTCGTATACAAGGCCACACGGTGGCAGGTGTCGTCACATTTATCAATAGACCTTCAGGCAGTCCAGATGTGCATAGAATCAAATGAACAGGTCTATTGCTTCGTAGAGTTTTACTCTTCGATATCGATGCTCTCCGGTCTCGCCTATGGAAAACATCAGAAAGAGTACATGACGCCGCGAGCACGAAGCACTTCACCTTGTTCTCCTCTAGTCCCCCAAGTTCTCGGACAAGGCCGTTGAACGGATATTCACGGCGAACAACAGGCGCTTCCGGAGTCAAGGATTTGATGGTGAAACCGACGGCCACGAAGGCAGAAACCGCAATTAGGAAACGGCGCAGGGCGACGTTGGGATCAATCGGAGGAGCATCAGGTCCCCACATCGAAAGGACCTCCTCTTGTTCATGTAGCTATTCAGAAAGATGAGACACTGTAGCCATGTGAGCGCAGTTAAGCACATACCGTCTCTCCAAAGTTTCTCCTCGTCAAAGGGTCATTCCAGCCCAGCGGTGGTAGGTGGCCTCGGTGGACCCATGGAAGTTGAGGATACCCATTGAGCTGGGGATCAGGCTCTTGCTTTGAGGGCGTCGCGTACGACCGTGAGGCATTCGTCAAAGCAAAGATCCCGCGTCCCGCGTTGGGATGAGCCGCGACTAGCGCGCGGCGGAGGATGAAGTTGGAGTTCATGGTTGCGGACGACGTCGGCGAGCTTGCCAAGCGACGAGAGGGTCACGACCGTGCGAACTATCAGCACGTGGGCTTCCAGTGGTAGGTTAATACATGACCCTTACAAGAACCCTTCCAGAAATACGGTTCCATCATAGGTTAGGGCGTAATTTGTCCACAAAGATCTTGATCCATTCGCTCGCATCTCAGGACCGGAATGGTGTCGCCAAAACGGTGGGCTCTTTATATCTGTTCACCTTTTCTCGTCACGCAACTCATCTTTCTTGCTTCAATGCCCCTTCCAGTCATTCCAGAGGTCCAGATCCCCTCAACCGTGTACAATGTTCGAAAGCGTAGACGAAGAGCAGGTGAGGTCCCTTACCCCGTGAGGTACTCAAGGCAAATGGCAGATTTGTGAGTTCCTACCTCATAACCTCGGTTTCCGTATGCGCAACTGATTCATAGGCTCTTCTGGTTTGCAGTGATATCTGGGACCACATGTTCCTGAGAAGCTACTGCGGGGGTCTTACTCTTCACCAATTTGCTGAGCCTCCGTCCATGGTCCTGGATGTTGGGTGTGGGAATGGCTATTGGGCGATTGAAGCCGCGAAGGAATGGACAGTGCGTGCCCTGTCTATACCCCTTTTCAAACTACATTTAAACCCGTCCAAAGAATTCCAAAATTACCGGGCTTGATTTGGTCGATATTCAACCCCGTTTACACGCTATCGAACCGTTCCAACACCTCTCGGCGCGCGTTACATGGGTCCACAGCAACCTGTGAGCATGATTTCAACTGCCAACCATCTTTCGGTTCTGAACGTCAGTATCTGTATAGCTTGGAAGGTCTTCCATTCCCATCCGACCATTTTGATTTCGTTAGAGTCGCGGGGCTGGGGTTGGCCGTTCCAGAAGATGAATGGCCGCTGTTACTTGAGGTGAGTTGCACAAATATTGGAATTTTTCAGATTGCAGACGTCGTTCTCCAGGAGATACATCGCGTGATGAAGCCGGGGGCCTTTTTAGAGGTGGGCGAACCGAACTCTGATAGACTTTTGACTCTAATCTCTATCCAGATTACAGAGGAAGATCTTATTTTCCCTTCCGCCTCGACCTTGTTACAGTCGTCCGAATTCGCCTCGCCGCCTTCTCCGAGCCACCACCTCCCTGTTGCTGATATGTTCAAGAGTCGATCGTCTACATTGTACGAGCGCTCTAGCTCATCTCCAGAACGCTCAACCCTATCCTCCACATCAGCCTCTACCCAAGACGGCAATTTTTCGGCCAGATTCTCGGTATTCCTGCATGGCCATGGGCATACGATGACCTCAAGGCATTCTTCTACCAGCACACTAAACGTCCAGTCGCCTCCTCTAACGGATCCGCTAAACGACACGGAACATCCACAAGATCACACACGTCTCAAGGTGGCATGGGAGGGAATGCTTTCGACACGTTTTCTGTCCAGCAAGATAATCTCCGTGATCCCGTTTTATTTGACGTCATCGTCGTTTGTTAATACCAAAGCTCATCCTCCATTAATGGTGCCTCTGCCTCCAAACTCTGGCTCGCTTCCAACTCTCAAAGCGTGTCGTTCGATGGGATCACTGCTGGACAAGGATAGAAGTGATCAGTTCTTTCTCGACAATATGTTTGACCTTGCACCTTCACCCTTGGTCAAATCTTCCAAGACAGATCCGTGGACGACTCGTGCTCCTCTTTCTTCGACATCTCGACTGAGCGCCCCTGCTTGGGGCACCATGCATCTCTCGAAAAAGATGAGCACTATCCGAGGTTGCAAGGAAGCAATATGGGAAGAATATAGGGAACGTTACTCTCGAGACGTGTCGCAGATTCTCCTCCGAACGGCGCCGAATGATGAGGATTATTCGCTCCAAACTCAGAAGTATATCGTGCGGAGAGCATTCGAAGTAGATTGGAAGAACTGGGAGCTGTAAGTTCTACGTTGCGAACCTTGACATCGAACTCATTCCTGTTCTAGTGACATGCTGGACCGTATGGCCATGCGTAGCAATCTTTTGGTGCATGCAGGATGGTCGCGGACTTTCTCCGAAGCCGATTCTCCTGAATGGGCGACCTGGAGAGACAGTCTAAATCGCAAGTCTGGCGCCGAGCCCAAAAGCGGGCATCTGGTGACAGGGTACAACCCAGACGATTTATGTCGATCTCTTCGGACTTTTACAGGTTTCAAGGCGTAGTTGCTTGGACTCTGTTTCCTTTTTTTTTCATCTTCTCATCACCAATCATCCCGCCTTGCATCCTATCTTCAAGTCGTATTGCTATCCTACTTCTCCACCTGCTTTGAAACATATTGCACTATAATCAACTATACATTTTTTCGTGTACTTTCACCTGCTGTTGCGAGCTTCATGCTGGGAGGTTGTTGGGACAGGTTGCGTCACGCGCGTGGACTGCGCCACGAATTTTCCCGATAAAGTAATCCTGGGGTCTGGGCAGATTCGACAACCCAACCAACTCTTCACCTCTTCACCACACCTTCCTCTACAACGCGCGATGTCCGATACCGAGAAACCCGCTGCTCCAGAGACAACTGAGAAAAAGGTCGGTTCCACTCTGGAGGCTGATCTCACGAAGTACAAGGTGTGCCTTCTACGCGATCTCTCATCTTTACAAGATCGAAAAAAATCTAATCATCGTACAGACGGCGGCAGACATCATCCACAATGTAACCAAAAAGCTCCTTGAACTTGCCGTTGAAGGGGCGAAAGTGATCGATCTTTGCATTGAGGGAGACAAGCTCATTGAAGAGGGCACCGGAGCAGTTTACAACAAGGCAATGAAAGGCGTTCGGGTGTCCAAAGGTGCGTCTATTGCGAGACTTCAAAATAACGGCTCGTGGATAACACGCGACGTTCCTTAAGGCATTGCATTCCCGACGTGTATCTCAGTCAATAACACCGTTGCGCATTTTTCACCGTTGGAGTGGGTTCTATGAATCAGCTGCACGCGATTGGACATCTCATCGCGTTATCCTTAGATCGGATCCCCTGTCCTCTCAGGTTCTTTCGAAGGGAGACGTTGTCAAGATTCAGCTTGGCGCCCACATCGATGGATTCGCTTCCGTCAGCGCCGAAACCATCGTCGTAGGGGCCAGCGTCGAAAACCCAGTGACTGGCAGACGCGCTGATGTCGTGAAGGCTGCATGGACAGCTGCCGAGGCAGCAATGCGCACACTCAAGGTCGGGAACAAGAACTGGGCGGTCACTGAGATCGTGGGGCGTACCTCAGCTGCTTGGAATTGCAAACCTGTGGAAGGTGTGTACTTCTGGTTATGGTCTTCCTTGTCCGAGTCTCACAGGGACATTCGTGTGACAAGGAATGCTCTCTTGCCAACAAACACAAAATGTTATTGACGGCAAGAAGCGCATCATCTTGAACCCGAGCGAGGGTCAAAAGCGCGACTTCGAAGCCGCCACCTTCGGCGAGAACGAAGTTTATGGCATCGACATCTTAATCTCCTCTGGAGAAGACGGGAAGGTGAGCAAACTTCATGAATCGTCATGAATCGGGCTCCACTGCAACTTCAATTTCACTTCCAGGCTCGTCTGGAAGAATCCCGTACTACTATCTTCCAAAGAGATTCTTCCGTGACATATCAACTTAAAATGAAGAACTCCCGTGCCGTGTTCTCTGAAGTACAAAAGAAAGCTGGCGCTTTCCCCTTCAATATCCGCACATTGGAAGACGAGAAACGCGCTCGTATGGGTCTTCAGGAAGCTGTCCAGCACAGTCTAGTAAAACCTTACGAAGTGATGTCAGTGGCTGCCAAAGCAATCTGCCCACCCTTGAATGTCTTCTAACCCATTTCCATTCCTCGCTAGTTACTCGCCGGCCAACACATTTGTCGCTGGTTTCCACTTCACTATCGCTCTCCTTCCTGCCGGGCCGTCATTGATCACCCATCCTCCGATCTGGTATAAACCTGAACTCTTCAAGACCGACAGGGAGCTCGAAGACGAGGAGTTGAAATCTCTTCTGGCACGAAACTTGCGAGAGAACAAGAAGAGCAAGAAGAAAGCCCAGAAGGCCGAAGGTGCTAAGGCCGAAGTCTGAAGAGAAGGGGAGTAAATATCACGAAGGATCCAGAGAACTAAATCAATAGGACTGTATCGTTCAAACGTTCACCGGCAATGTCATATTAGGCCAATTTTGTTGTACTCGCTGCCATCAAAAGTGATTTCGGCCATTATTTTGGCCACAGCTCAGGACTTTGTCAGCATGCTTCAAGTATTATTTTATATTCTTAACATACTCATAGGCTACACTTTCAAGGTGCTTAGAGATTAGCAAAACCTTGTTGAGATCATTAAAAACAACATTTTCACCAAAATGCATGAAGCACAGCACCTGAGGAAAAAATCCTCTGACCCTCATTATTTTATGAGGGGTACTTCTAAGTCACCAATCATCCAAACAAGTTTAATTGTGTTCAATTGTCAAGTCGTTCCTAAGATATAAATACCAAAACATGGCCATTTTCCGCATTTTTAGGGGTTTTCACACGAATTACCTCAACTTGCTGGCCTCATATCCCCTTAACCATGTCTTTGATCTTTTTCATTTTAGCTTTTATATACTCTCCCTAAGTATATCTACATATACATGCATCTTATAGATTTTTTACGACCTTCCTTGAAGATGTGAAAAAATTGCTCAAGCATAAATTTCGCATTTTCTCACCTCTGGGATGGACATCCTGCATTCTGAGAGCACTATTATACTAGCCTAGTACATTTGAGATATGGAGAATATTTTCATGATCCAGTGCTAACCCGAACCCTGAGAACCCCAGGCCGAAATCACTTTTGGTGGCAGTGAGTACAGCTGATCATAAATTCATCGCCACTGGGTGCGCTATCTATGGATCATTTTGTCCGTTTTTCAGCATCCTCTCCGAAGTGCTCTATTGTACGAACGACCAGACCAATGTTTTCGAGGAAGGCATTGAGCGTCAACCTTGCCAGCCGGACGGTCAAGGTGTGGAAGGTTCTGTCGAGTGACAACTACTCAGCAGGGATACCATGCAAATATTAGCATACTCACGCGATGAGCTTGTCATCTTGAACGGAAAGCGTCCTCTGGACTGCCTGTGGTTGCAATTCCGCGTCAACTTCGATGACTTGTTTTGCTATGGCAGCGTGTTTGGGAGACGTGAAGGGTATCTCCACGGTGCTGCACGTTCCTCGGTGAATTGTATCCTAGTAGTTCTTGTTTCGAAAGTTCCTTACACTGTATGCCAATCCGATGAATCCATAGGCTGTTGGAAGATCGTGGTGGTAGTTGGTCAAGGAGAGTAGTAGTACAGCATCTTGATTCTTGCCTCATCTTATCGGGTTCTACGATGTCATAGTTAGATCTTATCTTATCCCATCCAAACATAATCTACAGGCAGGGCGGACAAATTAATCGAGTTTAAACGTTTGTTTACTCAAGGCTAATCTCCGAGGTACGTCACACTCTCCGTCACGCTCCGCGCGTACGCTCAGCGCGCATGCACTCTGTGTCCCCGTTCTGGGATGCTCCGTTCCTCCGCTCGTGAATGAACAAGACCTGTTCTTGTTCACGATGCATGCCCCCTTGTGTGGCGAGACCCACTCTCCCATATAACGGCACACCTGGGAATCGACGAGCCACTGCTTTCCTCGCGTCGCTCACCGGTTCACTAGTCTTAGCCATTCCGTCGCACTTCTCCGTCATTTTTGTCACCCGCCCTTACCCTCTCTCCCTTTCTTTCCTGGTATTCCTGTTATTTCGTACTTTACATCCTGAATGTTTGTATTTTATTAGACGTTGCTCCCGAAATCTCATGTTCCTGTTTCGCAGGCCTCGCCGCTGACTCCACAGGGCGGGGCCGTGCACACCTTATCACCGACGGAATGGCCACACGTACGAAGGCGATTAGATGTCCAGTTACGATCTGACTTGTTCTGTCCAGTTATCTGTCCAGTGACATGACCAGTGACTGACCAGTTTTCGGCCGATCATGCGCCGGTCCCTCGCCGGTTCCTCACCGGTCATGTGGACTACCTATTCAGGCCAAAATTGAATTTAAAATTGGCTGGATTGTGACCGGCATGTCATCGGCAGGGTGCATGCCGAGCCCTTGCCGATGACTGGCTGGTGACTGGCGTATGACCGGCACATCACTGGACAAATGACTGGTCAGAACAACTCGGACCGCGACTGGACATTTAATTATCCGTCGTGAGGTCCTCCTTAGATCCGAGATGAGAATACACTGTATACATACGAACTCTATATTCAAGATTCGTTCCAAATTCCTACAGACTCTCTGCTCCAGGCGGTCCTTCTGAATATCCCACCCGTTCGCTCGCCTGTTCGGGGTTTATAGGGCAGCAGTAAGCACCTGTTGGCGTTTATGACCTTCAGAGGAGACAAAACCTACCTCCGCAATTATGTCACTGTCAATTTCAGGCAATACTTCTGGAGATGTGCCATCCAGAGGAGCGACTCCCCACCTTGTCGGGGGATCACTTATGCAGAGACATAGATCGTCGGGCAAGTGCGAGCCATATTCTGCGTTAAAATGTGATCTGACGTGAGTCTCCTCTGCGCATAATTGTCAGAAAGCATAGTGGAATATTGAGTAAAAGGGGTCACCTTCCGTCATCGACTCCAGCTGCCTCATCATCCCGCGTACAATGTTCTCAGCAGCCTCCCTGTACTGTCGCCGACGCGCCATTTCCAGGACGAGCTTGTTGAACGCCATGCGATAGGAGACGTAGTGGGCATGCAGTTCGTCAAGGACTGTCAGGTGGTGATGCAGCACGTTCATTTGTTCCTCTGCTTCAACATCGACGTTGTCTTGTTCGACGAGCATGTCATCCATGATTTTGGCTAGCTCGTCAAGGTCATACACAACGCTGCTTAAATGGTCCAAGTCTTTCTGTAGATCGTCTTTATGTGTCACCAGCTGCTTGCTAGAAGAAGGCATAAGCATTATTCACTGGGGGTCACTGGTAGACGAACTGGTATCCCTCAATAGACAGTAGGTTCTCCTCCAGCTCAGCCATAATCGTCGATAGTTCCTCCGTATCTCTATTCATAACTAAAGCCAAGTTAACGATAGATCTCCTATGACGATGAAAGCATAAAGAGCAAACCTTGTAGCTCTTCTTCGGAAAAGGCTTCTCCAGCCTCTGTGTCCTTCAAGGCACCAGCCATATTGTCATAATGACCAGCGAGATTTTCCAATACACCGGCCATTGTCGTGACTATGTTTTCTTGGGATGTAACGATGTCCTGCGTCTGTTTCAAAGCGCTGGGCTCGCTTGGTTCGGGTACAGGTAGTGAGGAGTGAATGGAATTGATTGTCCGTATGAGACGCTCAGGGAAGTCGCCTGTAGTTCCAAGAATTTCCTGCAACATGGTTAAGCCATGGGATTTCGCTGCAGACACAGGACGAGACGTACGTCCAGCCTTGAACGATCCTTCTCCATATCCTCAAGAGCAGCCTCAACATTGTGGTCAGCAACAAAGTCTCTCAGCGTCTTCCACTTTCGCCTATCCTCATGCCTTCCTCCTCCCCCAATCTCTTTGCTCTTCCCCTTTGGATCAGCACTCCCATTCCCTTTTAATGGGCTATTCCTGCGCAACGTAGCGGAAGGCGACACAGGCGACGTAGGTGACATTGACGGCAGGGTCTGTGCGCTGATGCTCCCGTGCACATGCGTGTTTCCGCCTCCGATTCGTCGTACGGAGCTGGGGCTGCCGGGGCTCTTCATCGTCGTCTTCGGGCTCGAGGTGAACATCGCGCCGGGGTTGTCGTGCTCGTCGTCCGAGCCATGCTGGCTTCCGAAGAGAGACGAGTCGGCGGAGGTCTCATGAAAGTCGGGTGGGACAAGTTGCTGGCCGAGCGACTCGAGGATGCCATCGAGCGCGTCCGTATGCTTAATCCGGGCTGTGTCCCATTCCTAAGGGACTTGAGTGGGGAGATGCAGGAACAAGTGAGGCTTAGGAAACGTACGCTGACCTGCTTCTCGAGAAGCGTACGTTTCTCTTCGATGCTCTTCGCCACGCTGCGTGCGAGCTAGTGGTCGGGCGGTAGTGAGTCTTTGATTCGGCTCATGTATCGTAGCCCACACACCTTCAACTGCTCGATGACAGCCTCGACGACCCACCGCACTTTCGCGTCGAGTGCAAGAACATCCACAGCCGCTTGCGCCGACGCGTTTGATGCAACGTGTGCACGCGTGCACAGCTGTTCTCCATGCTGCAGTGCCTTCTTCGACTGTAGCGCGAGCGATACGAGGTGTGGCTGGTCCGATCCGCTACTGCTCATACTCCCGCCCTGTACATTCACATTCACTGCAGCCCCTGCAGTGGGTCCGATGACGGGAATTTGGAATGTCGGTGAAGTGAGACGTGCCGCTGTGAGCCCTGAGTGGATCGTCGCAGGCTTAGGAGGCGACTTCGCTAACGACATGGTTCGATGTTCGGGCGCCTGGGGTTGACTCGGAGATGATGATAGTGACGGTGAACCGGCCAGGGTGGCGTCTATAAATGAACCGGGCCGGAGCACCTGCATAAGATGAGTTCCTGACAAACCAATTCATTCGAGTTGTCTCTTGCGACCATCGTCGATTTATCTCTATATCTCTATGCTCTAAGTCTAAGAGTTACTCTACACGACGACCTCTACTCACTATATTTCTATTCTTCATGCCATCAACTAGAGTGCCCTTCGAGCCCGACAGCCTACATGACCGGAACACCACCCTCTGTCTTGCTTGCGCCTGCTCCTTGCCTCCCCTGAAGGCTGGATCAACCGACAGCAAGCTACACATCACCGAGTGCTGCCAGAGTCCCATCTGCCCGTCATGTATCTCCAAGAATCCACGATTAGCACGGTATAATCCGTGTCTGTCCTGTCTCGGAGGAGTTGGTGTGGTTGCATCTGGATCAGGATCTGGTGCGGCAGCCTCAATGAAGACGTTGATGTCACCGAGGACGAACATACATGGTGCAGTGAGACATGAAGACACGTTTGTTCTCGGCGACGACGACGACGATGAAGACGAAGACGAGGGCAATGAGGAGAAAGGCGAGTATCCAATGGGTGCCGAGCATTCAGAGGCGAACGCGTCACCTCCGGCATACAAAGAGGCACCAGCAGTCGCTAATTCCGGGGTCGAGGTCCAGCCTAGGGCCGCTGTATCAGCAGAAGAACATCCACCTCCAAGTGGCAATGTAGAGGGAACTAAGACAACGCCTTATAAATATTATCTCAGTCCTGCCGACACATTGCAGGGCATCTCTCTCAGGTTTGGAGTGGATGTAAGTCGCCTTCTTACTCACGTGGAACAACACTCGCTGACATTCTTTATTCATCAGGGCCACGAGATATGCAGGATGAACAACCTACCTCCAAGCGTCATCCGGACAACCCCACATCTGCTTCACACGCGAGCCTTCATCCTCCTCCCTCCCACCGCAAAGCCCCATCCATCTCTAATGCTGAATGAGGCAGACCAGACCGAGCGCGAGGAGAAGCTAGTAAGAGAACGTGCAGGGAAGAAGCTGCAGAAGCTGACAAAAGAGGTAGACTGGCGAGTGGCCAAGGCGTACGTAGCGATGGCCGACGACACCTGCGACCAGGCACTTCTTAGCTTCAAGCACAAGGAAATGGGGACAAAGGGGCTCTATACCGAGCTGGAGAACTCTGGAGTCTCAGGAAGCCATGGTGGGAGGAAAGATTCGAGTTCGGGTTTGGAGGATCTCGCAATCCAGAAATATTTGGATGACGAAGAGTGGGAGGCTGAGGAGCTGCGCGCTGGTCGAGGGGTTCAGATGCAGCGGTTCCCGTACGGTGCTTTCGAGAGAGACAGAAAGTTGAAAGAGGCGCTGGCTACGCCAAGTTCATCGAGATGGGGCTGGCGGTAGGAAGGGTCTTCACTTTGATTTTGATTTTCAATTTAGATTTGACGGCTACTGAAGCTGAAGCTTGAAGTTGTACCTCGAGTTGCATCATTGCATGCTCTTCCCGCAGAAGCAGCTTCTTGAGTCATGGCGATAGCCAGCTCCGATTGTGAGGATTGTGTAGATGTGAAACGTCCTGCGATGCAATAACTTGCGAACGATCCCTCGTCTCGCACGCGGTGTAAACTGCGGTATAAGATTTTCTTTGTTGGGGGATCCAAAAATAGAGCACTGCCGAGGGGTGAAGCGCAGTTTTGGTGTTGAATAAGAACGACTCGGAAGCTTACGAGTTGAAGGGGCCAAGTCTGCTCGAGGAAATACTCCCAACGTCCATTTCGCGAAATGTACGCGTCACCATTGGACCCAGACGGTGGAGAGGCTGGGGAAGTACTTGCTATGGATGAACAGAAAAGGCACAGTCAGCAGGATCAGTCAGCCGGTTCCAGAGCCGCCCTGATCTATCGCCGGCTTCGGCAATCTCAGAGTCATCCTCTCTTCCACAAGGTCCGTATAAAAGTTCTCAACACACAAAATGGGCCCCTCGAGTTCTCCACATTCCCGCATATGTCAGAGAAACCCAAGACCTCCATCGACTCGGGCAGCCACGAGTCCCTCGATGCAGAGAAGGAACAGCACGTAGGCCCCCATCCCACCGCTCCCCCTGAGCAGAATCTAAATAAACGATCGTGGTGAGCACTGGCGACGTCATTGCATCGATGTTTTTTCTGAGGTGTTCTTCATTTCTAGGTGGCAGCGAGTACCATTCACATCAAGCAAGCCCCCTCCGCCTCCAAGCATATCTTTAGACGATGCAAGCCTCATACCTGAAGCGAATGCGAACATACTCGACTTAATCACCTTTGGATGGATTACCCCCCTAATGAGCTTGGGCTATGCTCGTCCACTCGAAGCGCCCGACCTATGGAAGCTCCAGGACAACCGCAATGCAGAGGCTGTCGCTGACGCAATTACCTCATCATTCAATCGGCGGGCTCAGGCGGCAGCCGAGTACAACGAGCGCCTGGCGAACGGGGCGGTCGGACCTGGCTTGAAGGGGGTTTGGTGGTCTCTGCGAGGAAAGAGGGTGGAGAAAGAGAAGGAGTGGAGGGAGAAGACGGGAAGGAAGAAGCCTAGTCTGGTGTGGGCCATGAACGACAGCGTCAAGTGGTGGTTCTGGTCTTCAGCTGTGCTCAAAATCATCGGCGACACTGCGCAAGTTACTAGTCCGCTTGTCGTGAAGGTGCGTCCCTGACAGGGTTTCCACCTCTATCTCTGTCACTAGACACTAATTTTAGACCCTTGCAGGCTATCATCAATTTTGCGTCGGAATCATACAGTGGACATCGACTCGGCCAGTCCGTACCCCCTGTCGGCCAAGGCATCGGTTTGACCTTCGCGCTCCTCCTCATGCAGGTTGTTGCGTCCCTGTGTACCCACCACTTTTTCTACCGGAGTACCTCCGCTGGCGTCCTCCTCCGTGGTGGCCTTATTACCGCCATCTACACCCGTTCCCTCAAGCTCACCTCTCGCGCACGCTCGACGCTGACGAACGGAAAACTCGTTAATCACATCTCGACGGATGTTTCTCGCATTGATTTCTGTGCAGGGTACTTCCACATGGTGCGTTCTTCCTTTCATCTTCTGTCCTATTTATTTCCCCAGCCTGACTAATGAACTGACGAACTATTCATGAACTGCTCTGCAGGCATGGACCGCGCCAATTCAGCTTGCCATCTGCTTGGTCTTGCTCATTCTCAACCTTGGGCCGTCCGCCCTTGCAGGGTTCGCATTCTTCATCCTTGCAACTCCCCCGCAAACGGTTGTCATGAAGCGTATGTTTAAGCTTCGTGCAAAGAGCATGGAGTGGACGGACAAGCGAGCGAAGTTATTGCAAGAGCTTCTGGGTGGTATGAAGGTCATCAAATTCTTTGCCTGGGAGATACCTTTCCTCGCGCGGATAACGGAATTCAGGAAGAGAGAGATGGCGTAAGCCTTGTATAAGTTGGATCAGTCGCTCGGGCTGATTTTCTTCTAGTTACATCCGGTCTCTTCTCCTCTTGCGTTCGGCCAACAATGCCGTGGCAATGAGCATGCCTGTTCTCGCCTCCGTCATTGCATTCGTCACCTATTCTGTAACAGGCCATACCCTCGAACCAGACGTCATCTTCACCTCACTGACACTGTTCAACCTCCTGCGTCTTCCTCTTATGTTTTTGCGTAAGTGTCTTCTTCGGGATCGCAAGAGAATGGCCAAGTCTAACAAATACCTACAGCCGTCTCGTTCAGTGCCATCGCCGATGCAGCCAACGCTACCAGTCGTCTCTACGCCGTCTTCGAAGCCGAACTCCTCGAGAAGACGCACACAGTCGACGAGAACCTCAAAGTCGCCATCGAAGTCAAAGATGCCTCCTTCACCTGGGACTCGCCACCCCCTGAAGAGGAAAGCAAATCGAAGAAGCGCGGCGGGCGCCAGTCCTCCAAAGCTAAAGCCAGGGCCAAGGTTGACGCTGCGGCCAAGCAGAAGCAGCTCGACGACAAGGCGAAGAGCGACGAGGAGAACGTGTTCAAGGTCCGCGATATCAATATGAGCATCCCGAGAGGACAGTTGGTTGCGGTTGTGGGCTCTGTGGGCAGTGGCAAGACGAGTTTGTTGCAGGGCTTGATTGGAGAGATGAGGAAGACGAGTGGGGAAATTGTGTTTGGCGGGAGTGTGGGGTATTGTCCGCAGAGTGCCTGGATTCAGGTGGGTTCGAGTTCACTATCGTCTTACACTTTACATTGGGCTGACCTTCTCTTTTTCATAGAATGCAACTATCAGGGAGAACATCTGCTTTGGTCGTCCGTTTGAGGAGGAGCGATACTGGAAGGCCATACGCGACTCGTGCTTGGAACCTGACCTCGAGATGCTACCCAACGGGGACATGACGGAGGTCGGCGAGAAGGGTATATCGCTCTCTGGTGGTCAGAAGCAACGTCTAAATATCTGTCGCGCCATCTACTGTGACACGGAGATCCAGATCTTTGATGTATGGTCCAGTTTTTCTTTTCACTCAACTAGAAGCTGACCTCTGTAGGATCCACTTTCAGCTCTCGATGCCCACGTCGGCAAAGCCGTCTTCCAGAACGTCCTCCAGAACGCAACCTCTGGCAAGACTCGCATCCTCGTCACCCACGCCCTGCACTTCCTCCCCCAAGTCGATTACATCTACGTCATCGACGATGGACGGATCGCCGAGCGGGGCACGTATCCCGAGCTCATGGCCAAAGGTGGCGAGTTCTCTCTCTTCGTCACAGAGTTCGGTTCGTCTGAGGACGAGGAGGATCACGAGCGTAAGATAGAGGAAGATGCCATCGAGAGCGATCGTGATTCGGGCAAGACCAAGGATGAAGCGGAGGAAAAGAAGCAGACGGAACGCACGGCGAAGATTCGCAAGTCTGTCGCTGGTGCTGCGTTGATGCAGACGGAGGAAAGGAATACAGGGGCCATCGCCTGGGGTGCATATAAGGACTACATGAAGGCGGGTCATGGAGACGTCGTCGCACCACTCTTGCTCCTTTCGTTGGTGTTGATGCAGGGCACGACGGTGGTTTCATCGTATTGGCTGGTCTGGTGGCAAGAAAAGTGGGTTTGTTCTGTTTGGGATGCGCATATATTTTGATTTTAGACTGACATAATTGTCAGAACATTCAATCAGCCTCAAGGATTCTACATGGGCATCTATGCTGGGCTCGGAGTTGGCCAGGCTGTTGCTAACTTCTTGATGGGTGCTGCGTTTGCTGTCTTGACGTACTTTGCGTCTCAGAGCCTCCATAGAGTAAGTTGTTCATTCTTTATTTGAGGTCTCAGTTAATTTTTTTTGTTTAGGATGCTATTCGTCGAGTCATGCATGCACCTATGTCCTTCTTCGAGACCACACCTCTGGGCCGCGTCATGAACCGGTTCTCCAAGGACATTGATACTATCGACAACCTACTCGGAGGTATGTTGTATCCTTCCTTCCTTTCTCCGTAGCCTATTAAGTTAAATTTTATGCAGAGGCCCTTCGCATGTTTATGGGCACATTCTCCGCCATCCTCGGTGCCATAATTTTGATCTCTATCGTCCTCCCATGGTTTTTGATCGGCGTGTTCGTTGTACTCCTCGGATACATCTATGCTGCGGCGTTTTATCGAGCCAGTGCTCGAGAATTGAAGGTTCGTTGGTTCATCCTTGTGCATAATGAAGAGTATTGCTGATATTGTTTTTGCTTCTAGCGCCTCGGTAGGCTTCCTTCCAAACATTATGGGACTCCCGAACTGATCATGATCTTCGCAGATTCCGTACTGAGGTCGTCACTCTACTCTCATTTTTCAGAGAGCTTGTCAGGGCTGGCCACAATCCGTGCCTATGGCGAAGCAGAGCGGTTCAGACTGGATAACGAAAAGCGAGTCGACGTAGAGAACCGCGCTTACTGGCTGACTGTTACCAATCAGGTAGGTCCTACAATATACCCTTACGAAGAGATGACATCCTGACACCTCTTTACCCCCTTAGCGCTGGCTTGGAATCCGGCTCGATTTCCTCGGTGCCTTACTGACATTTATCGTGTCGATGCTGACGGTCGGCACGCGTTTTACGATATCGCCTGCACAGACCGGTTTGGTTCTGTCCTACATCCTCAGTGTCCAACAAGCGTGAGTAATCTGTACCTTACCCTTCCCCATACCGAGCCGTTCCTCGATCTCCTTTTCTCCATTTCAACTTGTCTATTGAATTGTATCTAGATTTTAAATTGCCCTCGATTGCTGACTTACCCCCCTTTGTGCCTAGGTTCGGATGGATGGTCCGGCAGAGCGCGGAGGTGGAGAATAACATGAACTCAGTTGAGCGGATACTGTACTATGCACAAGAGGTCGAGCAGGAGGCTCCTCATTCACTTCCAGAGAAGAAGCCCGCTACTTCGTGGCCAGCTCATGGCCGTCTCGAGCTCAAGAACGTCGTCCTCAGCTACAGGCCGGAACTACCTCCTGTGCTCAAAGGTATCTCGATGTCGGTCAAAGCTGGGGAGAAGATCGGTATCGTTGGAAGGTGTGTTGACTCTGAGTCGTTATATAATCTGCTGCTAACGATGCTCGATAGAACTGGGGCTGGGAAAAGTTCGATCATGACGGCCCTCTACCGTCTCGTGGAGCTCACGTCGGGGTCAATACTCCTGGACGACGTTGACGTATCGACTATCGGGCTAACGGACCTGCGCAACGGGCTCGCCATCATCCCGCAAGACCCGCTTCTCTGTGAGTGTTACGAACCATCGAACTTTCTACCCACCTCAACCTGACCCTTCCTCCAACCTTCTCCCTATGCAGTCTCCGGAACGCTCCGCACGAACCTCGACCCTTTCAACCTGCACGACGACGCTACGCTCTGGGACGCCCTGCGGCGCGCGTACCTCGTCGACTCCTCGAAGCGCAACTCGCTTGAGATCGAGGGGCAAGCAGCGGCGGAAGACGAGCTGCCGCCAAGCGGCGCCCAGACGCCCGTGAACCGGTTCAGTCTGGACACGGTGATCGAGGATGAGGGCGGCAATCTCTCCGTCGGCCAGCGCTCGCTTGTGTCGCTGGCTCGTGCGCTTGTGAAGAATGCGCGGGTGATTATCTTGGACGAGGCGACGGGTAGGTTTTTGGGTTTATTTTGGGCGAGGTGGTGTTGACTTTTTGGGTGTGTGTTATAGCCTCGGTTGACTATGAGACCGATCGCAAGATCCAAGATACGATTGCGTACGAGTTCAAGGACCGTACTGTTCTTTGCATTGCTCGTGCGTGGCTCTTTTTGTCATTCCGGTTGTCTGTTGTACTGACCACCACCACCTCACGTAGATCGTCTACGCACTATCATAGCCTACGACCGCATCTGCGTGCTCGATGCTGGCCAAATTGCTGTATGCTGCAATCTTCACTTCTTCTGGCCCTCCCACTGACGGTGGTTTGCGTGTAGGAATTCGACACCCCCGCCAAGCTATACGAGAACACCGACGGTATCTTCAGAGGAATGTGTGAGCGTTCCTCCATCACCCTCGACGACATAAAACTAGCCGTCAAGGCTACGATTCACGACACCGACGATTAAGTTCCAATGCATCTCAACACCAAGTTCCAACGTCACATACACTCATGATCAGTACATATATCCATTCTCCTGGACGGGCTCGGTTTTACAGGGCTTTCAAGATGATCTTACGTGCACATTTACCTACCTACCTAGTGGGACATTTTTCAGCAATTGTACGAGTATAATAGGAAACAACATAGATGGGATTTGCGGGGAAACGTGCAGGCGGGGCGGTGGATATATCGATATATACTGAGAGGTCTGGATGTAAGTACGTGTGTGTACTATGAGAGAGATGGGATGTGAGGTGAGAAATGAGAGGGGTAAAACAAGAAAAACGGACGTGGATACACTGGCTACAAAAACGTCGTCGTCGTCGTCATGAGGGAGGTCGTGGCGGGCACAGACACGGGCACGGGTACTACTTACATACAAAAAAAGGCGCAAAAAAGCGTCGTCGTCGTCGTCACCGGTCTTCGTCACGGCCAAGGGCCAAGTCCGGAGGAGGGGTACAAAAAAAGTGTAGTACTACGCAAGAAGAGGGAGGAAGGAAGGAGTACGCGGGGGTGCTAAGAATGTAAGCAGCTAAGCTCGCAGAGCCGAGGTGGTGCAAACTAACTATGTAGGTCAGTCGTTTAAGAACATCTTCTTGAGGTAGTCTGTTGCTGCTTGCCGGAGGGCAGCGTCTGTCTGGGGGTTGTTGATGAGCTCCTGCAAAAGTCAAAGGCAACGACAATGAGTATCATTCCACCAACAAATGATAAAGAAAAGAAAAGAGAAGATGAATCGAAGAAAATCAAGATCAACGAAAGGACGTACAAAAGCCCTCTCCGTCTTCTGCTTCGTGGTTTGCGTCTTCTCCAGGTCCTTGCGCGCATTGAGCTCATTCATCTCGCGCGCCTCGCGGCGGCGCAGATAGTCCAGCTTCTCCTGCGCGACCTTGGTCTGCAGGTTTAGGTACTGCAGGCACCGCGAGAGGAGGTCCTGCGTCAGTGCGAGGTTCACCGCTGGACCGTCTGCTGGGATCCCGACCACACCTGCGCCGACACCAACACCGGGGCTCACACCCACACCCACACCCACGCCGCCACCTAGACTGCTGCCCGAGGAGGAAGAGGAAGTGGCGAGAGGCGTTTGGGGCGGAGGCTGGGGATGGGAATGGGGCACCTGCGCGTGCGGGTGTGGGTGCGAGGCGTGCCGCATGCTCGCCTGCTGCTGGTGTGCTTGTTGTGCTTGGGGTGGCGGTGGAGGCGGCCCCCCGGAGAGTTGAGTGGGTGGCGCCGCGTGTGCGCCGGGATTATTATCGCGCAGGTCTTGCGGGTTAATGTATACATGCTGCTGCTGGGGCTGTTGTTGGGATGGCTGGGGATGTTGCTGGGAGGTCTGGGGATGTTGTTGCTGGGGCTGTTGTTGTTGTTGTTGGCGGTCGAGGCCGTTAAGGCCATTAATGTTTGACGGATCGTTGAAGTCTAGCGTTGCTGGGTCCTCGTCCTCGACGTCGTCTCCGCCGCCACCCATGTTCGCGTTGCCCACGCCGCCCGAGGAGCGGCCTTGGACCGGGCGAGTTGTCGCGGGGTCGCCGTGCCACCTGTGTGCGGGTGCATGAGCGCGATGATAAGGATAAGGAGCGGAGTATGTAGTCATAAAGAAAGAAAGAGATGAAAAGGAAGCGCACCGTCGATAGAATAGGTCGTACCAGCCCACGCGATGCCAGTGGTCTATCGTCCGCGCCGTGATATTCCCGACATCACTCCCTGCCTTGCGCGCGATCTGGAGGCGGCGCTCGTATTCGCGGAGGCGGTCGGCCTCGCTCAGCGCTGCGATGTTGGTGGTTGCGCCCTGGCCGTGGGCGTTCTCGAAGGCGTAGATCTGCTTGAAGAGGTTGAAGTTGCGCTCGTAGCAGCCCTTGAGGGCCTGGTACGTCTTCTTGCCGCCAAAGACCTCCACGGCACACTGTGACAGACGATCGGTGAGCAGGGGGCAACGTGTGTGATTAGGGTGCACGGACCTCGCGCAGACACGAGTTCTTGGTGGCGCGGAGGGCGTTCCAGTGGTCCTCCTGGCCCTGGCCCATGAGCCAGTGGAAGAGCTTGGACTTTTCGTCGTCTGTCCAGTGCTTTGCGCCCTGCGCGGTGCCATCGATGTCGTAGGGCTCCTGGTCGTCTGCGCCGTCTGCGCGCCTGCGCTTGCTGAGCTGGGCGTTGGCGGCGGAGTCGATCTGCTTGCGCTTGGTTGTTGGGGAGGCTGCGGGGCCCTGGACGGTGAAGGTGAGGGGGGAGTGGGAGGCTGCGGGAGCGCCGGGCTGGGCGAGGGTGGGCGGGGATGTGGAGGGGTTGCGGTAGTCGTGAGTGCGGGTGTACTGGGCGGGGGGCGCGAGGTGGGTGCCGAGGGCCTGACCCAAACCGTTCTGGTGGAACTGGGACTGGGCTGGTGAGGGGGAGGACGGGTGGTTCAGGAGAGAGGAGACGGACCGATTGGGAGGGATCGCGGTCTTGCATCGGCATGTGGCCGTACTGCATCGTCGAGTCGCTGCTCACCGCCCCGTCATCGTAGCACACAACCCAGCGAAACACGCCAACTCACTTGGAATCCATCCACTCACAGGTCGGGTCGATTCAGAGCACCAGAAACCAACTCAGCTTGGCTCGCATTCTGTTGATCCACAAACAACACCAAATTACATAAACTCAGGGTCCACCTCTCCGTCCGCGTCCTCCTCGTACTCCCCGTCTGCATCCTCGTCGTGCAGGTCATCAACCACAACAGCCATCAGCGTAGACCGGATATCACTCTCCGCGTGCACCGCCCGGTACGGCGAAAATTTACCGCCCATGAACACCACCACATCCTCCGCCCGTCCCTTCACCTCCGCCTCCTCCTCGGGCTCCTCCGTCGTCGCTGACCCGTTCTGCACATCCACCAGCGTCGTCGCGTCGGTGTTCTCCGGCGTCAGCGTCTCCATCTCCACCCCAACCGGCGACGACCCTTCTTCCTCTTCCTCCTCCTGACAGTGCCCATTCACTAGAGGTAACCCTGCTTCTGCCTGATCCACATCCATCGGTGCGTCCTCCTCGTCCTCCAGCGTCTCTTCAGGCTCAGGCGGCTCCTCAGGTTCCGGCTCTGGCGGGGGCGGAGACGGAGACGGAGACGGCGCCTCCACTGCCTCCACCTCAGGCGACGACTCGATCCTCCTCCGTTTACGTGGCGGCGGGGGTTTCGTGGGCGACGGTATCGGCACGACCACCATCGACACCGGCTTCTTGTTCTCCACCTGCGACTCGCTCCTCCTCGATCTTAGCATCCGCGTTGGTCGCTGCTTCTCCTCTTCCGCCGCGAGCTTCGCAGCAAGTGCCGCGTCGTCGTGGTTGGCCGCTGTTCCCTTTGGTGGTGGTGGTGGTCGCCTCGAATTGTTGTTGCTGCTCCGCCGTGTCGAGCGTGGTTCGTCTACGATGACGGCGGGCACGGGAGGTGCGGGTAGATTGGAGTTGGTCGAGCGTGTTCGTCGTGAGGCAGAGGGGGCGAGAGGTGTAGGCGACGGCGAGCGTGCCCGGGAGGTCTTCCTTGGCCGAGGATGGGCCTCCTTCTCCTTCGTCGCCGACTTGACTCCTCCTGATCTCGTCCTCGTTCTCACCAGTGGTTCAGGCTCAGGTTCAGGCGAGGACGTCCTATCCACCACCATACTTGGCAGCTCGTCCCTCTTCCCTTCGTCCCTCTCCTCCTCCTCCTCCGCCTCCTCCACTCTCCTCCGTCTCCCATTAGCCGGTGCAGGCGTCGTCGGCTCCGTACTCGTCTGGCTCCTCTCCTGCTGCCTCTGCCCAGCACCATCCCCATCCTCAAGCACGAACGGCGTCCGGCCCTGCTCATCCCTCACCGTATCCATCGCCGGCTGATCACCCGCCACGCCCGCCTCCTGACTCGTCCGGCTCACAATATAAGGCGTCCACTGCAGCTTCTCCGGCTTCAGCCTCATGTACCCCTTCTTCTCCCAATTGCTCAGGTACTCTTGCACCTTTGCGCGGTCGAAATGGATCTCGTAGTGCTTCGGTAGCGCGAAGGGGCGTCCCTTACTGTCGCCGGAGCCGTCCTTGTCCTGGAGGTGCTGTTGGGATTGGAGGCGCTGGAGCTGTCGGCGGGCGATGCCGTTCTTGCGCCCTTTGGGATACTTGATGGCCTGCCCGGGCGAGGGCTTGATGGGAGGCGGCGTGGGCTCGCGGATGAAGATCATGTTTTGCTGGATGAGCGTGTTGCAGACGTCTTCGTGGGTCATGGAGGTCGCGGAGCTGATTTCTGTGGACAATGCGTGTAGATTAGTATGCTTTGAACAATAATGAAGAACTAGATCTACGCACCTTCCAACTTGACGTTATCGGGCGCCGTCGCAAGAAATCGCATAACCGCCAGCGTCCAATAGTTCTTATACCCCAGCGCACCAAGACTCGAGAGCGGCTTCTCCGGAGACCCAAGCCTCTGTTCCACTTTCGACAAGAGATAACCTATAGCAAAACAACACACCACCAAGACCCAATCAGCTTTCTCCTCCCAAAAACCTGCCTCTCCGAACCTCAAATAAACGACTCACTAAAATCAATAACAAAATTCCCCCACCCCTGTCTCTGCCTAACAGGGAGGGTCATGATACAGCTCAAGTTATAGTCCTTGGGACAGCGCTTCTCCTTGCTAAAGTACCCCACGAAGCGCGCGCCGAACTCGTCGACCTGTGTGATGACGTAGAAGAGGAACGGCTCGACGTCGTAGAAGAGCGACTTGTGGTCGAGGAACATCTTGGAGAGGAGGCAGAGGTTTTGGCAGTAGATCTGGGGGTGGAGGGGTTAGGAGGGGTGGAGGAGGAGGGGAAGAGGGAGAAAGACGAACCTTGTTCCGCCGCCCGTCGACTTCGAATATAGATACGTTCCCATCTCGATAGATCTCATCCCCAGGCGGATGTCTCGTCTTGCACTTCATCTGTAGGACGGTAAGTACTCCAACCATTTTATTTTATTTTATTTTTAAAAAAGAAAACATCTCCAATCCGCCCTCCAAAAAAAAAAGCAGAAGAAAACCCACCTGATGCCTGACCGCCCCAAACCGGCTCTTCATATACTTCAAGCAGAACTCGCATATCCACAGGCGGCCATCCGGTATCGTCGCGTACTCCTCAGGGAACGGCGCGTCGTACCACGTCTTGATCTCCCAGGGGCCGAACCGGATCGAACGAATACGTAAGGTCCCCGGGTCGAATTTGGGGTATTGGGGCGCGCCGCCGGGGGTTGAAGGTGCAGGGGAGTTCGAGTGCAGGGAGAAGGAGGAGAGGTCGAGGTCGGGCCGCTTGAGGGGTGTGTGGAGGGTGGATGAGCGGAGGGGACGTGAGCGCGCGGAGAGGGGCTCATCCGGGGCGGGTGTGCGGGAGGAGGAGGCGGTTGGTGGAGGTGGTGGTGGGGCGAGTTTGTCCTGTATGATTTTTGGGTGGTTAGATGGGTTCACAAAATTGAAATGAGTCCACACATCGCAAAGCCCAGCGATCCCGACCCCGACACAAGCCACCTCCAAACAAGAACAGAAAACACAGAAAACAAAAATAAAGACAAAACACCCACCTCAGCAGCAAGCCGGCTCCGCTCGAAGTACACCTTGTCTATATTTAAGACCTTCGTCTTGGTCGTGTCGCGTTCCTCAGGGGCCAATATATCATCGAACATCCCGTGCTCATCCTCCTCGCGCTCCTTGCCCTTGCCCCTTTGTGCCGGTATGCGCAGGCGGACGCGGGGCAGCGGGGCAGCAGGGGTAGGGCTCGGCTGGCGCGCCGGGGCACGTCTCCGCTTGAGCGGCCGTGCAGGCGCCGGCTCGTCCTCCGAGCTCGTCGACGGCGCACGCGCCTTGCCCTTCGCCGTCGACGTAGACGCAGCAGCAGCTCCGCCCCTTGAAGTCCGCCCGCGTGCCCGCAGTGCGACTGTAGGCGTCTCGTCGACCGCGACAGAGTTGTCGATGTCCGACGCCTCCCCATCGTCCGCTGCTGCTGCTGCCCTCGTCGGTGCCCGTACCCTCGGCTTCGCGGGCGCCTTCTTCCTTGACCTGCTCTTCGGCGCCGTCACAGGCGGATCGGGGACGATGGCTGACCGTGAAGTCGACGCAACGGACGTCTCTCTCATGGACGGTATGGGCGACTGGACGTGGGGTTCTTCGGGCATTAGCACGGCGTACTGTTCAGGCGGCGGTGGTAGCTGGTCTGTTGGTACGACAGGCGGACATTCGGGGCAATGCCACTCTCCCTCTGGCGCTGTTAGGAGCGGTGGATCCATGCAGTCCATATGCCAGCCTTGGAAGGAATGGGTGAGAATGGACGGCGGCCTGGCCGGTACACTCGTAACTCACCTCGATCACACCAGTCGCAGAACAGGATACGGTCCTAGGTGAGTGAAAGTGAGTCCTTTTTGGCCGTCGCTGACCCGGAGGTGTGGAGGAACGTACATCGTCGCCCTTTTCTTGACAAACTTCGCAGTTCTTGCACTCGATGCACTTCCAAGGATAGGTACGAACCACGTCGGATAGCCGCTCAAGTTGCATACAACTAGGGTGTCCTAGAGAAGCCCACTCAGTAGAAGAACGGGAGAGTGTACTGGGGTGACCCACCGCTTCGGCCGCACTCATGGCAGGTGATTAGCGCCTCAGGCTCATTATGCTTGTTATTCGTATCTTTCCCGCCACAAAAGCTGCACTCCTCCTCACGAACTATTTTGCGTTTCCGCTTCGGCTTCGGTGGGGGTGGAGGCTGCTCCTGTTCCATGGGGAAGTAGGGAACCGGGATTTGGGGTGCGAATGGATCGCCCTGGGGCCCTTCTGAGTATTGTCGCGCTTGATAATCGTCTTGTGGGGGCTGCGGAGGCTGAAGATGTTGATTTTCGGGGGGAGGCTGCTGTGAAAAACGTATTTCAGAAATCGAGGGCCCAGGCGCATTATTGGCCACGACGCGTCGCGTTCTGCGGGCACTTGCACTGCACGTACCTGTGCAACATTTGGACCCTCGTCTTCCATCATCAATGCGGGGTCGATGGCGGCGCCGCCGAGTGCTGGGTCGATGGGTATGTCGTCGACAATGCTGATTGGGGTGCCGGTCTCATACGAGGGCTCCCGATCAACTGCTGCGTTCGAAGGGAAAGCCAAGCCCCTCATCGTGCATGTATATGATTCTGCACGCTTTCGGACTGCACTGGAGGGGTGATAGATAGGGAGCAGAGGCCCAGCTCGTCGACAGAGACGGTGAACAGGGTTGTTTGCTGTTGTTTACGGCTACGGCTCTGGTTTGGCGCACTCTGACCAATCTGTTGCGCCTCCCTGATGCGAACCTAAACTGAGCAGGTCGTTTCTGTGCAGAACTCTAAAACGACCGCGCACACCTCTTTTCTGTGGCCTAGGAAAGGTGGATCAGTGGATCGGCCTGCGGAACACCACATTGGCACCCTTGCAAGACCGGAGGAAGTGTTGGATATAACAATTGCACATCTCTGACTCAAATGGGCATGGCCGTGGCAGTTGATGCAGATGCGGTGATTTGATAATCGATTGACGCTCTGGAGACTCCGGAATGGCCATGGGCAAGGATGAACACGACCGGTCTCGTAGGTCCTCGCTGTTCTGGAGCAAAGAAAGAACCTATTTTGGTCGCTCGGAGTGCTGCAACGCTTCTCCTAGTGCCCCTTTCGTGACGCGAAACCCATTTGGCTTGCCTACCTCTCACCCATTGCCCTTCACGTGTACTTTGGGCCAACTTTGGGGCGGAAGGGGTCCCTGCGTCAGCTCGTCTATGATTTTCAGATTTTGTAGTGGGTCCATCACGACTAACCATGCATATATCTGTCGCTGAAATATACGAGTCAGAACTCCCGCAACCAGGAAGTTCCGGGACACAGCAAGGAGAACAATGGACGGCCCATGCCGCATATGTGCCGGTGAGACGGCCACGGATATTTCCTGCGACCTGGGGTCCGTGCCAGAGAAATGACTGGAGTTGGTGTGAGATCACAGATTTTGAACATCGTGCGAACGTGCGCCTGGTTAGGACGTCAAAAGCTCGTCGCCGGGTGCTCCTTTCACAAAAAAAATTGGATATTACGATAGCTAGGAATACAAGGGAGTGCGGGCGGATTTAATGGACGGGGTCGTGCGTGAAGGAGAGGTATAAAGGAGGAGTTGGTGGAGACCATGGGCTGTGGCTCTGCGGCGCCAAATAGGGACCAACAAAATAGGACACTCTGCCCGTTGTGGTGACCTGTTAAGGATCCATCTGGCTTTGCAAGCGCACACCTACCCCCTCGTTTTCCCCTTAAACCGCCACCACCACGTCGTATACAACCACCCAGACGATGACGGCGGTCCACCCGCTGCCGACCCAGCTTCTCTCCCAGTACGGTCACCAGACCCTGACCGGCATGAATCCTGCTGGTCCGAGCGGTATGCCCACACCACCCGTGACGACCAGGAAGCGGAAACGCGCCCATCAATACACCGTTAGCTATAGCGAAGTCCAGGAAGTCGACAGCGATGGCCGCCTTCGTGAGGTCATCGTAATCGACGATACCCCGCCTCCACCTACCATCTCCCCATCAACTACCCATAATGGTGCCTTCTCTGCGTCATACCAGCCTCCCCTCTACACCGCACCCATCAGAACCAGAGCACGGGCAGCAGCAGAAGCCCAAGCATTATCTGCAAGCTCCTCCTCGGTACTGACTGCGCCAGCACCGAAGAAGAGAAAACGGGATCATAACGAAGAGGTCCGTGCGCCAGCCGCCAAGAAGCTAGTGGGCGGCCAGCAATCCCAAGCGCTCGTTGCAGCCGTCTCGATCGATAGCCGAAGCGGTGCTGCTACGGATGATGTGCGTATTGCCACCACACTGCACCGCGATTCATCGTTACTGAACGCCGCACGTATATTCTCCAGACATCTAAAGGCCCCTTGCCCTGTGATGACAAAGAGGGACACTACATCATCGTCCCAAATGACATGATTTATCGACGTTGTAAGTGTGATTTATAGCGACTAGTTCACCGTTGTTAACGCCATGATGCTGCCAGATCGTACGGTTCGCCTGCTGGGCCAAGGAACCTTTGGTAAAGTGGTAGAAGCCGTCGACACCGAAACCAACAACCGGGTAGCTATCAAAATCATCCGAGCTATTCCAAAATACCGCGACGCCAGCAAGATTGAAGTTCGAGTACTTCAGAAGCTTAAAGAACGTGACCCAACAAACCGACAGTAAGCCCCCCTTTCACATTATAAATATTCCAACTGCTGATGCAATATGCATCAGTAACTGCATCCACCTCCTTCATTGGTTTGACCACAGAAATCATATATGTCTCGTCTCTGAGCTCCTGGGGATGTGCGTCTACGATTTCCTCAAGGAAAACGATTTTGCGCCGTTCCCCCGCCAGCACATCCAGAAGTTTGCCCGCCAACTTCTTGGCAGTGTAGCATGTGAGTGTCTCGTTTCGTTCAATGTATACTTTAAACTTATGATGTGATCTCAAAGTTCTTCATGAACTTCGTCTCATCCACACCGACTTGAAACCTGAGAACATACTTCTTGTGCACAACGACTACCGAGTAGTGTCTATACCTGTACCAGGAAAGGTTAGTTAACGCCGCAACATCTCGAAACGAAACATTGCTTACCACTGCATGTAGCGTAACGCACCACCGAAACAGAAACGGATCTTGGAATCGACAGACATCAGACTAATCGATTTTGGTTCAGCCACTTTTGAACAAGAGTATCATTCATCTGTTGTCTCCACCCGACATTATCGTGCACCAGAAATCATCTTGGGTGAGTCCGGCTCGCAAACGCATGGCAAATCCATCCTCATCAAGCATCGAACAGGACTTGGTTGGACATTTCCATGCGACGCCTATTCCCTGGGCTGCATTTTGGTTGAATTCTTCACGGGCCTCGCCCTCTATCAGACCCACGACAATCTAGAGCACCTTGCCATGATGGAGATGGTCATGGGCAAGATGCCTGAACGCTTCGCGAGGGCTGGTGCGCGGTCAAAACCAGAATTCTTCAAGGAGGGTGGCAAGCTTGACTGGCCGAAGCCGAAAGCAACCCGACAAAGCAAAAAGGACGTGAAAGCGACGCGGCCGCTACAGGTAACTGTTGTCCTCCGCGTGTCCCGCAAATCCATACTAAATGACAATGTTCAGGATGTGATACCTCCTGTTGATAATATCAACAGACAATTCTTGGATCTTGTCCGGAAACTTCTTGCGTTTGACCCTGCCCAACGTATAACAGTTCGGGAAGCCCTCCAACACCCCTACTTTTCATTATCCATTCCTAATGAGATATAACCCCCCGCTCTTCCTTGCCCCTACCGTGTCGCTAGACGAGACACCTTATTTGACGTTCATCTTCAGCACATCTCTTCTACAACCACAATTGTACCACCACACACAAGTCATCTCGCAACGCCGCATGTCTTTTTAGTACCACAAATTGACAACTCATGGAAGTCCTTGGTTTTCTATGCTATCTAGCTGTTACGATGTGTACCCTTCCTCTGGCCCTTGTCTCTTTCTCTACGTCAACCATGCCTCCCAGGATCAACGCCGCGCGAAATTCGTCCCCACCAACAAACCATGTAAAGTAATGCACTTTCCTTTATTCGCACTTCCATTATAATCACGGCATATTTTTCCCGACCCTCTTCCTCATTATACCTTGTCGCATTGTCGTCCACTTTCTTTACCACTGGTCCCAATCCCAATCTCACTTCGTTGACTATCCTTTCTTTCCTGCATCCAATTTCCTGCACTTTCCTTCGCCAGGTTTAATCTCTATTTTTCTCTGCCAGGAAGCAACCCTCAGATCTACCTGATTACAATCTCTTTATTTTGTGTATCAATATCAATACTAGATGCCTCGAATGCCAAACGGTCGACCAACCGCAACGTTCTGAAGCGGAAAGATCTACTCGTACACTATTTCTCAACTTCTCGACACGAACCGTTGGACTCGCCTCGCCTCAAGTCGCTGGTCACCCACCCTCAGGAATCGGGATCCGGAACGACGAGTATTGATTCGGTGCTAAGTACGTCGTGTATTCCGTCATCTGTTAGTTCTGCGGCTGAAACACTAGCGATCGATGTTCAGCAGAAGCCCAAATAGATGCTGCGGCAGCTGGAATTTCTAGTGCATGGTTTAACTTGAACTTGCATTGGTACGTATTTTGATCGTCTGTCACCAACGGCTATCAGCATTCAATATCCTTACGGTAAGTGAAGCACTATCTTCATACTAACGTCGTGCACAGGCTGGCTGGTTTACGCGTCGAAGCACGAACGCATTGGCAATGGGTGAAGTCCAGCGTCGCCATGCGTAAGTATGATCAGCGAGAGTTTTCCACGAGTTGGAACATAACTCACTACCCTTGCCTCAATTTATGGAACATGCCGTATTTTCTTATGTGGATTCAGGATTAGATATAATTGCTTGTGCATATACACCTCTTGAACGAATCCTGACTTCCTCATCGCCCCGAGATTTCGGCTGCCCTTTGTTTGGATCTCAGGCAAGAACCAATCACTGTGCCTGATCATCCTATGCAACCCAGCTCCGTATTTCCTGCCATTTGCCATGTCTGTCCTCGCGCCTATCGTCTGCGATAATGGAACTGGGTACTCGAAAGTAGGGTATGTAGCCGCAATAAACGATAGCCAGGCTTGATCTCACCAGTTGCTTCAGTTTCGCAGGCAACTCAGACCCATCCTTGTGCGTTACTATCGCCCCGTCCTGTGAATAGTTGAGCTAACAGACGACTTCAGTGTCTTCCCCACTGCTATTGCGACGCGTGGATCAGCAGCACAAACCTCTCGTGCACCTGCAGTGCCCAGCAAACCCGGACATCTTGCATCGAAGCGCGGTGTCGAAGACCTCGATTTCTTCATTGGCGATGAGGCATTGGCGAACTCGAAGACGCCTGGATATGGAGTGCACTACCCTATTCGCCATGGTATGATAGACAACTGGGACCACATGGAACGCTATTGGGAGCAGACGATCTTCAAGTACCTGCGTGCAGAGCCCGAGGACCACTACTTCCTTCTCGTGCGTAGCTTTCATCCGCAGCCTATCCAAGTGATAACTGAAGTCATACTAAATGCCAGACCGAGCCTCCTCTTAACGCTCCAGAGAATAGAGAACAGACTGCTGAGATCTTCTTTGAGTCGTTCAATATCAAGGGGCTGTACATCGCCGTGCAAGCCGTGCTCGCCCTTGCCGCGTCGTGGACATCCGACCGCGTCACCGAGCGCACGCTCACTGGGACCGTCATCGACTCAGGAGACGGCGTCACGCACGTCATCCCTTGTGCAGAGGGCTATGTCATCGGCAGCGCCATCAAGCACATCCCAATCGCCGGCCGCGATATCTCCCAGTTCGTGCTCAACCTGCTGCGCGAGCGAGGAGAGATGTCCGCGGTGCCCCCAGAGGACCAACTGAGAGTCGCGAGCAAGGTGAAGGAGAACTACAGTTATGTCTGCCAGGATATCGTGAGGGAGTTTAGGAAGTACGACGAGGAGCCGTTGAAGTACTTCGAGCGCTATGAGGGAGAGCATAGTGTCACGGGAAGGGTACGTCAAGAACTGTGTTATCTAGGTCAGGTCTGATGGATGAGAGCAGAAATACGGGGTCGATGTTGGCTACGAACGGTTCCTTGCCCCCGAGATCTTCTTCAACCCTGAGATCTACTCCTCCGACTTCCTGACTCCTCTTCCTGAAATCGTCGACGATGTCATCCAATCTTCACCTATCGACGTCCGCCGTGGTTTGTACAAGGTCTGTTCCTCATATATCCTTTACTCTATCTCTCTTTACAAATATCCAAACAAGAACATCGTCCTCTCCGGAGGCTCCACCATGTTCCAACACTTTGGCAACCGCCTCAAACGCGACCTGAAGCAGCTCGTCGACCGCCGGCTCGATGCTGGTGCACTCGCGAGCGGGAGCAGGCAAAAGGTACGAAACGACCTCGAATTTAAATAAGGTGAACCTGATGAACTGATTCGGTATGCCCAGTCGTCCGGCGTCGAAGTTGACGTCATCTCGCACAAACGGCAACGGTTCGTGCCTTTCGAGTCCCCTTCTGTCCCACACTGATCTGGTTCATCCTACCCTTGATTCCAACAGATACGCAGTGTGGTTCGGCGGTTCTCTGCTCGCTTCGCTCGTAAGCAACCCTTTGCACTTGGTCGTTGTTGAGTTCGTTATTCATTTGATCTATTTTTGACAGCCCGACTTCTACACTTCGTGCCACACGAAAGCGCAATACGACGAAGTTGGCCCCAGTATTTGCAGACGCTACCAAATCTTCGGCAGCTCGACATGAAGTGTTTAAACCAAGAACCTGTATACTGTCTTTCTTACCTGCTCATTCAATGGATATTTTAAACCTCAAAACTTAAATAACGAGTGCATAAAGACTTATCTAGTGTCGTATCCAACATCAAAATTACATGAAACCGTGTTCTAGCTCGAGCAACTGCACTGGAACCCAAGCATCTTCTTCTCGCCAAGGCCACAGTACCTTCTCTCTTCCTTTTCTTCCTTCTCCAGTTCAGATTCGTGTCGTTCGTCTCCTTCTGCACCCCACGGTTCAAATGGGTTGGATGCCATCTGAGAAATGTGACAATCAAGCATCAGACCAGGGCGAAGCAAGAAAGAATTGATTCAATTCAAAGAACGCACATGCATAACCTTTGCAAGCACCCGCTTCCCGCTGTTCGAGTCTCTCTCGACCTTCCCGATCACCTCCTCGAGCACCCACTGTCTGAGCACGAACCTCGGGTTCGCGCCTTTCATCTCTCCTTCCCTCTCAGCATCAACGTCCTCAATGCCATTCCAGTTATCTTTCTCGTCTAGAATACGCTTGGAATACTTCTCCAGCCACCCAAGCCAGTTTGCTGTAGCCTCTCCATAGGCGACTTTATCGGGATCCGGGGTGGCGACGAGGAGTGTCGCGATGAAGGCATGCAGCTCGGGTGATATGTCCTTGTCCTTGTCTGGTGGAGGAGCTTGGTCTAGTTGAGAGAGGATGGATGGCTTGAAGGAGCATAAGGTACGGAACGTCGAGTGGAAGTCGAGGCGGTGCTGTTCCATTATCGTGAGCAGGGGCTTGAAGAGCGTCGATTCATCTGTGTTGTCCTGGCGTCTCAGGCCAAGGCGCTGTGCATCCATCGATCAGACCCTTTCCCTTCATTGAAGCAAAGCAGAAGCCATACCTTGCGCATAAGTCGCCCATATTCGACAGCCGCCGTCTCCTGTGTGATCCTCTCCATCTCATCTCGTAGTTCCTGACCTTTCCTCGTCCATGCATCAAGCTTCTTTGCTGGTGCGTCAGTTGCCCATCCAGCGGAGACAGCCCGACCTTCTAGTTCGGCCTCGGCGCCAATGAGAGGTGCGAGGGAGTTGAGCAGGGCACGAACGGCGTATATACTTCAAAACGAGAGTCAGATAGAAAGGGCAGAGGGGAGGAGGAAATCTTACATCATGTTGGGCTGGAACTGTAGGGAATATATGTCAGTAAAACAGGTAGATATGTGAAACAAGATGGAACAATTGAGATACCATGTAAGCATATCGACCACTTTCGTCTGTATGGTTACAGATATGATGAGGGTCGAAAACATCCATAAAGGCATATGGTCCTAGAAAAACGATTCAGAAATCATTTGGCGAGATAATTCAAAGAAGAAAACCCAACCATAGTCAATGGTCAGGCCGAGGACAGAAACACTAGAAACATCGTCAGACTGATGGAAAGAAATTCACCACAGCACTTACTTGTCCGTGTTGATAACACCATGCATAAACCCATATGCCTGCCACCCCGCAACCATCTTCGCGTTCCTCCTCGCAACATCAAGCACCATCTCCCCGCCCCAAGCCTTTCCGTCCTCAATACCCAGCTTTAACACATTACCTGCAACCCACTCTCCCAACACCCGCAGGCCTTCGAGGTCGGGTTTCTGCTGCCCGCCTCCGAAGAAGAACATGTTTGTGGGCCCATTGAACGCCTCAAAACACCCGATGCGGATGAAGGAGGGAGCCATGCGAGTGAGGACGCAGGCAGTCTCTTCGCGCTCGCGAGCGACGGGTAGGGCTGGAAGGGAGACAAGGGTCAGGGAGCGGGTGGTGGGTATCTTGAGGGCTTCCATAGCTGGAGATTGTGTAGATTAGGACGACCTTTTCTGCATCTGAGGCACATTTATTGACTACCTTCAGAACAGAGGTATTCTCGAATGGAAGACCTGAGGACCGCTAAACCATCCGCAGAACGAGAGAACGGAGTGCGGCCTGAGCCCTTGAGTTGCAACTCGTAAGTGAGATCAGGGTTACTTGGAAGAGGAGTAACGTCTAGAAGGACATTCTGAGATGTTGCAAGCTCGAAGAAGGAAGAAGACTCACGAATGGTGATTGCTCGACCATCCCCCAATTGACCTGCCCAGGAACCGAACTGGTGTCCACTGTAACGAAGGGAGTATGGTGCAAATGGCACTGCATCGGACACCTCCTCCTTGGGTGGGGACATAAGCATAAATTGACCGCTGAGAACGTCAATCAGGTCTTGACGTGCCTCCACCACTTCCTTAATGTCGGACGGGTAAGGATCCCCTTCGTCACCAAGTTCATTGGAAAGAGTCGGTACACCGAGAACAGCAAACGCATCTCCAACGTCGAGATGGGGTACACAGTCTCTCAGGCCCGTTTCGGAGATGCCAATGAGGTCAAGAGGTTGATCGCGATTCTTGGACGAATACTTCCTCAACGGCGCGTTCGGATGGTTGGGTGATGGAGGCAGAGGATGGGTGGCTTCTCTTTCTGCCAGCCATTTCTCGATGTACGACCCTTGGCTGTCGTCAGACGCGGGAACTGGTGCCTCGATGTTGTAGGGGAAAGGAACAGGAAACGGGGAAACATGAGAGAAATGGCAAGGGGCGGGAAGGAGCTGCAGTATAGTGAATATATCTTGAAATTAAATGAACTAGAAATGCACCTACCCTTGCTCTCCTCTGCAAACTAGGTGTTTCAACAAGAACCTTAGCGCGAAACTCCTCTGGAGTTGCAGTGTATGTGTCTGCCGTCAGGCCGTGGATGAGGAGCTGGGATTTGGAGGCCAACGGAAGAGCTGAGATGGGGAATTTGGCAGAATTCATGACTGGCCGAAAGACTCTCATCCAGTAGAGACGATAGTAAGGAGGAGGGGTCTCCCATCCTGGAGCATTGAAGTCGTCGATGATTGGTAAAGGACGTCATCCTCAGCCGGGCCGGGTACTTCCGGCAATCACGCTCTTGCCGATTTGGACGACCAACCGCCCTTTGTGTCGCCCACCAACGAGCACCGGACCAAGAGCGCGGAGTTTCCGCCGGCGAAGCCTTGTTTTCCACGTCTTGTTGCGCTCAATGACTCGGTCAACCTCCTCGCGCCAGGGTTCCCCAAGACAAATGACCCGATTGTAATCATCCAAAGGGTACAAAACAGGTAAAGCGCTACCCGCCTAATTTCCATGGTGATATCTTCTTCCAGATTATCTCTGCAATCTCCTCGTCCTAGAACAATATACAGACCGTTTCATCGAAATTCCTCCTTATTGTGAGGCTCCCAGTCGCTTTCTTTTCTTCAATGGACAGCAACGGTTCAGTCACATGACGTTGCGCGCGTCTAATTGTGCTGTTGTACAGCATAAATTAAAGGGTGCGCCACACGCGCTCCTGCTGTGTTTTCCTCTCGTTCTCGCAGGATCGCGGCTCTACAGCGTAGTGCGCCCATACATCGATCATCGCCCCCATAATCTAACCAGAAATCTGGGAATTTGACTCCACGCCACTCATCAGTGTACCCCGATAAAGGCGTTATAAATTTCGAACTCCTCCACAAGGGCACTGATAGACCATACAATAGCAAACACCCTCAGTGGTATTTCACCCACAACTGCACAGCACACAGCACGCCTCTATCTTCTCTCCCGCCACGGCAAGAAAGCGGAACCCCTCGCTGCTGTTGTAGGTCCAATTTCTGTTGCGCACAGCACGCTCGGAGACTCACAGCATGTCAGATATGCCTTTAGCTACAGCACTAACCCAAAAATCCTTAAAGCTCGTATTCTCCTCCTTCGTCAAGATGACCTGTTCGCCACCATTAAGGCCATCTTCCTCCCAGAACACCCCTCGCCAACCAGCACGTCCTTCCACCCATAATCCTGTACCCTACAGCATCCTTTTCGGCACTTCTCTTGCTTCTTCTGTAGAACACCAGGTAGAAATACCGTCAATGGCCGAGACCGCACAGCGACTCGGTCTCGCGTCCAATACCGCTCCCCGCGATGTCGAGCCCTCGAGCGTATTGTCCTCCCCTCACACATTCAACAGTCCGATTGCCCTCCCTCGAGACATGACCGATGACGATGTGAGCATCTGCCATCGAACGCTAATCACGGCTGACATCTGTTTGCCTATCAGTCCCCCATCACGCGCAGGCCCGCAAGAAACAGCAGACGAAGGGCGACGAAGCCTGCCGCCGTTTCGCCGACGAATGACGAGAGCGACATGGACCTCACCACCGCTACTCGCAATTCACTGCAGACATTCCGTTCGGAAAACTCCCTTCGCGAGAAGAACGCGACCAGTTCACCAGATGCAAGCGGCTCTGGTCGTCGAGCCGACATAGATATTGAAAGTATGTTAATTTGCATCGAAATCAACGCACTGGCTAACCATTTTCGTGTTTAGTTAACGATACTATAAGACGAGCCCAGGAGGCACTCGCCATGGTAGACCAGGCCCTTGTATTGACGGTTGAAAACCCCCTTCCCCCACACCTCCCCGTATCGCCACACCTCGCCGATACCATATTTCCGTCTAACCCTGTTCAAGTGCTCCCCTCAAGCATTTCTGCTTCTGTTGACATATTGATGGACGAAGGCAGCGCCCAACCCCCGACCCCAGCCCGCAAGCCTGTCCGGCCCAAGACCTCCCAACTTCGCCCCATCTTGTCCACATCCCAGAACCATCTCTCACATTTCCGCGAACGGCCGTCCATGCCCGATGACATGGACATTACTGTAACGACGCCACAGAAACCTCAGTCGGTGGGTCTCTCCAAGACCATCCACCGTCACATGAACGGGCTGATCACCATCAACAAGCAGAAGCAAAAGCAGAAGGAAGAGAGTAGCGGCAGCGACAGCGACGACGTCGCCGCCCTCGTCGCGTGCTTTTCCAAGACGAAGATTCATAATGTCAACGCGTCCACTCCGCGCCCATCCGAACCGACAAGCCTAAGGAACGGGCGAGCAACTGGTCGAGGTGATGCTCCCGCTTTGAAAGGCGGTGATGCTCCCTCTTCTTCTGTTCGTCATGTTTTGAATGCTTCGGAGGGTACTGACGATATAAATGAGATGGATGTTGACCCTTCGTCTATGAATCCCGTGCATAAGCCATCTGCTGCAAATCAGAGAACCGTTGCTCGCGCCCCTGCTAAACCAGCACCTCGTCCTGGTGGCGTCCAGAGGACTTCAGAGATCGCCGACAAGACCAGCGAAATGGACACCGATTCTTCTACGCCGTTAAGTCCAGGAGAGAGGAAAATATCTCCTCTTCCGCTTAGAGCTCGCAATCAAAGAGCCCTTCCTCCAACAAGCGCTGCGATAGGAACTGTCGACCAAGCCCCCGACCGCGAACGCAGCGTTTCTCCAATTATGACCATCATTCCTCCGGTCCCTGTCCCAAGAATCATCATCACAGACGACGCGGCGCCGCTCGTCGCCAGCCCAGAGTCTTCGCCCCCTCCATCCCCTGGTCCATCTCGCAGAGAGAGAAAGGTTCGACCTCTCCCCCAGCGTTTCTGGCAGAGCACCCAGGGTACCATTACCAAGCCCACTTTCAACTTCACATTGAGCGTCCCCAGGGCGTCAAAGGAGGCGCCTAAAACCGCAACCGCAGCCCCCGCGGTCCCTGCCTCTTCCGAGCCCTCGCGCCTACCTAGTGGTGGGTTCACGTTCCAACTTCCTGGTAGCGGTGATGCTCCTGCCCTTAGAGGCGGTGACGCTCCTGCTACTCGTGATGTTGGAAAAACCCTGCTAGGAGGTACCGACGAAAATGGAACTACCGACGCGGTCAGTCGTGAAGCGGGTGAGATAGCGGTGGACAGGAAGGTGAAGCCGCTCCCGCCCAAGATGAGGCGCCCGGCTGGAACGCCGAATATCCCCCTTCTAACTTATGTGCCGACGCACGGACAGACGATTTTTGTGAGCCCTCAGCTGAATACTTGGCAGGGTGATGTGAGCACCACTAATTTCTTCGTCGGAAATTTTCTGAGTGTCCTTTAGTTGGAGGATGATATGACCCGCGGTATGAAGCGACAGGACCAGGAAGACGCAGCTGCAAAGGCGACTACGTTGGGGAGGTGTTTCGAGACGAACAATCAGACAAGTATGACTAATGGAACGGGGTGAGTATTCGATCTATTCGTTCATGAACACTACCTTACGGCATATTCCAGGAGCTCTCACCCAGTGTACAACACCGACAGCGCCAGGTTCCTTTTGCTATATGGTGAAATGATGGCCGGAGCATCTGCAGCGGACCTGGCTGCCTCGGGCGCCTTGCTCGCGTTAGGTGGCGATCCCCCTGAGAGTAGCCCCTCGTCGCAAACAAGCGCCGATCAGACGAACGACGAGTCCGAGTTCAGCAAGCGGACAGATATTGAGATGGACTTCAGCAACATGACCGATGAGGAGATCAACGCCACTTTGTCCTCGTGGGGATTTAATCCCGCCTCGGACCAATCGTTTACGTTGGAGGAAATGAATACAACGTGCGAGGCAACATTTGAGCTCAACATGCTTGCCAGTGCCCCAATCGCTCCAGATTACAACATGACGATCGCTCAAGGGCAGATGTTTGCGACGGGTCTGACCGATCAAGATATCAATGCGAATAATTACCATCCTGGTAAGTGCGCCACTGTGCAGCTGATATGCCGTGATCCTGATCGCTTCCCAGGAAACTGCCCCACACAGATTACCATCCAGCAGAATTACGAGTCCCAATTGAATTATGCGTTGGGCTATAACAACATTGGCGTCGCCTCAGAGGGCCAAGGTAGGTTGTTCAAACGAACGTCTCGGTCGACTCCTGACCTTGCCTCCCGTTTCAGTGGTGCATCAGAGCGTTTGTCCTCCTGAAGGACGACAAGATAACTCCTTGGCGGCATCTTCCTCCACTGCGATCCCAACTCGCGAAGTCGACGTTCATGACCACGAACAAGTTGATTGGTCCGACTCCGAGATAGTGCCCGCCACTTCTCGGCTGCTCATTCCCAAAGCCCCGGACAACCTAGGTATCGGATCTCAAGAGAGGTACAATGAAACACCCCAAGAAGCTCAGCCCTTCCAATACGAGGAGGTAGAAGCGACCAACGGAGACGAAGACATGGAGGAAGTCGATATTGACGCTGCTCTCGCCGAACGGGAGACTGGGCAACAAGTTCCAGTGCAAGGTTTCAGCGCTTCAGCTGCCGATTCACCCTTTGAGGAGCCGTTGATAGCTCCAGAGTGTTCGGAAACCTCGTCTGCTATGATCACCCCGGCGGTCCAGCACCAGGCTCAACAAGGCAGCAGTGTCCCTTCCGTCGACCTTGTCGCTGAATCGTCCCCCAGACCCAACGAGGAAGTTGGAGTTGCTTGCAGGAGCACTTCAGTCGGACCTGCTACCAGCCCATTTGTTGTGCATGATGCCTCTCATGTTCCCCTGCCAGAGTTGCCTTTAATCAAAGACGATAAGAAGCTTGCAGATGATGCGAGCGTAGATCCCGCTCCGAGCTTTTGCGATTCGGATCAAAAACGGGAACGGATCAGTATCGAGGCAATCAGCGCTGCCCCAGAAGTTGCTGGCATCTCCGAGTCGTTGTCCCCAACCACCAACATCGAAAGTTCGAACACGACCCAGCCAGTTGTTCCCTTTGAACCTAATCAGAGCTCGCCGAAGAGCCAGGAATACGTCGCTTGCGATGTCGTACTCACACGTGTTGCGGAAGGGCACCCTGTGGACGCGGTTGTCCAGCCACCAACACCGGAAAGTCCTCTCCAACACCTCGAGAAGGGCAAGCAGCGGGATACAAGCGATGCGCAAGTGGTTGTCCCTGATCCAACAACCAATCTTCCCACTGGGTCGACCATCGAAGAGTCTCCTTTGAGCTCAACATCGCAGTCTAATGAGCCAGCGGCGTCAAGTGGTCTCGATTCGCAGCAGGAAGTAGTCGTCCAACCACCAACATCCATTGAGGGGCAACATCCAAACCCGACGGAAGCTCCCACTAAAGCTGCTCGTCCGGAAGATGCACCTATAGCTACATTTTCGACGATAGAACAGGAAAGCAATGTGGATGTTTTTTCTGTGCCAGCAGGAGGCAATAACGTCACTCTGGGTGAGCTGGATGAGCTAGAGTCACAGCCCTGTAGTCCGCCTGTTCCAATTCCCGTGGTGAATCAACGGTCGCCTGCTGTCCCTCGGCCCGCGTCGACAGCGTCTGCCAATGGCCTGTGCGATAAGCAGGCTGGTGCATCAGTCCCCTCTCAAGATACCCTTCTAAACAACGCTCCTGTCCAAGTACAACCACCACCCAGTGTGATACCTCGCGACCAGGATGTCGCAATGGACTTGGATGACGCAAACAAGGAAGGAGAAAAGGTCCGGGAGGGCTCATGCGAGGATAGCGAAATGATAGAGGAGCTCCCAGTTGGCGTCGCTATGGATCTTGATGACGCACAAGCGTATGCTCTCTATGTCCCTTATCTGATGCTGCTCCGGTAAGCCCTCTTTTACACTTTCCCCCTTCAACATTCTGAATTATCCTCTTTCTTCAAGCGCGCCCCCGGCGCAACGTACACCGTACGAGGATGCTGACGCAAACGATGTTGACATGCCAGATGACCTTCCAGACCCGACCGTCATCTGCAGTGCTGCCCTTCACCATTGGTCTTCCGCGGCCACAGATTGTGACTTTGAAATGACGGATGGGTGTCCCCAACCCTTCCAACCTCAACAAGTCGCTCCAGCTCCTTCAGTGTCGTTACCGAACGCAGCACCAGTCATCGCCTCCACACCTTTCGAGCCAACGAATGCGGTACCTTTGGTCAACACATTACCACCTGTTGACCTGCAGCCCTCAATTGACGTCCTGTCCCCAGTTAGTGGACCACCATTCGATAACCGTTTCGTCGACGTGGACTCAGACATGGACTATGTTGGGCCACCACAGCAACCTGTTACCCTGTGGTTCGACTTGTATCGTGAAGCGTTTGGCTGCGTACCAGCCGCCGTCCACTATCAGCCTCAGGTCCCACCATCCAGCGAGCAGCCTCCCTCTGCCCCTGCCTCCATCACCAACGTTGATCAATGCGAAGTTTCCGAGCAAGTGGAACTGCCATCGAAGCCAGAGGACCAGGAAATGCCCCAGACTACTCAACCGCCACCGCCGACAACCTGCACCGACGGAAACGGCCTCCGTGTCCCAACGCCGGCTGCCCCAACACTTCCTTCTACTCCTGCCCCAACGGCTGCTCCTGCTCCTATATCAATACCTACTTTACCTCCCACCCCAGAGCCCGCTCCTACCCCGGCATTTGCATCGACACCGGCACAGGAAGAACCTTTGGTCACTGCTATTCCTGAACCCTCGACTCCCGCACCGTCCTCTGAGTCCATGTCTACACTGAGAACTCCTGCATCGCACCCGTATCGCAATTCCAGGCGCGCTTCGACGCTCAGAATCACGTCGCCGCGTTCGTCTTACTATCCCATGGATTGGCAGCCTCGACCGTTCGTGCAAAGGACGCCAGAGCAGATACGGCTTGCCACCTCTGCATTCCCACTTCCTCAGACACCAGCGCCAGAGGTAGAGCCTCCTCACCCCCCTGCACAGAAGCCTGCACGCAAGCGCAGGTCATCCAAGTCCAAGAAGAGCAGGAAGGAAGAGGAGTGCCCCCCAACCATGCCGAGTATGGTGGAGCATTGCCGCGGGGAGAACGTCGTCAGCCTGGGTGTCGAGGAAGGCATCCGTCAGATGACCTCGAGCTCGTCGAGCCTGCGAGTGTTCATTGAGAGAGTGGCCACAGATGTCAAGAAGGCGGCTGTTGACGCAGTGAACTACACCGCACTTGGAGCTGTGGATTCGCTGAAGCAGGATGGGCTGACGCTGGCTTTGACCATCGCAAAGGAGAAGTTCATGGCTTGATCAGAGGGTACTCCATGTGTGCTGTATTCGTGGTGTCTCTTGTTCCCTCTTCATCTCCTTTTCATCTTATCCTAATCATCAAGAATCAATTGTATCACCATCTTGTACCACTACTATCGCGCTTTTTGCTCCTGTTTTCTTTGTTGTTCTTGCTTTCTCGTCGTATTATATCTGTACGCTATCGCCAGTGTTTTGATGAACGTTTTCGTGCTGTAGTTACCGATAATCGGTTGTACTTGTCTCGCCCTTATTTCTCTTTGCTCTAGTTTAATAATTGATTATTTGATGCTTGGGCACATTATCAAGGCTCAAGCATCTTGTTTGTGACTCGGAACATAACTTTGGGAGGAAAGCAAGTGAAAGCTAGGTGAACTAGAGCGAGATGTAGATCAAGACCGGAGTCGAGCAATTGAAACCTCGTCTTTACTTTCATCGGTACTCAGATATATGTTCTTGAGGAAGACGTCGCCGACCTTGAAGGCCGTTCGTCAATCTGAAAGACGGAAACCTGAAATCGAAGACACTTGCCAGCCATTCGTTGTCCAGATAAAACGGACCGACTCTGCCCACAGCGATGCCCGACATGTACTCCGTCGCGCTTCAGCTGCCGATTCACCCTTTGAGGAGCCGTTGATAGCTCCAGAGTGTTCAGAAACCTCGTCTGCTATGATCACCCCGGCGGTCCAGCGCCAGGCTCAACAAGGCAGCAGTATCCCTTCCGTCGACCTTGTCGCTGAATCGTCCCCCAGATCCAACAAGGAAGTTGGAGTTGCTTCCTGGAGCACTTACATCGAGCCTGCTACTAGCGCATTTGTTGTGCATGACGCCTCTTGTGTCCCCCTGCCAGAGTCGCCTCTAATCGAAGGATGATGCGAGCGTAGATCCCGCTCCGAGCTTTTGCGATTCGGATCAAAAACAGGAACGGATCAGTGCACGTGCCCTCAACGCGTGCATCTCTCCCACGAGATCCCAAACGTGCCCCAGATGATCACCATCCAGCATGGCCCCCACGATCCTCTTGACTCTTGATTGGTCCATTGAGACGGTTTTGTGTATGATCTTCCCTTCTTGTTTCTGGAATCGATCGCGGTGCATGTAGCATGCCCAATAAGGTTGCGGGGAAGCGCGGTGGGGAAGGCGCGTGCAATGTTATAAATATCGGACCTGTTGTGTTGTGGGGATTTTCCTGTCTTCGTTGTGGTCGACTTTCCCAAGAACTGCAATGACGAAGATTGGCACCCTCTTGTTCGCGCTCTTCGGTTGCTTGCTCGTGTCTGTTGGCGCTGCACCCACTGCCAACGCCAATCTCGAGAAACGTGATTGGATTGGCGACATCATCAACTTCCTTGGGTTGGGTCTCGTCACCCAGATTAACGCGTTCATCTCGGTGAGCGACATCCACGGCAGACTCGGTGAATGACACGCTGACTGGGGTTGGTTGAAAGCTCGAATCTTTGGAAACGAATCTCATTACGTGAGTTCTCGAGGCCAACTCGTCGCGACGCTTTTCCTCATTTCTGTTGGAATTGCAGGATTAACTTTGACGGTACGGTCGCATTGATCAAAGAACGAAGAACCACTTACCGAGCCCTCACATTACAGTCCACAACCCCCTCCTCATTGAACTGACCATCGATCGCGTTGTGAGCCAAGCTGGCCTCAACGGCACCGTCTACGCATCCTTCGACCACACTTTCGAAACACCCTTTATCATCAAAGGCACGCAGACCGCCAACTCTGGCACCATCCCAAACGTCCTCCTCACGCAAGGCGCGCTCGCTTCCCTTGATATCATCCCCTACGGTGTCCAGGATCTGATCAATGTCGACGTTTATGCTCGGTGAGGCCCCACACAAGACAGTCTGGATATGGGTACTGATTCAACTGTATTTCAGTGTCGCCACTATCAACGGCAAGATTGGCATCCCCCTCCCCATCAAAGGATTGAAGCAGGCGAACGTTCCCGCGAGGTGAGCATCTGTCCTGTCTGTGCTTCGCGAAAGGAAGCTGAATAGGACCTGGTGACAGTTACGAGCTCGTCCTCTCTTAAGCTCTCGACCGACTCTCGACTGCTGTTTTCTCCCAGAAGCAGAGCAAGGAGATTGCTTTGGTGTAACTTCCGATAACATAAATATTAGGTCACGATGGGTGTTCAAGTAACGAAAGCCAGAATATTTCTTGTCTTGTGGGGCATTGGCCAGGCACGTCGCAGTGGCCAGGTGATTTGAGGATGTCGACAGGACTCTTTGACATGGAAGCGATGTTGAGAAGTTGTCGCAAACAGGGAGTGTCAAGGGTGACAGCGAAGAGATGATGACCCAGAGGAGAACATGTGAAATCCTGAGAACGCTCTTCAATCCATCGTTTTGCCGCCAGACACCAAAGAGTCACATATCCAACATCTTCATTATGATTCCAACCTTTGTGGTCAGATCGGACGCGTTTCACTGCGGGCACTGCCTTATCTATTCCTAGAATATATCTGGCACATCGAGAAGAAATTGGGAACACATCGCAGTCCTGGACCCCCTGGTTCGCGATTGGTCAATATGCTCCAGATATCATCTGACTCGTTTTGAAGGGTTTTATAAGGCCGTGCCCGCAGTGTTTCCCCTAGGATCTCAGTACCTCTGAATCGTGTTCCTGCTCGAGAACTTAGTATTCGGGCATCAGTAGAAGTGCATTTCACGCTCACAAATCACCCGATGCTTCGTCTGAAGTTTGAACAGTGAACACCTCAGAGGGCTTGGGCAATTCCACCGAAGCTGGACCAAGATAATACTAATTTATTCCTGTGGGTGTACTAGTCCAAAATACCAAAAATTCTAAAGCTACATAGGAGTGCAAATATGCTAACATCTCCACCAAGGTCGATTATGTCGTCCCTGTCGGTCCGCATCCTCCTCTCTGACATTATTCTCTCGAATGACCTTAAGGAAAACACTTTCAAGTGTTGCTCGCTCGACCGTGTATTCCGTGAAGTCCCCGTGTTCCGACAGGGTGTTGAAGAGCCTGGCCAACGAGAATTCATCTCCGGAGGAAATGGGAACTTCGAACCGGGTCGCAACATCATCCGCCATTCGAGATCCTGGAATATGCGCCATGAGCTCGCGAGCTTTGACAACCTCTTCTCTCGTGCGACAAGTGAAGTGAACTTCGTAGGTCGCATAACGAGCCGACAATGATTTTGTTGTCCCAACAGCTGCAAATGCTATGAGTTTTGCTAATTCGAGGAGGGATAAAAGACGATCCTACCGAGCAAGCGTTTCGCCAAGATACCAACACTGCTTGCCAGGGCGGATGCCTCCTCCATAGAATCTACATACAGCAGAATCAGAAACACACTTAGAGACTGCAAACGTTGACAACATACGAGTTGTGATAATGACCGCTTTGCCGACTGCCACCCTTCGCAGCGTCTGCCACATATCTCGTTTCATCTTGGGGTCGATACCTGTCGAGAACTCGTCGATGAGGATCACAGACGGGTTGCCGATGAGAGCGATAGCAAGCGCAAGTTTGCGCTGATTTCCACCCGACAGCTTGCTTGCCAATCGATCGGCGTACATTGTCAAAGACGTCCCCTGCATGACAGATTTGATACTTTCTTGGAGCTCAGGTCCATTCCGTAGGCCCTTCAAGCGTGCATAGATGTACAGATGCTCGCGTACTGTGAGTTGGGAGTCGATAGCGGTGAATTGAGGGCAGACTCCGAGGTTGGACCTAGCGGTGCGTGGGTGCCGGATGACTGAAGTGCCATTGATGACGACATCACCAATATCAGGGAAAACATCTCCACCTAAACCAAATATCAAAGAGCTGTCGAAAACGAAGACATGATGCAAAGCACGTACGAATGATATTGAATGTGGTTGTCTTCCCCGCTCCGTTCGGTCCTAGCAGGGCGAACACTGTGTCTCTCGACACACCCAAGCTGACATCGTCGACGACTTGGTTGTTATTATAACTTTTGGAGATGTTTAGAACTCTGAGCAGGTCATCGGAGACAGCGACCGATTTGGCAGCCTCTATAACGTCCTCTTTTGAAGATGCAGCGGTGCCAGTCGCTGAATGAATAATCTTGCGTTTTCGAAGTCGATTCTTTCGGGAACCGGAGTCGGCCCAGACGAGGATTGCCAAGAGGACAAGCATGTATACGAAAAGATAGAGGATGGGCCCGCCGTATCGTCTGATTTCGCCCAGAGAGGCCGCTGTCACAACACTATTCCCGTCGCACCGGAGGGAGAACAGGTTGGCTGCGACAAGACCAGCACGAGCCTAGACACCATCGTGAGTAGAGTGGATAGAAGATTATCAGCAATAACTTACGACACTACAAACAGGGGCTACAACGGAAATTGAGAAATGAACAACTGTGATAAGACGAGTTGACTCCGTCGTCGGGGCATATGTTAGGATAAAAAGATATGAAGATAGGTAAAGCTAAAAATGGATAAGCGACAAACAGATAGAGCGTGGACGAGACATACAATGGAGATGACGAATTGATAGCCAGCTACGATTGCGAACGCAGCCAGAGGTGATGAGGCAAACAGAGATATACAATATGCAAAGAGAGCGCCAGTAATACCATACTGCACCATAATAAACCACTAGAAATGATTGTTAGCATAATCCAATCGGGCTTTCAGCATAACCGCTCACTAAGAAACCGAGACCCTGTAGCTGATTGCTTGCAGCGAGAGCAAATACAATCGTGATGATAGTGGAGAGGATCACCACGCTGATTGTGTCGAACATCAGGTGGCCCAACCACAGCCCAATAGGGTCTGTCAACCCGTTCGACAGCTGCATAGCCTGCACCGATGACCGGCGTTCCTTCGAGACATAAAGTGCATAGAAGGCTGGGTACACGGCCTGTCACAAAGGAGAGAAATGAGGGCAAGCATATACGGCCCAAACCTACACCACCTACCATGAGAGCACCAAAGAATATAATCCACCTTAACGCAACCAGCGTGCCAGCTGCAACAGGCGGGAACGATGCATAGTTCGCCCTGATAATCGTTGGGGTATTATCCGCGTTGCCAGACACGTTCAAAGCCCTATTGTAAAGTATGTTTGTCGCGAGGTTCAGCATCGATGGTCCCGTAATGCCCGGGCGCGTCGCCTCCCAAGCGATCAACGACTGGCCAGTTTCCAGGTCCAACGAGATGCCCCCCAGGCTAAGGCTCCTGTAGTTTTGGTTTATCATGTCTACAAAAGTAGCGTTATCGGGGATATTTGTAATTCTGAAGAGGTCGGTGCTTGGGCCTAACGTCGAGACAATCCCTGGAGGAGTAACGACCACACGAGAGGATGGACCGAGTGTGAATGGCCGGATGGGCGAAGCAGGTAGGTAGAGAGGTATCGTTGTGGTATTCCTGAACTGCCTGACGCAAGCTGATTGCTGCCTGCCTGTGATGAAGATGAGCGGAATGCAGGCACCGCAGACAGCTACGGCAATCGCAAGAAGTGGGGTCAGCCAGCTCCGTCGAGCAATCAAAACGCGCTTGTGGAATATCGTGAATGCCTGTTTGAAAGGCGAGACAGGGCGTCCGGAAGGCAGTTCCATCGCTGCATGCTTGACCACAGGAGATGCTGAAACCGTGTCCTGCGACGATTTTTCTTCGTTCGCTAGGGTATCGTTCTTGTGCATCAAGTCCAAGAAAATATCCTCGATCGTCGTTCCAAGAATGTCGTACGACTCGATATTGTGGGTGCTGGTCTCCGCATCAAGAAGGTCTAAAACGGCACGAATAATCTCTGTATCTCTCGTCTTCAAATGGTAGGTCGCTTGGGTCGGCGAGGCCGTCGTGAGATAGGCCTTAGGCACGATGGTCCTCATGCCCTCGAGGAGATCATGCGGAATTTCCGTTTTCTCCGGGCTTTCCGAAGATGCGAAGGTGACTTGGATGGAGTAGCCTTCGCCTAGGTCGCGTTTCAGAGCTACAGGCGGTCCTGACGCGACAACTTTGCCCGGGGCAGCAAGGATCGCGATGTGGTCTGCGAGGAGATCAGCCTCGTCAAGGAACTGAACTGAACTGGTAAGCCATCCCATGAGAACGAGGGAAAGAGGGAGAAAACTGACGTGTGTGGTAAAGACGATGCTGCGGTCGCCCCGAAAGGCCGTCAAAGTCTTCCACAATGCTCTTCTGCTGAGGGGATCAACACCGGAGGTACATTCATCCACAAGGACAACTAAAATATGTCGTCAGTGTTGAGCCAATAAATCCACAGGGCAACTGGATACGCACTCTTAGATCCACCCAACAGCCCAATAGCGAGCTGGAGCTTCCGCTTCTGGCCACCTGAAAGAGTCGAGGCGTTCGCGTGTATCTTTTGCTCGAGATCGCAATCGCGCAGCAGTTGTTCAAGATCTTCGTCAGCCTCAGAGTTCTCCGACCACTTGACGGCCCTCCAAACCCGCAGAGTTTGCAAACACGTCAGGTCGGGAAAAAGGACGTTCTTCTGGGGTACGATACCCATCGTACCGCGGGGCGGTCGAGGATGCCCGCTTTCGAAAGTGACAGTTCCATCAGTGATGCTTGAAAGACCTGCGACTACGGACAGAGACGTTGATTTCCCTGCTCTGTATTGAAAGCGGTTAAGACAAACCATACGCAGAATTGCGAAGCGAGTTTGACGTACCCATTCGATCCTAGGAGCACAAAAATCCCCGTCTTGGGAATATCCAGACTGAGGTCTGTAACCGCAGTCACATCTCCCTTTGAACTGAACCTCGATGTCTTATAGACCTTCGTCAGATGACGGATCGAGATGGCTGTATTTTCGGGCATAGGAGGCGCTTGGTAGCTGCTGGCCTTCTTCCAGAATACCCATGACGAGCGTCGGCCAGGTACCTTCGCGTCGTAAATGTGTCGTTCCCAAAGGACGGCAAGCCAGGGCCAGAGGAAGACATCAATCTGATAAAAGTGTTAGAAATTGCACGAAAAAGGCGCGTATAGTTGACTTACGACAGCGCCAATCAAGAGAGGAAGGAGTACGATGCCCTGATCGATATCTCCCTTCAGTGCATTTGTAGCGGATTCGTGATTCTCATAGCCAGCAATTGCCCGCAACGAGAGGATGTAGAACGACGGTGGGAAGAGGATGGAGAAGACGAACAAAGTACCGCTACTCCTTGAACGGATGACGAGTCCGAAGATGGCAAACACGATGCCTCCAAAGGTTGTTACGACGGCTGCGAGTTGTGGGCTCTTCCCAAATGGCACTGCGATAAAGAAGGACCAACTGGCAAGCACCAGGCCGAGCAGGACGTGGAGAATGACAATGATGCCTGTGTTGGTTTCGGTAAAGATGGTGAACTTCCATATCAAGGAGACGATGACCCAGGCAGGCAGGTACGTTAACGAGATACCAATGTGCCAGGATCTGAAAGATTATGAGGAGGATATTATATAAATCAGGGCATGGGCGCACAGTATTCTCGCGGAATCAAGCAGGCCCATCGCCTTCATGTGCTCTGTGATGAGCAATGCACGTTCTCCCGAGAACGACCCAGGAAGTTGATAGGAAATGCCGACAAAATTTATGAAGCTGGTCCACAGGGTGAATTTTCTGTAGAATCTTTGAGAAAGGATTGATTGCACGTACAACGCCAACGAAATTAAGTCTTGAATACCCCTGAGATAGCTCAAACGAATATTCTTGCGCTGTTCCTCGTTTGTCTCGATCGTATACGGCCATTCCAAAGGTGTCTGTTGCTCGACGCCAGTCTGTAGCTCGATGATGGCCTACGCACGCGGCACGCGACATAAGCCAGGAACCCATTTGAACCCGTGGTCGCCACACACCTTGTCAATCGCCCACTGCAAAGGCAAAATCCGCTTCTCAAAGTCACTCGTGTGCCGTTCAACGTCAATAAATGCTAGTCCTCCATCCGCGAGTATAGTATAATTGACGGGTCTTGTTCGGCTGCCATTAGGAGGAATGTCGATGAAGCTGATTGCTGCGAAACATTTTGAAAACAGGTTGAAGTTCTGGGGACATTCAAAGGGGATTTCAGCGGGTGTGTCGACCTGCCTGATGGAGGCGAGTTGCTTGGAGGTGAAGTCGGAGGTGATACGGTCTATTATGTCTTTTGGAGATGGGTTGCTAGTGCCGTTCGTGCCGTCCGCCCATATAAGAGCAAGTGCCGGGTCGAACTGACTTTGCAATGAAGTGATGGGAGTGGGTGTGCCCATGCCATACTGAGCGGTGGTTAGTAAGAGAGCAGAGCGATTGGAACCGACGTACGTTGTTCAGTCTGTTGAGGAAAACTTGGGCAGTAGCAAGAAAGGCGCCGTATGCGATTGGAAGGATAAAACAGCGCAGGATCGAAACCTAGACGAGTTGAGTTCTTCCAACCCGGTCGGATTAGGTGGCAACTCACGAATGGGTGTCTGGCTATTACAATCCAGTTCTTCCAGATGAGAGCGCGTAACTGCAACCAGAAAAGGTTGGCCATGGGTATCTCTTCGATGAATATGCGTTCCTCCTCGAATTATAAGGCAATTTGCATCGCAAGCTGTCAACAGGAGCGTTGAGGGGAGAGAAGTCGAGACCGTTAATTTAAAGATCTTTCATGAGAAAGACTTGGTAACCGCGCAGTGCAGGACCGCCACGTTCTGAAACGATGGCCTTTCTGAGATAGCAGAGGTATGCATCGGCTCGGCCGCACTCTTGTCACCGTCGTTGTTGACAAGATGTTCACAAGCGGTGGGTTTCCCTCCGGTTTGAACAAATGGGTCAGGGTATCTATCCCAGAGTTTCCAGATATGGTCCAGAAGTGGGTGAAAGCGCAACTGCCGCGGAACTCACACGCTCAGACTCTGATACCGAAGAAGCCGAGCCAATGACGTCGCTAACCAGCTTTTTCTCTCCTTGCAGCAGTCAGACCGACAACTCCGTATACGTCCAACCTACAACTCTTCAAGTTTCATCTCATTCATTTTCTGGAGGACTCCATCTTACGTACTGGCCATCATCTCGCTACTGTCCGACGCAGCCAACGCATTGATAACTTTCCCGACTCGACTCGACTCCTCGAGCGCGCCATTCAAATGGTCCCTATGTGCATCAGCGGCGCAGCTATGTTCGAGAAATTGTTCTTCTCTCCAACCTTGCAGATGCCGATTTCTGAATATTCCGCAGTTTATCTTCCCAACTCGCTTCGAAATCCTCCGTCCTTGTCGATAGCCGCCTACCTTTCTTCGCCGCCACGAACACAGTGATAAGCCAAGAGTCCTCCAAGAACATCCTCACTTTACTGCGGATACAATGCAGTCTTTGAGTCCCGTCGATTTCTCTCTGGGCGTCTAGCACTGGTGCACTGTGTAGTTTCTACGTTCTTGACCGATTTGAGAAATGATGACAGCAGGGTCTAGGATGGTGGCGTCAGATATGTGTTGCCCTTGTCAATAGTTCTCTTGCACCTTTGAGCAAAGAGGTGCGCAAAAACGGAGCAGGTTGGCAACAAGCCCGACTGGAACTTGAAGACAAGCACTTCACTATACCCATGGAACGTCCAGAGATTACTTCTGGTATCGTAGCCAATTGAGAGAAATTCCGAGCTGCAGTACGGAAGGTTATCGCGATCTCCCGTGGCGGGACCACTCTCTACCCCACAGGCATCCGTTCAGCACTAGGTGTAGACCCACGTAGTGTGTCCGCTCAGTGTCGCTCCCGCTCCTTCAGTGTCGTTACCGAACGCAGCATCAATCATCGCCTCCGCACATTTCGAGCCGACAAATGCGGTACCTGTGGTCAACATATTACCAGCTGACCTGCAGCCCTCAATTGACGTGCTTCCCCCAGTCAGTGGACCACCTTTGTTTGACAACCGTTTTGTCGACGTGGACGCAGACATGGACTATATTGGGCCACCGCAACAGCCTGCTACCCTGTGGTTCGAAATGCACCGTGAAGCGTTTGGCTTCGTATCAGCCGCCGTTCATTATTAGCCTCAGGTCCCACCAGCCTCCCTCCACCCCTGCCTCCAGCACCAATGTTGAGCAAAGCGAAGTTTACGACTGGAAGAAGAGAGGTTTCAGAGGCTGGATGCTGAACACGAGTAAATGGAACGGCTATCGAAGCCAGAGGATCAGGAAAAGTCCCAGCCGCAGACGACGACAACCTGCACCGACGGAAACGACCTCCGTGTCCCAATGCCGGCCACGCCAACGCTTCCTTCTACTCCTGCCCCAACATCTGCTCCTACTCCTGCGCCTCCCACTCCCACTCCAGAGCGTGCTCCTACCCCGGCACCCGCACCGACACCGGCACAGGAAGAGCCTGTTGCTGCTGCCATTCCTGAACCCTCGACTCCCGCACCGTCCTCTGAGCCCATGTCTACACCGAGGACTCCTCCTGCGTCGCACCCGTATCGCAATTCCAGGCGCGCTTCGACGTTCAGGATCACGTCGCCGCGTTCGTCTCACTATCCCATGGATTGGCAGCCTCGACCGTTCGTGCAAAGGACGCCAGAGCAGATACGGCTTGCCACCTCTGCATTCCCACTTCCTCAGACACCAGCGCCAGTGGTAGAGCCTCCTCACCCCCCTGCACAGAAGCCTGCACGCAAGCGCAGGTCATCCAAGTCCAAGAAGAGCAGGAAGGAAGAGGAGTGCCCCCCAACCATGCCGAGTATGGTGGAGCATTGCCGCGGGGAGAACGTCGTCAGCCTGGGTGTCGAGGAAGGCATCCGTCAGATGACCTCGAGCTCGTCGAGCCTGCGAGTGTTCATTGAGAGAGTGGCCACAGATGTCAAGAAGGCGGCTGTTGACGCAGTGAACTACACCGCACTTGGAGCTGTGGATTCGCTGAAGCAGGATGGGCTGACGCTGGCTTTGACCATCGCAAAGGAGAAGTTCATGGCTTGATCAGAGGGTACTCCATGTGTGCTGTGTTCGTGGTGTCTCTTGTTCCCTCTTCATCTCCTTTTCATCTTATCCTAATCATCAAGAATTACCACCTTGTATCACTACTTTTCCACTCTTGCTTTCTTTGTTGTTCTTGCTTTCTCGCCGTGTTGTATCTGTACGCTATCGCCAGTGTTTTTGATGAACGTTTTCATGCTGTAGTTACCGATAATCGGTTGTACTTGTCTCGCTCTAATTTCTCTTTGCTCTCGTTTAATAATTGATTATTTGATGCTTAGGCACATTATCAAGGCTCAAGCATCTTGTTTGTGAGGAAAGCAAGTGAATGCTAGGTGAACTAGAGCGAGATGTAGATCAAGATTCAGACCTGAGTCGAGCAATCGAAACCTCGTCTTTACTTTCATCGGTACTCAGATATATGTTCTTGAGGAAGACGTCGCCGACCTTGAAGGCGGTTCGTCAGTCTGAAAGACGGAAGCCTAAAATTGAAGACACCAACCAGCCATTCGTTGTCCAGATAAAACGGACCGACTCCGCCCACAGCGATGCCCGACATGCACTCCGTCGAATCTTCGTCTATGGGATAGAACGCGATGTCTCGAGGATCAATAGGGAACGACTGGCCACCTATCCTAAATGACAACGAGGTCGTCAAGTTGCATGGGACCGTCCAACCGCCTCCGTCATATCGGGCGCCAGGAATAGCTTGGTGGATGGCCTCGACGTCCTAACACCATCAATGTCATGAGTTTTGCCCTTCCATCTATGGCTTTAGCGATTGACGAACCGCTTCAGGAGCAATGATCAGCGTCGTTCCAGTATCGAGTACGATCGTCCTGTTGGACCAATGCATGTCCTTCTTGCCCACTTTGACGGCGTCGACAGCCACACCCCAGAACCCGAACTTGTTGACGTTCTTGCGCTTGACGAGGGTCTTCGACTTATATTTATGTGGGTCCATGCCGCCTAGCGTGAGCTCGCCGTCGTTCTTCCCATCTGCTAGGCGGGGGATTTTGTATGAAGCGATTGGGGCTGGTATGAGGTTTGCTTGGACGAGAGATTGCAATAGAGTTGGGGTTCGTTGGAGAGAGATGGTCTAAGGAACAACGGGCATGAGGCTCTTCTCAAACCTGTCCAAGGAAGAATGGAGACTTACGTGCTTTGCAAATCCCAAAATGCCATCGAAAGGTACGCTATCTCTGACATGAAGTTACCTTGACCGAAGGAAAAACAGCTGGAGAACATACAGAGTAAAATCACTGCTTTCATTGAGAGCGATACCAAACTTGTGACCCTTCAATTCCAGCCCAGCAATTGAGACTTCGTCCTGAACGAGAACGCCGGACACAAGGCCAGAGATGTAACCTATTGCCCACTCGTCATTGGAGGCGTTGAACGACCTGCTAGAGTTAGAACCCAAGAAAGTATGATCTCCCTAACGCCGAAGAACCTTTAATGGCTGCATGATAGACGCTTCATGGAATGAGACTCACGCAACTTCCTCCATCATTACTCTGGCAACCTTCTCCACCAACCCACATGTCCGCAGAACCAGAATCTACCAAGAGACGGAAGTCCACTGGAGGGGTGCCTATTTTCACGGTCCCCATATCTAGAGAAAGCACGCTCTTAGGTACACGCCCGCTTGAAGGTCGTTAACATCTTACATCCTATGTCAATCGATCTAGGATTTCACGTTAGCATATATCCAGTTTGGTATAGTTTGGACGTACTCGATGTCAAGGCCAATGCTATGCGACGTTACCGCAGGCGTCTGGGTTGCGTAAGGAACGGAAGGTGCCGGCGCTGAGGCGGTAGAGGCGGTCTGCGTCGCAGTGCAATTTGCGTGGCATAGCTCAGAGGCTTGGTCAAGTTCATAGGCAGGTTGAACCTCTTTCGCCAGCAGAGACAAGCGAGCTTGCATAGCGGATCGAAAGACGCGCTTTGATGGAGGCGCTACGCCAGTCATCATAGCAAGTCGTCTCACTCCACGGTTGATGTGTTGTTGTTGGACCTAAATTGAGTATTAGTCGAGGATGTCCTCGTATCAGGGAAGGGAAAAACGAACGATGGACCCATGTGAGGAGTGGTAACGACCACCTGGAGGGTCAGGACGGCTAATTGGTATGGTTAGGAACTGTGGAGGTATCAAAGTAGGTGGACGAGCCGAAGCGTCTCTGCTCAATGCTGCAACAAGAACAACAAGAAAAAAGGAAAAGGAACAGCTCGGAGATAACATCTAGTTCAACGAAACGAAAGCAAAGCTGAAGGAGAGTGGCAGTGAAAGAGTGTTTCGGAGAAGAGAATGGAAAATGGCACGAGGGAGTCGAATGAGAAAGCTAAAGAACAGAGTGGAATTGGCCAGTGGCGGGTCATGGTATTTATACGCATTGTCTGGACTCTCGAAGCTCCATGGCACTCTTTGGAAGACTCGAAACTTCACGTCTAATCCCGTCTAAGGCCACAAATATCTGTCGACGTACGAGAATGCTGTTGCGTAGCACTGGACAGATTCCGCAACCGCAGGACATGAGACAAGGTGCCAGAAGCGCAGGTTCAGGATGAAGCTCTTCAAACGTGAAGAAAAGGCAGAGAGTCGGCCAAAGATTCAGCTGAGAACTTCGGAATTTTGGATCGATGGTGAGCTCATGAGTCATATGAGGTGGAACAACGAGAAAACAGCCATTTCACAGGTATAAATCGATAGACATGGCAAATTCCTGCGCAGCCGCTTTTAAGGCTCGAGTCGTAGAGAAATGCATGCTGGGTTGAACCCTTGAAGTAAATAAGCCGCTCCGGTTCAGTTCGACCTCGATCAGCTTACGTCATTGTTCCTAAAATATTCCATGCCAGCAGCTGGGCACAGTTGTAACGATGAGGGAGAAAATTTCCTGGTTGTCAAGTACTGCTATGAAATGAATAATACAAATGCTTTCCCACAACTTGAACATTTTGTTCTTGTACCGGAGTGCACACTGCAGGAACACCACCTTCCTTTCGATTTCTTAAACGAGTTTAGCGAGAGTGATAGTATTCTTGTTGACATTAGTCGAAGACGTCGCCAACCTTGTCAAACCATCAGCATTTCACGCAAAGGATGACAAAATACAGAAACTTACAAGCCATTCGTCAGCACCGCCGACCTCTCCTGACGCAATACCAGAAACACAGTCGCCATTAGGATCAGCAGCGTTTACAGGAGTGAATGCAACGTCTACAGGGTTGATGGGGAAATTCTGACCACCAATCGTCAAAGCCACCACATCTTTCGTGTCGCAAGGAGCAGTGAAGCCGCCTTGCCCGTCAGATTTAGCACCTCGGATGCCAGCGTGTAGGGTCTGAGCGTCGGCGGAAGGGACAACGAAAAGAGTGGTTCCTGTTCGAGATGAATTAGCACGTATTTTTGGACGGCAAGTATAGAGATCTAAAAAAACATACCTGTGTCGAGGATGGCTGTTCGTCCACTCAATCTGGTGTCCTGACCGTTGATGGTGACTGCATCAAGGTTGACCTCCCAGAACCCATCAGGGTTCACATTCGGAACTGTTACTTGCACCTGTGGGTCGAATTTGGCAGGATCAAGGGCACTATCAACAAAAAAAATGGTCAACTTAGGCGGCTCTATAGGGTGAATGAAACAAAACAGAGCTCACCCAAAGGTGATTTCTCCGTCGTCATTATTGTCGGAAAGGCGAGAAATCTTGTAGGACGTGATCGCTTCGGGAATAAGACCTGCTTTAGCGAGTGATTCGACCGGCGTAGCTGTCTCCTGCTCAGAGAGGTCCTGCCGTGGTACTATTATTAGCCATCAACATTCTAAAAATAGTGAGAACAAGCGTACAGATTTAGCAAGACCCATCAAACCGTCGAAGGGAGTTTGGTTCGACGAGAAGTCCACACTCTCCTGAGTCGCAACTCCAAACGTGTGCCCGGGCAGAGTGAGGTTCGCGATGCTCATATTATCGGTGATGACATTGCCCGTAACCTGACCAGTCCCATAGGTAACTTGGAAGGTATCGCCAGTGTCGGCAAATGAGCTACTGGACTGGGGTCCGAGGAACTGGTGGTTTCCCTGAATAGAATCGCTTTGCTTCAGAATTACTCTTAGGGACCAGTGATGAAACACGTACGCATCCACCGCCAGCCTGAGACCGGCATTGCTCTCCGCCAACCCAAAGATCAGCTGAGCCAGAATCCATCAAGAGCAAGAGATTTCGAGGAGGGGTTCCCATCTGGACCGTCGCGAGGTAGTCCACATCTTGCGCCCTAAAAATGGGACGAGTCGGTAAGAAAATACCCTCCTTCCGACAGGCAAGCACGTACTCGATGTCAAGGCCCAGAGAGTCAGCAGCATCAGGAGGCCTCGCTTCAGTGACAGCATCAGGGGCAGGCTCAGGAGCAGCAGCCGCCTTCTTCCTTCCCTTCTTCAAGGAGAGCAAGGAGGCGCCAGGACCCTTGGCCTGTCGCTTCGGGACACCGAGTCGACTGTAGCGTTTCTCGATATGTTCGGTGTGTCTTCGACCGGGGACTCCAATGCGGTTGAAGCGCCTCTCCAGTCCAGTAGCCTCTTCGACGGCGGCAATTCTCCTCTCGAGCCTTTCTTGAAGTTCGGAGGTGGAAGGCTTGACGCGACGCGTCATTTGGGCCAGTCGACGAACGCTGCGATTGATGTGTTGTTGATGTATTGTTGAAGGCGCTGAAGAGGTGAAAATTAGGCAGGAACTCAAAAGAAACAAACGGCGCGTACAATCTGTGGGTGAAGTGTCTGAGATGGTTCAACGCGAGTCAAGGGAAGGGTAATCAATGCAGACAAAGACAACGAGAGCTGCATGATGGCCGTAAACCCAGGAAGGAACAACAGAAAAAAGCAGGAGAAAGCAAGCGCCAGCCTGTGGCAACCTTGAGGGAGGAAGGAAGGAGAAGGAGAACAGAGGATATGAAGCGACGTCAATCCTTATATAGTGGCACTATGGTTCGATGTTGGTTCGGAGCAGCCAGCACGTTGCCGTGGCACACCGGCGCGCACCGCATAAGGCGTCTATTTTTTGAGAACGGGGGTTAGCGATTGTTCTGCTCAGTTTTCGCCGTCCGACACGCGCAGAATTGTATTGACGATTGTTCCTATTGAAGCGCTGACGGTGATAATAATAGACACTGAGGTGGTCCAGGTCGACGAACGAGTGCCGTCGTGAGGTGAAAGCCTAAAAATAGACCCAAACGGTTTTAAATAGATCAGGAGCACACCCTTATAGTTGAGGCGAAGAGCTGCGCAACGAGACTTGGGGAAGGAATGCAGGGTAACCAATCTCTCCAGTTTCATCAGGTTCCAGAGCGAGATGCAAGTGCACCAGTGCAGCACTCAGATATCCACATCCAAGGACCTGGCGAAACAAGGACGATGGATGAGATCGGAACGTAATGTAGGGGTATAAAAAAGCGCAATGGAATTGTACATTACACTTGTATTACGGAGGAATAAATTACAGCCTTGACTTCGCGCCAGCATCATCAATAGCGGCGTTGACTAATCTGATGTCCTTCTGGATAGTCTTGATGGTGTCGAAGTAAATATTCGACTAGGATCGGCTCAATAGCTTGAAATGAATTGGGCGACGCACACATACCTTGATCAAACCCCAAACTCCCATTGACGCGTTGGCACCGACTTTTTCGGCCACCCCTTCGGCCTTGGCCAAAACGTCAGCGGTGTTGCCTTTAACAATGTAGTCCAAAATTCCATCTTGAAGTGCCTCTTGAGGTGTGAATCTGTGCCCTTCGATGGCGATCTTACGATGCAGCCTATGGTCGCCAATCTTGCCCGTTAGAAGAGCCGTGAAGGACAAAGGCCACGGGGCACCGAAATGAACCTGACAATGGTATAATTTGATACTTCCTAGAACTGGTAAAATAGATCGCATACCTCGTTCATGCAAAGCCAGGCATTGCGAGAAGTGCCATCAGTCATAACACGGTAATCGCAAACTAGGGATAGCATCATTCCACCAGCATAGCAATGGCCGTTAATAGCAGCAATAGTTGGGACTGAGAGAGGTGCATTAGTCATACGCATCGACACAGGAGGTCCATTACAACGTACTAGGGAAGGAGAGCAGCCGGACCATCATCGGGTTGAATGTCTCTAGAACGCAGGTCAAAGGATGAAGACTTAAATAGCATCGCATAAACCTACGTTGGAAGAAGTTGGGATCCTTCACCGAATTGGCAAAGTCGAGTCCTAAGGGGGCTTAGTAAACGACACGGAAGCGTAAGACAAAAGAGGTAAACCAACCATTGCTGAAGAACTTGTCTTGATCCCTCCTCCCAACAATAATGAGCGCACCTTTCGACCCCTCCTTGTCTCCGTTCTTCTGCGCCGTCCGCACCTGGATGCGCCATTGCCGTTCCACCGCGTCGAGAGCTGGCATTAACGCCCTGTTGATCAACTCCTGGGTTAGACGGTTGTCCTGTCCATGATGGAGTTCGATAATCCAGAGGTGGGCTTTGGCTATTTAGACGCGTCCGTTAGTTTGAGCGCTCTGGTGGATTAGACGCGATACACGAACGTTGGGTAAGGGTCAACAAGGGGTTGCCAGCAGGGAGAGAGAGGGTGTCAATCATTGCTAGCAGTAGGATTCGTTGGGGTAGAAGGCTTGAGAAAGTCGTCGAACCCTGATATAGGGGAGCCGGGGTAGAACCTGGGGAGCATCAGTGATACTTTAGTGCACCGGCAATGGTACGAGGAAAGCGGAGCATGTGATTCGACAAACGAGTGCTTCGGGCCCGCAGGACTTCGCCGAACGCTGACCTTGTCACGAGTAGTTCGTCAGGGATAATGGAAAGAGAGAAATAACCGTTGGTCTTTGGTGAGGATTAGAATCACTTTGGCCTAATTTTGGTTCTCAAGCGGTCACCCTAACAATGTCATAGTTGGCCACCCCGGTCAACAGCCATCAACAACACTTTCCTCAACGCGACCATGGAGTCTAAAACAGCTGAAATTAAAGGTACGCTCTTCGTCTTATGTCTTATTCAATATCGCTCATTCCCTTCAGCTAAGTTGCAGGAACGTGAAAACCACATCCGGGAGTCATGGGTCCGAGCAATGGAGGCTCGCCTTGTACGGGAAGAGCTTGCCAAGTGTCACCAGGCAGAAGGAGTAAATCACTATGAGAACTGTAAATGGCTATCGGAAAAGTATCTCGGCATGTTGAGGGAGAACAGGGTGTGTGGTTAACTTATTCGTCGTCTCTGCTCGGACTTATCGTGCTTGTAGGTGAAGGGTTTTAAGACGATAGATACATAACCCGAAGTCGCCCGTAATATGACCCACGCCTGCACCCCGTATCAATCGTGTGACTACCTGAACCTCCTACGCATACTTGGAGCTCTTTATTTGACTGTTCATCAAGATCCCTCTCACCATGGGTATTTACCCCTTCGACCCAGGAGGGGCAAGAAGGCGCATTGGAGGGCGAACACCATTTGAGATCTTTTGGAGTAAAAGATTGGAATGGGTTTGTTCTCATTACTCTGGGTCTGTTATGGCCATCATCCAACACAGTTCCTATCACCTATTCATGATGGATACAGTCACGACAAGTGCAAGAAGTGAAAACCAGAGAGATCCTTCAATCCCAAGAGCGGGCCTTCGTCAAATTTTGGCATAAATGAGCCGAGACCTTCTTCATCTAGGAAGGGAGACGTACGAAGAAGTATTCTGAGAACCGCTTGGAGGAGGGCTTGTCGTGGTAGCTGTTGAGGGTGGGCTGCCCGCCAAAGAACTAGAACCGGATGCTTGAAGGCTTCCCACTTGTGCACTGGAGTTATATGCTCTCGTAGTATTTCCTTGCAGGACCCACGAAATTCCTCCAATCACATGGGAGATAAACAGCTCGTCCTTGCAGGAGGTAGGTCAGGTTTCAAAATTCCATCGTCGAGGCGACGCTTACCCTCCATGTTTCGTTCAGATGGCCAAGGCTGGTGTAGAAACTACGACCTGCCACGTTACCAGCCTGGACACCTGCACCTCTCTCTGCGAACCATGCTGGTTTTTTTATAGGATTGGAGAATGCTAATTTCCCGAAGGCAATGAGACTTACCTAGCGGGTGCGGTGTTCCCTGGTCGAACCTTCGTACTCCATTATCTGTTTCCGGTAAGAACATTTTCTCGATGGCTTTCACAAAGAACACTTACCAACAACAGTCGACTCGTCTGCGGCTAAGACGACTGTGGCACCAAGACTTCGAGGATCAATTTCGAAGTTGTACCTGAAAAGAAGTATCCAGGCTGCAATAGCGCCCCCTTTGCCAAAAAGATTCCTTACACTTCGTCGGGGATAACCCAGTTTGTCGGAAGTATGCTTGTACTTGGATGATTTCCATCTATCACATTGACTGTCTACAAGTTTATTATCTTCAGCATCTCCCGTGCCTGCTCAAGAGACAGTCGTGCCGGACTCACGAAATTTTGCAGGTCCGCATGATAGTCGAAACGTGAACCTGTGGACGCAACTGTCAGATTCTTGTATTGCACTCCCCTCTGGCACAGATTTGTGGGCGTACCGAGTTGGTTTATATATGCGGTGCTGTTTCGCAGTGTATCAGAAGCCGAATGTATCCCTACGAAATTGCCACCCAGATTGAAGTATCGTTGAAGTGCAACATCTGTCGGGAGAACTTTCTCAAATGTTCAGCACCCTTCTCGCATTTCGGAGTTTCTGTTACTCACCTTCTCCTGTCGTGCTGAGAAATATCAAAGCATCGTAGTTCGCAAGGTTACTGTCCGTGAACTGCGACGGATCCTCTGTGTTCTCAAACTCCACATCAATAGACGCCTGCTTCGCCTTCAACGCTTCCAAAGCAGTCGGGATAGAGTCGTGCCTGAATTGTTGAGTAGCAGTATAGACGAGAATGCGAGCCGTAGCCGCATGCGTAGTTCTAGCGTAGAACAGTGCAAAAGAGCACAACTGCAAGACGAAGAGATACGCGAGCTCCATTCAAGACAGGACCAGAAGGGTTGCCAAAGTACGGGGCGTTCTCAGACGGGGACTATATGATGGCCAGGTGAGAAAGTCAACATGTTATTGCTTTTGAAGGCAATATGGCTGACATTGGCTGACGGGAGATCAGCCTATGTTCTTGGAAAGCCATGTTGGGAAAGTGATGACATCATGGTCGTTGGCGTGTTCTTTCGAACTCTTTTCTCTCTCAAATGCCATGGTATGATACATATTGAGGGGTGTAGTACTATTATAAGGGATATGCAAGGTAAGGTGCGTGCGATGATACTAGGTATGTCTACGGTGTCAGGAGTAGTGGTAGGGTGTAGTGAGAGCGACAAAGATGCTGCATCGAAGATAAAACCAAGGAGGCACAGCAAAAAAAGAATATGTAGAGAGGCCAAATTACTGCGGCCGGCACTCTGGTTCAGAGCCGAGCTCATCATCGTCGTCTTCGTCTTCCCAGCCGTCTTCATCGTCCTCGCCAAACTGCGATGCAAATTCTTGGTCAAAGAAGTTGGAGCCAGCCGGAAAAGACCGAGCACGCACATCGACAATGTCGCTCTCTTCGTACTCTGCTACGTCCACAACCTCGGGTTGCGGGTCGACGTCCACACGCTTGGGAGGAAGAACCGCCGCTAGTGCCTGTAGAGGACTAGGCTGAGTCCCGCTAATGCTTCCATGAGAGAAAATCTTACCTTGAGATCTATCGACTTCATCCACTCCTCTGTTGGCATCTCTATGTCAAAGATGACATAAAGGTCTCCCTTTTCATCTGCCCTTTTATGAATCGGCATGCCTTCGCCTCGTAAGACGATGCTATCTTGCGGTTTTATGATCTTTCCAGGCGGACTCGAAAGCTTAACTCCTCGACCATCGAGGTGTGTCAGGATGATGCGCGAGAATCCTAGCAAAGCCTCGGACAGAGTAATCGTAACGTGAGTCAGCAGGTCATTTCCAGACCGTTCGAATGAATCATGTACGGCGGCTTTTAGGATGAAGACCACATCGCCTGCAGGGATACCAGGCTGGAGGGAATGTTCACAACGGGTTCCGACGAATAGAAGCAAGACACACCTGCTGATCTCCAGCACCAGCAAGTACGATCCGTTGACGATCTGACATGCCCTTCTCGATGAAAATTTCCTGTCGGGTCTTTTCCTTGACAAGCTTTTCGCCTTTGCACTTCTTGCACCTACAAAACAGGAGTTTAGGTTGAAAACTTTGGTCGGAGTGGACAACTAACCTTTCTTTCTCCTTGAGCTTCTCGCCGGCACCTTTGCAATCCGTACATTGGGCCCTTGAAGCACCGTACGCCCCGTTTGGCAGCTAAAAATAGAGAAAGCGATAAACCATCTGAAGAGGAAAATGGATAGAATACCTACACGCAGCTTTGTAGGAGTCCAGCCCTTTCCATCGCACGTCGAACAAGGTTTAGGCTTCGCGTTGCCTCTTGCTCCACTCCTACGCGGTCGATTGTTAGGGGGAACAGGAAGACAGTTGTGGAACACTCACCCTTTGCATTGTGAGCAGAGAACTTCCTTTTCCATGTTCATTTTTACGGACTTTCCGTTGTAGAGGTCTTCTAGAGTCACGTCATATGGTATGATGGAGTCCTCGCCCTTCCCGCGTCTCCGTCCGCCATGCACATCCGGTCCGAAGTCGAATCCGAACGTAGGGCCGCCACCACCACCGCCGAAGAACTGGGCGAAGAATTCATCCATGCCGGGACCCCCACCACCACCTCCGGGGAGTCCATCTATCCCATGAGCGTCGTATGTTGCCCGCTTTTGTGGGTCGTTGAGAATTTCATAACTGGGTGCCCCCTAGTGAGGAAAGAAACGTGGTGACCGGTATGAAGAACGAACGCTGCTGCCATCTCTTGGAACTTCCTTCCTGCTTCAGGATCGTTTATGTTTTTATCCTAATAGAGTCCTCATGAGATCCAGAGTTGCACGATGGCAGTCGGCCTACAGGATGGTGTTCTTTTGCCTTTAGAATAGTAAGTTCGGGGAAGGTGCAATCCAGACCGAGAACGTGGACATACCTTCCTCCGGTATGCTTTCTTAATTTCATCTACATTGCAGATTTACTAAGTTCGGCGAATAGAGGAAACTCTCCGGTATTCCATACCGTCTGTTGCGGTGACCGACACACCCAACAGTTCGTAAAGTTCGGTCTCAACAGGCACTGCACACAATTTATATTCAGTATCAAATTCGCAGATGAAGAGATGAAACACACTTTCTGGTTACTCAGGGAGAAAAGGATAATAAGGCGAATGGTGACCGGCGACGGGACAAGGAGAAAAAGAGGAGGGTAGACGCCCGGACTGAGCGCGTCGATCCCAGAAGGCGGCTGTCACGCTGTGCTATGTTTCCAATCTCGGCTTAAATTTTGGGCGGAGTTTTGTTCACTCAATTTTCTCGGCTGGTGCACCTCAGTCTTTTGCCATCTCTCGCCTCCTAGCGCTTTCCCCCTCGTCGTCTTCGTTGGTGGTACCCTTCGTGAGTTTTATGTCCCTTCATACCCCTAGAATGATGCATCTATATTCTTATCTACATTGCCTGACCGGTTCGCCGGGTTTGAAGAGCAATTCTACCTGATATCATGTTCTCAATTTGCGGTGTTCAACGCGCTAATCGACTTCTGTAGTCATGTCGTAGTGCCGCTTTCTTCAACCTCCGCTACGGTTATCTCGTTCTCGGAAATATACCGCCTAGGGTGCCTGCAGCCTCGTTCAACAATTGTCTAAAATTCAGAGCCGCCAACTGTACCTAGATTGCACAATGAACTTCTACTTCGAGGCCGCTAAAACACTGGACCGTGTCGAGGCAAAACATGGATCTATCAAGGGCATCATTGCGACTCTTCCAGAGAAAGACAGGAAGAGAACTGCTGCTCTTGTCATTGAGACCTTGAAATGTGAGAGCTTTTGCTTCTGTTACGCGAGGTTACTGCAACGTCGTTATCATCGTGCAGTCAAATCTGTTCTGAAAGAAGTAATCGACAAGTCAGAATTGATGAAGGAAGAGCGCAAGTTGACTTCCATGAATCTCGTCTTGGTTCTTGTTCACGATCTACTTCTCGCGAGAGGCATACAAGCTGGCGATGGACCAGTTAAGCAAGCCATCCTCCGACACAAAACCCGCTTGCATGGAGAGTTTCAGAAAATTAAGATCAAGCGTGGTGTGGTTTCGAATGAGCAGCTTGCTCACAACGGAGATGAACGAGCAGGTAATTATGCCCTCATTGAACACACATCCCAACCCGCCCAACATCACAAGTTCAGGGCTCATACCGCGGTATATCCGCGTAAACACGAACGTCGGAACATTGGAAGAAGTAATCAAGTCCTTGACGTCCGGAGGGTTCGTTCTCTGCGACCCTTTCTCCTTGAAGTAAGCTGTGATTCGATGTTTTCTTCATGCTATTCATATCCGTCAGCAGGAATGGTTTCTCGAAAGACCCCCATGTGCCGGATCTGCTCTCGTTTGCTCCGAGCACATCGTTCCATGACAATCAACTCTATGCTGATGGTAAAATCATCCTTCAAGACAAAGCTTCTTGCTTCCCAGCATTCGTACTTTCACCTCCCGCGACGGACGACAGTGTCGTGATCGATGCTACTGCTGCACCTGGAAATAAGACCTCACATCTCAGTGCTCTTATGCAGAACAAAGGAAAGGTGAAGCTTTACAACCATCTTAACACCGAAAGATCTGGGACCTGAATGTAGCCTCAGCTATTTGCATTCGAACGAGATCGCAAACGCTTCTCGACCCTCAAAATGATGCTCTCAAAGGCCGGTTGCAGGAACGTTTCGCCGATAAATGCCGACTTCTTGACGGTGGATCCCCATGATGCTCAATTCAGTTCGGCGACCCACATGTGGGTGATACCTCCGTTATCACCAACATTAACTACAACTTTCATAGCTTGTTAGATCCCTCCTGTAGTGGTTCAGGAATTGTGAACCGTCTAGACCATCTCGTTGAAACAGGTGAGTAGGTCTTCTCTTCATTGGCTACATTGGTATCAACCACGCAGGACCCACAGAAGCAGAAGACGACACAGCCAAAGATGATCGTCTGGACAAGCTGGGGGCTTTCCAGTTATCGATGATTACGCACGCCATGAGGTGTGAGTGCGATTTTTTTTTCCAAGTCCGCGAGCTTGCAGACGACATCCCCGTCGCTCATTTAAACTTATGGGGTTGCTTTTTGTGCTTTAGTTCCTAACGTCAAGAAAATCGTGTATTCTACATGCAGCATCCACGCGACGGAGAACGAACATGTTGTCCACAATGCGCTCAGCTCTGAGGAAGCGAAGGATGGGTCATTCATCCTTGCGCCCCAGCATGAGGTCTTGCCTACATGGCCGCGACGGGGGTATCCTGACGAGATCGATCCAGGTATGTTCGCCCGTCATATTATCACTTTGGACACCGATGAGTTAGACTTACTTGACTTTTAGAGTATGCCTCTTGTCTGGTACGATGCTCACCTGGTGAGGACGCCACGAACGGGTTTTTCGTCTCGTGCTTTGTGAAGAATATGGAAACCCCCACGAAGAAAAGGAAGGTCGGCCCAGTCCATGAGCCTGAGCATACTGGGTCCAAATCACGCAAAAAGAAAAAGAAACGCCTCAAAACGGACGCCTCTAATTGAACGCGGAAACACTATATTCTATGTGCATTACATAAGAATAGACGTTGTGAAAAAAACCAACAGCCGTCGATATTGCAGGAACTCTGGTAGTGAGATTCAGTAAATACTTACCCACTTTATGAGACAACCCGCAACATCCATACAACACCCTAAAGGAGAGATGCATTTGTTGCTGCTGTGAATCGAACAAGTAAACTGGAAGAAAGGTTAAAGGTTACACCGCCAATCGTTGAGCCTGCGCTAGCTAATAAACTGTTTAAGGATTTTAATGCCACGAAAGAAAAGTTAGAGGCGATATTCGAGTTATCGGAACGCTGCGTCAATAATTAGCTGAGCTGCTGGGCGTATTGGCCTTGGTAGTACGCAGCATAGTTGTAGTCTTGAGGTTGCTGATAGCCGCCGGCAGCGTAGCCTCCCCACTGCCCTTCACTTCCATATCCGCCATACCCGCCTGGAGGACGATAACCTTGCTGCTGATTGTTAGAGGGTTGCTGCCAGGATTCAGGACGGCGCCACGGAGGGATGTTGGAACCACCAGCGGTGATGTCATGACCCATGCTGGGCGCATCCCAAGGAGTCTTGCCAGGATCACCTGCTCCTCCGCCTTCTCCCAATTCTGCCATTAAGCTAGCGTACTCGGAGTCGAAGCCTGACCTGGTAAGTGAGACTGAGGTACCATTCGTTGAGGCCTGTGCGTTAGGGTCTTTATTGACGGTACAGTCACGAGCCATATGACCAGCGCTACCGCAGACACGACAGATAATGTTAGCTGTGAAGTTTCGCTGTTCGGGGCAGTCATATTTTCGGTGGCCAACACCTCCGCAATTTTGACAGATCTGGTTTTCATCGTCTCTGAGAGTACCGTTCAAGGCCGCCAACTCTCGTAATTGGTTTCGCTTGTGGTCGTTTTGTCCTTCAGGAGTAGAGGCAGCCTAGGCATCAATAATGAGTAAACATGATTAATGCGAGTAACGTTGGACGAGACGTACCGTTTCAATGACTTTGTTGATCATCTTAACACATGCTATCACCTTGTCTTCGGAGTCAGCGATGACAAGACAGTGGAGGTCCTCCTCAGCGTCATCGGCGTACTGATCGGGGCGCGCTTTTCCTTCCTTTACACTGCCCTTTCCACGAATGCTGATTTTCGCTCCACTCTCGCGCTCCATCTTCTTCAAACTGTTGCCACGAGGACCTACAAGTAAACCGAAGAAGTTGATTTCCGGGAATTCCTTGACAGGGATATAGACCTTGTCGGAGGGACGCTGAGAGCGCTTTTGCTGATGATACTCCACAGGAGGTCGGAAATTGGGGTCGTTCTTCATGGCGCGATCCACTAGCTTGATACGTTCATCCTCGAGCTTCTTACGATAACGGACTTCGCGGGTGTTGGTACGACGACCTTGGCCGTCATAGGTAGGTGGAGGAGAAGGAGACCTAAGAAGTTTGAATATATGCGCTAGAACGTTAGGAAACTATGACGTACCTCTCACGTTCAGGTGGAACGAAATCGTTCAACCTAAGTTTACGGTTAATTTCTTCTAATCGCAGGTGAATAGCATAGTTGTCAAGTTGAGCCTGGGATACACCAGCAGCGGAGATGGCAGTCGGAAGTCCAGGGATTTCAGTCTTGGCTTCTCCCCAGCGGCTGCGCCGTTTGCGAGGAGCGTTGGGGTCAACTAGGGAAACGGAAGACAAGGTTAGGCGGGTTAGTAAGTGGGTCAGTGTTAGTGGAGACATAGATCAGCGTCATCCACACAATCGAGGAAGAACTTCGATAGGCCCTCATTCGTCGAAAATGATGCTGCATGACGCAGCGCAGTCAAGGAAGTTAGGCTAGGCCGTCTTTTATCTGCTTACCTTTCGGATCTCCAGTAGCTAGTGAGTCGTCCCTGCCTCGCTTTCCAGGGCTGTCGTCCTGCACTTGGGCGCGAGGATATGCAGAAGGAGAAGGCTGAGCGAGTTGTGGGGCTGGCGCATCTTCAACCGGTGCTGGGCCAAAACGGCGGCGCTGTCCGAGGGGTACTGCAGAAGGATGAGAAGTGGAAAAATGTATATCGAAAGAGGCAAACTGACCGTCATTCGTGCCTGTGATTTGGCGGGTTGCTGGCTTCCACATAGTTGCGGGTTATTCAAGAAATGTAAAGGCAGACGTAGATGGAATGCGGTCGAGGTCAAAGTCAGCTGCAAACCTGTTGTGTCCGTCGCTGTCAGCAGCAGTCAACGGAGCTCATCTTCAAACTCCGATGATTACATAAGATTAGGTAACGGTAGTTGTGGATCTTTGTGGGTGACAGCACGTTACCGAAACGGCGGCAACTCTGTCGACCTTCGATGTCGGTTACGGAAATGCGAAATTTTTGGAATATTTATACACCACTGGTGGGGGAGTACATCAGTCAGAGGCGGAGTCGAAAACCTTTCATCCGGTAAGCTCAAAGGTGTCGCTGTCTCCGATTTTCCTCGCAGAAGGGGATGCAGCTAGGAGGGCTTATCTTCGTGTCATCCCGGTAAGCTCCGCGAAATTTATGATAGCTATGGAGGCCTCGTCACCACCCTAGTGCGAAATGAAAATTTGCTCTTTCCCAGAACCTGGAATAACGACATAAAGTCCGAATCTTGCAAACCCGTAAGCTGTTGCGGTAAAAATAACGATAGAAGTTGGCGTGTGCGGCGAACTTCCACTCTTTGGAAGCCGACGGAAGTCGCGTAATCTTATAGGATGTTGTGCTCTCGGATTCGACCGCAAAACTTCTTCATTCCCTTTCGGCACTACCCTCATGACGTCATGATCTACAGATTAGATACCTTGCTTGGCGAGCCCACAGTCGCCCATGTAGATCAACAAACGATGCTGCATCGCGTATATGAACAGGAAAGTGGTTCTGGGACAATACGTTGGTGATTGCAGTTTGGATGTTTTCGCTTTTCGTGATTTTCTTGAAATGCCGGGCAAGTCTCCAATCGGGAATCTGGCCTCCACAGGGAGGACGAAGTCGAGGTAGTCTCAGGAGACCAACTTGAGCGTTTCATGGGAGTATTCTGCGGAGAATGAGAGCTTACCATGCTGCAATGCTGATGGCTGGTCCGAATTTTTGGTCGAAAAAATATTATCTAGACAACCTTGGTGTATCATCAGACCATCCCTTTTGTCAGGGGTCTGCATAGATTACTATCGTTCGGAGAAACTGTTAATAATAGACGTCCGGAGCAAAGCAGTCGCAGTACGCGATAAGTATATGCAGTGTGCTGGAGTTACTTTCCTCTTTTAAAGAGGGATACCTGATACTGAAAGAACAAACCAAGCGCTGTGGGTCCACTGTGCTGAAGGCCGAGATGTGATCCATTCTGGATGGTCCAATAAAGGTGGTTTCACGCCAACAAGCAGGTTCTGCATTTCTGGCACGCGCAAGTACCACAAGGGTGCCAGGGCCGGTGAGGTTCTTCCGGCCGGCCGTCCCTTCCTGGCAATGATCTTTGGAGGAAAAGTCCAGATTTCTCGATAAGCAACTCCTGACCCATCTGCGGATGTGTGTCTCGAGGCGAGGTTCCCCACCAACACGCGTTATACACGACTCGGAAGCCTGAAGGAACTGAATAGAGTGCTGTGTAAGGTGTGTTCCCGTCGGAGGGGCCATCAATGTTTTCGGGGACGTTACCCGTGACAGAGGCCGGCAAAAGTTTGAGCACATGTTTGCCTGGCGGATAATCTGAACCGATCCGAGATCCTGCTTCCCAGACGCCAAATTCCAGTCAGCGCACGCATGATGGCCTCCTCGAAGATAGACGAGGGCGTGCCGCATCACAGTGCCCAAACAGTGCCTGGTAATGGGGCGTCTAATGACCGGTGGATCTGGATGCAAAAGACCCCAGCTCGCGCCAGACCTAAGCAACTCTGACTGCAGCGGCGGGGATCTGTGAAACTTTGAAGATCACATCTCCTCGCAAGGGCCTCGAAGGTTAACTCGAACGCACACAGCACCGGGCACAAGTTTCTTGAGGGACCTGGCCAGGCTGACCTTTGGGGTCCCGATTGAATGTCCATATTTGGGCTGCGGCCCAAATTAATATTGGCCCGATCGGCGATGCGCCTGGTCGGACGTTCCTTTATATGTTTGTGGGTGAACACCCGAGAAACGTCTTTCTCTCCACGCCTCGGTCCCTCTATCCTCCATGTCCTCCAAAAGGGGTCGCAAGCGAAACGACAGCCTCCCGCCTAACCGCGCGCGCGATGTCCAGCGAGCCTTCCGTGCACGCCGTGCTGCCCATCTTTTGGTGCGAATTTCCATTTCCCGTCATATGTGAAATTTCATTGACTTGGGCTTCTATATCTGCGACTCAAGGCTTTGGAACAGAGAGTTTCCGAGCTCGAGGAAGAGAATGGTTGTCTTCGTCAGGCCCTCAACTTACCTCCAGCAGCCCGGCCTCCTCTAGGGAGGGGTCCAACCGGAAAAGACAAGCCAAAAAATTTCGAGCTCCCCGACGCTCAACCGTTATTTTTCCCCTCCAGCCGCGAGTCATCGACGGAAGATTCGCCGCCTTCGCGCTCAGACTCTCAGTCACCTTCGGATACGATTACAGTGTCAATGTCTTCGCGCCCGATGACCGTGCTAGAACCCAATTCCTGGAACGAATCCCTGCTGCTAAACACTCATCAATCGCACCAGGAGTCGTCCGACGTCGCTGGCGCTTCAGAGCCACAGTACGACATCGCCCCCATGTCCGCCCCTTTACCCATCAAGCCTCTACAATACGCGTCCTATAATCACACGTTTCCACCAACATCGCGATCATTATCGACGGTTCTCTATTCCGAAAGCACGAGCAACTATTCACATTCCTCCGACCGTCCTATGGCGAGTAGCTACGCTGGGCCAAGTTTTTCTTTGCGAAGCGAGATCCGTGAGGAACCCCCACGTCAGCAATATACCTACGCGCCATCCTTCCAATCCTCGGATCCGACCATCGCCAGCGAGAGCCCTTCCCCTGTCGTCCATCCGCCTTCGGCACCGACCCACCACAATTCCCAGCGCGAATCCCCTTTGCCTTATCCACACAGGCGATCGCTCACTGACCCTCAGGGGTTTTCCATAGGCCAAGTTTTCCCTCACCTCCCGAACCCGACGCAATTCCAACATAACCCTCGTCCACCCGACTATTCTCGCCCTCAAGACAACATGCATCTAATGGCCGCTTCGCGTTCCGGGGCTTTCGGGCATGATGGGCGTCTCAACACGCTTCCTTGATAATGGATAATCTAATCGTAAGCTAACTTGAATTCTCAATCCACATCTGGACTCCACGATGCGCCTCAACCTAATCCACAATATTGTATCGCTATCATCACGACTGGTCCTCTCGTCAGCTATATACCTAGATATGTACTAGCAACGGCGCCTCTACCTTACGCACTTAACTTACCTTGGCCCTTCCTTCGCAATACTGCAGGCGGTTGGGTTTCTTATTTACTTAGTTGCGTTCATGTTTTCCGCCTCCACAGAAACAGGGATTTCTTGGTGTGGCTGTTTGTGGCGCTGCAAGGCACCCTCCATCATTAAAGCCAGCATTTCGAGAGTACAGCATCTTGCCCACAGCTTCCGACAGTGCCTTAAAGGTAAATAGAGATCCGCGTGTGAGCGGGGCCGTTCTCTAAGACGGCCGCCTCAAAAAAGTAGACGTCGTTGGCGGCAGCCGACAATCACCAAGGATGTCAGTGATGTCGATGGATTTCCGAGATCGACAGCTAGCTTTCAGCTTCGACATCCTGCGATACGAGTGCATGACATTAATTAATCTATATCAGAGAAGTAAAGGATGATCTTCTTTCTCCACAGCGGAGGTTGCAAGATGCTCAGTCGCAATCTAGCTTACACCAGTCTACCTTGCTCTCGGGCCCATAGTGGTGTTCAAGCCACTCGTTCGCCACTCTGAAATGACCGTTCTCAAAAAATCCCTTGTGTGCAGAGAAAGGAGAGGGGTGCTATTTATATGGTCAGTTGTCTACCCCGGACGGAAATGTCAAGAACGTACAGCGCTGGTCAGAATAAGGTGCTTCTTCTACTCGGAAAGTTAGATGGGTGTTAAGCAACGACCGGAGAGCGGGAGCCAGCTGACCTTATCCAGCTTGGCGATTCTCTTTGCCGCATATGCGCCCCATGCGAGGAAGACGACACCTCGGCCGAATCCACTTTCTCCTCCTCCCGCGCTAGGCAGGTTTGCTCCACCGTACTTGTCCACCATGTCAAGGACGCAGTCGGTAAATTTCTCCCATCCCTTATCAGCATGAGAGTTAGCGTCGCCATCACGCACGGTCAGGCAGGAGTTTAACATGAGGACGCCATTGTTCGCCCATGCCGATAGGTTACTATTCGGGATGACGCATCATTAGCGCCGAGGAGCGGACCAGGTACTGATAGGGAACGCTCACCCGTGACTAGGAACGACGAAGTCCGGATATTCATTTTTTATTTCGGCATAAATCTAGGGGTAGGCCGAACAAGGCGGAGTTGAGCGTAAGAAGCAACGTGCGCTTAGCGGCGGGCGGGCGGCTTACACTTCTCAGTGACGGTGGGATCGGGATGCCGTGAGGGACAGAAAAACATAGTCCTATGTCGCGTTTTAAGATAAGCCCTCCCCTGGAAGAATACTGCCCTTACCATGAGCTTGACCTCGGCCGTGATATGGATCTAAGCGAATAGTTTTAGCGTTATGGAAGCACCAAGTCAGGAGGATTGTGCACACCTTGACCAATAAGAACGACTTTAACCTTGCCTAACGGAGTGAAATTCGACCAAGAATATATATTCTTCACTGTTATGGGTGGTTTAGAAGAGAAGCTGGAGCGCGGAATAGTACATAGCGCACCTGGGGGGTAGACCTTCACCGTCGGCCGGGTGTCTTCTAGGTCACGTACACCTTCCTTCCACAAGAATTCCTTCAGAGAGAGAAAGTATGGCTTCCTGATTTCATCCTTCAGGACCTTAAGCCTATGAATGCACCACATGCTTGTTGTTAGCATCACTGTGAAACCATCCAGCATTGTCGCCACATACCAGCTTTTCCCCATTACCTCGCATTCCAGCTTCAATAACCTCTTCTCACTGTCAGATAAAGACACTTGGTATGCGCTCAACGAAAAAGGAATTGCATTCAGCTTCATTCCCCCTTTTAGTGGCGATGTTGATCCATTGCTGGATTTGCCAACGATGGAGGATGAGCTCCCTGAAGACTTCAGAGTCGATGTGGAAGACGACCGAGAGACCGTCCTCTGTGAGCCGGAGAAAAAAGTCATTTCTCCCAACGTGCGCTGGCGTTTGGGTGGAGCTGGCTTCGCGTCGTTTTGCCCGGATGCTTCCTCCGTTCTCTGGCGCTTCGTGCCAGTCTGGGAGATGTCCAAGTCGTCCAAGTAGACCGTAGTGTCTTCTGCTGCCATTTACACGTCGAAATACACGTCCGTGTCGAGCTCAACGCGAGAGAGAGAACGCGTTACTCTTTGCGTGACAACCATTTAGTATTGGGCGGGCGAACCTGTCTCGACCAAACCGACCCTGAGCGCGACCCGTGGAACGCGCACGTGATACCCCGATCTTGTCATTTCCGTGTAGTCAAAACATAAAATGCCAGACACATCTGGCCACAATCCCAGTTGACTCTGGCTGGCTACTCAGAACGCCCCCCTTCCATATCCACGCTCGACGAAACACCTTTCACCGTTATTCAAACTGCCTCGCTCACGCTCGTCGCCTTCACCGCCATCGTCCAAACAGGTAGCTGGACGTCATGACGCAAGAAAGAACACGTTGACCTCTCAGAAGTTTCGGAGAAGGCAAGGGTCCGGGTTAGCAGATGCTAATGCGAGAGCTGCTGTCCAAGGTTGGAGTACTAGCTATCATGCCGGATCTTCGAGGTGTGTTTCAGTGCAGTTCAATCGGGTTTTCTCTCACTAGTCCTTCGGCGATAGCTCTGAGTCCCGAGAGAGCTCGGATAGCGAGACGGACGATGATTGTAAACCGCTACGAGGACGAGCGGACTCGCTGAAGAGTTTGCGTAACGGAAACGGCGGGGCGAGGCAATATGCATCGGCTCAGCGGAAACATAGCCCAACCGGTAACTCCTCGGGCGATTCTACGGCGACTGCAAGTGGTGCCAACAAGCGGACCACCTTCACGCGTTCGCGTTCTCCCGCGGTGAGACGTGCCCCCCCTGGTGTCAAATCTGTTCACAGACACATGTCCCCCATCGTCGTTCGCAACCCTCGACAAGGTGTACAACAACCCTGGAATCTTCTGCCCGCCGCATCCAGCTTCCGACTGCGAGTTCCGCTGTCCTCGACTACGTGGAATTTCTCGATAGATACACGAAAGCTCGGCGAATCTATGTTGCTCCTAATATCGCTGCTGTGCGCTGCCCACTACATTTCGACATGTCCCACGCCAAAAATACCGTCTGTCCCCATACCTAATACTCATACGTGGCTGGCCATAGGTAGTTATCCGCGGTTCACATTCGTGTCTCGACAAGGAAGACTGACTCAGACCTACAGAGCTTCAAGTATTGTCATCAGCATCGTTTGTCTACCTTATTTGGACCCACAGCACCCTCTCGAATAATGAAGTTGCGCCGCCACCCCATAGAGAATCTGTATCATCAACTGTTACGGCGGCCTACTTGAATAATACTCGCCCTGCATCACCCCGACTTTCTGAAAACCCACGACGCCAACCGCCCCCTCCATGGGATACCAGCGACTTTGGTTTTGTGTGGATGTCTGTCCCGAAAAATTATAGGTCAGTCATCAACTATTATCAGAGAACGTGGGGCTAACCTACCATTACAGAGAATCACGCGACGACGGCATACTTACAGGCCTGTTACTTGGACCACTCATCGCGTCAGCATTGGTTATTACCACACTGAAAAAAAGATTCTCGGAAAGTCTTCCAGCCGGCTGGCTCATCGAGGCACCTGCTATGTTACACTACTCTTTGGCTAAAGTACGGCCATCACAAGCTGTCCTGCTTTCGCGTTATAGCCTAGTGGATCTAAGCACGATGTGTTCGACGATATTGCTCCTCCACGTCTGTGCATCCTGGCATCTGGAACGCCAACTGGCAAGAGGTTGTACTAATAAAGGCAAACCCGATGGCGAACGCGCATCAGTTCCGCGAAAAGAAGGTCGAAGGTCCTGGTATTATGTCATTTTCACTCTGTCAACGAGTGTTGTGATCATCTCTCTCAAATTTATTATGCGGGCCTATGATCTTAATTTATGGAAATGTACGTACTTATGTGTTTCTTCGACGTCCCTCAATGTGAGCTGATGACTGTTGGAAGATTTAAACGTGTTCGAAGTCGTCGTTGTGTCGTTTTTTTACCAATTTACGCTCTATGTGGCGCTTCGCTTGGCACATCGTGGATTTACCCTTGGCGAACTTGGATTGGTATCCTTTGGAGGTACAGCCATTTGTCTGGAGTTTTTGAACATTACCATCGCAAGAGTAAGCATCTCATGCAATTCTATCTTTGTCTTGAGTATTGAATACCCTCCGGAAATAGATTTGGCCTATTACGACCCCATACATTCGAACCTATCGACTACCCACACCTCTCCTAACCTTCCAGATAGCTCTTATTGTGGGATCTCTCCTTACTGGATTCCTGCTTTCTCCCTTCCTTGTCCTGTCTCGAAACAATGCACAGCGCCCCGTTCATCGACTTCGTTTCCCGCAAGAGAAAGAGAGGAACCGACGGTATTATGCATTAGGTTTCTATGTCGGGACCGTCCTCATCGTGGGCGGTGCTATCGGTTTCTGGACGCGTTGGTGTCTAGGAAATCGAGACCCGTGGCTTTGGGTCGTTTTCCGTATTCTCGAAGGCAGGAAAAAATGGACGCGTCCTGCTCTGCTTGCTTACTGGGCGCTTTTGGGGATCATCAGTGTCGCTGGGTGGAATCGTCAGCTGGCACGATCACGTCGTTTCCGACCCAGGAATCCGGTAGCGCTCGTCACCGATAGCTCCGTCGTGAACTCCACTTCAGCGGATGCCGGACCTGCACCTTCGCCCTTGGAGAATTCAGGGAATGGCTCTCCATCCTCGACCCCTCCGCCTTCGACAGGCCCATTGGGCATGACGTTCCCAACATCGTTCCCAAATATGCCGAATCTGCCAAACCTGCCAAACCTACCCAATGGCGCGAACATGTCAAACGTCGCGACCGATCTGTTGGATGCCGCAGACAAACATGTGCCTACCCTTGGCTTGAATGCCCGGCGCAAGTTCTTCCATGGACTTGCAGTTGTCATGTTTGTCCCTGGAGTTGCGATCGATGTGGGTGGTTCCATTCGTTGTTTTAGTCGCCTTTTCTGGATGGCTAACGTATTCTTTGGTATGAAAGCCTGCCTTCACACACTTGTCTTTCAGTGCTGCATTCGCATTGTTCACATTCGCTGAATACGTCCGATACTTCGCGATCTATCCTTTCGGAGCTGCTGTTCATCTATTCATGAATGAGTTCCTTGACCATAAAGACAGTGGGACGGCGATCTTGAGCCATTTTTATTTGTTGACGGGATGTGCTGGATCGCTCTGGCTGGAAGGGTACGTTCATATCCTACGATCCTTGTTCTCCCAACTTAAAACTCTGTTTTTGTGTGTCAGACCGAGTATGCTGTTACAGTTTACAGGTATACTAACCCTCGGACTAGGAGACGCTGCGGTGAGTCTTAAAAGTACGAGTTTGAGGGACCTGGTATCTGACATTTGCCCAGGCCTCCATTGTAGGTAGACGGTTAGGCATACACCGATGGTCGCCTACTTCATCGAAAACGGTGGAAGGAAGCCTCGCCTTTGTTGTATCTGTTTTCACGGCAGCCCTACTTCTCCGTCTTCTGGGCATTGTGGAAGCATTTTCGGTGAGACCGTTCTCTTCTACCGTCGACAACTGCTAACAGGAACTTGGCTCCAGAATGTGCGGTATCTGTTTGTCGCCGCAATTTCCGCCGTTCTCGAGGCCCTGTCGGACCAGAACGACAACCTCACACTACCCTTGTACATGTGGAGTATGTTAGTGGTCGCCGGGCTCTAGGCAGGCATGCAGGCTGGACGGAACTGAAGTAAATAGGATATAAATCTACTGGAAGAATAGAAAAGTGATCTAGGAAGGAGGGTTGGCGTCCCCGTCAAGAAAATCCGTCTTTGACCATGCAAGGGAGGATCATCGCCTGCTGGGTGGTGCAGCATTAACCTCTGTGGGAGAACCTGGACGGCGGCTCGGACATAACAGAGGTCTACTTATGACGTCATATTCTCAGGCTCAGGTTCGGAGGGAGCCGAGGGAGGATGAGTGGCAGAGATGGTTGAACAGGTGTGGAGCAGCCCAGCTGCCCCGTTCGCCCTCTTCTCTCTCCTCGTCTATGTCGCGATACACCGTCTGCTCGTGATCTCTCCCCATGCACCCACCAGATGCATCTGTCCACCCGGCTCAGCTAGACCGCCAACATGCCCAATCTATACCCTCACAGCCCATCCCAGAACGGCCCCGCGCTACCGGGTTTATGGTACAGAAGCGCTCGACATCCCTCAAGCTCAATAGACCCTCCACAGCACCCACAGGAGATGGCCAGGTTATACTTCCGTCAATATCATCGGGCCAAGCCAATACTCCAAGCGAATTCTCCCTCGAACCATCATCATCCGCCGATGGAGCCTTTCCAAATCTCTCCGAGCCCAAATCCACACGTCGGGATGCAGTCTACGCCATGCATACACTGTTGGAGGACGATGCGGATTTTCTTTCTGGGTCGCTAGGTGTGTTGTTCCTTGCCTGGCCTTTTGCCCACAATCTAAGCACGTTGATATACAGAGCCTCGTGCAAACGCGTCCTTACGGGGCGCTGATTTGCCGACGACGATCCCGAGTGATAATCTATCAAGTTCAGCAAATCCGGACTACGATTGGGCTACGTTTATCACCGCGTACGCTGCAGGACGATGGGATCCACATAGAACTCCCAATCCTCCACGCTCATGTCAGCGTATATCAGAGGCATTCCGTCGTTTCCCTCTCGCAGATCCAGCCAAATCTCTTGATAAGGAGACTCCTAAACTACTCTCCTCGACATCTTTGACAGACCTCCCGAAAGCCGCCTCAGAGAATATCGCACCACTGGGCTCTTCTAACAAAATTGGTGAACAGCCCTCCCTTCTTCCTTCAGTGTCGGACTTCAATGCTTCCCCAACGGTTCATCGCAGACCTCGCCCCCCTTTCCCTCTCCAACTAGTTCTTCCTGCCCATCGCATGCGTAATTCGATATCGACTTCATTGCCCAATCCTTCGGCAAATCAACCTCCTTCGTCTTCTATATCCAATGCCGATGTCCACGCAACTGTAGCTACAATGCGTTGGGCGGCTGCCCGAGTCGATATCTCCCCTTTAGCGCTCCCTTCCCCCGAACATGAGCTTACAGACCCGATGCGTGGCGTTACCGCAACGATTCCAGGGTCACACTCCAAGGACTCAAGTTTAAATAACGATTATGCGATTACACCTGGCGGAACACGTCGATCAAGGCTATCAGATTTTTGGGAGGGCACTACGGATATTGAAAACGGAACTACAGGCCTGTCGCAATTGACCACCGTGCAAGCTAGCCCAGCCGATCCCGTCGCAGATCCAAAAGCCGTCGAAGTGCTTCATCCGAATGGCGAAACGTCGACCATCCTCGCGCAAGACCCGGTGTCGTCGTCTGCCCCAATGAACGCGTCACTGTCTCTATTAGTGGCTCCTCCGGCAACTGCACCAGTCCTTCAAGAAGCCCGGAGCACCCCGATGGTGACCACAGATTATTTTGGGGACGTACGACCGGCGATCCAAGTTGCAGTCAATCCGCCGGACCCACCTCCGATCTCAGCGCCTCTTTCAGCACCTTCAACTCAAGTGCTCATGCGCACCGATAATGCAATTCCAGAGAGCGGTGCATCGACCGTGCCGGCGGCCCTGCCACGCCGCGTGTGCTTGACGCGTCAGACATCCTCGCCGTTGCCTGTATCCTCCCCACCAGAGTCCCGGTACGCAGGCGGACGATTGCACTCCGAGAGCCTCGCGTCCGTCAAGATGGGGCGTGCGGCAAAGGAGGAGCAAATGTTCTCGGATCTGGGATACCTGGCGCCACCCAACCCACCGGACGAGCTCGAGCGGCGACGTGCGTTGTACAAGTGAGCAAACTAGGTCCTGTGTCGTCATCCAAGGGTCCCAGCTGATCGCATTCCGGTCTGGCGCTGTCGATAATAGGTTCAACATCTGGAACACTGGCCCTGACATAAATTTCGACCGCATCGCACATTTGGCGAAACTCGTGTTTCACACGAAGGGCGTAATGATTTCGTTGATTGACTGTAATGAGCAGTAAGACCTTTTTCTTCTTTTCTTACCTTTTTCAATACTGAAACGTCATGACGTTATCTCCAGATGGTTCAAGTCAGAATGTGAGCAAAATTGACCTGTCCCACGATCCTGAAAGATTGACCTTTCTGAGCAGGGGGCCTGAAGGCGCCAAGCTGTGCCAGGGCTCACTCATTCTGCGGACACACGGTACTCCAGCGGTACGCATGACCCTCGGCTTATCCACCAATAATTGGTCTCATTTATGATCGCAGTGGTGACGAACCCATGGTTGTGTTGGACGCTCAAAATGACTGGAGATTTGCCAAAAATGTGCGTCACCTGAGCAAACGTCTCCTTCCCCGCAGTGTCTAAAAATAGACACCTATTAGCCTCTGACTACTGGACCGCCATTCATACGCTTTTATGCGGGTGCGCCGCTACGGACTCAGGAAGGCTTCAACATTGGAACGCAAGTTGATTTTTTAAAATTATTACACCGCCCTAAATTTCGTCTGTTGGTAGACTTGCTGTCATTGATGACCTACCTCGAGAAGAATTTGCACCGAGGCAGCGGCATACGCTCAAAGAATTTGCCGTTCGTACTTTACACCGACGACGAACAGAAAAGGCTGACGGCAATTACAGGCGATTGCGATGCGCGAAATGGAGCTTTGGCGTGACAAGGTAGGCCAGAGTATTTGACAAGTCTTCCATTTTCATTTACCACCCGTTCTTAGATCCAGCTGCGAATACGAGACCGAATCCAGACCTCGGTAGGTACATCGAGCCCACGCATCGTCTACCATCTAATCACCCTTGTAGATGGAGCAATTCAGTCGTGAATGCCTCGAAATCGACTCAGAAGTCCATGACCACGAACGGCCTGACCTCAATCTCGGCTCATCAATGGACAAGGTGTATGACCGCGCCGCCAAGCTCGTCAAGCGGACGTTGGACGTCGAGGGTGTCATCGTTATGGATGTATCACACTGCGAAGTCTTGGAATCCATGAGCGCTGAAGGCAGTGTTTCCGTCACCATGCATCACGGAGAACCTGGCGAAGAAATGACAAAACGCCAACTAACCACAGAAGAATACCATAAGCTAAACTCGTTCTTTGCAAAGCACCCCGATGGGAGGATATCGGAAGGCATTATTCCACCTAGCTTCAAGCCTTTCTTGCCGACCCATGTCCAGTATGCCCTCAGTAAGTTGTTGTTTAAGCGTCTGCATGGGTTTACTGAGCGTCTGGGGACTAGCTGTACCAATCTATAACATAGATAAACGGCCGTTTGCTCTCATCTGTGCTTATAACGCCAATGATCATGCGAAACGTTTCGTGCGTGTTCCGCTATCGTTTGATTCTTAGAAGCGCCTTGCGCTGACTGTATTGTAGTTGGAAGGACACGAATTATCATATCTACGTGCTATAGGTATATTCCGTCTGCGCTCTGAAAATTTGCCGTGTCTGATTTCGACTCTAGGAGTTATCATTTTATCTGCTGTCTTGAAACGGAGGATGATTCTTGCTGATAAAGCTAAAGGGCTCTTTATATCCAAGTAGGCTGTGGAAGTCTACGCATCCGAACACAGGGTCTAACGACATCTTCCTCAGCATCTCACATGAGCTACGCACACCGTTGCATGGGGTTCGTGGACCACCATTGATCCGAGTCTGTTCTGAAATAGCCACACAGATACTGGCTGCCGCTGAGCTCCTCAGTGAGAGTTCGCTGAACCATTCGCAGGCCTCCTTCCTGCAGACTGTACAAGCATGCGGAACCTCCCTCGTGGAGACGGTCAACCACGTTCTCGATTTCACCAAACTGAGTGGCAATACCAAGGGTGGCGGTGTAGAGAACGTCATTGTTCCAACAACGTATGTTCTTGATCGCGTTGTACTCGAAGACGAAATTCTAACGGTCGTGCTTCTGGCGCAGGGTCGATTTAATGCAACTTGTTGAGGAGGCCGTTGATGGATGCTGGATAGGACATCGTGCACGCACCGCCATTATGGGTGATTCCGGTATTGGGAGTGTATATTCACCACCCAAGGAAGACCAAGGATCTCCTGCCGCTACGCGTCGAAAACACGTCGAGACCGTCGTTGATATCGGGTATCGTGCTGAGGCAGGTTTCAGTCTGTCAATCCCTTGCGTCGCAGGAAAATAACCACTATTTAGGGCTGGTCGGTCAAATGCGAGAAGGGCGGCATAAGACGCGTCTTGATGAACCTTTTTGGGAACAGTTTAAAGTTCACGTCGGTATGTGGGCAACACCTTCCTTAAGGAAATTTCGGGCTGACCCTGGGGATCAGGACGGTTACATACATGTCCTTTTACGACAATTGCCTTGTTCGGAAGATTTCTCACCGAGTAAGGTTAAGGTCGAGCTGGCGGTGTCCGATACCGGCAAGGTAACTATTATCCCTCGTGGCGTTTTCCTTCAAATGGTTACTCAGATCTTTACAGGGAATGAGTCAGAACTTCCTCAAGGTATAAACATGGATATTCATTTGTGCATCTTGCTGAAGCGATCATGTTAGAATCAACTCTTCCACCCCTTTTCACAAGAAAATCCACTCCAAACTGGCACTGGGTTAGGTCTCGCCATTGTCAGCAGCATCGTCACTTCCGAGAATGTGGGCGGAAAGGTTGACGTTTGGAGTGAAGAAAGTGTCGGAACCGAGATCAAGGTTGTCTTTCCTGCCGAGGTTGCCGATACCACTCACAAGGCCCCAGCTCTGGAAATGGAATCGTTCAAGGACGAGATGTCCGATAACCTACCGACCGTATCTCTGTTCGGCTTCTCTAGTCCCCACAAAGGCGTTCAGCTGCTCAACCGTTCAGTTCGGACATACCTCACGAAGTGGTGGGGATTCGAAGTGGTGGAAGATGGTGATATCATCATCGTCAACGACGATCCAGCTCCAGTGGTTGCTGCCACAGAACGTCGTGACACCAGCCATCCTTTCATCATCCTTTCCTCCGCCCGAGGGAGTCCTGTGATTATGTCCATTGCCAGCGAGCATGAGCGTATCGGTGGATTCTGTCGGATTTTGTACAAACCAGGCGGACCTTCTCGACTTCGTGTGATCCTAAAGCTTAGTCTCCACGCTCTTGTGATTGGGAAATCCCGGGAAATGTCGCCACTGCGTTTAAACAAAGATGCGGCAACCGGGTCCGAAAAGGATCGATCTGTATCTGGCTCGGGCATTCCGAGACGGAACTCTGAAGAGACTCATGCTCGGACGCGCAGTAACCTTAACAGACCTACGATGACACCTCGGTCGTCGACAGCCCACCCTGTTCCTGCTGTGTGGCGCCGTCCATCTCCTATCTCGGATATACCCGACTCGCCGGACCCCGATGCGCCTGTTCCAACAATCACCATCGGATCCAGCGGTACATTGCTGGAGGCATCTATAGGCAGTCTTGAACCCGATGATAATGAACACCGATTCCGAGTTTTAGTCGTTGAAGACAATACCATACTTCGAAACCTCTTGTAAGATTTATTTTTCCTGCCTTTTTCTCTCGATCTTACATCTATGTTCATTCCAGAATCAAATGGCTTTCAAACAAAGTGGGTAATTACACTGCTCGCTCCGATGGACCCTGATTAATCTCTCCCAGGGTTACGATTTCCGTGCAGCGGTAGATGGCCGCGATGGGGTCAATGTCTTCGAGAAAGAAGGACCATTCGAGTGCGTATTGGTCTGGGTGATAGTTGTCTGTCTATTGACAAGCTGCCGGAATAGTGTTGTGCTTTTGGACCTGTCAATGCCCATTCTGGATGGCAAGTCGTTTCAACAGCGTCATGAGACTCCTTAATTGATGTTAGATCCAGGTGTTGGTGCCACCTCAGAAATACGTCGAATCGAGGCAGAGACTAGCAAATCATCGGATGACAGCCACCGGTCGCGAATTCTGGCCCTCACAGGAATGTCGTCTCTAGAAGACAAGCGGCGAGCCTTCGAAGCAGGGGTGGACGGATAGTATGTCTTTTTCCATCCCTGTCCTCGGTTTTACTGACGATTATGTTTGCAAAGCCTGGTCAAACCCGTGGCGTTCAAGACACTAGACGAAATGTTCCACAAGTTGGGCGTTTCATGACATTCATGACAGCCATCCGGCGTCCTTTCTCTTCTGTCGATGGAACCTCCATCTTTCTGCATTTTGCAAATGCTGCACTTTGGTTTCGACGGCCGACTTTGTACTTCATGTCCTCGTAAGTGGAAAAGTAAAACGAAAGGCGCCAATTTTTTCAGCCGCCGTTACCTACATTTTCTTTCCACAACCCACTCCCCGCGTTTTACCATGCTGCTTTTTTTGAGACCCCAAATGTATAGTAGTTAACTTGGATGCCTTTATGTTGAGCGACTGTGTTTATGCGTATTTTGTTGTTGCCTGGAGTTATATGCCCCGGACTGGAAAAGAAATTGGCTTCCATTGGCCGTCGTTGGCCCCTAATGGCGTCTAATGGGACCCATTAGCAGCCGTTGACAATGCGGGCTACGAAATTAAATTCCAATCGTGGTTCTCAACTGCAAGGACACCGCCCTCTGACCCCCTAACGACCGTCCTCGATACTCTCACTTGTTCAAGAAACCGATGAACCACAAAGGCCACCCCCAACGGATGGGAATAATTGTGGACTTCGGGTACGTCTAGGTTGTGGGCGCCTGTTTCTAAACGAGTCATGATCAATCTCTTGACACCCTTCGTCACGGTGACGGGTGGTCTCGGTATTGGCATATTGAGGTGAGGAACTTAACTCCCTCGGTGCAAATGTCCGCCATTGGTGGTGTAGCTCCCCTGACTGCGGTCTGGGATAACATTTTTTGCCATATATATGATGACTTACTATCATATTGTGTGAGTACCTCTTCTCGTAGAATATTGGTTAGTGTGGGAGGCGCTGTGATAGAAATTAGCTACGCGGCACGCTCTTTTCGAGGCGCGAATACTTACTTACGTTGACTGACAGTTAATGGAATCCAACGACGGCCAGTGGATGTTATTAGCGGGGGTAATTTGAGATATTGGAGGACAATGGATGTTCAGAGGTGGCTATTGGGGGACATTAGAGGCTGTTGGCAGCAACTGGAGGACAATAGATATTTGTTTTATATACAACAGATGCCAGTGGATGCCAATGGACATTGGGCAGACCTCCAATCATCTCCAATAACTGTCAGCAGGGTGTGCTGACGGTTATTAGCATTGCCGGCTTGGGGCATATTAGGGCCTGTTCGGATCCCCGGCCTTCTCCAAGGCTGCCTGCCAAATTGAAGGCCTACGTACGGAAAGGCAACTTCGCACGCTTCACGGAGCCAAGACTCTTCCATCAAATTGTCACAAGGTTCGTTGCCATGGGACACGATGCCTGACACCATCCATCCGTTGCCCGCCCTTGCCTCCCGCCGCCCGCCCAACGTCCCGCCGAAATCTGGCGGCCCAAGTTGCGCAGGACAGGAGAGTGCATTTCGAAATTTAGTTATTATGAGAGTTAATATGGATATATTACAACATAAAAGCAAGAAGTGCGCCCAAATCACAATGTCTCAATCACTCTGCTCAACGTCAACGGCGACGACGAGGGAGGGCGATGTTGAGCAATGGATGACAAATCCAGAAATGATGACGTTACTGACGGTGACGGGTGACAACACAGCCACCCCAAGCCTGGTTTCGGAATCAAGCTGGGGATCCGAACAGGCCCTTACTGGTTGCTACCATTGTTTGGAGTGATAACGGCAGTGAAGCCAGTGAAGACTCCCACACGGACGGAAGTCCTGTCTACTGTATAGCAGAAACTTTGAAGGCAATCCTGAAATACTCTTCTCGCTAATCACACACTCCAAGGCGTAAGTATATACATTTGTGAGATAAGTGATAATATGCGTTCAGTAGAGGCCCATTCATTGGTCAAGGTGTATTGCCTGATGGGCTCAAGCGAGAGCCTTTTGGATGGTGTTGTAGTAATACAAACTTCATTTTTCCTCTTCACATCCTGCTATCCTCCAACGTGCAGTGCAAACCTCGTGAAAATAATAAAAGAGGGGCATCGCACAACCACGGGGGCATCAGATCACTCATAAGACATGCGTTCGTGTTGGCCACGAGCAGACGTAATCAGACGCGAGTGACGTCGAAATATGTATCCTCCTAATCCTCTCGTTCTCTGGACGGGCTGCTTTCGCGTCCATGAGCTTGGTCGCGGTGCTTCTTGAGCAGGCGATCAAGCGCCTCCTTCTGGCCCACAGCGAGCTCGCCAGACTGGATGCCTGAGTGGTAGACGCGAAGAAGAGAGTCGACGTCGTCCATGGATTGCGTCCGAACATCAGCCAGCTCCTTAATCTTCGCCGTTGCGTCCTTGATCTGAAGCACAAATTGAGAAATCAAGGGACGCATAGAAAAAATGGGATTGGGCGAACCTCCGCATCAGAAAGTTGGAGCCCAAGTTGCTCAACACGAGACTTGACAGCGTTCCATCCGGTCAGACGGTGACTAAGAAAAAGGAGAGGTACACGATAAGACGTCAAGCGATGTGTCAAGAGCGAAAATTAACGAACCCAATAGACACGTAACGCGTCAGGCCGAAATCCTCAGGTTTAAGGATTTCGTAGGTGCTGGGGTTGTTGAGGATAGCCTTGGCATGGATACCAGCCTTGTGTGTGAAGGCACAGTAGCCGCTGAAGATAAGGGAGTAAGAAGCAAGGTCAGCGGAATAATAATAAGTAGGAATATGCGTACGTGATTGGGTTCATGAAAGGGATGTTGACCTCGACGGCCTCGGCGACCAAGTTTTCGATTTCTCGGAGCATTGGAAGGTTGTACTTGGACTTGACATATTCTGGATTGGCGGCATAGAGGCAAGCGACGAGACCGCCCAATGGCGTGATTCCGACACGCTCCCCGATACCAAGGACGGCTAAAACCAATCCGCATTTGTAAGAATTGAAGGTTGTCTGGTACAGTCAAGTATACGCACATGTGTCGATATGGGTTGCACCAGCCTCTAAGGCGGTGTATGCATTGGCAATGGCTTGAAGGAAGAGTGTCAGATCGATCATCCATCAAGAAAATTTATATTGGTCTCACCCATTCCTGTGTCGTTGTGGAGATGGATTTCGATATCGCATCCGACAACGCCACGAAGCGTCCTGACGAGGTCGTACACCTGTCTGGGGTTTGCGCAGCCGACAGTGTCAGCGATACCGACACGGTTGACGCCAATCTTGTCGACGGTTTGGTAGATGGAAAGGAGATCGACTAGATCGGAGCGGAACGAGTCCTCTGAAGAGAACCGAACCTCGATGCCCTTGGACTTGACGTACTCGATAACCTCGATGGCGGTCTTGGTGATGTAGGCCATGTCCTTGCCATGGGAGAACTCGCGGAGGAACGAGGAGGTACCAATGACGACATCAACACCGTCCACACCTAGAAAATTTCGTGAGAGGCTTTTCTTGGCGAAAGGAAACTGGGCGGAGAACGGGCGTACCAGTCTCAACAGCAATACGAGCATCATCCATATGACACCGGATGTGAGTGAGGATCTTCGCCTTCAAACCGAGCTTGCAAATGGCCTCACAGTCAAGACGTGATTGCTCAGAGGCAGCCGGCGATGTGAGCTCGATGTACTCAACGCCGAAGGCATCGAGGGCCTTAGCAATGGCAATTTTGGTCTTAGTGTCAAAGAACGCATTGGCGAACTGTTCTCCCTCTGTCAATACGAATGAAGGCGGGTGTTGTCAGGGTCGATCAGAGATCGAGAAGATAGTGATGGCGACGAACCCCGCAGTGTGCTCTCGATAATGTTGAAATTGGAGATGTTGGAGAGGAAATCGGAAGCCCGGGGAGCGTATGGGTTGACCTTCTGTTGCTCGAGGTGGGCATTGGGAGCACGCGATGTCCCTCTCTTTCCGTTAGCGTTGACGCCATTGGGCTTGGAGTGGCCGTTTGTGAGGGAAACCTGGACCATTTCGCTCTTGTCAGCGGGCACGGACTCGACGTTTTGGTGAGGGCACATTTCGATGTCAGCCAGGGAGGGATGAAGAAAGAAAGGGCTGAGGAGATGGTTGTTGGAGAAAAGCTTCAAATTTTGTTGCTTGACTCTGAGTCACTTGGCCCCTGACCATAAATAGGTCGATGTTATAACGCATCTGCCGTCGGCCGATTTATCCGCCCAATCGCCGCTCACTTGTTTAAGTTCAATTCTATCACATGGAGGATTGATTGGTATATAAGGAGTACAAGGACAGAGTTGCAATAGCACTTGTGTTCCGAAGTAAACGTGTACTTCACTTCCAAGCAGGAAACCTCGAATGGAGACTCTCGACGGCACATACGGCTGCATTTTTCTGGAAGAAAATCGACGGCGATCCTGACAGGAAGACGGTGGAAGGAGAGATTTTGTAGCGGATGTCGCACTCTTGTTGATAACTTCGGAGATTGTAAGATTTATCCGACACCAGAGAAGAACCTCGGATCCACTGGTTGTCGTCAAAGAATTCCAAGAAGGCCACCAGGCTAAAGCAAGGAAGCAGTCCGGCGCTATACCACTCGCTTTTCGCAACGTGTTTCGGCATGCACACTTTGGCAGTTTAAGTCGCAATAGGCCATTGCACATTGTCGGCACTTATAGGCGCCCCAATAGCCACAGACGGTACAGATCAGTCGGGGAGGGTAGGGAGAGGGAGGTGCCTTGGCAGTCAGGTAGGACGGCACATCGGGAGGCATCATCTGAGAGGCAATCAATTGGGTTCAAGTTTGAAAAAATAAAACATACAGATTTCTCAAGGTGTACGGCCAATGTTTGGCGGTAAACCAAGACGTTCCTCACGTTCCGAGTTGATTTTCCCTTCTGTGCGGCAGGCGATTTTCCTGGCATCTTCACGGTTCGTTTATCTGAGATTAGCTCATTGCGAGCTCTAGCTCTGCCGCCCCCTTCTGCTTCATCCCCCGCAAACGTGGCCTCCGCATAGTTGGATCGCTACCCGCAGGAATTAGAACTTTCATGAAGATGAAGAACCATTGCGCGAACCTCGAGTTCGTCAAGATGATTCAGCGTCCTTTTCGTGATGAAGGCTGGGTCTGGACCGTCAACGGCAGCCTTCTGGCGAGCAACTGTGAGACGGTGAAATAAATGCAGAAATTTGAAAGGTATAGTACCTACGCTGTGTTCTCCCTTTCTTTGGAGGCATCACTGTTGCATGACGGAGAGACAAGTGATGGGTCAGCCGGATAAGGTGACCTCGATGGCTAGAGTACATACACAAGCAGCACGCCATCGCCAAATCGTATGACTCTGCGAGGTCATACGGATTCAAATGGTCAAAATCTCCGTTCATTTCTTTCAACAACACCGTCAACGAACAGAACACTCTTTGCACCACGCGTTCAGAGACCCGAACCATCAAATCTTGCAGAAAGCTCTCAGCGCGGAGCTCCTGAAACTCTATTGCATCCCCAATGGCGCCCTCCGTCGACCCCCACGCAACTGGAAAGCTTCCTGTCCATGACCTACCGACTCCCGAGCCAGAGTCGCCTTTGCGGCCTCGTAAACCGTACAGGTTTTCCACCTTATGTGCGACCGTCGAAAATCCAGATATGAAGGATCAGTACGGGAGCAGCTCCGTGCCGATCTACCAGACTGCAACTTTTAAAGGTGTAGGAGCTGAATACGATTATACAAGAAGCGGAAATCCCACCAGGACCCATCTCCGTGCGTTATGTCGCCCTTTCGAAAGCTAGCATAATTCATAACTGAATTAATAGAGCACCACATTGCCAAAATCTCATCTGCTGCTCATGCTTTCACTGTTTCATCGGGCATGGCTGCTCTGGACGTTATTCTACGTCTCTTAAAGCCTGGAGATGAGATCATTGCTGGAGACGATTTGTACGGTGGTACAAACCGACTATTGACGTATATCAAGACCCATGTTGGTGTTACGGTCCACCATGTCGACACCACCGATCCCACGTCGCTCTACCCTTTCATTCACCCCACCAGAACTGCCATGGTCCTCCTCGAATCTCCAACGAATCCCCTCCTCAAAATTGCCGACTTGGCAAAGATCAGCAGCGACGTGAAGGAAAGGGCATCCGATGCAATTATTGTTGTCGACAACACCATGATGAGCCCTTACCTTCAGCGACCTCTCGAACATGGAGCAGATATCGTTTACGATAGCGCCACAAAGTACCTTAGCGGCCATCACGACCTCATGGCAGGCGTTATGACGTGCAACAGAGACGACCTTGCCAAAAAGTTGGCATTTACTATCAACTCTGTCGGCAACGCACTCACTCCGATCGACTCATTCCTGCTGCTTCGAGGCATCAAGACGCTAGCCCTGCGCATGGACAGACAACAGGCGAATGCCCAGCAGGTTGCAGAATATCTGTACAGCCTTGGGTTCCGGGTACATTACCCCGGTCTCGCAGACCACCCCGGGCGAGACGTCCATCAGCGCATTGCCGATGGTAATGGTGCCGTTCTGAGCTTTGAGACGGGTAATAAAGAGCTGAGTGAAAAGATTGTGGGTGGGACGAATCTTTGGGGCATCTCCGTCAGTTTTGGCTGCGTGAACAGTCTCATTAGTATGCCCTGCGTCATGTCGTGAGTGGCGTCCATCCTTTGCTAGAGCCGGAGCTCGACTCACCTTGCACCGTACTAGGCACGCATCCATTGATCCTGCTACTAGAGCCGCTCGAGGACTGCCCGAGGACTTAATACGTCTCTGCGTTGGTATCGAAGACCCCCATGACCTGTTGGATGACCTCGAGAGGGCCCTTATCAGTGCAGGAGCCATTGCCTTCGACGCGTCGCAAAACAAATATGTCAGGGTTCCTGACGATGATGCCCTGAGTCTTGCCGTTCAGAAGCTCCAGTTAGATGGTGTTCTGCAGGATACAGAGTGGTTCGTCAGCGCCCCTGGCAAAATCATTCTGTTTGGAGAGCATGCCGTTGTACATGGTGTGGTGAGTCCTGTTTTCTCCAATCAGGCCCAGGGTCGATCTGGGCTTTCATCGACTCTGCGGGGTCGTCTCGGTGATGTTATCTCATTTACTACCGGGATCGACATGCCCGGTGTTCAATTCTAGCCTACGATCGTATATTGGGTCGGACGAACCTCGCACTGACGCCTATACCCTTCCTAGACTGCGATCGCCGCTTCAGTTGACCTCCGGTGTTATGGACTATCGACCCCTAGACATGACCGCAAGCTGTCAATTCATCTCCTCGACATCAACAACTTTTACCACGAATGGGACATCGAGTCTTTGCCCTGGAACGCTGTAACGCCTGTTCCACCCGGTGGAGAACACCCCGAGGAACTAGATCAGAGGCTGATAGAGGCGCTGAATGAGAGTCCACTGAAAGGAATCGGCGAGGACCAAAAGGCTGCCCGTGGGGCCTCTCTAGTGTTCCTGTATCTGTACATGATCTTGAACAGGAATGAAGTACGGTAAGCAACTATTTTGATTGTACCCAACCGCCGCGGCTCTCCTATAGCTCTCGCGTTCGTGAGGCTGACTGTTTCTTCATAGGCCCGCGTTCAACTTTACCGCTCGATCAACACTACCGGTTGGTGCAGGTTTAGGATCCTCTGCATCCTATTCTGTGTGTGCGGTGACGACATCATTACTCGTCCATCGGCGGATCATCCTCCCTTTACCCCCTGCCCCCTCGTCAAGTGATCATATCCATGTATTGCACCAAGGGCGACGCGCCATCTCCCCCACGACGGCAGAGGAGGTCAACAAGTGGGCGTTTGTGGCTGAGAAGATCCTGCACGGGAATCCCAGTGGGGTCGATAACAGCGTCGCAGTGTATGGCGGAGCGCTTGCCTACACCCGTCCTGGTTTCGGAAAGAAGAGTGGAATGGAAGGAATCCAGGGGTAAGCACCGGCTTTCGAGTTCCTGCTCTCACAGAATGCCGATTACACTGGGCCCTGACGCATTACTCGATCTCTCCTTCATCTTTACCCCAGATTCAAATCGCTCAAATTCCTGTTGACTAATTCAAAGGTGCCGCGGGACACGAAGAAATTAGTCGCTGGTGTTGGTGAGAAAAAGGCAAACGTGAGTGCCATTCAAGCAAAAAAGGTATCATATTCTTACTGAAGACTGTTACTCCAGGAACCTGAACTCGTTAATGGTATCCTGGACTCCATTCAGAGCATCAGTGATGAGGCGAGGAGGGCACTGGCGGATCCGGAGCTGCCTCGCGATTCATTGCTATCCGCTTTATCTGTGAGTACGCCGGTGGAGATAATCGTGTATCGATTAACGTATATTCGTCCAACCAGACCCTAATGGACGAAAACCATAAACACCTCGTCACACTTGGGGTATCCCATCCCTCATTGGAAACTATCAAAGCGAAGACCAAAGAGCCGCATAACCTCAGCACAAAACTTACGGGTGCTGGAGGAGGCGGTTGCTCCGTGACCCTCATTCCCGATGGCAAGTCCGTCCTGTGCTACGCGATGACCCACGAGGCTGAACGCGGAACATTGCTTATGTAGACTTCAAGGATGAGGAGCTGCAGGATCTCATAGATGACTTGATCCGCGAGGGCTTCCAGCCTTATCTTACATCTGTGGGTGGAAGTGGTCTTGGAATCTTGTCCCCATACCTTGGCCATCGGACTCGTGGATCTCGACTTCGTCATGCGCCTGAAGGCTTTGGGCAAGTGACCCCTCCGGATACACCAATCCCTAGAGAACCTTCGCCTATTCAGATCGTGGATGGGTCAGAGACTGCGGCAAACAATCTCGACCCATTACGTGCACCATTCGTGTCCAGCACTGTGGCGGAGCTCCCAGAGTGGGCTGCTGAACTTGGACGCTGGGCGTACGTATGAGGGCATTTCTTTCACACCATCCTTACCCCATCCCGCGACTCCTTCCTCCGCGCGTTTGTAGCAGCCCATGCGGCGCGAGTAACACCGGCCCATCCTGGATCTTAATCTACAAGGCACACTAGCGCGGAACAAACGAAAGGATGTTTTCTTTCTGTAAATGTATGTAGACTTGCTACTGTAGATATCTTCCCCTTGTATCTCGTAAACATTCTATGAGAGAGCGTAAGGCACCGCGAAGGCGGTATTAATCACCTTGACTATGGCAACGTCGTATTTCGTACGTTCTGCTGTATTTTACCGCCTCTGTTCTAGTCGAGGGACTATAGCCTCGGGTGTACGCACGGAAGGCAGTGGCGAGCTCGACGATTCTTAGCGGGCAGTAAGTGTCAACGTGGACTCGATGCGCCACTCTATTTCTGACAACATCCGCGCCGCACTGTGCCTCAATAGAAGCAACACAGAAGATGATTTTGTAGACTATAAGGCGGTCAAAAGACTAATAGCGCAGAGAACTTGTTGTTTCTATTCGCTTTCGGCGTCTTTGGCCAGTCCGCCAAGTGACCACCACGTTTAAATTTAGCCGCACAGTCTATTTTTGGATCCCCGATTCAGAATCGATCTCTTACCGGTTTTGGTAGAGATCTACAGCGGATTTTTGCTTCCTGATCATCCAGAAACGTGGTTGGCGATATCGTATGGAAGAAGGAATGAAAAATTGCTTTATTCTAATAAAAAATGTAGTATATACAGCTTAAGAAATATGATACGATAGCTATGCTAAGAATCTCCGATACAGGTTGGTAATCTAGGTAGATACAATCAAAGATGCGAATAGTTTGGCGGATGTTTGGATAGTACGGTGTTGAAAGAAATGCGGAAAAGTTTACTCTTCATCCGAGTCAGAAGAACTGCCGTCTTCTGGAAGTTCTCGTGGGCGAAGAATGACGATTCCTGTCTCTTTCACCTCGAGGTGACGAGAACCGAAGTAGCGGGAAGTCTCGAAACTCCACCTAGAGGAAAGAACGGTGGTTGAGAAAACAAGTCGTGCAAAGTATCTCGTAGGACTTACGCAAGGTTACCAACCATCCACGACCCTATCGATTCGAGGAAAAGGGCTGCATCAGGACCGAGGGATGGCGAGAGACGCTTTTTGGAGGTCAAATAAATTTGCACAAACTCTGCGCACTTCTCTCCAATGTAATCGGAGGTGTCTTGCAGCGAGGTGTGGTTTTCTTCCATGAGTACGGTGACGATGTTGTTGTTGCTCAGCCCCTTGGACTGCTCCATGTCGTAGGAGTAGACGTCCTGATTAAGAACATGAATGTCAAGTTTGGGCTTCGCGAGAAAAGCACGTACATTCGCCCAGCAGACGTGGTCACAAGCCGCCCAGTAGGCGTTCAAAAAGTTCTCATCCCGGTAAACCTCATCGTCGAGGTCGATGCCGAGAATGTACTCCACAAGAGAGAAGCAGAGCAAGACTGCGCTGTTTTGCCGCCGTAAGGGGATAAATTCTTTGACGCCGAGGACTTGACCGCTTTCGCGCAATTCGGCCTCTTTGCCGACGCATGCAGTGTAACTTTCGCAGAGGGCAACAAATCGGGCAACATTTTTGGGTCCGGCCAGGCGTAGGAAGCGCACACGGAAGCTAGTGCAATGTGAGAACGGTAATGACAGACGGTGCGAGGAGTAACATACTCTTTAGTGAGCTTCGCGAGTTTTGAGCCATCGTGCCAATCAGCGTATTTCATGGCGTTCACGAAAACTTGGCCCGTCGCCCGTGCGTCTTCACCGCTTTGTTCATCGCTGACCTCGTCAACAACAAACAGGAGATTCACCTGATATAAAAGTAAAGGTGAGTTGATGTATGAATAAATGAATCGCGGATATCACTTACGAAGTCGCAGGTAGTACGGAGCTGTTCATAACCCGCATAGCAGTAGACATGGGAGCAAAGGAGCTCGTTCTGTCCCTGAATAAAGAAAGCGCGCTTTCTGTCGGCGAACATATTGTAGCTGCCGATCCATGCTCGTGACTCTGCGGCCGCTTTCTTGTAGGCGGGATTGGTGCCGTCCTTCAACGGGCAGGTGGAGAGGAGGTCAGGCAGTTTGAACTGAGAGGGCAACGCAGACATTTCAAGGTTGTAGATTGCGAGGTCGCTGATGGTCGAGTTTTGTGGGGCTGGAGGACTCGAGATGAGTATGAGGATGATGGGTTATGTGCCTCGAATCCTGTGGCTTTATAGTATGCGGAGGTGGTCTGGTATCCGGGAGTAAGAATTCCATTTCGTTGTTTCGAGCGCGTCGGGACGACTGTGTGCGTCCGCCCGATTCCATCTAGAGACAATTTTGGTCTCGTCCGCACGATCTGGAGATTTATTCCAGTAAATGAGCGAAGAGTGACCAAAAGCGTTCATTTCCGCAGGAACGGCAGTTCATGTTAGGAACCTGTCACCGATCTCGTCGATTGGGCAACGAAGACGTATGAAGAGCATATTGGAAGGGGAAAGAAAGGCTCAAGGGCCCGGCCGGTACGTCTAGCCACACAACGTAAATAGCACGACGCATTTCGCTTTTGTTTCCTTTTGACGGTTATTTGCCCTGGCTTTGTAGTTTTCTATTTTGAGCATCTCGCCTGCCTAAACCGTCAGACTCTCTGTGATGGTGGCCAATTTGCCTCGGATGCTGATTCGAGTGTGTAGAAATATGACCAGCCTCAGGAGTGGTAGGAATTGGTGTTTTCCTCTGCGTGAAGGCTTTGTTTTTCTTTGCAGGCAATGCCTCGGTTGGTTTCCGTGACCTTCGGCGCGTTTGATTGCCCATCACAAAATCAATTATGATAAGGCTAGCAATGGGTTTGAGCGCAGCCTACCGGGCAATACAATGGAAAGCATAAAACGCATCAACTACAGGATCCTTCCCGCTCAATGTACTAGAGTATGATTACACGGTGAGAACGTTCTCGGTCCACTTCGAATCTTGAACCAGAACCACTCTTTCAGTGACAGATCTCTCTCTCGGAGCTACACAATCTACTCGTGGTTTTTCTAAATGATGTTGGGCTATACCTCGGACTGGAAGAGACTGGCGCCTTGCGACTGGTTCGGCAGTGCGATATTTCAACTCCCCATTGGTGCATACCGTGGAAGCCCGTTCAGGCTGGAGCCGCTCCTGCTGGCGGACATGTCCGGAAGGTATAGCTATTAGTGTGTTCTGTGATTGTAGGTCGGATAAATCAGAGGACATCTCTCAGTGCGCCCAGTGGGGAGCTGAGAGGACAATGCTGTCCGCGGTGTTCAGCATAAGCTTTGTTACTTTAAGTCAAAATAGGCGAACACTCAACACAACGCTATATCCACAATAGTTTATGGCGAGGGGTCGCCGCTCAACGCTAGCCTCATTGAAAAGCCCATACGTATGCCCACGTTGCTTTCCCCAGGAGGCAAGATCCTATCGAGTATGGATCGGAACTTTAGTTTGAATTGAGGGAAGTTTCCACGGTTCATGTGTCAATTGGAAACTTCAAGGGAAGATGGACCTTTCGGCTGCGACATTGTGTCACACCAGCATCGAGTCTCGAACAAGTTTTATAAACTGGAAAGCACCATCACCGACAACCAACAACCGACAACCGACAAGAGGAATGACGTCGACGAAGCGGGCACGCAATGACTCGAACTCGGGATCGGAGTGATATATCATCAAGTAACCGGCCGAGTGATGTCTGACATAGTAGACGCTTTCATTGGCGCCGAGAGACGAGGACATACAGTTTCGCCCCGCCGACTATTGCTAAAAATACTCTAGCATGTTCCCCACGGGCTAATCAGCAAAAAAAAATGAAACAGCGACTGCTGACGGAGGCAAAAGGGTTCGCCGCCACCGTCACTAGACGGAGAACTCGGCATCGGGATGAACGACGCTCACAGGAGATGGCATGGTAGTTGGACCACAACACACAGCAATCGGGAATGAAAAAAATTACGAGTGAGAGGCACATCCACAATGATTTGTCAAATACTTTACTCACATTACTGAGGCCGAATGTCGTGATAAAGATGTCTTACCCATGGACGTTTGGACGACACGGGATGGACGCGGTGCGGTAAATGGCGGAGGCATGGCGCACTGTCCGCGGCAAGATCGGATGTCGACAGCGCCTCCGACCGAGCGGCTGGAAGTGATGCTGAGAAATTTGCCCTCTTGGTAGTGAACGCGTCGAGCTTCTCGTCGTTGAGTGGGGACAATTCAATCACGGCAAAAAATATGCAAAATCGTACCAACCAAAATCCACGGCCAAAGTAGGAATACGAGCAGAATGCCGTACACTCGTCGATGTACATTCCAATGCGTGTTTACCGGCGGACAACGATACGACGCGATCGTGTGGACCATGCTTAATGTCCCAAACCTATGTGAGCATAGTTAACGTTCTACAAGCGAGACAGAAGCAACATGGCAGCCCGCGGGCCTGTCAAGCTAAAGGAAAAGGGCAGAGACCCTCGACCCCATGATGGAGTCCAGATGAACAAATTAGAGTGGATGTTACGTACCAATATCTGGATAAATACGTGATAGTTGAATGATTATCATCCGGTGGGATGACACCCGAGGGACTCATGGCAGGATTTCTTGCAGGAACAGGTACGCAGAAGGAGGATACGGAAAGGGGTGATTATCAGTTTGAAGCAGTTGAAGGACTTGACTGAGATGCACAGCGAGTGATGTAGAACCTGTCCGAATAATTGGCGAGTCAGACGGAGGTAAGAAGCAGTTAAAATGTGACGCCATGCCCACCAGGTAGATGGATTGGAAGACCGGAGGGTTTGAAGCATGCAGGCAGTCTAGATGAAGCAAAGCTTTCCCTGGCGCTAGGAATCCAAGATCTGTCTGGAGATTGGACCTAAAAGTTACGGTCCTCACGATGTCGCTTGAGGGGCACTGAAGATTCGCGTAATGTGTGTGCCGGTAATCGAAAGTGATCATGAAAGGGGTGGTGAAGATGACGAAAGGAATAGAATTAGGGACTTCATAAAGATACTCGCCTTCGCCGAACAAAGCTGGAAACCACGGACTTTTGACGAGGAGCACCGCGAATGTCGACCAGTCGAGAGGGGTCGACTTGTACCTTCGCGGTAAGTCTGACATCATTTCCACCGAGAAAACGGTGAACGGCGATAGATTTCGATAAATCATTCTAACCAAGCGCAATCAGGGCCAACACAAGCATCGTACTGATCACCTGTCCTGCAAAAGTACAATAGTTAGGGTTGGCCAATCCACCGCACCGGAGAGATGAACAAAAGGTAGGTGGTGTCCACGGACACCTCGGTAGGCCTGAGTGCTTGCTGAAAGTGTAGCTTTGAACCTAAAGCATGAGTAACAGCTCAGGGCAACGGTGCACAAGAAGAAATACAAATACGTGATGCATACAATTGGCAATGACTGGGACAATGTGGGCTAACGTGTAAGACAAGGAATGATGACGGGACGAGAGAAAATAACAAGGCAGAAAAAATGACATCCCGACCGTATATCCATTGGGCAGCGCGAAATGCGATACGGGCCTAGAAGCATATACGATAGCTTGCATATCGACCGCTCGTTTCACTGGGTCGTGTAATTTTGACCACTTGGCCTCGACGGAGCCCATAGTACCGTGCGACTGGATCTGCTAGCTGGATTCGAGGTAGTTGAGTTTCTTTCAGACGGCTGCAAAGTAAGAGCAAATGAATAAGCAATAGCTCGACGTCAAACGGGGGACACACTATTTTTCCAGCAATAGTCGCTTTTCCTCCGGGGTCAGAACCTCGTGACGAGGTACTAGGGTATGGTGCGTGATGTTAACCAATAGGTCGGCCTCCGAGAACTCCTCGAGGCGGTACTCAGCTGCCATTGCGACGATAACCTGAAAAGTGTCTCAGAAATGCAACTTCCAATCATCCCGGCCTAACACACCTTGCGCGCTGATGGTGTCATATTCCCCGGAAAGACGATGATGCCTCGTTGAATCTTTTTTTCCTCCAGGATGCTAAGCAGTCTGAGGTCGAGTCATGAGCGCCAGGCCGATGGGACACCTGGAAGCATGACGCACTTTCGCATCGTTTTTACACCAACACTACGTTCTTCTGAGAAGAATATGAAAATTTGATCTGTGGGGTTGGAGCGCGATGTTGTGTAGAAATTAAGCTGGTTTCGGCTGGGAGTGTCGATTAGTGGGTGGTAATTCGTATAAATCGAAGGGCATACTCGACCACACCGCCATTGTTCGCGTAAAGGTCGCGAAAGCGCTGCAGGTCCATGTTGATTTCTTCATCTGAAACGAGGAATCCCTGAGCGAAAAAGATGAGAATGTGTATTGCGGAGTATCTTGCGAGCTAGCTGACTCTGTCTTTGACGAGTTCGTGGATTGTACGATTGACCTTCCATAGTTTTGCGGTCTCGTCGACGTCGCCCATGAGGGAGAGATGACGGTGGTAGACTAAGTAATTTGCAACTCCGATCACTGCTCGAGTCCTCGTTTGGTCCCTTGCACTTATGGCTCCTGCAACCACCACGAATAACGGGAATCCTCCAGCACTCCCTACCCTTTCACTTACACCACTGGTCATAGTATGTTGTACTTTTTCTCACAGATGCTCTGTCTTAAGCTCACAATACAGTCAAAACTCAAGCCCGCCAAAATATTCAAGAACGTGTTAGAACCACCGCCAGCGCCTACACCGACCACGCAACAACGGCCACCCAATGGCATCCAACAACGAAGCATTACAGGCATTACCTTTGACGACAGAGGGGATCAGGTAGTTACAGCAGGCGAGGACGAGACGTTCCGGTTGTACAACTGCAAAACTGGGAAGTGAGTCTGAACGTTTCTAAGATTTGGTGGTTGCTGACCGCGTCCACCAGGTCAATAAAGACCTTCTACTCCAAGAAGTATGGCGTTGATCTGCCGCGATTTACTCACAAAAATTCAGCGATTATCCATGCGTCTACTAAGGAGGATGACACCTTGCGCTACCATTCACTACACGACAACAAATATCTCCAATACTTTCGCGGTCACAAAGAGAAAGTCATCTCCCTGGAGGTCTCACCTATCGACGACGGCTTCATGTCCGGGTCAATGGACAAGACAGTCCGATTATGGGACCTGCGGTCTCCATCTTGTCGCGGCCTACTGACGCTCCCGTCGTATCCAATTGTTGCCTATGATGCCACAGGAATGGTCTTTGCAGTCGCTGTCAATCACTACTCTCGCATTCTGCTATACGATCAAGCAAATTTTGACAAAGCTCCCTTTATCACTATAACCCTCGATGACCCAACCTTGGCTCGCATCAGCTTCCCGCCCCGACCAATTTTCATGACCTCTTTAACCTTTTCAGCAAACGGTAAATATCTCCTCGTGGGATGCTCCGGTGCTGCCCATTACGTTTTGGACGCGTTCGACGGCACCATGATCGCTAAACTCGAAGGACATGTCGGTCTCGAGCGGAAATCCCTGAACGTGCAACAATCAATCGAACCGACGAAAGGAATTAGCGGAGAAGAGGTCAGCTGGACACCTGACAGCAAATACGTTATTAGTGGAAGTCTGGATGGAAGAGTCTTCATCTGGGATATTCAGAATATTCCGCCTCAGCGCCCCGACTCGGAGCGGCAGTCATCTCCAATGAGGTTACAACCTCTCACAGTGTTGGACGGGCATCCTGGTCCTTCAAGATGCGTAAAATTTAACTCGCGATTTGCAATGATGTGCACGGCGGGCCACGAGTTGGTGCGCTCTTGTTTTTTCTCCCTCTTCTTTCCGTGTACTGAGAAGCTTTCACAGGCCTTCTGGCTTCCGGATTCTTCTGGTGATGCCGATGAAATTGTTAAGGACTTGTTGAAAAAGCGAGGAGCAGCATGAAATATTTTTGTCCCGCCTACCGTTGCACACGGTCCTGCCATCCTTCCGTCTGCTTGAGCTGCATTGTGAATCCGTAGTCATCGCCATCGGTGGCCAAGAGGTGATGTCGTTGGCGGATCTGGCTACACTTTGCTTACATTGCAGCTCTTCCTGTATAGTAGTCACAGTCTCACAGTTGTACGTACCACCATAACATGCACCTACTGCAGGCAGATCTCGGTCTTGGAATCTGCCGAGGTTGTGGAAGACCACACGAAATGGGGTTTGACGTGACGCCGCTTCTGAAACACCTTGTATTTACAACACAGCAGCGTTCTGAATAGCTGATCAGCAGAAATACCTTTTGTAGTCGAGTGCCCGTGAGATAAGACAAAAAGGTAGATAAGATTACAATCACGGGACTATCTTGATCAGGTGCCTGATTCCTGTGGACGTGGCACCGTGTCGCGAAATGAAACTCGCACTCTCTTTGCGTCTGTCTCGTCTGGCCCTCCGGTTTTTTGTTCTGAGCATCGTCTACGGTCAGGATATGCGGTTCGCAACTCTTTTTGGCTCCGCTTTGGCCCTCGCAGCATCGGTATTTGCATCAAGTACGCGCCGAGTCTCCATTTCGGAGCAAACCCCGTCTAACCTGAAGCGTCTTATGTTGTACTAGCCACCGAGAGTACGGCGCCGGAAGTCGTCGCGACTGCTGCTTTCCCCGAGACTAATGCATTCAACCGTGGGTGGACATGTTAACTGCATAGTATGGATATTCCCTGACACTCCCGAATGCTACAGATGTTGTGAATGGGGAGAAGAATCTCCTGACCGTTTCTGTGGAAAACAAATCAGACCGGAACGTCACCCTCGTCAACATCGCGGGGGCCCTACTCCATCCTGATACGAATGCCGTGTTGAAGAATGCAAGTTGTTGATCAGCTCCGGGCCCCTTCTATCGCCTAACCCCAACTGACACCTAACTAGTTGACCGTGGTGAAATATGGTGTCCCTCTATTCGAGAGTGTGAAATTGCAAATTCCCTACTCTTTTTACAGCGAGTGAGTTTCTTTTTCAAGGCGCGTTGTTGACGGTTAACTAACATTCGTGGTTAGGTTCAAGGTAGTCCTTCACTATGCTCTATAGCCGAGCGTCTTTGACACCCGATATCTATAGCCTGGTGACCATCGCCTGAACATCTGGCTAGAACACTCATCTGAGGTCCGTCATACCCGCGAATATCACGCCCTGTTACTCACGTTAGGAATGCAGGATGGAACACACAAGGTTGAAGTTTACGATTCCATTGTGACGGTTGTAGATCCCGACTTCTCCATTTTCGACCTCAAGCTGTGCGTCCACTGACCTAAATCTACCCCTCTCCTCGCCTGCTAATCTTGCAATCATCTAAACAGCCTTTCTACCTATGCCATTGTTGCCGCGATCTTGGGAGGCCTGTCGTACCTTGCTTATCGTACTTTCGTTCCTCAGACCAAGAAACCTCGGGGCAAGAAGGTTTCGGCACCTTCCGTCAGCGCTCCCGTCGGCACTGTCACTGCAACTGGCGCCGGCGGCTACCAGGAGGAATGGATTCCCGAGCATCATCTCCGCAAGGGCAAGTCAAGCAAGAAGCAAGGTGCTACCAGTGGTACCAGTGGTGATGAGCTCAGCACTGCGGAGGCGACCGCAACTGAGGGCAAGAAGAAGAAGGGTAAGAAGTAGATGCATCATGCTTGGATCCCACTGTACCCAAAATTACTGCACGTATGCCGTGTAATATATTTAATCTGCATGGAGGATGGACAAACGGATTAATGCTTGGTCATTTGAGTAATGAAGGCACGTCGCAGTTCTTCCCCTTGGAGTTGAGAGGTCGAGGCTCATCTTCGCGGGTTCTCAAGGTATGTCATGTTCAATGAAACGTACCACAAGATAAGCTGATTCAAAATAATAATATGAGTGCACGTTCATCAACCCTTTCGCTTCGGTGCGAAACAGGCTTCTCCCACACTGGGACAGGGTTGGAAAGACGGACTTTCTCGTTCTGCAGCTTTGCTGGCGCCGGACGATGGACTCGGGGAATCGGAGCTAATCCTCGGAGCTGACAACGGGCCCAGTTCTACTGATGGAAACAACAGTCGAGGGCTGCGAATATGACAGGAGGAGTGGTAGTAGCCATGGTCGAGGTCGCAATCGTGCAGGTACAGGCAGCAGCGCTTGTGGTAGAGTGTGATAGAGGGGATGGGTAAACAATGGGTTGAGTCTTTGGTAGCTACGTGTAGCTCGAGCTCCGTCTCGGATTCACACTCACACTCGCCTCGATCACCACAGCATCGGTGAATCGACAGAGTGAGAGCACCGCGCTCTTCAGATAATTGGCCTGCCACGCCGCCTTCTGTTTCCTGCAGTTCTCTTCCAGCAGCTGAGCATGATAAGGTGACAATGTGCTAAGCACCTCCTGGTAGCTCTTCCTGAGGACAATCCAGAACTGCAGAAGGCCGTCGAGGCTCTTCTGTCTGTCCGATAGTGAGCTCTGGTAGCTGCAATCGAAGATGTCGCGTCCGGGAAGGTGGCCGAGAGACTCGATCGCACGAATTGGTGGATGCCCGGGGGTAGGCCCCGGGCGACTGTGAGTGAGTGAAAAGGTCATAGTTAGAGCTTGAGGAAGTAATGCCCGATGAGATGTTGACTTTCCCGACGGGAGATTCGGCGGACGGTAAGGATGCACTGTTGACACTGCTGCGGCGGATCGACGTGAACTGGAAGCTCGCATTGTTGAAGCTTTTGGATATCACACTGACAGCGTTCTGGACGGCGAAGGCCTTGCACGATCGTTCTAGCCTTAGACACTCCTGCGGAGGCTCTTCACACATGTATTCAGACAGGGGGCATGATCCTCGATGACCTTATGGCAACCATGAAGGAAGACTTTGGTCTAAGTCCAGTGGTCCTTCAGTGCTTGTCGCAGCCGGAAAAATCACGTCGCAAGCGAAGGGTTTGTTAGGTGTTGCGGACGTCGACGTCCAGAATGTGGACAGCGGCGATGGTGCTCTGGACGGAGGCAGTCAGCCCTTTATGTAAGAGGGGCTGAGATTATCCTGCTGAAGAACCTAGAGAAATGGGTCAAGGCCTCTACACTACCAGTGAACGGGGAGAAGCGCTCACAGTGGGGGGTATTGTCCGCGCAGGTAGCGTTTTGGTGAAGGGGTAGCAAACGGATACCCACATCGTCTTCTAGAAAGCATGTCTGAGGCTCCGCCTCGCTTTTTCAGAGTCGCTAATTCAGCTTCCTGCAACACGACAGTAGTCCCGTGCCAGTCAAAAAGCATCGCCCTTTTCTCATCAACACTGCCAGAAAGACGTGTGTTACAAAAGTTGTAGGCTCAAGTATGTCAAAGGATTGGACTTGACAACGTCTGTTCAACTAGTACATTAGCAACGTCTCCTAGGATTACGAAGTGAGGGGAGGCAATTTTTGGACAGAAAAGCTGGTACAGGATCCAGAAAGGCGAAGGTATTGATCGGAATGGCTTGGGCATTGAGCTCCCTCGCGTCCTCGGTTGTGTTGCGTATGGCTCGTGTGCGTTTGAATGGTTCAAGTTGGGGAGAAGGTGGGGCTGTAGTCCCGCCACCGATACTGCATGTCTACCTGGAAACAAGAATATTGCTAACTGGTCGGTCCCTATTCGAACGTCGACGAAATGTTACTTACATCTCTTCCTCGCTCGTTGCTCCAGATGTCGGGATCAAGTATCGAGTCCATGCTGGGAGAGACCCAAAACCGGCGACCAGGTGATTGCGAGGCGCTAGTTGCAATGGCTTGCAAGATCATGGCAATATTGGAGCCATGGAACCACAGTGTAAGTCAAAGATGTATCCATCTCGCTTCAACCGCTGACGTCTGATCCGATATGTTGCAGGACGAAGCATTCCGATGAGATGAGAAGTATCGAGAGAGTCCAAGAGTCCAAGAAAATGTCGTCGAATTTGTCATGGTGCTGGAGCCAAAAAAACGTCTTGAAACTGGGCCCCTGGGGCTCAAGATCAGTTGCGACATGAGCGACCTCTGCAGCTACGTGCTTGACTCCACAAAAAAGGCGAATAGGATTGAGGAATTCATTGAAGACATGTTCATGTTCAAGTCGACCAACGAAATCTCTGGAGTCGAAAAAGGTGGCGAGGAACCTTGGAGATGCTCAACAAGGGCTGTACACTGTAAGTCGACGTCCTTGCTTCCGAAAAAAAAAGAGGTAATTACGTGGTTGCCGATCGCTCTTCCAGTGATTTCACATCGGGACAAGGGTTGTCAGGAGGATCGCCGGTCCGTTGGTCGCTTGTTTAGAGACGATTTACGTTGACCCATTTGGCGTTTAGAGCGAGGGCAGAACTGCCAAGACGCCATTGAAGTTTCGTACAAGGTTTCTAAGGACCTTGCTCACTTTGATGGATGCATTGACAAGCTTGGAGGTTTTGGACATCCACGGTGCTGCTCTAGGATGGTGTCAAGGGGCCCATCGACGAGTTGCGAGCGACAAGTGGGTTGCGACTACATTTGAAGTCAGTTAAGTTGAGCTGGGAAGAACTGAATAGTCGTACCGAGTATACGCAGTCAAGGTGACTCCTTCCAAATCCAACCCGGTGGGATGTTAGTTCACTCGGTGTTACAAATCGAGCACTTATGTGCATTGACGGAGGCAGCTGACGCTCATTCTTCGATCGGCACCAACACCGAGAAACCCGTCAGTGAGAAGTTGAGAGAGCAAAAATGATGGATCGTTGGCGTCAGTCAAGTCATTCAAATAGGTCCAGCGTCAAGGGATTCCTGATGATCTCATGACAGCTCCACATATCACTGGACCTAAAATGAGTGGCTAGTCACAGAAGGAGGATGAGGAGTTGTATGTACACCAAGCACAACGAATAAACGAAGGCAATAGGGCTTGCCAGTAGTTAATTGAGATCGATGTTGTTGCAGCCATAGTGTAGTTCGAAAGGGGCAGCATAGCTGCTGCATCTCATATAGCATGTCACTAGAAAAGTATACTCCTAGATAAACAATTAATGAGGCCGGTGCATCAGGAGAAGACAGAATCGATAAGAGACGCACAGGAAGAAGATGCATCCCGGAGTGCACAGAACGATGGCGCGTTCCAGGAGAATACATTCGTGCATGACGGGGGATGCATCATATGACGTGCACAGACTAAAATCAGGTTTGAAGTTGGTGGCGAAATCTGGCGAATCCCAAGCACAGGGAGACTTGGTCCATTCTGAGGTTGTAGCTTCCAGGAGAAGCCGCGAATACAGCAAACCTCATCAGGATCGTGTCTTCCATGGCGGGGTTTCCTTGTCAAAGCCGCAGAGGAATATCCAATGAGTAATAGTATTCCTGATATACACAGCCTGCGAGAGCTGGTGAACGAGATCAAGAGACAAGAGGTTGTTTGGCCGTGCTTGTCGCATTGTCCGAGTCGGTTATAGTGAGAAGCAGTGATTGCCGTTTCCCCGCCAGAGCCATTTTCCTCTTGCTGTCGTCCCCTTCTCCCCATTCTCCTTTCCACCCCGTTTGCTCGTTCTAACTTAATACTATGGCTGCGAGGGTACGTTTTCGCTCAGTACACTTCTTCGTCTGCAATGCTCACCGCTCCACCAGGCTCAGTTCTTGAGAGAGTACAAGCTGGTCGTTGTTGGCGGAGGGGGTCAGTCTGAATGTATTCTCTCCGAGGAATCCACACTGATGCACCTCCTCAGGTGTCGGGAAGTCTGCTTTGACTATTCAATTCATTCAGAGCCATTTCGTCGACGAATACGACCCTACCATCGAAGGTTCGCCAATCACATGAGAGACTACTAGAGGCCACATCCTTACCCGCTCTCCAGATTCATACCGTAAGCAATGCGTTATTGACGAGGAGGTCGCTCTGCTCGATGTTCTCGACACCGCTGGTCAGGAGGAGTACGGGTGCGTGTTCCCTACCATCACACCATCCATCATCCCCTCTTTCTCTTTTGGGCCACAAGCGCATGATGCCGTTGTCCTCTGCAGATGAACAACGCCTCGAGGCGCGCTCTCCTGAAAAATTTGGCTGCCGGTTATCTCTTTCGCTTCCCTTCGCTGACCTGGTTATCATTATCATGCAGGGCCATGCGGGAGCAGTACATGCGCACCGGCGAGGGCTTCCTCCTCGTCTACTCGATTACCTCGCGCAACTCCTTCGAGGAAATCAGTACCTTCCACCAGCAAATCCTCCGCGTTAAGGACCAAGATTCCTTCCCCGTCATCGTCGTAGCTAACAAGTGTGACTTGGAATACGAGAGACAAGTGGGCATGAATGGTATGTGGCCAAGCCTATTACCTCCTATCAGCCCTGCATGGCTCACATGTCCCTCCCGTCTGTTCTTAGAGGGTCGTGACCTGGCAAAGCATTTCGGATGCAAGTTTATTGAGACCTCAGCGAAGCAAAGGATCAACGTCGACGAGGCCTTCAGTAATCTTGTCCGAGAGATCCGGAAGTACAACAAGGTTCGTAGTCTTCGGCTATATGTCTATTCTTCAAGTCTTCTAACCCTTCCCTCTAGGAACAGCAAACTGGTCGCCCCGCCCTCGCCGGTCCCGGTGGTAGCGCTCCTGGATCGTACGGCGGAAAAGATCAGCACGAGGACACACCTGGCTGCTGTACCGGCTGCGTCATCCTCTAATTCTTGTCTGTCTTCCGTCTGCATCCTCCACACTCCTTGGTCGGCTTCCTTACTGTTACAGCTCCATGCTCTATCTCGTTCCTTCTATCTCTCGTCTACCCTCCCCTGTTTTGCTATATACTACCCGGATCCAGACACTCGCGAATGATCGGAATTTCTTTTCGCAGAATAGCAATATGTATATATTACAGTTAGACTACAGCTTCCTCTTTCCTTTTCACTTTTGTATTGGATTCACTCAAATAAGATGCACACATAGTAACTTTTACACGCATATGATGCAGTATCTCGCTACTATCCACCTCAACGTGTAGTGTAGTGGAGTCTCGAACGGTAACAAATCCATCTGAGTGTAGGATGGAGGTGATAGCATGGTGCTATAGAGTTACTTTCTCATCAAATGGATCTTTTTCTGAATCTGACTTGCTGCCTGTTGGTGAAGTTGGCACGTGTGGCAGTATTCCGATAAGCGAGGACGCACCGAAAGTTGTATAATCCACATCTTCCTCATTGACGATGCGTACCGAGTCGATACCCAGCTCATACCTGCCCTCAATCCCACTATTTCCACCTAGGATTGATATTCCTATGCTCCGAATCTTCTCTCTTAGCATAGTCATTTGATTTTCTGACATCTCTCCAGCGTTCGTCCGCACGAAATTGGCAAAAGGCAGCTAAAAACGAAATCGTGAAAAAGGGAGAGTATCAAAACCCAGTCAAGAAAAAGAAAACACAGTTGCAGTTGCTAACGCACATAGACGTCCTCCCAAGAGCCATTTTGCTTCTTGAAATATAGTCTATGTTGCCATAGGTCCCTGGAGATAGGACCCTCCGTCTGGATGTTGACGAAGAAGGAATTGTGGGTTTGAGGATCTCCGGCAGCGCGGACTCGGAGGGCAAGGTAATCGTGTGCGGACGCGTCGTCCGTCATGTTTCCGAACATCGTCGGTTTGTTCTACTCCAACAGAATCAACGGCCACCTTTCCCTCCAAGCAGGCCGGAATGCCATACCTTATTTCGGAACCCCGCATACCCTCCCCGAATCTTGCCTTGCATCCCAGGTTTGACCTGCGTGCGCATGTCGCCCCAAAACATCCCCGTCGCGGGCTTTCCAATGGGCTGGTTAATCTCTGGTCTTGTATTCAGAGTAAAGTTCACGGTGGACAGGCCGCCGATGTCCGCGTCGCACCCAGTAGCAATTTGGTTGATTTCTTCTGCGGTGTTGTACGAGAACAGCGTTCGGGGAGCGCGTACAGGTCCGTCCGCGCCTTTCATTAGAACGACTGAGGAGCTGGTTAGTATGCCAGGTTGGGCATGAAAAGGTATTGCTCACTATCAGATAGAGTCTTCCCGAGAATCTGTCCAGACCTCTGGAAATATCTCCCCCATAGGCTTGGAGGAGTTGACATTGTTGTTGATGGTAAGTACTTGCTCTGTCCCGAGTGAGGTTGAGATATCAGTAAAGTACGGGGAAGTGCAGAGTAAGTAAGTCGTAGAGTGGTAAAATATTGTTGGATCAAACGCCCATGGAAGCACCACTCTGAGGTTAGTCTGCAGCGTCGTTTGGAAGAGAATTGAGTTGCTTGAGAATGGTCACGTCATCTCTCCTATCTTTCGCATGGCCGATGGGAAAGTTTCGGTGATAGCCGGTTTCATGCTGGATGCGACTCTCTTGATCTTTCCAAGTATAGCGTCCTGCCATGTCGTCAATCGCGCACAATCCTACTGGACTGGTGGACCTGCCGTTAGAAATGCTGGTCGAGGTTATGAAGCAGCTGGAATGGGATGACTTTTTGCGCATGAGGCAGGTATGTCGCTGCCCTCTTTCTGCAAGAAGAGATGCTTATTTTCTGTTGCTAGACCTGTCGGCATATGTGCAAAGTTTCCAATGCACGTCCAATCTGGCTGTACTTCTTTGAGAAATACTTGCGTTCCACGATCCCGGGACCCTTTCATCCTGATAAGCCCGTTCAAGACTATTCATCATACGAACTCGAATCCCTCGTCCTTCGCCGGAAAGGCACCGAAGTAGCGGAGGGCCGATTCCCCCGCCAACGGAAATTGCACCTGGGCAAGCCTAGTTCGGATATTTTGAGCAATATGCACCTTGTTCATGGGGGACGCTGGCTCTTACATGCTGTAGCCAATGGATCGGTGGAGTATGTTGATCTCGATACGTCGGAACACATCGCTCGGCCGCTCACCCCACCCCCTTACGATGAATCTGCCTGCGTCATGGCGTCCATGGTAGTCGACATGGACATGGCGACAGATGATCTCCCCACTGACAGGTCATTGGTATTCAATTTGGGCTTGCTTCTTTGGCGCATGCCACGGTATGACGCAGAGATAATCAAGCCTACATCCCTGCCCAGTATGTGCATCCAGGTGTGGCGCATCACTTTCCAAAATGATTGTCAAGGTGGTAGCCTCCTGGCTCAGTGCCTTTCTGCATTTCCGGAAGAAGCTATTGCGAACCCGAGAGCTTTTAGCTTGTTTTGGGGACGTATCGCGTACTCCCTGTGCTTCGTGGGTGAGCATGCTCGCAGAGGGCGTTGCGTTGTTGTCGTGAACTGGCAATTAGCGAACGCTAGTGAAATGGGTCACCAAAGAAGATATAGGAGACTGTGGGGCCGTCAGTCGTCAACTATTAAGCATCTCTGACTGATACTGACAGACTCCTCCTTCCAGAAAATCTGGCTTCTCCCATCCGACAGGTTGCTTGTTGCTGACGAAGTGTCGATTCGAATTCACGACCTTTCTGCCGCCCCTCAATCCAATGACCTGCCTTTTCGCCAGCCATCTCTGTTCCAGAAAGCGGTATGGACACACCGAAAATTTAGCGGATTGAATGCCAGATGCATATCCCAGCCTTTCTTTGTCCACAATTCATCGCGTTTTGTCATGGTGGACTGGCGTGGAGTAATTGGATTAATCATTCCAGACGCCGATTTTAGAGACCAAATCGAGAGACAACCTACCCTATTCAATTTGTTGTCCGAAGAGAATTTGACAAGCTCAAATACTCATTCATTTGGGTACCATCGTGGTATCGGATATCGTGCCCGTGAGGCTGCGCTCTTCCGATACCGATGGCCAGACGAGGAAGGTGATTCGGGCATTCGATGCATCAAAGTTGGAGACACTGTGTTCTCAATTCATATGGATGAGTATTCTGGTCGAGCCGTATATAGTTTACCAAACTCTATTGATCATCGTATTCTGGACTTTCCTGTTGCCCTCGACTACACGTAGTGTACATAGATAGCATGACCCAATTTACTTGTTTTTCAAGTTCTCCTAGTCGCGTACCAAGACCATAGTACTCTCATGCTGTGAGAGGGTGCTTATGCGAGCTTACAAGTTCTCCAGCAGCTTGAAGAGTGTCTGGGCAGGCACTGTGCTCTGAAAACATACACTCAGGGAAGCCCTTGTCACTGGAAAGAGGAGGAAGCCATACCCATGCGAGTAGCAAAATAAAATTTAAAACATCCTTGAGCTCATTGGGATCAATGCTGATTTGGTTGAAGCGGACTGTAGGCAATTGAATACTCCTTCGCTCCAGCACCCCCTTGGACAACTCCAAAGATCCACTCGATTCTGTTGGTCACTGGGCACCATGCAACGTGTGATTGTCTGAAAGTAAGCCTCTTAGTGGGCTCGAAGCGCTCCTTCTCCGAGCATTGACACATTCTGTCCCTCACAAGACGCCGTCCCCCACGAAACTTCGACAAAAGAAACCAATTATTCCATGGAATCCAAATATAAATTTCGAATAGTAGTAGCATATCGGAAGATTGCAAAAATCGTCGAGAGACTTGATTCAGACGTGTACCTTTCTTGATCCAGCAGAACGATCGGTATAAACCGGGCCCTTCCACTCCGAGGCGTAAGACCGTGGATCATTTTGACCACACAAAGGTTCGTACTACTTAGCGCCACTCGTAAAAGTCTTCAAGAGACACGAATTAGTTCACAGCTTCAAAAGAGGGTCTGAAGTTTATATTTCATTCGACAGACAAGCAGAACGACTGCGACCCCAATAACAAGAACTCGTCTTCTAGACTATACAGAAAATAACCCTAGCGGCGTGGTCTCAAAGGAACGAAGCTATATGAACGAGAAATGAAATAATGTAAGAAAACAACACGAGACCAAGGTTATTATGTCCACGAGAATATGCGAAGAGCGTCGAGCTTAGAACGAGGGAGATACTCTCGCGGAACCTGTTCCAGATTGGATACTACTGATCGAACCATTACCACGACCTAAAAGCAATGGTCTGTGCCGGTTCGTTGGCGATGAGGCGGGGCTGGGGGAAGAGCCACCGATAGCGCGCGTGCGATCGCGTTCGAAGAAGGGTGTCGCTGATTGGGGCGGAGACCTGGGGGAAACTTGTCGGGGAAAAGAGGTGCTGACCGAGGTGAGCAAAGGCCGAGGAGACCGACCTAACCTGCCGAGTTCTTCCGATGACCAGGACGGAACTCTGGGCGAATCGTATTGGCCAAACGTGCGGGTCGAACCTTCACGAGACACCCATTCTTCGCCATAAAGACTTTCTTCGTCGATCCTAGTCGAAGGCTGGCGACTCAGCGTATCCTGCTGGGTTGTTGACCTGAGAGATCGTATCCGGCGAGGGGGAGCGGGGAGTCCGGTAGACGAATAGGAGGCCTCGCGGCTAATGATCTTTTCCCGCCCTCCTGTCGTCGGAGAGGTAACAGGCATGGGTGATGAAACAACCCAGTTGTAGTCTGACGCGGGAGTGATAGAACGACCAATTATGGCAGCCGCAGGAGTGGGACGGGTAAGAATACTGAGATCTGATATGCTCCTCTCATGTTGAATAAGGTTCTGTGTCGACTTGGCACTTGCCGACCAATTTGACCGCACGCTGACATTACGAGAGGGGAAAGTGCCTTGCGTGCGATACATATCGACCTTCTCTTCGATCGAGGGGCTGTACTTCTCGTTAGGGCTTGCGGGAGCCGAGCCTTCGATATCTTTGGATGCTGAAGAGTGTCCGCCATCGAAGGCAGGACCGAGGACACGGAAGGTGTTGTACAACAGTAGCACATCAACAACACCTATTACAAGACTCAGTGAACGAGGCCAGGAGAAAAAGCGATAACTCACCCAGGAGATACCAGCATACAAAGGCGAAAATCACAGCTTCAAACGGAACGTCGAATCCAGAAATGATCAGCAGCCGCATCGTGGAGTAGGGAACCAGAAGAGCGATGTACGCTGAAGCCGTATGTGAGCAGTAAAATACAGAATCAGATGACTTATACTAACCGACAGGATACCTGTTCGAAGACAATGGTGAGTTTATTGTCCCCCAGTGAGGACTTGAGACGCACCACAGCATGCTTCTGGCAACTCGCGCCACAAAGCGATGATAGTTCTCCCCCAAACCCTCCCCATTTCTCCATCGCTCATGGGGGTTGAGAGTTACTTTGAGGCCACCCTTGATCGCCAAAGTACCACGGAGGACCAAATAGATAAGAGAGTACAAGACGGCGCCGAGTGTCGAGGCGATGAGAATCTGCAAAAAATCAGTATGGAAGGAGGACTGAAGAAAGGGTCGTCACTTACTGGCAGTAAATGGAAGAGGAATTGGAGTCTTGGAAAAATCGATCGCACTCCACAGGCTAACCCATCTGCGCCATATACGTAACCTGCACTGTCGCGAATAAGGAATGGCGCCGCCGCTGCGACAAAGTAAGGACCACTGTTATGAGTACGGGCTCTAGATGTACCCACCAATGAACAAGGCTAAGGACCACCCCAACGCAATTATTGACCGGCATATAGCAGCGGATTGACGCCTCCTCAAAACCAAAGAACAAAAGGTATGGACAGCGATTGTGACTGTAAAGTACCCAGCAGAGATATTGCCGATTTGCATCACGAGGGCTGCAACAAGATGTCAGCTACAACTTACAGTGTTCAAACCTTGGGCTGAAGTCATACCTTGGGATCTGCATATGTTACCTGGATGGCCAGTCTTCATTCGTCACCGCGGTCATTCAGAAATTAAAGCCACGCACCCTCGGTGACTCCCCGCATAAACAGCCATGGCATCCCGATTATTCCAGCAATAGTGTTGAACATCATCGCGATGATTAAACATGCAGCGTATTGACCGAGTTGCGTGTCGAAGAAAACATATTCTTGAGGCTTTTCAATTCGTTTGAACCAATAGCGTTGAATGGCCAGCCAGATTACTCTGAGGGCAACGGAAACCAGCGCAAGAGTGGAGAGGAGGGCAAAAACGTTGACGGTCTGCAAGGTTTCGCGTTCATAGATAAGTCGAGAGAAGAAGGAAGTAACATACGATAGCGCCTCCCATTTGACTTGAGGGAATGGGGAGAAAGTCTGGTTGCGACATGGTGTTTTCTCAGATAAAGGAATGGTGAAAACAGAAAGAACGAAAGTGTAAGGAGAGTGATGGTGTCCTGCGCCAACTACGTCGAATCGCAGCAGTCTCAGACGCTGAAGGAGCCAGTCCAGACAAACACCTTGTGGAATAGGGAAGAGACCAAAGGGTGGAGAAGGTAACCCTCGCGGACGGAGAGAATGTCGGTCAAGAACCGGGTCGGCTTGATTGATGCTGCACAATCGACTGTGTACAGATGTTTGTCATGGTGGTATTTATGGCAACATGATGTTCGGAGACAATACCGCTTCGCGACCATCAGCCGTGTATGGGTGAGGCGCAGCACGAAAAAGGGACCCCAATCCGAAGACTCTTGCCTAAGACCACGACAGACCGCAACCCCGTGATGAGTGGCAATAGACGTCGCACCCACAGCCGCGCCTAGCCATGCACTTCACTTCCGGAAGAATTTCTCGATGCCTCTAGGTTCTGGCGGAGGTTTCTGCTTTTTCCTGGGCTTTGATGTTGTCGTCGCTTCCGCTCGTTTGGAGGCAGTTATAATTGAGTGCGACTGGCCTTCGTTCGCCAAGTCTTGTGCGAAGTGGAAATCTTCGTGTTCACTCTTAACCTTGGCCAAAAGTTGGTCTTCACCCCCCTCATCCTCTTCGTCGTGGTCGACCGCGGGAACTTGAAAGGTCTTTCCGCATCGAGGGCAGGTGTAAGACTTAGACAGCGCTTGGGTGGTCGTTGTGTCGTCAGGGGTCTCCTTACCACCGGATGGACAGGGGTCATGTCCGTCGATTTCCAAAGGGTGTCGGACACGCGGGTTGAGATCTACCTCGAGCTCTCTCATCCGTTTCTTTGCGGAAGAAGGGGGCTTCAGAAATCCTTCGATGGTTTGCTGACCAGTTTCTGCCACATCGATATTCGTGAAACCCAACGAAACGCTGCTAACTTTCAAAGTCGTGTTGTTTCCAACCAGTTCTTTCCACAGCTTATCGCCAGCAGATGCTATTGTATCCACTGTAAGTTCACGGGTGAACGGGAAAGGCGCCTGTTTTGAACGAGAATCATGCCCTGGGGGTCATAGATTTGACATAAATTAGTGGGTATCCATTGCCGGTAGATTCAGACGCACCTCGTCTCGCATGCAGAACAAGAGTCTTGGGCCAGAGATGTGGGGAAATCCGACGAGCGTCATTCAGTCGCAACGCGAGTTCTGCAGCAAGGACTCGAATCCAGTGCTTTCCTTCAGATGCCTTTGTAATCGGTTTAGGCAAATTCTTTGCCGCAAGCATGCTCTTGTTAAGCGTAGAACCCTTATCTTTCACTGCCAACAATGTCGTCAATATAATTCCAGTCAAGTCCATTAAGTTGTTGGCATAGTGAAAATACCTTCGCTTCGATCGATGCCGCTGTAAAATGTGAACATGAACACCTTTAATCAAAAGAACAACAGCGCACGCACCGAAGAATTTCGTAGACCCATATTGATTCCTCCCCAAATTTACTCTGCATCTCGTCTACCGGCATCTGTTCAAATGCATGATGGAGATAGAGGACTATAGTGACATACCGAGGGAGATCGTTCTAGATAAAGGTTAGCCGAGGCCTGGAAGGCGAAACTTTAGACGCACAGCAAGTCTCCGACCGTAGAAGCATCATACTCTCTGGCGATTGCCTCTCCCAGCTTGCCGCCTAGAAACCGAATCTTCGAATGGAGAAACTATCAAAAAAAAAAAAGTTCAAGAGCATCATAAAGAACCACCTTTTGAAAATTTAATGGTTGCAGGAAATTTGGTATGGCCGAATTTCTCAAAATGCTCTATGCGAACTATCGGCGCGATAGAAGTCCAGAGCTCGATGGGACGCACGTGTGAATTGAATTTTTTATACGAGGCTGCAAGCTTCAAGAAATTTAGTTGGTAATGGACACGAACACGAAGTCATATCCACCTTTGCCAGAAATTTATTTCTGGATATGCCCTAAAACCACGAACGATCAGCAAGGGAGCTCCAAGGAGGAACAAGAGCCGACGTACAGCAGAAGTAGTATAGCCGAGCTTGACTCTAACTTCTTCTTTCGCTTTCGCCATGAGTTCTGCTGCGATGGAGAGCGCAACGTCATGCCATGTCGCAGGTGGATCCTCAACGTCCTGTTTCTTTTCCAGGACAGCTGGTGAGGGTTCTCTTTCGACCGTGGCTTCATTTGTGTCATCTGGAACATTCTCTTCTGCAGGTGGCGGATTTATGGGTATCAAATTCCCGAAACCGTCCCAATTAATGGGCGGAGGTGCAGGGAGTGGGGTATCAGCACCAGACGGTGGCACTTCGGCGAGGTAAGGATATCGCTGAAGCAGAATCTCTTTAACGGGTCGTGTGTAGTCAAAAAATGCTTCGTCTATCGATGCTTTCTCTGTGCACGGCAACGCGGTGTGAGCGCCGAATCGATGGGAATATGCTTCTCAAACACACCAATTTCGACACCTGGGAGTAACTCCTTAAACAGAGCCGCTACTTTCAAGCTCTCTCTTCGATAGTGATCAAGAGACACCTAGAGGTAGACCAAAACATGTCGGAATGCTGTGATAGCATGGGACTGTTCAAAACACGCACCTTATGCGTCTTCGTGTCCACATCGTCCCAGTACCCAGGTTCCTTCTCGCCTTCCTTATACGTCGCAACATGGACGATCTTGACATGGGGACACTTCTTCAGCGCATCTTTCTTCTTATCCATCCGCGAAATGCCATACTTCCTCGCAGGGTAATTCACCGCGATCAGCATGTCCCACTGCAGCACCACAAGAGGAGTCTCAGAATCGACGCCGAGCCGCACCATTTCGCAAGCAGCATAGAACGCATCGCTGTCGCAAAGGGCGATTACACGGAGAGGATCGCGCACACCGAGGTTGTTTGATAGCATGTGCCGGTAGGTGATTACGGGATTTAGGTCGGATTCGTCAAAATCGCCCATCGGTTCTGAGGCCTTGGCTTTTCCCTTCCACAGACCTTTCTTCGGAGATTCGAGAGCCATTTCAAGCGTAGCTGAGGTAATTGGAAAGAGACGATTATAATAGCCACGATCTAGACGTAGTTCGCGTTCAAGAGTGTTGACTCGAATGTGCACTGTGACATCTGTGACAACGCGTACACACATGTCAACAACGCGTACATTTACTAGTAGGGGCCCGCAAACGAGAAACCTCTCATTCGCGGATAATAATGTACACAAAGCACTGCTAGACAACGGGAAAGCGTGAACAGTACAAAATACAATTGGATTCGTGTCTTTCGTAAAGCAGAAATGAATTCAGAACCCTGTGCCTCATGCGACGTCCAGGTTCGCGCTACTGATGACAATCAGGGTTGAACGTTGATCATCTTCAGGGCTCAGCGATAACTTCTGGTTTCGTGCCGGCAGTGCTGATGTCAATTGACAACAGATCCTAGGAGACCATGAATCGGGTGAATGATGGATGACCAGCAAACCTACCTTGCCAGCCTTGATCTCATCTGGAGAGGGCATCAAGCCCAATCTCAAGAGCTCCGACGCCTTCGCCACTACCGGATCATTCTGCATGCTGTAGACATTTGACGCGTTGGTTATGGTTTCAGATTATTTTTACACTGGTGTCTTACCTGGCCACAGCAACAATCTTGTCTGCTTTGACGTAGTATGCAACGAACTACAGGACAATCATCGTCAGCATCATTCCTTGACTGAGGTAAAAAAAATATCTGGCCTTCAGTTCATCTGGATCACCCTTGATGATGACATCTTCGTATCCTACACCAACCCCACAGTAGCGCAATTGCTGACCCTCTGGAAAACGTACGACTTCAGAATGGCGGAGAGAAGAAGAGCATATATTCTCATCACGTACGGGCGCTCCAGAAGACGGGAATCTTCACGAACGGCTGAGCTTTTCCAGCGATCGTGCTTCCAACAGAGCGACCATGATTGCCGGCAACCTGTCCGGGCGATGATTTAGAGAAGCCAGAAGCTGCAAATCCCGATTATCCTCACATTCCAGTGTTCGATGCGTGATTCAGTTCCATCTGGTTGAGGGTATTTCGCAATGTCACCTATCAGCGGACAGGGTTAGATCTCGCATCTGGAAAGTCGAGTCCTAAGCACGGACCAATCGCGTAGACGTTCTTTTGGTCTTTGCCTGATACCACTCTGAGGTATTTGTTGACACGGATTCCACCATCTCTCTCCAGCTCGAGGCCACTTCCTTTCAGGAACTGGGTGGCAGGTGCAACACCGACACCCATGACCACGAAGTCGCAAGGAAGTGTGACCCCGTTCACGACAACGCCCCCAGCGAGGTTAGGATTTTCTTCCTGCGGGATAAATTTCTCGACCTTGCTGGACATATGGAACTTGATGCCCTGCGACTCATGGTACTATTTCATCCTATTGGTCAGACCCTACTGAGAAACGAACGGAGGAATTTGCTGCACCTTCTTTATTCCCGCGCCGACTGCTTTTCCAAGCACGACTTCGAATGGGAACTCCTCCAAGCCAATGACATCGATAGAGGCTAGCTTGCGTTTTGAGAGCGTAGCGACGAGTTCCATACTAATGAAAGAGCTTCCAATCACGACAAGCCTCTTGCCTGCTTGCGCAGCTGGAGGAAGAATAAGGATCGCCTTTACTTCACGGCCTCGAATAAGACAGACCTGTATCAACCTTCTTGGAATCTTCGATGCTACGGAAGGTATAGACATTTTCCAATTGAGCACCTTCTATTGGAAGTCGGCGCGGCGTGCCACCAGGTGCCAGGATGAGCTTATCATAACCAAGGGTGTCTTTTCCATTGTCAATGGTGACAACCTTGTTCTCGATATCCACAGACGTAGCTTCCTAATGCATCTAAGTTAGGGGGTGTCGGAAACAGGTAGAAGACGATGCTCACAACACCCAGACGTATGTTGGTGCCGTATTTTATTTTGAGATCTGCAGGAGTACGCCACTCAATTTTGGCGGCATCTGTCAAGAGTGCTTTGCTGAGCTTTGTCCTACATAACGAACTTTAGCAAGTGCAAGTTAGAGATTTCAAGTGGTATTTCACCTGTCAATTGGAGTGTGGGACTCCTTCGTCAGAATAGTGATAGGTCCTGCATAACCGTGCTATAATTAGTGTAAGCAGATGTGCTTGCTCGGTAAGCGTGTCTTCTTACCTCTCGCAGGCTTTCGACGGCGTGGAAAGTGCCAGAACCACCTCCAACAATGACGACACCCTTTCCCGTGCTATTCACACCCGTAGAAAGTAAAGTTGCCTGTCGCGACATGTTGTTCTTGAGGGTGATCGTCGTGTTTGCGGTAACATAGATCTTGCCGTCTTTGACCTGAGTTTGGAAGGAATGCAACGCCATAGGTGCAGGAGCGTCCTCTGCAAGGGATGAATTTTAGGACATTGAGGTGCAGCCAATTATGACGTACCGATATCCCCTGAGCATACATTGAAGCACGCTGAAATCGTAAATACATGTTCAGCAGCGCCGTTGAAACGATACGGGGCGAGGCACTGTACCTCCGTGCCAGGGACTGCAAAAAGAGTGAGCTCATTTGTTCTGATAACATGAAGCGATAGCATACCACACAACCCGGCCATCTGATGTGAGGATACCTTTCGCTAGTGGCGCACCATAATGGGTGCAAAATGCGCTTGTTGCGTGCACTTCATCGCCCAAGCGAGACAGAAGGACTTTGCCCTCTTCAAAAGCGACTTCCTTCCTACATCGGTCCGGTCAATGGTGAGAAAATGGGCGCTTAAAAGGCATACATTTGGCCATCTTTCAACTCGGCTTCATCGAGAACAGCAATGGTCTTGATGGACATGTTGCTATTGAGGCGGCGTGCAAGTATGATTGGGGGTCGAAAGGCGGGGCGAGATAGAGGCGCGAACAGAAGACGCAATCGCATCCAGCAGGCAGCTTTATGAGCTTCCAGAGCTAGACCCTGATAGACAAGACAGGTGGGATGAAGTGGCCAATCATGAACTCCAAATTACGTCCCCGCAGTTATGATGTCATATGTAGCTTCGATCCATGTGTCAGCCGAAGGCGTTGCCACTTGCCAGTCCCTGGGGTCGAAGTATCGCACTCCTCGTTTCAACCTTTATCGCCATGTTCACGGGGATATGCAGCCGCGTCCGTTGTTTATCTCGTTGATTCGCATGCATCGTAGGTCGTTTTCCAGTCGGAATACTCACCTGTTGACCTTGGCTAGACATCTCCAATCCTTCCAAGTTTCGGAGGCTAAAGCGGTTTGCCGTTCAGGCCAAGGTGTCTGGTCTAGCGAAAGTGAGCAAACGTCTGCAGAATGGCGTTAATGTCCTTACAGTGTCCTTACTATGTACATAACATTTTCGCATGACCTTTTCTTCTCAGACAGGCAAGCCAGGCGTCGCCATATTCGATGGTGACAAGGAGTCCATCAAGGCTTTCCTCGAGAATGCTCGAGGTATGAACCCGAGTATCTCCCAGGATAACATACTCATTACGGCTGTCAAGGGTTGAGATACGTCGACTTCCATCATGTTACCACGAAACTTGTAGTGAACGGCATTGAAAAACGCGTCGCGGATGGGCAAATCGGCTTGCAGGAGGTGCAGGACATGAATAAACTCGTGAATTTGTTGGACGGCATCGGAGAAAAAGAATGGTTTAGGACGGAGATGGGAATGTCCAGAGGTACGTCCCTTCGTTTCTCCCCTTCACAAGGAACACAGAAATTTACATGTTACAGGATGAAACGTCGAAGCGTCGAAGCGTCGAAGCGCTCCAAATGTCCAAGTTCATGGAGTCCCAATTATTGGAGGCAAATTCAGAGTTGTCGATTCACTGAGTATAGCATGAGGCAACCTCCAAGTTTCTGAGCCTGTCGTTATCCGGCCTACTGTCATTCTGGAGACCTGAGGTCCTCGGCCGTTTGACTAAAGCCTCAGGCTTCAAAGTCCGGACACTTCCCCTTCCTCCGACCTCGGACCTCTACGCTTGACGAAGTATGCCAGTAAAACCAAAATATTCGGTGACTCAACATTTCGGATAGCCTTGCAGGAGCCGTTGATGGTGATCAACAGTGCGTGTCTTTCTCTCCTTGAGCACCTCCGCCGCAGTGTTGACAGGTTCTGTGTGGCTGCCCTCACAGCTGAGACAAATATCAGTCACTTTGGTTCCGTCGTTTCGTGCCCTTTCGTAGCCCCACGCCCAGGAGCACTATGCAACCCTCATGATTTTAGTGTTGGTGATTCATTCACTAATCAACCACTCCGTTCAATTTCGAGTGGAAATGTCAAACGCTGAAGATCTAGGAATATCCTACAGCGGCATGCCATTGACTTTGTTGCGATGTAGTGAATGTTTACATGCAGAGCTCTGCTTTTGGAATATCGGCTTTACGGGCATCGTCGCTTGCTAGCGGGAAGACTTACTCAAGCCTACTAAAAAGACAACTTCCTCTATGCGTGCTCTACCTGGCCGTTACGCGTCATTGTTGGGATTGGTCCGCTTGGCCAGTGACGGTCCAGATGTGAGCAAATCGCTCAATTTCATGCCAATTATTGAGCTGATCCGCACACAGATTTCGTGTAAGTAGCTTCGCAGGATGTCGGACTACCTGTTGATAAGGCCTTGCAGGGCTCGGGCCCCGCTTGTCGGCCTGTGTACATAACGTGGTTGGCAATTCGCCCAACTTTGTTCCAGAGTTACGATACTCCTGTTCTTCCTTGTCGCTGTTGAATCTCACGTACGACACATAACTTTACGAGTACACTACTATGCATGAATAGTACGGATTGTGGCAGAGTGAAAATTTCAAATACAAGTGTCCTTTCTGTAGTCCGTACTTCATGGGCATACCTACACCATCCACTGACTACGCCTCTTTCTCAATCGCCGCTTCTTTATCATGATGCTGGAAGGAGCTCTTCACTTTCCCAGTGATAATGCCTGCTTGTTTTTCCACTCCTCTTCCGATCCAAGCCACATTCCTTGCAGCCTTCCACTGCATCAGACCACGGTGCTTTCGGTGCAGCTCGCCCTTCCTTTTTCCGAAATCATTCAGTTGAGCTGCTATGCCGCTCTGCTTCGCAGATCCACCATTCGGCATCTTGCGCTCCTCATCATCTGAAGATGACGACGTGGAAGACGAGGTATCAGATTCCTCCACCTCATCCTCGAGCAGCTCATTGCTCCTATCCTGCGAGCCCTCTGCATGGTCGAGCACCTCCATCACGTCCGCCATGTTCGTGTCGTGGTCCGCAAGATACTTGTGGTACCCGCTCAGTCCAGGCCAAAGACGTACCCTCAGCCCTAGGGTACCCACTTTCTCTCCTATATCCATTGATGCGTTCTGTCGCGAATGTGAGAGCACAGAATCGGCGTTCTTTCGCACAGGAAGCGACACCGTAACCTCCTCGTCGTCCGGTATGTCCTTCAGCCAGAGAGTGCAAAAGGCAGGCGTCAGGTCGGGCCCGACGGCGTGCTTGCGGAACTGGATGAGCAGACACGACGCGTAGCGTTTCTTGACGACGAGTCCAATGGGCTTATCATGTTTGGCCATCCACTCGCCCCCGCCATCGGGGTTCGGCACCATCTTGCCCTTCCTGTACAAAGTGCGCAGCACCAGCCTATCCGAGAAGTATTCCTGCGGCAGGTCGGACGAGGCCTTGACCTGGGGAAGGATCTCGAGTGTTCCAACGTCCCACCCGAGGAGTTGCTTTGGGAGTTGCAACTGCACACTGCGGAATGTGAGCGAGAGACGCATGCGGCCGTAGCCGATACCGCCGACGAGAGGGAGCGAGTCGGTGAACTGCGAGTTGTGTTTGAAGACGTCGCGTAAGGGTAGAACGACGACGCCGATGACTGGGTTGAGTTCGTGGACCCTGTTGTCGCGGACGGAGATGATGACGTCGGTTGTACGCCAGTCTCTAATGAACTTTTCGGTGCCAGCATCGTACTGGAGGGCATTAAGAAAGCGAGAAGGCAAAGTCAAGAACAAAAAGACGTACGAAAGGGTTGCTACTCTTCATCTTCGTCCTCGTCTTATACACCTTCTGGTGGTTGATGATAATCGTACAATACGCGCTGGGCAAATCACCCTCTTCGTCACCCTCCGCGTCTTCCCTAACACCACTCTCCCTAACTTTATCCACCTCCAACCCAGTGATCTGCTCTATCCGCACCGACAATATCCCACTCGGCCACTCCGCCGTCGGCTTCGATCGAGCGATGATCTCATCGTTCTTTTCCTTCAAGTCTTCCTTCTTCTGTCGCTCGACCTCACCATCCTCAGCATGCTGATCTCGCGCTTTTGCCTCGCGTAATTTGTCCTCTGCTTCTCGCTCGATCTTTCCTCGAATCTCTTGAGCGTCTTGGTGTTTGTGCTCGAGGTGTTGCTCGAACGTGGTTTTGGAAAAGTATCCACACTCCCAATGAATGGCACCAGGCCACTCTTCGCCCTTCTCATTGAGAAGGCCGTCACTGCGGGCGGTCATTTTGTTCTTCATGTCATCACTTGTCATGAGAAACTGGAGCGGTAATTCGACGTTGCCTAGTAGGTCATCAGCAGTAAAGCGGTCTACAGAAGAAGTAAGTAAAGGGTCTAAATTGAAATAAGGCTTCAACGACATACCGGAGTCCCACAGCTGTAATTTCAAATTTTCTTGCGCATTGAGCTCAGCAGGGCCAACTAGGAGAGCTGCCGTTTCTTCCCAGATAGGAATTGCAGACGAAATTATCCTATAAAAGCATCGTTGAATGGATATGTTCAGAGCTAGAGAGAATAAAAGGCTATCCGCACCGAGTTGACCATAGAGGCTTCCCCCACTTGCTCCATCCAATTGTCACATACACATCACCTTTCTTCCCTTCAGCCGACTTAAAGAACTTGCTTCCGTCTCCGCTCCTCAGCCCTTCTGCGCGTCGAATCGTGACGATGACCACACCGACTGCATCTGTGTCTATCTTCGGTCGGCCCATCAATATGGTCTTCAAGTCCAGGGTCTGGCTTCGTGGGGCGACGTACTCCTCCAGGGCCATATTGACACTGCTCTGTATCCAACTCGACAGTCCTGGGACGTCCATAATATTCAAGAAACCCTTCGCCAAAGGGGTGCATTTCATCGCGATTTTCGGCAGTCCGAGCAACGTCAGAGTCATGAGTGACAAAAAAGGCGGATTGGGCGTTAACTGAAAGCGAACGCGAACCGTCGTAAGTAGACCAGTGAGGTCTACCCACACGGGCATCGTGATTCCTCCCGTGACCAAAAACTCCATGAGCAGATGCGCGTTGCCCGACCGACTGCGAATTCCCTTTGCCGTCGTCTCCTTCGCCCGGTATGCCAATGCAACTTCCATATTGATAAAGTCGCCTTCTTCTGCCTTCATTCCGTCGACGTTCTGTGCAGCTGAACCACCATCAAGCCAGCGGATACCGAGGATGCGGATGGATTGAGACCCTTGTCCGATATCTGCGACGCGCACACCGTGCACCATCTTTGGAAGCGTAGCTTGCATGGAGTCTTCTAGCATGTCAGCTACGGCGGTAAACAGGGAAGGATTGACGATGGGCCAGAGGGTGTTCAGGAGGGTGTTTAGCCATTGTGCGGATTCTGGACTAGAATCATCATTGTTCAGCGTCCTTTCCTATACGGAAATCTTAGCACTGACAGTAGCGAAGTGGCGAGATGACTTACTTGGTGACGATCCTCCTTTGGTGGCGGTTCTGGTGACGATGGGCGTTGAAATGCACCGAATAAAAGCGCGGCAGCGCCAACACCGAAACCAAACAGACAGCATGCAACTGGGGCTAGGATATAGCCCAACCAGCCCATGCCATAGCCCTTCGTTCCAAAAAGGTTTCCGAGTGTCGACCAGAATATGAAACCACAGAGGCCCCCGGACGCAGCAGCAGCAGCAGCGACGACGCTCGTCTGTATCCTCGCCATCCTCTGGTCTCCGATTGGGTCCTCCCACCAATTACCCTCTAGTGCTTCCCAGATAACATCTTCCATGCCCCAATGGTGTCGATTGGTCTCTTCCGCCGTGTCTGCACCACGCTGTTCGCGAATATTCCTCAGCTCTGCATCAGGAGGCGCCGGCGGGATTCGCTCGAGCTCGACATTGTCGATATCGTGAATGGTCAAAGGAAGGTGCGTGATAGGGTCGGTGACTTCGCGTTCGTTCTCGCCATGGCCTTTCTGTCCAGGTTCGTTTGGATCTGACATGATATGCCTGCGAATGTGGAAGAGTACGGATATTCATAGCAGTCAGACATAGTCTTGACGTCAGTTTCCTACCCCACACATCCAAGCCGGGAGACTGATCATTGCGCGTCCGCATTATGGGGGCAAGTAGGTATCGTTCGCTCCTGATTTGTGGAGACATTTTCTTGACAGAGAATCCATCGACGTTGAGGTGGAGGAAAAATGCAACAGTTTTATGCCAAGAGATTGAAGACGGGCCGGTGAATGAGGTCGGCAATATCGGCCGGAAGCATCCTCAACGAATCACATTGGCTGGAATTAGCATTTGTCCAATTCTCTTCCACCCTCCCGCTTTCTCCGTCCGAAAGGCTTGATACGCTTCGTATCGAGCAAGTATGCGTCCACCCACTCTCTGGGTCCACCGCTATGGGCGTGGTGTATCCCGGAGGTTCTTGGCGACGATTGCAGTGGATCAGCCTCCTCGTGTACCCCAGACAGTAATTGAGAAGGTCGTCCAGAAATATGCTGTTGGACTACCAGAAGGCAAAGTCGTCAAGGCTGGAGACTACGTTATGATTAGGCCTCAACACGTCATGACCCATGATAACACTGGTCCGGTGGTATCGAAGTGCGTTTTCAGATTGTCGAGTTCAAATGACTACATATTCACTTCACAGTTAATTGCCAGGTTCAAATCAATAGGTGCAAGCAAAGTGCACAACCCTTCACAACCCGTCTTCACTCTTGACCATGATGTGCAAAACCGCACAACGAAGAACCTTGCGAAGTACGCTATGATCGAGCAGTTTGCGCGAAAGCATGGCATCGACTTCTACCCTGCCGGACGTGGAATTGGGCACCAAGTCCTCGTCGAAGAGGGCTACGCCTTCCCACACACACTAACCGTGGCCAGCGACAGTCACAGTAATATGTATGGTGGTGTTGGGTGTGTCGGTACGCCAATAGTCCGAACAGATGCTGCAGCGCTTTGGGCGACAGGGAAGACATGGTGGCAGGTTCCTCGGATGATTAAGGTCGAACTGAAGGGCCGACTGGCACCTGGCGTAACGGGGAAGGATGTCATTGTTGCCCTGTGTGGATCATTTAACAAGGATGAAGTCCTAAACGCTGCTTTGGAATTTACTGGCGAAGGGGTCGCGGCGCTTGGTGTGGACGAACGGCTTACGATCGCGAACATGACGACAGAATGGGGGGCCCTAGCAGGTGTCTTCCCAGTCGATGAGACGCTCCTCAAGTGGTACGACGACGTCCTGAACAAGCTCGAGCTACGGACGTTCTCTTCTTCGCCAGGCATCCCGAAGCCTCCAACACATCCGCGGATAAACGCGCAAAGACTGAAGGCTCTCCGCGAGTGCAACATCACCTCTGACCCAGGAGCAGAGTATGTCTCGCACCTCGTTTTCGACCTCTCCACCCTCGTCCCGCACGTCTCTGGCCCCAACAGCGTTAAGGTCTCTAACCCCTTACCTGCCCTCGAAGCGAAGAAGATCTCGATCCAGAAAGCCTACCTCGTCAGCTGCACCAATTCGCGTGTGTCCGACATAGCGGCTGCGGCTGCCGTCATGAAAGGCCGCAAAGTCGCGCCTGGCGTCGAGTTCTACATCGCCGCCGCGAGCTCTGCCGTGCAACAGGAGTCTGAACGGCTGGGCGATTGGGAGACATTGATTCTCAGTGGCGCGAAGACCCTCCCTGCCGGCTGTGGGCCGTGCATTGGCCTCGGGACAGGTCTTCTTGAGGAAGGTCAGACGGGCATCAGCGCAACCAACAGGAACTACAAGGGCCGTATGGGACACCCCAACGCTCAAGCCTACCTTGCCAGCCCGGCTGTCGTCGCGGCGAGCGCCATCAAGGGATACATATGTGGCCCCGACTCGCTCGACGCCTCTCTCCTTCCACCCGTCGGCGCACCGACCTTCTCCATCGTCTCCACCGACTCTACCGAAGCCTCCTCTGGGGCCACCTCCGCCGCGAACGAGCCTCTCCTTCCCTCCTTCCCCGCAACCTTTGCCGGCCCACTCCTCTTCGCCCCTCAAGACAACCTCAACACCGACGGTATCTACCCCGGGAAGTACACATACCAGGATGACATTACCCTCGGACGCCAGGCCGAAGTAGTGATGGAGAACTACGATCCCGGGTTCGCCTCGCTCGCCGCTTCCTTGATCTCCAAGCAGAGCCAGCAATCCACTCTCAAAGGCGCCCCGAAGGACACGAAACAGGGCGTGGTGCTGGTATCGGGTTATAACTTCGGCACTGGCTCGTCTCGCGAGCAGGCCGCGACGGCGCTCAAGGCGGCAGGTGTACCTCTCGTGATCGCGGGTTCGTTTGGGGATATATTCAAGAGGAACGCGATTAATAACGGACTGGTGTGCCTCGAGTGCCCAGAACTCGTTGCTGATTTGACGGAGGCGTACGCCGAAGGTGGCCAGCGCGGTGCTGGAGGCATGAACGGGGAGCTGACGGTGGATAAGGGTCTGGAAGTGACCATCGGCATGGCGGATGGCCGGGTGGTGGTAGGAGGAGGTGTGGCGGATAGTAAGAAGGTGTATGCTGTCAAACCGATTGGCGCCAGTGTGCAGGAGCTGTGGTTATGTGGTGGGCTGGAGGGGTATATCTTGAAGGAAATCAATGCGCAGGCGCAGGCGTCGCCCTAAGTGAATATTGAGTTCGGCGGAATTAACGTGTAAAAGTAATTATATTGGATTTAATCTTGACATAGTCTATGTAGGCCCGCTGTAGAAATATGAACAGCTCAATGCTCTCGCTATCAGCACTCTCAGGCCTGAGCACTCGGTTCCTTGTTCAACTCATATTCGCAGGTACATATGCATAGGACATATATCGTTCGCCTCAAGCATTGGGGTACATCGACAGAGTCGCCTATCTCCAGCCTACAGTGCAGGGTTCCAAATACTCCTGCCATTCACATTCGCCTCAGGAAGGTCCTTAGTAGCCTGCAGCACAGCGCCGGGGGAGAACTTTTCACTGAGAACTGCCAGCTTCGAGCGGTACTCGTCAACACCAATGTACGCCCCACACATCCGCCGTTTGCCATCGAAAGCGGAGCGGCCGTGTAGGACACGGTGGTTGTCCACGACTGTGAAGGAAGGTGGATCAGAAAAATACCGCGTATTAGGAAAGGGAAAGAAACTTGCCAACTGCAGTACCGGGCTGAAGCTGCACCCAATACTCCGAGTCTGCACTCGTCAAGCACTTGTTCCACACCCGGATCGCATCGTACCTGAGTATTGTCCAATACGGTCAAGCGGCTTCACAATGCACAAACATCCAGGCGACATACCATTTCTCTACCTCCCCAGCCTCCAACCGCGTCATCACACTCCGATCATCGTTATTCCACCGTACCTGCACCAGCTCGCCCGTGACCGCATCATGGCCCAACACCGGATAGCCAGTCGGCGGCGCGGGCGTATACAACGAGCCTGCCTCGCCAGCAGCGTGCGCCGGGACGCGCACACGGGAGAGGAGCTGGTACGCCTCAGGGTGCAGCTCCTTCATGATGGAGGCAGCGTAGAAGCCGTCGACGAGGAGCGTGGCGCCACCTGTGCCATCGGTATGTGAGAGGAGGTGGAAGAGCTGGAGGCCGCAGGGGTCGGTCTACGATAAAGGAAGGAGGGGGGGTTAGATGACAGGAGAGAGTGCAGGGGGAAAAGACGAACGAAGTAGGTATTGTCGGTGTGTGCGCCGAGTGCCAGGGTAGTGTATGCTGTGTCGCCTTTCGCTAGATCGGAGGTGAAGTCCCAGAATTTTCCGTCTGGCGGAGAGTTAGCAGAGGGAGATTATATCCAGCTGGAGAAACGTACATTGCGTCTCGCGAATGAACCCAATCCTCTTCGATAGCTCCTCCGTCGCTTCAGGTGTGGCAGGTACGCCAGATACAAAGGAAAATCCGAATTTATACTGCAGTTCAAGCTTTGGAACCGATGCAACTGTCTGAGAAAGAGGCTGCTCACGATGTTAGAAAGCCATTTGTACAAGCCACGGTCATCGGCTGCTATTACTTCCTCGTATGTGACGGTGGGCGGCGATTGCATGATTTTAGATCCCCACAGGATCTTCCTGTTATGCGTCAGAACAATGACCCAGTTTTGAAGTTGGATTCATACTCGTTGGAGGAGGAATCTTTTCGAGGAAGCGGAGGGTCGTAAGAACTTCGTTGCAGCCATGACCATGGGTAGAGGGATACATGTGGCTCCTTCGAGGGCCCTGCACGAACATTGAATACGGCTTGAGATAGTTGGTAGTTGGATAGACGCACAGGTAACCTCAAGACCAGCTGATCTGGACTCCACACGCAGAGGGGTTATATCTTTAGGGATCTATCGGATTGTGGGTCGGTTAAGAGTTTGCGTGGAACGGGGCTTGGTCTTACATCGAAGGTGTTAAACAATCTCTGCTTTGTCACTGGATGGAAGCATTTTGGACAACGACAGTGGTCGCGTAGCCATATGTTATGGCTGAAGCAACATCAAGACGCGTCCACAGTTATGAATAGAATTCCACGTACAATCGAGACCATGTCCGGGTATCCCAACCAATGGCCACCTGCCGTCCATCCTGGCTGATAATAGGGAGATCGTCCGAGGCAACTTCAGGAAGAGGTTGCGGTTGATCCGGCTGTGATGGAGTCGATGTTGTCGCCGTTGCAGATGCTGAGCATCGCGGGGTGTAGGTGCTCAACAGCCTGGCTGCTGCCAGAGATGAGGTTCGCTACATTGACAAAACCACTGTCAGCATTTATGATTCTTCAAATTTCGATAGTCGACGCACTGTAACTGTGGGGAACGCGCTGAATTTCCGGTTGACCAAACGCGGAAGAGCCTGGAGATGGTGTGGACGAGCACTGCGAAGAGCAGGACGTGTAAGTGAGGTCTTCAGCATTGTCAGCGGCGAGAATAGGAAAGGTCAAGATCGCAACAGAAGCTGGGTGAGAGTGTGAAGGAGCCCTGGAGAGCCGCAGAGGCGAGACCTGAGAGGACCACAGTCAAGTTGTTGATTTTGATGTTCTCGATCACAGTCCCAAATTGAAATTAGGCACAGTCGGGACCCTGTCTCTTGCCTTCCACCATCCATGAACATCTCTGCTATCCGGCCCTCTGCTAGGTTTACAATACGAGTCCTCGTTGCCGTTATTCTAATTCTCTTCGGGTGAAAAGTGCGCTACTGCTTTGTTCGAACGATCCCTCGGTTTCGCTTTCACTGTCAACGACTTCTCCAGCAAGCAACTGGAGTATGGTCGCAGTTCCTCGAACTATTGACGTTAACACCTTCCAAAGCTCCACCTCTGCCTCGGGAATGTGATGGTCCTCTGAGATGCTGTTCAAAAACGCTGAGGGTAAATCCCTCCGTGCAGTCAGTCCTTGTTATTACTCTCTTTCATGATCTTTGTGCGTTAGGATAACCTTTGCATAAAGGAGCCTCCTCTGTCCGACGGTCTTGGTGGTCCTGGACAACAAGGTGCACCGTTCCAGTCAATTGAGCAATACGTCGGGATTTATCTCTTTTTGGTGCTTTGTACTTTCTACTTCTCTCTATCGCTCGAATTCAAACAAAAATCCTCTCCTTGATTGGGCTTTTAAACTAACAGATTGGGACACCGAGTCTGAGGCCCTGATTTTTCAAGTTTCCAATCCTGTGAATAGAGTAAGAAGCGGCAAGGCGTGGACTTACGGTCTTCTGATCCCCAGATTTGGAATCGTTCTGTTGTTAATACTTAACTTAGGGTTATTTCTTTGCTCTCAAATTCCAGCGGATTTATTGATTGGCCGGTTATCTTGTCATTTTGGCACACGATACCTCGCCTCGGACTCTAACCTCTTCCACGTAGCGGTAAAACGTTCACAGGACCGAAATAGACTTCGGACTGAATGTCTCTGGCCAACGGTGTATATATCAAAAGCAGTTCGCCTTGCATAAAGCACAATTAGGCGCGCTCAGCATTCATTAGTACTCTTGACGCTGGACCGTGTGTCAAGCTTGAGCTTCTGGGGCTGAGTTCTTGTTATCTCGTCAACTCAACAAGAGGCGTCGGGACTATTCGGGAAATGATCGGCCGAAAAACCTGACTCAAATAATGCAGTTGAAAAGTTTTGAAAATATAGCCGCTCACATTAATCCACCATGGCCTCACTCGCTCGCTCTGCATCCCAAGCCGTCCGCGCTGCATCCCGTCGTGCACCCCATGTATTGGCCACCGTCAAGCCTGCCCAGACAGCCTCATTCTCTGTCCTCGCACGAGCTTCAGCGGTCAAGGCTGCTCAACGTTCGACGCCCCAGGTGAGTCATAGTTTCACGTCTGCGAATATCTCAGAGCTCATGGGAAAGCAGGGAACTCGCGGAGTCAAGACCCTCGACTTTGCCGGCACAAAAGAGGTCGTCTATGAGCGCAGCGACTGGCCCTTGGCCAAGCTCCAGGACTACTTCAAGAACGACACCCTCGCCCTCATCGGCTATGGTTCGCAAGGTCACGGCCAGGGTCTGAACGCCCGCGACAACGGTCTCAACGTCATCGTCGGTGTCCGCAAAGGTGGCGAGTCCTGGAAGCAGGCCATCGAGGACGGCTGGGTCCCCGGCGAAACCCTCTTCCCTATCGAGGAGGCCATCCAGAAGGGCACCATTATCATGAACCTCCTTTCCGATGCCGCTCAGTCGCAAACGTGGCCCACCATTGCCCCTCTGATCACCAAGGGCAAGACCCTCTACTTCTCCCATGGTTTCTCGGTGGTGTTCAAGGATGACACCCATGTCGTCCCTCCTTCGGATGTCGATGTCATCCTTGTTGCCCCCAAGGGCTCTGGTCGTACCGTCCGCACTCTCTTCAAGGAGGGTCGCGGTATCAACTCCTCGATTGCCGTTTGGCAAGACGTCTCCGGGAAGGCGAAGGAGAAGGCCATCGCTCTTGGTGTTGCCGTTGGCTCTGGCTACCTGTACGAAACGACCTTCGAGAAGGAGGTGTACTCTGACCTTTACGGCGAACGTGGTGTCGTAAGTCTCGTCGCAATTATGACGTTTCTACTCTTCTGACAATCCTTTTCTTTCCGTAGCTCATGGGTGGCATCCAAGGTCTCTTCTTGGCCCAATACCAGGTTCTCCGCAAGAACGGTCACTCTCCTTCGGAAGCCTTCAACGAAACCGTTGAGGAGGCTACCCAATCTCTGTACCCTTTGATCGGCGAGAAGGGGTAAGTTGGCTTTTACGATTCAGAGTCATTGAAAGCTAACGACTCTTTTCAGTATGGACTACATGTTCAATGCCTGCTCCACGACCGCCCGTCGTGGTGCCCTCGACTGGGCACCCATCTTCGAGAAGGCCAACGTCCCCATCTTCGAGCAGCTGTACGAGAGCGTGCGGAATGGCACTGAGACCCGCAAGTCTCTGGAGTTCAACGGCCGCTCGACCTACCGCGAGGACCTCAACAAGGAGCTCGAGGTCATCAACAACCAAGAGATCTGGCGTGCTGGCAAGGTCGTGCGGTCATTGCGTCCCGACTACAAGCCTGATTCAGAGTAAACAATTTTCGGTCTTGGTCAAGTAATAGAGGTTCAAAAAGTACCTAACAGTACCGTCGCATCGTATCTATCCAGCTAACTTCGCTGCATTCACTTTTGTATAATATACCAATCCTTTACATTCATTGGGCGAAAACTGAATAATTGGTGAATGTTTCACTTCTATTTGTCGCGTAGAGAAAGAGTTCTGAAGAGTTTGTGCCGCGTGAGCCTGAAATAGCAAACCAGGGTGCGCTACCGGCGGCAATCAACCTCATATTCCTCTCTCTTCACCCTCATCTTCGTCCTCCCCCGCCTCTTTCACGACCCACATCTATGACACACTGACCCTCACGAATCTCCGATTCCATCATGGACAAAGACCCACGCGACGACTTCACGTTCGCCAAACTCTCAGATCTCAAGCTACCTGTGACGTTCAGAATGTGCGGCCCTTGACACCATTCATCTTTCTTTCTAATCATCTCACACCCAACGCGTCCCAGATCCCAACTAGAAGGTGTTCGCAAGCCCCGGTCATTCACCGAGCTGCTGGACAACCCCGAGCTTCGGTTCCACGGCGTGCAATCCTCGTGAGTTGTCCCAACGCGTTTGTGTGGCGTAAAGGGAGAAATAACCTAGGACTTATTTGAAGGACTCTTTCAGATCTCTACGTGACGTGCCAGCTTGTCGCGGATAACAAGCCGCTCACGATCCCGTTCCGCACGTCGTTCAAGGCGTTTAAGAACTCATATACGTGCGTCTTGTCTGCTTGGATGACTGGGGGAAGGTGTCGTGTGCTAATGGTAGTTGGTTTCGTAGGTGGAACGAATGGATCACGCTACCAATACGATACTGCGACTTGCCGCTCAGCTCCCAGATTGCGTTTACCGTGTGGGATATTGGTGGTCCGAGGCAGGCTATCCCAGTAGGAGGGTCGACGTTTAGGTTGTTTGGGAAGAAATGGTGCGCACATATCTTGCTCCATACCGCGTGAGTGACGTACAAGTGGCTTAGGACCTTACGGAGAGGAAAGCACAGATTGCTGCTATGGCCCAACGTCGAAGCAGACGGTTCGGTGGAAACAACAACACCTAGCAAGCTTGCCGTTCAGGACGAGATGGGGCGCTTAGAGAAGCTTGTTAAGAAGTATGAAAGGGGCGACCTGCCAAAGTCGGACTGGCTTGACAAGATGGCATTTCGGAAGATGGAGGAGATCCATGCAGTGCGTAGCACTTCGGTGTTCAAGGAGAACTTACCCTCAGAGCCTTCTTACAGGCAGAGACAGAGAAATCCGAGAACCTCTTCCTGTACATCGACCTGCCTAGATTTGATTTCCCCGTTATCTTCAGCGAACCTGTTCGTTTATCCCCTGTTGAAGGCCCTTCTTCGGTCTAACTTTCCTTGCAGGAAGGGTCTAACGCTGCCACTGCCACCACCCCCCTTCCAACAATCGTCCAATCGCCACTTGCCACTCCATCCATTTCCTCCAGTTTCATTAATGACTCCAGCCTATGGAGTGTCGTCGACCCCGATATCGCGCATGAGAATCCAGTCGAAGACAAGCATCGTCGTCTCGTTCGAAGCCATCGTAGCAGCCCATATGACCGAGAGCTGAAGCCCAATGCAAACATTCGAGACGAGCTAGCTGTACGCATGCCGCTTCACCTCCTCGTCGCAGCATTCACTAATAAAGGACATGCAGGTCATCTTGAGCTACTCTCCAAGCCAACCATTAACATCGGAAGAGAAGGATGTCATCTGGAAATTCAGGTTCTACCTTGCTCGAGACAAGAAGGGTCTCACGAAGTTCCTCAAATCTGTGGCATGGCGAGATTCTTCTGAAGTCAAGCAAGCGGTAGAGGAGCTCTTGCCACAGTGGACCGAGATCGACACAGACGACGCACTGGAATTGCTTGGTCCAGGGACTGTCGACTCTCGTGTTCGGGCGTTTGCCGTTAAGCAATTGAGTCGAGCTGATGACGATGTTCGTCCTATCCTTCTGTTTCTGTTTCTGCTCTTACTCATTTTCGTTTAGGAGCTTCTTTTGTATCTGTTGCAGCTTGTCCAGGCATTGAAGTTTGAGAGCGTCGCCACCGAACAACGGTCATCTAGATCTACCACCACTGCTATTTCTTACGAAGATAGTGGCCTCTCTGATTTCTTGATAGCCCGAGGCGTCATGAATCCGGTCCTAGGGAATCGATTGTACTGGTATCTTATGGTCGAAGTTGCACTGGAAGATCGGGTAATGGCAAAGGTCTATGGGCGTGTGGTGTTCAAGTACATGAGCAAGATCATGGAGGTTTGCCACCTCCAATCTTTGATCCTTCGAATAATACTGAAAGTTTATGTAGGCTGAAAACGGTTCGGAAAGGCGCGAAACAATCCGCCGACAAGGTCTCATGATAGACACACTCGCCAAACGGTCGCGAGAACTCCGAACATCGAAAGATCCTCGTCCAAAGAAGATCGAAAAACTCAGGTCGCTCATCATGGACTCCAAGAACAACCTCTCATCCTTCGATCCTTTACCGCTTCCGCTAAACGCAAACATTGAGACAACGGGTATCATCCCAGAGAAGTCAAGCGTGTTCAAGTCGAACATGTACCCCCTCCTTCTCTATTTCCAGTGCTCCGACGGCAGCGAGTACCCGGTCATCTTCAAGGATGGAGATGACATGCGGCAGGATCAACTAGTCATCCAGCTCTTCACGCTCATGGATCAGCTCTTGAGAAAGGAGAATTTGGACCTGAAGTTAAGCCCGTATGACGTGCTGGCGACAGGACCGATGCAAGGTATGGTGCAATTCATACCGAGCAAAACGATTGCTGCAATTGTGAGCGAACATGGGACGTTGTTGAATTATTTGCGAGCACACCATCCGGACGAAGGTAGCGTTGGCACTTCTGGTGTAGAACCGAGTGTTATCGACACGTTTGTTCGAAGTTGTGGTAAGTGTTAGTCTGTTTCTTCACGTTCTGGTTTCTAAAACGACCAATCCAGCTGGGTATTGTGTTGTAACGTACTTGCTGGGAGTGGGCGACCGGCATTTGGACAACTTGTTGGTAGCACCTGATGGGCATTTCTTCCATGGTAGGCCCTTATTTTTCCCCAATCGAATTGCGCGCTAAAATGTCCTGCAGTCGATTTCGGTTATATCCTCGGTCGTGATCCCAAACCTTTCCCCCCACAAGTCAAAGTATGCAAAGAGATGGTCGACGGAATGGGAGGAGCCCAGTCACCCCACTACGCACGGTTCAAGAACTTCTGCTTCACCGCCTTCACCATCCTACGAAAGAGCACCAACCTCATTCTGAACTTGGTCACTCTCATGGTTGATGCCAATATCCCCGACATCAAGCACCGTGACGTGCACGAGCAGCTACAGGAGAAGTTCCGGCTCGACCTCACAGAGGAAGAGGCCATCAAGCACTTCGAGGTGCTCCTCAACGAGACGTCATATATCACAGTTGTGTTGGACAGGTTCCACGATCTTGCGCAGTATTGGAGGAGTTAGACTTGATGGAAGTTATTGTATTTTTCTTTTTGTAATCTATTGGCTTGTACTTGATAGAGCTGTCCAGACTCTGTCTTCTATGGATCTAATGACGGTTGGGCTCGTGTTCAGGCTTGTCATGAAGTAGGCGACGTCACCGAGTGTCCGGTAGTGTACGCTGAATGGTGCACCGCCTGGTGCTGCCGACAGATCGCCATGAGTGCTGGAACATGCTTTCAAGGCCTTCAAGGTTTCTTGGGCAGATTGTGAGACGTATCCTAAGTGAAGAGGCTTAGCAATAAGGATGAGCACCAAAACTGTTGACCTACCTCCAGTATTGTCCTGGACCTTGATTGCTAGGACGCTCCCCAGCGTCATGACCTCCTTTACCTGCTCAAGCCTCGAGATAGCCCTCACGAACTCAGGATCCCATAAGCTCCAAACAGGACTTTCACTCCCATCCGGCTTCGCCCAACTTGCCTTGGCCGCAATCCACTCATCGCTCAACTGCAGCCTATCAATCAACCTGAGCGTCTCATTCGCCACCTCACATCCCACTGCATGTGCCGTATATGAGTGCCCGTGGAGCAGCGCCTCAGCCTTATTCTCGCTCAAAAACGCCTCAAAGATCGACTTGGACGCGAGGGTCACCGCAAGCGGCACAAGCCCACCCGTAAGGACCTTCGCGTTCACCGAGATATCGGGATAGACGCCAAGAAGCGTGCCAGCGCTCTCGACGCCCACGCGGTTGAGCCCGACGAAGACCTCGTCGAAGATCACCGGCATGCCCGACCACTGGGCGGACGAGCCTGAACGGCGCCCGCGCACAGTGTCGACGAGCACGCGCTGGAAGAGCGGGTCGACGAAGAGCATCCCGCCTGCACCCATGATCAGGGGCTCGAGGACGAGCGCGGCGAGCTTCGGGCCTCCACGCGCTGCCAGTGCCTCCAAAGAACGGGTGATGTATAAGGCGTATGCGCGTGCGAGCGGCGTGTGCAGCCTATTCTCGACGTCGTACACCCACGCGAGGGACTCGGCATTTACGGTTTGAGAGCTCGGGAACGAGGCGAGCGAGCCGGGGACAGTGATGGCGATCTGCCCGTCCTTGATCCCGACCGTGGGCGGCTCGAGCCAGTATCCTTTCGCGTTATGCCATTCGCAGGTGTACACGCCCTCCTCGCACGCGTCCATCGCGCCGATGGTGTCTCCGTGGTAGCTGCCCTTCAGCCCGAGGATGCCTAGCGACTTCTTCTCATTGGCACCGAGGTTGCTGCCGTGTCGGAGTGCAAAGGCACGCAGAGCCATCTTCAGCGCGACTTCCATCCCCGTGGACCCGTCGTCTGAGAAGAACGCGCGGCTTGCCCATCCTTTCCCTGGCCCATCTTTGACCAGGCGTTCAGCGAGGTTCAGAGCGGGGAGGTGGGTCGCCTGGGGAAACATGACATGCCCGTACCTCCCACTCGCGCGGGCAGCCGCGAGCGTCAACGACGGGTGTGCATGACCGACTGTTTGCGTCCACCACGATGCCGAGCCGTCGAACTGAGGCTCCAGCAAGGCCCTCTTCGTGTCTGTGCTCTCTGATTTCTTCGTCACGCTGAAAAAGTCTCCATACGCGCTGTCGATGACCGTGACATCCTTCTCTCCCTTCACCTGTCCGTGCTGGACGAACGGCCACCAGACTGTGTCCAATGTCCGACGAGGCATCGACTCGAGCTCGTCAACCCTAGATTTATGTCGCACGTCCAGATGGTCGACTACGAGCCCAGCCTCGTCGCCCACCTCTGCCGACGTTATGGTTTTATAGTACCCCTCCGTTGAGATGAAGTTTTCCGTCGGGTTGGAAAGACGTGGGGGTGGAGGTCGGACAGTAGCCAAGAATGTCCCGCGTTCTTCGAAGTACGGTTTCAGGTACTCTCCGTTGCGATAGTACTCGTCTTGGAAGAGGAGGACCGCGTCGATGATATACCCGCGGAGAAGAAGGGCCTCGTATGCGGAAATTGTGGTTGATATACCGCCGAGCTTCGAGTCGCCAATGAGGACGGTTGGGAGGAAGAGCGGTCGGTAGGCGTCTGCTTGAGTCGTTCCGGATAGTGTCGGGCTGTGGACACCTTCGGGGCGTCAGTTTCCCTTCTGAAGGAGGGATGGTGTGGTCTTGCTCACCTCCTGCCGTTTCGACATACATATGGCTTGGGTCGCTAGCTTTCTTCGCGTAATACCTAATGCGGTCGGAGATAGAGGTAATGAAGGTTTCGTCGGTGGGTATCTGAAGAGATGACGGTCAAGACGGAACATTAAGAGAGAGCATATAACACACCGAGTTGTCAGCGTCCTCCCCTTCCTTCATCTTCGCAGCCAAATGTGGACTGACGGGCTCGTCGTATCTGAACAGACACTCCGGATGTACTTTACCCAAGAGGTCATTGGTATATCGCTTGACATGGCTGCACGGAAAATCAGCACCTCTGCAACCTGTTCCTGATCCCGAATGCTCCCTCTGCCCTCTTCTCAACTATGAGTCCAAACTGATACTCACTGGTCATCCGCATCTTCCAACGCACCCGTACTCACAGGCTTCAAATAAAACACGTCCTTTCCTCTTTTCGCCGACGCCCGCACGAGAGCGGTCGTAAGAATCGTCTTCCCGACGTCAGTGTTTGCCCCAAAAACTTGGTGCACCCGAAGGTGCCGGAATAGAGATGTCATAGTGGGCCTGTTGGTTCAATTTCAGGCGTGCATTATTGTGGGGTACAATGGAAAGCTGTTGAGAGGAGGATGAAGACGGAGCAGAGTCTGGGAAGCTGTCGCGACTCGGAGTCTGGTTGGGAAAGAGCACATGATCTGATGTCATGAATAAGGGCAGGTCAAATCGTGTCGGGACAACTCACGGGCGCTTAAAATTGGACGGCTGCCTCTTACAAACTAATCGCTACGGAACATGTACCACGTAGACTTGGGTTGATTCTTTGCGCTGTGACATGACCATCGACTCGCATCTCAAAACTCCTCATAGACATTTCAAGTACCCTTTGTCTCTGTTGGAGAACTTGAATCAAACGCGCGTCTAGAAAGTCAACAGCTCTTCAGAGGCAGGGTCTCTGATGGAAGGATTAATAGCTGTCGATTTCATCGTCAGACAGACCGGGAAAGACCTCACTGGCCCTGAACGTGAACCCGGACCGCCTTCCCGAAATCTAATCTAATCTCTGAATCATCCAATGGCGTGCTAGCGATTGGATGAGGTCATGGTCTTTCTCTTCCGCCTCCATCTCTCTCTTTCCTTCCGCTCTCTCCCTTTCTCCACATCCTCCGCCTCCGCCTCCATATATACACCCACTTTCCGCTCACTATCTAACATGTCAAAAACATACGCCACGGAAGAGCAAGTAGCCGTCGCAGCCGTGCGGCGCGCGTGTCACCTCACCTCGCGCGTCTTCAACACGCTCGTGAAGAACGAGACGCTCGTCAAGGGGGACAAATCTCCCGTTACCGGTTCATACTCCACATTACCACTACTTCGGCCCTGCTCAAACCTAATTCCCATCTTTCTCTCCCAGTCGGAGACTTCGCCGCCCAAGCCGTCATCGCCTCCATCCTTACGCACGCCTTCCCCGGCGACCCCATCGTCGGCGAGGAGGACGCCTCCGACCTGCGCCTCCCCGAAGGAAAGGAGATGAAAGACCGCATTGTCTCCCTAGCAAATGAGGCTCTCACCGAGGAGCTCGCGCTGGGGGACAACGTGAATTGGGGGATTGGGCCTGGGGCAAAGAAGACGGACGAGGAGTTATTAGATGCGATTGATCGGGGGCGGTATGAGGGTGGGGGTGTGGGACGTGCGTTTCTCTTTGTTTCATGGGTTTGGAAAAGGGATTGACGATTGGGAACTATCTTGCATTTGGGGTGGACAGGGATGTGGACCATCGACCCCATCGACGGGACGAAGGGCTTCCTACGCGGAGAGCAGTACGCCGTGTGCCTATCGCTTATCGTCGATTCGATCGTCCAGCTCGGCGTCATCGGGTGCCCCAACCTCCCCGTCGATGCGGCACATCCAGAAAAGGGCACCGGGTGCCTGTTCGTCGCTGTTCGCGGGCACGGTGCGCAACAAGTACGTCTCCTCCCTCTCCCGTTTTCAATCCTCATAATCCATCTACCTACCCCTAAGCTAACTCTCTCCGGCGCCAACCCCGAGCCCCTGCACATCCCCACCTCCGCCTCCTCCCCCGAGAACTTCGACTTCCTCGAATCCGTCGAAGCTGCACACTCCTCTCACTCATTCAACGAGCGCGTCTCCTCGCTGCTCGGCATCACACGGCCCCCAACGCGGATGGACAGCCAGGCGAAGTACGGGTGCCTCGCCAGGGGCGAGGGCGGCGCGTATCTGCGTATGCCGACGGTGGTAGGATACCGGGAGAAGATCTGGGTGAGTGGCCTCGTCTCGAGGTATCTCGAGTCCTAGACGAGCTGGTCACTAATAATCTTGTTCACAGGACCACGCGCCCGGCCAGGTGCTCGTCGAAGAAGCCGGGGGGGTCGTCACTGACTCGAGAGGCGAGCCGCTTACATTTGGGCATGGGCGGACGTTAGGGGAGAACTATGGGATCGTAGCGGCTGGGAAGGAGGCGCATGCGAAGGTGCTCGCGGCGGTGCAGGCGGTGATTAAGGAGGAGAAGGAGAAGGCTAAAGCATGAGATCGACGAGGATAAACGAGGATCGATGAGATTAGAGGTTCGGCGACGCTACTCTACTCGTGTTGCGTTCAAAGCACAGTTTCGACGGATCGTATAGCTCAAACACACGACTACGATTGTAGAAGGAATCTGAAATGGGGAAAAGCAACAGTTGCACTAATATTTTTACTGGGCACTCGGGCACTCGGGGTTGTGCAGCTAACTGTGTATCCATTTAACACACAAAACAAAATCATACATCATATATCTCCAAACTCGCTCGCCTCACTCCTTCTTAAGCCTCTTCGATGGAGCCTCCGAGTCCCCCCATACAACCTCCTCAATCCCTTTCCTATCCTCCCCGGCCCACCACAACCGCATCCACACCCACTTCCCCAGCGTCTGGTGCGGGCTGAACATGCCCACCCTCCTCTGGTACGCGCCGTACGTGCTGCGGTACTTGGACTTGGAGATCGCCTCTGTGTAGGTCGTCGACGAGATGAAGAGCAGGCTGAGGGCGAGCGCGGGGAGGAGGTGCACTGCGGGTGCGAGGGTCTGTTTGACGGAGAGGAGGAGCGCAGGATGTTGGGAGGGCGAGGCGAGCGCGCGGAGGAGTGTAGGGAGAGTTGGGAGGTCCGCTTGGGTGGGGATGTTGGGTGGGAAGGGGGAGACCAGGGGAAGGAGGGTTATGATCCACTGCAAGAACAAAAATAAAGATCAGATGTTAGATGTTGCTCGAACATATATTGAAGAGGAAAGAAACGCACCCAGAAACCCTGCTCACACGCAAAGTTCGGATGCCTCGAGTATCTCCACAACCCCCTCGTCACAAACCCTCTCCGCGCATCATCCGGGGTCCACGCCAGCCTCGCACCGACCCAATGCTCATTCGCATCATATTCTTTCACCTTCACCTCCTTCCCGTCCTCCTCCGCCTTCTTCTTCGCCAGGTACGCATGCTTGTACGCATGGAACGCGTACTGCTGGTTGTCTGCCGTGAACTCTATTCCGAGGACGACGAGCGCGAGGGCAGCTAAGGCGTAGTCGGATGAAGAAAGGGGTGAATGGGGTTGGAAGACAGCGGCGACGTGGACGGGCAGGCCGAGTGAGAGGAGCAGGACGTTTTGGGTGAAGGCGATGAAGGTAAGGTTGGTTATTTGGAAGAGCCAGGGCGGGAGCTGGGCACGCAGGACGGCCCAGCGGTAGTCTTCGTCTTTTCTGTTTGGGCGAGAAGTTGAGTGCGTGCATAGGAGAATAAGAGAGAGGATGATGGGACTCACAGGTCGAACAATCCGCGCCGCCAGGTGTTATAGCTCAATCTACACGGAACAAGCTCTTCAGCGACAAAAGATCACTTCAAATCACAAGCAACACTCACCTGCACATCCACACAACGACAAGCCCAAAGATCAATAGCGCCCTCGGGCTATAATCCTTCACGCTCGCGTACCCCAACTCCTTCGGGGCGTACGGCACGAAAAGGAATGGCTGCTCGTTCGGCCAGAGGGGTAGCAGGGCATAGTACGCTGTATATATGGTGGGGAGGAACGTCCAGAGCCTGTCGACCTGGGAGACGTTGGCGGTGACGAGAGAGGCGACCCAGGTCCCAGCAGTGAGGAGCAGGCAGAACTGGGCGGGCCAGTCGAGGTGTGCGGGGATGTTGAGGAACGTCATCGCTGTACGTTGTTGCTAACGATGCTGCAGGACGACGACGGTGGTGCCGAGATGGTGAATGATACGGCGATGGCGATACGATGGAGGTAGAACGAGCGAGGCTTCGCAGGAAGTCAGACTGGCGTGACGAGGGTTATAAAGACTGAGACTCGAGGCGCAGGCTGTCATGTGTATTATTAGCCCGAGGACAGACGGCGGCCATGTGGGGAAGGTGGCCCGTGGCGGTGCTCCAATTACTCCGGCCGGCCGTCATCACCGATCGCTTTCAACGTAGATGACTAAGCACAGTAAGCCCTTCTCTCTCTGACCACGACCGCGACAATGAGTAGCAGCGTCCTCATCGACGCCTTCGCCCCCTTCGGCTCACTCTCCCTCCTCGTTCCCTCTGATTCATCAATTGCCGACCTCCCCTCGCTCATTCACGACCGATATCCTTCGTTCCCCGTCTCTCTGAGTCACGCGCTAGTACTTTCAACACATGCAGGCCATGTCCCACCACCCGACTCGCTGGTCTCGGATGTCAAGAGATCAGGGAAGGAGAATGAGTTGGTAACGCTACGGTTGACGCCAAGGGTCCTTGGCGGGAAGGGAGGCTTCGGGAGTCAGCTGAGGGCCGCTGGTGGCCGGATGAGCAGCCAGAAGACGAGCAACAACGATTCATGTCGGGATCTCAGCGGACGGCGGCTAAGTACTATCAAGGAGGCGAAGAGGTGCGTCTTCCCCTCTCCCCTTTGGTCCCATTCTACTTCCTAACGTTTACCTCCCTCAGGCTTGCAGAGTACATAGAGCACGAGCCCGACCGCCTCGCCGCCAAAGCCGAGGCTGCAAAGGCCAAGCTCGAGGCCCTCGAACGCAAAGTAGGGAAACGCGCTGCCGACGGAGAGCCCTCTGACTCGCTCGCGACTAAGAAGCAGCGCTTTGACGACACGGAGTACCTCGAGAAGACTGAGGAGCTCAAGGAGGGCGTGAAGAGCGCCGTGTCGGCGGCCTTGTTGCTGAAGAAGAAGAAAAAGAAGGCAGCGTCACCGGATGGGGAGGGGTCGAAGGAGGCAGCAAAGGAGAAAGGCAAGAGGAAGGAGAAAGATGAGAAGAAGGCACAGACGAGTGCCGCCCTACTCAGTGCCCAACCGCTGGATCCTATCGTTCCTCAAGCAGTGGCTCTTGATGCTGTTGGTGCATGAGTGGCTTGAGTTGTCGGGTTACTCTCTTTCTTGAACTTTTATGGTTTCACTTGTCATTCCTCACTTATTGCCAATGCTTTCTCTGTATGTAGAATATGCCTCAAACCTTGCGAACCCTCAACAATGCATTCACCTCTAAATGACGCACCATCTACTTTACTCTAGAACGGCGTCTAATGGGCCACAACTAAATCTATCCAAAAGTACCCTGGAACTCTCTAATCTCATTGCGAACGAACAGTCGAACTCTCGTGGTTCTGCAGAGCATGCACAACGTCCTTGATCAACATAAGCTGCCCCGGCGCGTAGCGTTCATAATTCGGAGGTCGCCCATACGCGATGTCCGCCGTCTTGATCTACATATAGAACGACAGTGAGTGGGACGAGAAAAGGGTGTCTATGCGACATACCAAGATGTCAGATGTCAACCCTTTCACCGGCGACGCAGACGAGCGGAAGCGGTGCATGCGATACGTCGTCCCTCCAAGCATCTCAATGACGTTGTCGCTCGTATTCTATGAAGCCCCCGTCAAAAAATCAGTATTTTCTCCCAATACACCACCAGCGGACGCGTCACAGAAGAAAAAACATGACTCACATGCAGTTCACTCTGCGCATACGGCCAGTCCTCGCTCCCCCACTCTACTAGTTTCTCTTTCCTTACCAGCTCCGGGTCTAACAGCGCCTCGAGCGGGTGGCTGAATATGTGCGACACCTCGCCCTCGTGTGCCTTGAGCGACGTAAGTAGAGATGGTTGGGTGAGAAGCGCGACGACGGGCGTGACGAGGAGCCGGTGCAGGGAGATGACGGGCGCGAGGGTGCCGAGGGTGTGGATGGCGGCATGGGGCGGGAGGGGGAGGGAGACTTCTTCGTGGGCTTCGCGGTACTATACGGTTACATGCTGAGCTTGGAGTAGGATACTGTGGGGTGTAAGGAGGGACGTACGGCAGTCGCGATCAAATCCACGTCCCCCACGTCCTTCTTCCCGCCGGGGAGCGCCGTCTGGCCCGCATGCGTCCGGAGCTGCTTCGAGCGCGTAGTCAACAAGACGCGCAGTTCCCCGTCTTGCTCATACAGAAGGACGAGTACGCCCGCGAGTTTGGTTTGGGGGTAGTGTGACCTGTGTACACATCGCACGTTTCAAATACCCAGAGGCAGAGAGTTGGTTACGATGTAAGCTTGGGTATAGAACGCATAGAGAGGGAAGGAAAGTGACGAACGGACAGGTCAGGATGATCCGCCTCCACGCAGTACTTTTCCAGATTCAGGATGCACGACTTCGACTTGTCTGAGAGGCCCTCGAGCGCCGACTCTGGTAACGCCAGTGTGTGACCGCTCATAGTTCGTTCGGCGTTTAGTACGTTCAGGTTTAGGTTCGAAGTTTATTTAAGTCTCGAGAGGAGAAATAAGTCTAAGCAAGTCGTCGTTGGGGTGGAAGAATCACTGGGGTAGGCTAAGGAGAAAGTGGGGAGGGATAAAGGAGACAAGAAAAGTTTTGGGACAGGTCAGTCCGAAAGACAGGGGCTTTGTCATCACCTGTCAACATAGACCGGACCGGACTCCCGCCGCAAGGTCAACCACAAAATTGAAGGTCTTCGACCGCAACCACCATCATTCAGAGCCGCTGCCTCCTTTGCGTAGACTGGCTCGTCACCCACTCTCACTAGCATCTCTGAACTAGGCTCTGGTCGTACAAAGGGCCACGCACGCATTCGGTCCAGCGCTATCCGTTGCGTTTGTGCCATTCGACCTCTCCTTCACCTCTTCTGGTTCCAGCGACAGATACAATGGCTCCTTGAAATGCTCGTATACGTAGCTCTGGATCGATGCTGTGTGTGTCCATGTCTACACGAGCTTTTCTATCCTACGTTCGTATCGGTCAATCCCTCTTATCGCTACAATGGATGTAGAGACAATTTGTTGGCGGCGATGGCTTCTGGTCTTCGTATGTACACGGGGATAATTTCGAGTCGTCAAACGGACTACGACGGCTCTACAACCTGACTCGACTCGACTCGCCTCTGGTAGAGAACAAATTCAGTCTCGGAATGCGGCGTCTATCTTGTCCTTGAATCAACTCGCAACAGCGTTGCGCCTGCAAACCAGGATGTCAATCACCGTACCCTATTCTTCAGAAGGCCGCACGCACCTGATGTTCCCTTTCTCCTAGCAACGGGCAAACATTACTTCAGTAGTCATTTTTCCTGTGTAAGTAATTCTGATGTCGCTGGTCATAACAGGAGCTGCATGACAGGTTTTAATGGATAATTCTAGGTTCAAGAACAGCAATACAACCCACCCGTCCGAGCATTGAAGCGCTCATGATTCAAAGCTTCACTAGTCGCTGGTCACTACTCATAACTCACTACGTATACATTAATATTTACAGCCAATTGAATCACTAGTTACCGAGAACACTCTCTTCCGACTCCTTGATCGCTTCGTCTCTCGCTTTCTCGAACTTCGCCTTATACTCTTTCTCGTACAGCGCATTTCCTTGTACCAGGGTCTCCAAATGGTCTGTCAGGACGAGGTTCGGGCACTGCTTGAGGAGTGCGTCGACAGATGACGAGGAGAGTTGGTGTGATGAATCGAAGTCGATCAGAACACTCTCGAGGAGGGGAATGCGGGCGAGCGCTTCGACAATCTTGTCAGTAGGACGAGGAGCGTCACCTTCGAAAGCAATTGCAACAATCTTGAGTGTCGTATGTTTCTCCTTCAAAAGCATCTCTAGAGCGCCCAAGACTTCATCACCTCCCTTCAACTTCAACGAGACTTCCTGGAGGGGGGCCGAAGCACCTGCGAGCAGCTCGACTTGCAGCGAGCCAATCGCCCCGTTGAAGGAAAGTTCCTTCAAGTCCTGGAGAACGGCAAATAAAGGAATCACAGCCGCCACGTACTCGTCGTCGACGTCGTTGTAGTTGGTGATGTCAATATGTTCCAAGCTCGGGATGTTCTCCAAAATCTTCCGGATATGGCGCACTTCGACTAGACCAGAACCGATACGAATAGTCGTCAACGACGGGAGTTTCGTTGAGAGGGCCACAATCTCGTCAGGTTCGACGCTGGTACCGTATCCAATGTCGAGAGTCTTCAGTGGGGCTCCCAAACCTGTCGATATAGGCCGCCAGTACCAGTGGAAGTCATACAACCGAAGCGTTTCGAGTTTCGTGAACGGAATCTCGGCATCGGCTGGAATAGCCAGATCGCCTTCGACGGAAGGCGTATAGGCGAATTTCGCCAGGTAGAGATGTCTGAGGTTGGGAAGAGATGAAAGAATTTTATGGAGTGAAGTAACCGTGCTGGCTGTAACGGGCTCCTCGCCGTCGTCCGAATCACCCCAGTGCAAGGTGAGGTCAACGACTCCGGGAGTGAGCGACGCGATCTTCTCGACGAGGCGGAAATTCCAACCTCCTTTGATGATACGAATACGAAGGCGCTGGACGTACAGCCCTAGGCTATCGCTGATGGCACCAGAAATGGCGGTCCCAAATGCGAATCGCACCTGTTGTTCAACAGTGTCGAGATCGCGGGGGCGCCGCCAGAGGTTGAGTTGGACCGCGTTGTGGAATGGGTGGGAAGTAAGTGCGGCACTATAGAAGGTATCGCGGTCGGACTTTGTTAAGAGGGGAATGTGGGCGAATATGGCGTCGAGGGTGTCCGGAAGAGAGAGCACATGCTGGGCGGGGGTGAGATTGAGCACTTTCTTAATTTTAGGGGTGTTTCCCTGAGGGATCGATAATCCCTGGACGGCCGTGGAGGCAAGGGAAGGATCTAACAGAATCGGATTAGAATCCTTGCAGAGTTGCATGTTTATCTCGCACATACCATTCAGTGCAGCGTGATACGACTTGAAAATCTCCAATTGCTTTTTCTCTTCGTCGATGGATGGATCGAGAATACTCAAAAAGAATTCGAGAGCGTGAGCTGCCCTCTTTTTCGTCTGCTCGTGAATGGCGGAATCTGGGGCGGATTGTAGCGCTTCACGAGTGACCGTGGTGGTGTAGTCAATGAGAGAGGAGTCAAGAAGAAACGCTGAGAGATCGGATACTGCCATACTGCTGGATAACTTGACGAGGAACTTGGGGACTCGGTATTGGTATTTGTGAGGTGTGCTCGTTGGATAACGTCAAAGAAGTCTGTTGCAATCGTTTCATCGATTTCCCCACACGCGTGGCATCTATCATGTCTATCATGTCTATGTATGATGTATATGTCACCAACCGCCCAGCCACCGCGCCCATGTTTCATCGTCAATCTACCATGAAACATGGGCGATGGCCACTCCAATATGAAATTTGTCCCTCGCAACGACTTTGAAGCTCACCATAGAAAAGTTCCTTTCGGGTACCGAGAACTGCCCCGGTGATTCTTCCAGACTTGCTTGGAATGTGCTGGCCTCAGTATCAGCACTGCTGGGCGCTTTCCTCCGCGAAGCTATGTAGTAAGTAGGAAACAGAGTGTTCCGGAAACATCGGGCCGATTATTAACGCAAGATTGATGGATTCTCGCTGATTTGCACAGCACCGAGAACGCCGATCTGATGCAAAGTGTGGCGTATCACAGTACACCTGCCAAGCACATACCACATGAGTACCCGATGAGTTTTGCCCTACCACTCGTTCCATCACAATGTTTCATTCTACTTTGAGTTTCATTGGGGCCAAGTGCGCTCAACGACGATGGTCGAGTACATATAAAAGCGAGAAAACCTGAAGTTTGAAGATCATTGCCCTTCACATTGCATTCGATCAACTTCTTTACTTTCCACTCGACATAAATCAATCACCATGAAGTTCACTTCACTTTTCTCGGTTGCCCTTCTCGCTGGCGGAGCAGTGGCACAACTTGGAATGTAAGCCTGCACTATCACTAGTTTATCCGCGCCATTCATGAACTCCAAATATCAGGTACGATGTTGATGAGCTTGCCACTCGTGAATTTGACGAAGAGCTTGAACTCCGTGAATTCGACGACGCGCTTGAACTCTCTGCTCGTGAATTGCGCGAAGGCCTCGTTCTTCGTGCCCTCTACCATGTCAAGCGTCAAGCCGAGGATCATGTACGTTCTGTCGTCCACTTGCACTGTCCCTTCCACTTATAAGCTTCTTCCTCAAGGCTGACTTGATTGCACGAGCTGTTGACAACATCGACAACGTCCTTTACCGCCGCTGGGGCTCTGGAAAATATGTGATCGATGACAACACCTACCATCGTGATGTGAAGCCCAAGATCCTCGCTGAGATGAAGAAGATAAAAGGATTCGAGAGCAAGTGCGGTCACAACCCCGACTTCCATGTCGAGCGCGACGGAACCGTCTACCCGAGCTCTAGGACAGATAAGAAGGGACTATGCTCCAAGGTACATATTTCATATCTTTCCGTCCTTCGTTTTTCTCACAGCCGGACACAGAAAACCTTCAGCGTCAATATGCACGATCTACTCATGAGCTACGTCCAGCGCAGCCGGTCACCATCACCGTCCGGACGCAAACGCGATCTCGAGGACATCGAGGACCTTGATTAAATGGTATCGATGAGTCCGGGACTATGGCACTCTGTCATCTGGGCGCCGCTCTCCGTGGTTTCCGTCCAGCATTACTCTATTTTTATCGTAGTTGTATTACATATAGGCTGGTCTGGGTAGGACATTTTACACTGGCTCTCGCAATCTGTTTGTCTCTTTGCATAGCATCATCCACGGAATGACATCTATTACCCTTCAGTAAAGACGATATGAGCAATGAACGCGTTGAAATTCCGAGTCTTGGGGTCGAGAAAGTGACAGTGGGCCGTGCACAGGTTGATCATTACCGTGCTTTTAGGAAATTACAGCATGATTGTTCCGTCACGCTCGTAGCTCACCTCCACCACGTCCTGGACGTGCTTGGACCGCAGGTATCGTCCTCCACATCCTTCTTCCCGCCCGGGAGAGCGGTCTGGCCCGCATGCGTCCGGAGCTGCTTCGAGGGTGTCGTCAACAAGACGCGCAGTTCTCCGTCTTGCTCATACAGCAGCAGTAGCACACCCGCGAGCTTGGTTTGGGGGTAGTGTGATTTAGTTCGTTTGGAAGGGGAGAAGGAAAACGAAGGTAGGTTGGGTATAGGATAGAGAGGGTGAGAGAAGAAAAGTGACGAACGGACAAGCCAGGATGGTCCGCCTCCGCACAGTACTTTGCCAGACTCAGGATGCACGTTTTCGACTCGTCAGAGAGGCGTCAGAGAGGCCCTCGAGCGCTGATTCGGGTATTTGGGAGGCCATATTTCAAGTTCGTTCGTATTTGGTGCTCTAGTTTGAAGTGCGGATACGCCCTAGACTGCTGGTAAGTTGTCGCTGGGGTGGCTGAACCGCTGGGGTAGGCGGGGCAGAAAGTGGGGAGAGGTAAAGGAGGCGACAAAAGTTTCGGGACAGGGTCCCAAGTAGAAAGATGCGGTGAGTGAAGAATGAACGAAGAGATAGAACTAGGTCTTCGAGCGAGTGGCAGGTGGCACGTGATGCTCTCTGCTTCATGCCACCACCATCTCGCCTCGAAGACTCGCCTCAGCCTCAACGCCGCACCTCAACGGCCGCGTTGAGCACTTCAAAATCTCTTTTCCCAGTGTCCTACAGATTGCACGACCAATCTACGCCTTTCACTGATTCTCCCTATCTTCCGGGTGCCAGCTGGCACGAAGCCCAACTTCCATGCCAAGAATTAAGTCTCAAGACTCTCCCAAAACCCCGAGTACGAAATAGGGCTGAGAAAGAGACCGAGGGACCAGGTGATATATCTGTGAAGCAGTGCAAGAGGTATGTGATAGGCTACCTCTACGCAATCAGCACCGTCTCGTTCTGTTCCTGAGTAGAACTTTGCGCGTAACAACTGGCCTCGAGAGCATCCCAAAACCGCATACGTCCATCCGAACTTCGTAGATCGCCTATCTACGCCAACAACAGTCGATGCTATTTGTTTCGCTCATCCGAGCTACGCTTACTGTAGTGGCTGCGAACCAATGCTATCCCGTTATGAGTGGCCGCCCACTTCTTTCGTCCCAAGAGTCACCCCTCGACAACATCCTCCCTTCCAGCAACACGACTTTCGACGCACCGATGACCATTGCTCAGCATTCTCACATCTGCGCAACTCCGACAACAAATCACATCCATCCATTCACTTCGCTTTGCTGTCCCCGCTATTCGCTATTACTTAGGGCCTTGCCCTTCCGCTCCTGCTGCTGCTACTCCGTAGGGCTTTGCCCCGCTGCTACTACCTTGTAGGGCTTTGCCCCCGCTGCTGCTATTTTGTTGGGCTCTGCCCCGCTGCTGCTACTCCGTAGGGTTTCGCCCCGCTGCTGGTGTTACTGAGGGTTGGCCCCATAAGGCTTCATCCTGCTGCTGCTGCTACTTCTGTATGTTGGGTATGTCTTCCCTGCGAACATGCAAATTCCTTCGCTGGCCCGCTATCATTACTGACGCCGGCGTGCGATCACTGTTGATGGCTCGCTATCGCTTTGGCTCCTCGTATGCTATTGCCCCGCCTATTTTCTGTCACTCAGCTGTTGTTCTCGCCTCTCTAAGCTGCGCTCCTTGTCCCACGGCTACCCTCTGGTGTCTGCCTGAACGTCGGGACAGAATCTAAGTTGATTCATTCGACACCCCACCCCGATCGGGAATAAGGACAGCTTAGATCGCCTTATGTGTGATATTTCAGCCGGGATTCATGATGTTAGTAAGTCGCCCGAATGTCTATATATTTTTACCTCCTCGCTATGCTACATGCTACAAGTCATCCGATGAGTATTTGGCCCATGTACCGTTAAGCTACTCGCTGTTTTCATTCATGCTGTATATGACTTCAATAGGCTTCCACGCTTTGTGAAGCTTCTGTCTCTTATTATCTTCCCCCCCCAATGTGTGCTATGAGATCCCGTCCAATCAATTAACAACTGTAGACGTCAGTCAAAATCTGTTTTGCGACCAATCCTTCATGCCAGCCAAGTTCTGGGCCTGCTGTTACGAGCATGTCAAGTATTAATTGCCTTTTGATAATGAAGATATCCTGGAAAATGCGAGGACAGTCCACTAGGAGCACCAACACGGTATGTTCTTGTTTTATCAATAAGCAATGAGTTGACGCACTAATAACATTGACACTCTTCTCCTTGCATGTACGAGCACTTACTCCTTGCGAAGCGGCCGTGTTTCATCGACTTCGAGCTTTCCGCAGACTGCGGTACAATTGTGGCTCGGTGCCGTACCGAACCATAAGCCATAAAATATGGCACAGCAGATGACGCCAAGGACGAGCTAAGCGCCCACTGCCTGTTATTTGACCGAGCCGCAAAATGGCGGTAACCCTATGATACGAATTTCAAAGCGTTAAACCCCTCACGGTGGCCGACCCATAAGCTGTAGCATGATCGCGATGCGCAGCCCTGGTGCTATGGCCAATTGCAGGGAAGAGAAATATGGTCAGCAGGAGACCAACTCTGTTCATTGCTTACACCCTGCTGAACGTCAGCGATGACCTTATCCCAACGAACACGAGCAAGTTAACAGCTAGGAGGAGTCAAGGGATAGTGGATCGTCCCCCCAGCACTGTGAGTCTCTCCTCGACAAAATCCAGGCTCTCGTTGTCGAACTATGCTCCTGGTGCTGAAATCCAGGCTCTCGCCATTAATCGGTGCTCCTGGTACTAAAATCCAGGATCTCACTGTCAATCAGTGCTCCTGATGCCCCGAAACCCAGGCTCTCACCATTGCTGGTGTTCCTGGTCGTCGTCTGACGTCTCCCTCATCCATCCATCTGAAATCCAGGCTCTCACAGTGCGGTGTTCCTGGTCATTCTTCATGCACTCGCTGGAACGTCATCTGCGTTCGCTGCTCACCATCCACCCCATGCTACTTGTTTTCCCTCTTGTCTTCCTGCATGGATCTTTCTAGATTGTATATTAGGCCACTAACAGTGCGTAGAGGGGACCCAGCCTGCCGAATTCCTCCCACAATGAGCTTCAGCAACGCCCTACGCAGCGAGCAGCGAGTCACCCGGCACCGGCCCGATTTGGCCGCCGCTACTATTTATGCCGACAGATTTACTGATCGCTGGTGGGCGTTTGGCCTCGCATATCTCATGGCGGGCCTGGACGCGCACGCGAGACAGTGCTTGATGGCGGCAGACGTTGTAGGGCCTCACGGGGTCCCTGTAGTGAATGTACCATTTCGCAAAGGCTCTCTCGGGCTTGCCTAGTAATGCCGCTGCGCTGCCCAACAATCTCCCAGTCCGCCTGAGGATATGCAGGAGCTATTCCTGAGGATACTAGGTGTAGCCCGTATACGTACATCTCAACTAAACCTAGTTCAAGGTTCAAGTATTATTGACAAACTGCTCGAATATGAGCGTTCTCTTCTGAAAATAGGCACACCAGTGCGAGGGACTCGGATGTTTGTCCGACAAAGTGCTGTCTTTGGTTTCCAGACTCAAAGGAAGCTAGTAAAGATTGCCAGTGATGACATCCTTCAGAGATCAAACAAATTCCGAGGAGATGGTCTTGCGTCACGGATAAGTGCTGACAGCAGTCAACCATCCTGATGGCCAAGTCCTTAACTCCTTTTACGCTGAATAAGAAGTACATTGCATACAAGCACGAGCTTATATGCACATGAGGTTATCTCCCATTGGCTGTTTGCTTGCGGCAAGATACAATCCTCGGTTCAATACCCTTCCTCTGATGAAATGAAGGGTAAATATTTTCATTCCGTGTTGTACAACTGAACCAAAGAAGACCTGGAGTCCAAATGGCTATTTATCTTAATTTCTTTCGGGACTGGGAGGCCCGGATTTATGGGGAGGAGGTCCAAGCATAAGAAATGGAAGCTCATCAGAAAGATTCCGAATGCCCACTTTCCCAATCATCCTCCCAAATTTACTTCTACAGCTTTGTAATGCAGGAAAGCTGGTTTGGCATGTGATCTGCCTGCTCCTTCTCATAGGATACTAGTAGCTGAGTTCAAATTTTGCAACAGTTTCAGAGCCACACGGGCGCTAAACTCTCTAAGTCGTGACAATGCATCTTTCTAGATGGCTTGTGCGCAAATCCACATGTATCTAAGGGAGGCTACAACAAATTTACCGCACCTAACGCTTGGAAAGAGAGGAAGGGTGCTAGTCATGATTGGGCCTAACATTAGACGCTCATAAACAGAGCCTGATGCCTGACGTCTGCCAGCTGCAATCCAAAGCGCTACACCATCCGGAACCCGCGCTCATTCCTTCTTAGGATGGGGACCGACCGAGACTCACTCGGCGCGTCATGACCACGCATTCCTACTTCGGCTGGGTGTCTCCGCTCGTCTCTGAAAAGGTCCCCACGATGGCCCGCTGGAGGGCACTCCCGTGCCTCGCCCACAATCTAGCTAATAGCAATGCAAGTAATATGACTGACTAATCTAATAGCTACATGAGAAAAGTGCTAACCAAACGAACCTCAAAGAACAGGGGCTTTGCCATCATCCGTCAACATTTCCCGGGCCGGATATCCGATGCCTTCAAATCATCGAAGCCCTGCCGTCGAACCCCTTCTACCACTGCCACCATCTCGAATCGCTGAATTCTTTGCACCAGCTAGTTTCGCAACGGAACGCCTAACGGCAGGATCTGTTCATCGATGTATCTGGATGCTCCGAGTCTATCCACCGATCTCGCAAGCTGTCCGACGACTGTGACAATTGGAAGGCTGCATACGTTCTTTACTTCAAATTGAGCGTGCAAGACAGATGGCATTGACGTGCCTCTTTCTACGACCAAATTAATCCCTACTGATATTGAGCATCTCAAAAACCTCATCGTCCACTCCCCTCGGCTCTGCTCGTACCACACAATACATACGCATTCGATCCAGCGTTCATAAATGCCATTCAAGCTGCCCTCTACCTCTTCTGGTTGCGGTAACAGATATGATGGCTCTCAGGGTAATGTCTCATCGATGCTGTGTGTGTCCGAGTCTACGCGAGCTTTGCTAGCCTGCGTTCGGATCAGTCAGTCTCTCTTATCGCTTCAATATGGATACAGAGACCATCTGTTGACAGCGATGGTTTCTGGTCTTCGTAGTCGTCAAACGGACTACTACGGCTTCACGATCCGGCTCGACTCTAGGAGAGAATAAGTTTAGTCTTGAAACGCGGCGTCTACCTTGTCTCTGAATATGCTTGCAACAGCGTTGCGCCTGCAAACCAGGCCGTCAGTTACTATATCCCCTCCTTCAGCCAGCCGCACGCACCTGATGTTCCCTTTCTCCTAGAAAAATGAACGAAAGAGCTGCTTGTGTGATCGTTTTTTATCTTGCAGGCACGACCAGCTCACCTTCGTCCTAGGCAGACTACCATGAGGCACAACGAATATCCTACGCGGGTCCTCGATCCGCTCGTACGTGAACAGGCGTTGATTGAACTCTTTGGTTCGGGCGATAACCTCAGCGACGAGAGCCTCCTCGCTCTTTCCACCAACTTCAGCTGAGGGCAGGGCCTCGATGAAGAGACAAGCGAGTGGCCGGTTCTCCCCGACGGCGGCTGCGTCGTGCAGGATGTCCTTGCACATCTTCTTGACGTTCTCCTCAATCGAGCTGAACCAATCGATAAGTGATTCAAACGCCATGAAATCAGATCCATGTATGGACTTACTTCGCATCGCAGAAGCCGGGCAACGTCTTGATCCAGTCGCCCTTCCGTCCTCTAAAGCGGTATAGTCCGGGCGTGATCTCTTCTAGGACGTCTTCGGTGTGATACAACCCATCCGGGGATTTGAAGAGCGATGGATGAGGGCTGTCTTTTTTCCCAGGACGAGCCACCATCTCGAATAGCTTGGTGTCTGTGTCGCCCTCTGAACTGGAAGACAACTGGCAAGGGATGAGGGCTGGGGCATCTAGACCTGGCATCAGACTCAACAGTCTGTCGGTGGCTTCGGTTCCAATCTGGCTAGTCATGACAGGGGCTTCGCGACGCGTCAAATCGCTCATGAAAAGAGACTACAGCATCGAAAAGACTCACCAGTTTCTGTGGTTCCGTACATGGTCTGTCAGAACCATATCAATCCATTGGACGGGCAAAAATGAGCCATAGTAAAACGACTAACGGTTACGCGAAGCCCGTTTTGGATCGCCCACTCCTCGTCCTCTTCTGGAAGAGAGACGCCCGTATGGAGGATCTGGCGACAGGAAACAAGGGCAGCGGTGACAGCTGGGTCCTTCTGCGCTGCCTTTATATACGAAGACAGGAATGTAGCGTAGAGGGCCAGGCGATTGACTCCACAGGTTGTGATCATCGACACGATCTCGGAAGTCGAAGCGCCCATGGAGGACGACTGGACCGTGCAAAAGCCGTGGTAAAGCGCAGCCATATATGCTACACATACGACAAAAGCGATAATGAGTTCCTTTTACAAAAAAATAAAATTGGAAGGCCTCCCAAGGTACCTGTGATCGATCCTACATGAGCAAGATTCCCGATGGTGTTCGTGACGTTGGCGTCGTCAAAGTCTCCTTGTTTGAGCGCGGCGGGATACTTGATCTTGATAAACGCAGTTACCCAGCTGTGCGTCACGGGAATTAGCTTTGGCATCCCGGATGTCGTCCCGGAAGAGTGTACAATTAGAGCAGTGCCGCCTCCACTGGCAAATGGAGTAAACGCGAAAGAGGCCGTGTTTTCGTGGGTGACGGAGGTCTCGGTTAGAGCAGAAATCAATGAGACGCGGCAGGAGGTAACTTTGTCTTTGAAGTCTTCGTCGTAAATTAGGACGTTAGCGCCACTCTTCTCCATGAGGTCCCAGATGACCTCTTCGTTGGGAAAGTTGGTGCTAAAGAGTTGAGGAATAAATCCGGCCAGCATGAGGCCCATGATGTTGACTGTATCTGAATACTTCCGTCCTGAAAGCCTGAAAATTGACTACGGTCAGAACTGAGGGCTAGGATAGCGAAGGGGTGGACACACCAAAGTCCAACAATGTTCTTGGACGAGTTGTCTCCCAGCGCAGATCGATAATGGTTCTGGTAGAAAAGCAAGTCCTGCATAAATGTAGCCGAGGAGATGGAACCCCATTTTCCATCGCCTCCTAGGTACGGTCTAAAAACTGCATGTTCGACTTGACTCTTGAGTACCGCGAGCAGCATAGGAATGACATGTTCGTTGATAGGTGAAGATTCCATTGATCTGGGCGTGATGGGTGATTGAGAAGACAGTGTCTAGAGGAATTTAAGTAGACTGGAATTCTCAGGCCAGGAGATAATACATTCACTGACTGGCCACTTGCACACAGCGTCGTTTCTATCTCGCATCTCAGAGAAGTTCCAGGATGCGCGGAATTGTGGGCACACATGAGAAAATGTGACTCTTCCGTAGTCCTGCATTGATGTGGATGCGTGAACAATACACACATTGGATCCCCTACACGCGTAACATTGACGACATATGGGCCGTTTCAGGGGAGCTTCCATGAGAAATAGTGCCTCCTTAAAGGACAGTGATTCAAGACTTGCCCACAAACCACCCGCCGAAAACACTTCCCCGGGACCTCATCACACACAACCACCCAGGAGCCCGCGCCGGGCGAGGCGAGACCCGTGCCAAAGCTAGTACGAACAATCAGAACTTCGAGAACCATAGCGATGCCGATGTCTCAGGACGCCGCGGACAGACGCCCACAACTTCGCCAACTGGGTCTCGATGTTCGACCTCCTGCAATCAGCGCTGGAGGCCTCGTTCCACATGCATCAGACTCAGAGTCATATCTTTATCCCATAGCTGTCTGAAATTTATGAGTCCTCGAAGCAACATAAATTGCTTCTGAGCTTCTCAGGGGCTAAAGCTTTCGATCGAAGTTGATTATCAGCCGTAGATCGCGGACCGCTTTGCTCCGCAAATTAAGCGCCTGTCTTTCCCGATTCGGCGATTCGGCACTCAACTGTCGGTCTCGACAGTTACTAAATGTTCAGATATAACATTGCGCAATCAAAGTCAACGATATATCACCCACGACTATTACACACAATAATAGCAACACTGACTCGATCCTCCGTCACCTAGTTTGGAGTGAAAGCAAGAGGGCTCAAGTAAACACTAAGCTGAGGGCTCTGTTTCCTGGTTGCAATGCCTACATAAGTAAACAGTCCAACGCTTTTGTCCAGTCCTGTGCGTCCGCTAAAGCAGGGATATATCATCTTGGACACGCGACAGAGCCGGACAGATAAGAAATACTCACAACGCAGATTGGATATCGCGGAGATGGGTCTCCTTAATGCCATATTTCTCCTTGTAAAGCTGTTCAAGCGCCTCTCCTACGAGTGCATCATTCTGGCAGTAATGTCGAATGGGGATGTAGAGTTTTGGAAAAGGGATCTCCCTTCCAGGAGCGAGCTCGAAGTAGAGCACGAATCGGCTCGCAAAATGGTCTGGGTTGTTGGACTCGAGTCGTTGGTCGTCATTCTTGCCGACAAATAGTTGACGCCAAACCTCTTCTATCATTTCTATTGCTTTGTTGATAAGTAGTCCCTTCAGCCTCTGGCCAAGGGTGAATACTTCGGTGATCTCGTTGAGGGAGCTTGCATTGCACCGCACGTAAATTTTGGCTCGATTTTTGGATTTATGGACACAGTCGACGGCCACGATGTCCGGAGTAGCGTCCAAATGAGGTACTTTTTCCGTGAAATACGACGCCACAATCTTCCATTGGGATCCGAGATCGAGCTCGTTCATGCACGAGGTGACTAGATCCATCTGAGAAATCCCCGTTGCTTGGGATCTCAAGTGAGGGAGGAAGTATGCTTTGCCAACAATTCCATCATGAGTGAAGTCGGCCCCTTCCAGTTTTCAGCCTCAGATAAATATGATTATTTGGAAGGGCGCTTACCGATCGAGAATTGGGAGGAGTGCAGGGGTTTTTGCTTCGGCACATTATTCCCTTCGAAAACTAACATCTCAAAGCACGTCAGGGCCCAATCCGTGTCGAATTCCTGCACGTTTCCGATTGATGAAAATTCATGAAGAGCATTTATCCACGTCCGGCTCGGAGTAGGGGATCCGTCGACTCCTGAGAGTGGCTCTAGGGTAAAGCGAATGGTGTGTTTCCCGTCGCTGCCGAGTATGCAACTAAACTCGATGGGAGTGTGATCATCTCCCATATAGGAGCACGGAGGTGTCTCCTTAAATTGCGATGGACTTGGTCCGAGGAGTGGGATCACGTATGTCGCGATAAACGAAAGGTACCTTGACTGAAGAGCCTCCGGGTAGCTCGATTGCTTAAATAATGATTGGAATGGCCAATAGACCTTCTTCCACCAGAAGTACGTCCGCGTGATTGAGAAACCGCATCGTACCTGGACAGCGTGGCAATGAGCACAGTCTCTAGACGGACGCGAAACAGTATTACCAAAGCCCATAAGGCATTCCAGCTGCGAGTTGTCGACTTGGCTGCAACACTTGAAGTGTGGAACATGCTATAGCTGGTACTCTGGGGATGTGAAATGAAGGGTCTTTACTCTTAAAATTGGTCTACAGGTACATTATAAAGGCCTCGGATATTATAGAGAACCAATCCCTGTAGGCGTCATGGAAATACCGCCATTTACTGTTTTAAAAAATATTTTCAGTCCACATTGTTGGGTATTTTGGCAGTCCGGACGTTAATTTTGAGTAAATATACCATAGGCTAATTCTTTCTGGTCACTGCTATCTTCGTCGAGTCCCTACAATAACTTGAAAAGACTGTTCGGACTCAGTCGCAAGTACTGGCGCTTCAGACGCTCATGCCCTTATGAACCGTTTAGTTCTCTAGCAGGAAGGATGCTAGCAAGGGCATAGGCTATGTCGTCGTAGACCTACCGATGCATTTTTCCTAAGGACCTGATTTTCTGGTAACAGTAGGGTCTTTATTCTACAAAATATAGTTAATCGCCGGATTCAAAATGGCGAGCACAAACACCTCAGCTCCATCAAAATGTTCTCGCACACTCCGGGTTTCAGCGCATCATTCTGTCCTGTGAAACCACACATGTACTTACAGGGTGCAGCGCTGTGAATAAATTTAGGCATTCGAGGTGGCTCCAGCTTGATGAGACTTGGACGAACGACGGGTCACGGATCATGGACTCGCTCGATTTGGTTGTGGGTCCCCGCAACACGGCGGCCGCCATGACAGTGTGTCTTCCATGGAAATGCTATTTTTAGTGAGATGTCGATGTGGGTCATAGGGGGAGATGTGCAGAGCATGGAACTGTGGGCGACACATAAAGTGATTGGCGGTAGGAAGGAGTTGATTCTCGCCGACGTCAAACCATGGCTAAATGTGAGGCTAAAGATATCCTACCAATGATTGTGTACTCATTGAATCAAAGTTTGTAGCCTTGAGGGGCCATCTTTCTTTTCCCCGTAAGACACGCATGCCTCCCCGGTCATCTGGCAGATTATTTAAGGAAACAGGCCCACAACCTCTACCTTTCTCATCCCCAACTCTCGAGGGTATCATGGCCGCCTCCACTGTGGTCGACAACAAGTTGGACGTTTCTGATTGGAAGCGCTCTGACGGCGCTCAGGATGACTCCATTCACAAAGAAAACCAATCTATGGGCGCTATCTGGCGGAAGTTCGATTTTTATGTCCTCCCGGTGCTTGTGATCATGTTGCTTTTGGCATTCCTAGTAAGCCTCGTCGATGCCGGAGAGTCCCACTATACTTGTCCTAAATGTCGACTTAGGACCGAAATAACATTGGAAATGCCCGGGTCTCTGGATTCCAGAGAGACCTGAACATCACGAACAAACAGGTGGGTAATATATTTCACGCTATCCATACTCTTATCTAACGTCTTTTCAGTATAGCATTGCCTTGACCCTGACTTTCATGTGAGGACTTTTCGAAATCGTCGGAATTCATCAGGACTCATAACTTTCAAGTCCTTACATGCTGGTAATGATACCATCGAACCTTATATTGAAGGTAAAAAAAATCCCCTGACGCTCCGCCCGTTGCTCAATGTGCAACAACAGCGAGTCGGCGCCAATATATTACTTCCTGGAATGACAATCCTCTGGGGCTTCACGTCTATGATGCAAGGTAAGGTCTGCTATCCGACGAATTGGTTTAGAGTCTTACCGCTGTAAAACTAGGCTTTGTTCACAATTTCTCCGGTCTTCTCGCTTGTCGCTTCTTCCTCGGGGTCTTCGAAGGTACACCAAGAGGAACGTTGAGGTGTATCAGACTGACATATCGGCAGGCGGAGTCCTCTCATGCATCACACTTTACATGTCATCCTTTTATCCTCGATATGCCTTGCAGTTGAGGTAAGAACCATGAGAAATGCATAACGTTCTCGGAAGGAACCTCACCGCGTTGCAGAATTGCGGTATTTTTTTCAACAGCCGCTCTCACTGGCGCTTTCTCCGGCTTGCTGGCCGCTGCAATATCCGAGATAAAAGGCACCAAAAGACCGGGTTGGGCATGGATATTTATCCTGGTAAGAGTCGTATTCATGGATATCTCGTTGTGGACGTCTAATAAAGGAAATTCGCGTATCGCAGGAAGGAGTCTTTACGATTGTTTTTGGGATTGTGTCCCATTTTTGCCTGCCGGCAACGATTGCAGACGCCAAATTCTTGTCGGCAGAGGAAAAAGAAGCTTTGACCGCAAGATTGGTCCAAGATGGCATAATATCAAGGAAGGTTGAAGACGATGCGATCATGCTACATGATATCATAGAAACCTTCAAGAGTCCACCGGTGATATTAATGTCTCTGGCGTGCTTTTTCGGAGGGGCAACAGAGTCTGGTCTTGGATAGTAGGTTACTTGGGTCTACTGATTTTGCTTGCTTACCTTACCTATTCTCAGCTTTGAACCTTCTATCGTCGAGAGCCTTGGACACTACAGTTCCAGCCAGGCACAGCTAATGAGCGTCCCTCCTTTCGCCGCGGCATTCGTCTGTAAGCAAGCTTCCACTTTGCTTAACAAACAACTGAATCTGACTTCAAACCATCAGTATCCTTGATTTCTGGATACATATCTGACAAATATCGCTGTCGTGGACTGACCTGTATATTCTTCAGTGTCTTGTGCGTTGTCGGGTTCTCTGTGTTCCTGGGTAAGTTTTGCGTCACCTACCACATTATTAATAGACCTGACCAGCTTCCTCTCTATTGCAGCTAGTGATTCCAGTCCCGTTCGATATAGCTCCTTATTTCTTGCACTTCCGGGAACGTTTTGCGCCGCGCCAGCTCTCGGAGCATGGACTGCAAACAATGCCGCGCCGTATACGCGAAGGGCTGTATCGCTGGCTCTCATCAACGCGATGACGTGCTTCGGGGGGATCCTTTCAATTTGGCTTCTTGGATTTTTATCCCCTCCACCCAGATATACGAAGGCCACGATCGTATTCGTCATTTTCTCAGTCGGAGAGTTGTTGTGTTCGGCCGCCAATCTGGCGTATTGCATCGTTCAGAACCGCCGAAAGGCGGAGAGAAGAGCGGTGGGAGAGCAGAGGGAGGAGAAAAGCAAGTTGGGAGACAAGAGTGCTTGGTTTATTTACAGTCTCTAGTTCAGCTCTCGAAATACAGCGTAGTACCGTCTTCCTGAGGGTGCCGGTGAACCTTTATCACGGTTTTCAGGAAATGAGGATCTATGAGGATTCGAGTAATGTCATAAAATAATGAGGAGCTCACGATGCAACCGTCCGCGTGTGCAAGTTTTCCGTCGGTGGTTGGGAGTGCCAGCAGTGAGCATTTTGAGCAAGGGCCAATGGAGCGCTGGGCGAAAATGCCAAATGACTTCCCGGGCCGGTATTGATCGATTGATCGATGATCCGGGGCGTACTTAGTTTGTCTCCTCACACATCAAGCTTTCAAATTTCGGTGTTCTCAACAAAAACCGAAATCCTCAAGTTCGAAGGCAATATGAAGATTCCGCCCACTTCCTTATCACTGTCAGTGGGCAGACGCTGCCTGCTTTCTATGAGTTCATGTGCCGCATGTAGATCGATTATAGTCGGCTCTGGGCACTCGAAGGTGACATGCCCAACTATCTTTTGGCCTCTTTTGGCTGACCAATATTCCGTCCTCAGTGCTATTGAACTCAAAATAAGTTGGAATTGTGGGTCCCAGAAGTCGATGAGACGTGGCTGAAGAACCTCGGAAACATCGACCTTGACACCTTGTTGCATCCTCCGAATCACCAGCGGTCTTCGCAATGAGGCAATAGCGTTGTAAGTATGTATTTCTGATAATCATTCGCGCCCAAAATTCTCCGATATCCACCAGTGAACTTCCACAAACAAGTCAATCCACAATGCCAGGGATATTGGCTCCATTTCGTAGCTTTGCTTCTGAAACGACTCATCTCCCCATGCTGCCTGTCCTTATACATCAGCGCCCGGAGCATATACTTCCATTTTTCCGTTATCGCCAGCACACCACTACAAACAGCATCGTATTACTATCATCCGACTACGGATCTGGCGGGTCTCACCCCTCCCATTTCGCGAACTCCAAAAATTGAGCCTCCCTCATTGCACGATAATGTCCGCTGACGAGCCCCCCAACAGTATCAAAACTGGCCAATCCAAACCGCAACAGCCGCATCGCGGTTGGCGATTCTGGTTGATTTTTTTGGCTCTATGCTTATGCACGATAGTTGCTGCACTGGACATGGTTCGTCGTGAAATCAACGAACGTCCCTCGCGTTCTGATCAGGATGGCCACAGGGATCGATGGCAACAGCACTTCCTGTGATAGCACATGAACTCGGAGGAACTCAATCGTTCGTTTGGGTCTTGTCGGTCTACCCTCTAGCGAGCGCTGCCATCATACCTCTCAGCGGACGACTTGCCGAAGTTTTTGGAAGAAGACACATCATACTTTTCTCGTTATTCGTGTTCGCTGTTGGGTCACTTGTTTGCGCCGTTGCTCATACCATGGCCATGCTCATCATCGGACGAGGTATGCGTGTCTTGATTTGCACAAGGGCGATAGATGGTTGAACTCGTGATCGTAGCTATTCAAGGTATCGGCTCTGGCATCATCCAGACTCTCACAACGATCGTGCTGGCAGATATCGTCACGCTAAAGGAGAGGGGCTTCTATAGCTCTCTAACTGGAATGTGGGATGTGTGTTGCCCATACTGTCATAAAGACTGAGGCTGGATCTTGTAGAGCTTATACCATTGGAACAGGGGTTGGCCCTTTCGTCGGGGGTGCCATTGTAGAAAAAACGACTTGGAGATGGCAAGTTGTATTCTGTCTTCATCGCATAGCTGCTAATTATCGTCGCACTTCCAGGCTTTTCTGTGAGACATTTCTCTCCGACATTCATCAATTGTTAATTGCTTGGAAGATATCAACCTCCCTATTTGTAGCCTCGCGTTTACTGTCGTATTCATTTTTTTCCACATGAAGCGACCCGGACGGCAGTCGTTCAAGCAATACATTGTCGCTATGGACTTGATGCAAGTTACCTTTGTAACAACTGTGGATTGTTATGGTGATGCCATTCTTCAGAGGGAACGCGATGATCATCCTCTCCACAACATCGTGTATTCTGGCCTTGACGTGGGGAGGTGTTCAACATCCCTGGGTATCTGCCCAGGTTCTTGCCCCCTTATTCATTGGCATTCTCGCTTTGGTCTTAAGCATCGTATACGAAATTCGTTTTGCATCTCATCCAACTGTGGGCTTGCCTTCTTTTTTTAAAGACTTTTCATCAACTAATGAAGTGCCCCAGATTCCATTCCAACTCCTTGCCAATCGTACTAGTCTTAGTGGGTAGGTGCCCATTGATCCTCAATCTCGTTCATCTTCATGTCTTGGACTTAGCTACTTTGGCTCCTTTGTACACGGATTTGTGATAACCTGCGTAACATGTAAGTCCACCCTCTCCTGCTAGAAGACCCTCACTTGCTAATTTTTCTCTCTGAGTCTACCTGTACGGCTCGACTTATCTTGCCGCGCCTCTTTTACTCATGGAAACGCCCAGCCCGGTTTATTTCCAGGCAGCCAAAGCGCTGCCGCCGCTTCTATCAGGCCTATACGTGTTTCCAACGGTAATCGTGATATCTCCTTCAGCCGTGGTCCAAGGACTCTTCATCGCGAAATTCGGCCATTATCGAAACATCGTAAGTCGGGCCACTCACTCTGCCTAGTCGCATGTTGTAATATCTACGATACAGAATCTCATCGGATGGTCGATGATGCTCTTAGGGATTGGCCTACTCTCTCTTCTCAAACCCTTGACACCGATCGGAGTATCCGTCCCTTTTCAAATAATCGCGTCAATTGGATTCGGCTTCCTATTCGCTACCACTTTCGCGGTTCTGGCGCCCCTCGACGTCACGTTGAATGCAGCAGCATTGGCTTTCTTGACTTTCATCAGGACTCTCCCTCAGGTACGTCGTTCTTCGCATCGCTTCAGCCCTTCTGACTCTATCTAGCCCTGGGGTGCGACGATCGGGGCAACTATAATTCAAAACGATCTGAAGAAACACCTGCCGCCAGTCTTCGTCAAGCAGTTTACGTCGGATAGTGACTTGACCTACGTGGCTATTCCGACCATCCCTCGGCTCGACCAATCGTTACGCACTCAAGTTGAAGATGCCTATGCGCGCAGTCTCCGCTTACTTTGGCTCGTAATGCTCGGTCTTTGCGCCGTCGGATTCCTTAGTGTTTTCGCTCAGGAGGAAATTCCGCTGCATACCCAGCAGGACAGCAAATGGGGCATGAAAGACCTGCCGAAGCAAAGTGCCGAAATCAGTAAGGCAGTGGGAACGCTCTTCGAGAAGGTCGAAGAGAATGTCAGCGTCGAAGAGCCTGCTCCGCCGCCGACAACGACTGGAGATGTTTGATAGATGCGGGGTTGTTCATGTTAGCCGAAGCCGGAGAGGCTTCATGGGATCCTTGTACTCTAGTATGGCTTCTGTAGGTTTTTACCTCAAAGAGGTGGAATCTTAGATGAAACATACAGCTATCTTTACTCGTTGTTCACGAGGTCTACTATCTGGGTTGGAGACATTGCGAGAAAGTCCATGATGAGCTGTAGGCATTGTCTCGGGCCGGTCTATTTACAGTCTCGCGCACACTTTGCCCTCTGTCCACACACCCACAATAGACACTGCCTCGCTACGCAAAGGCTTCCCTTCTTTATGATGCGCCCATTGCTCGTCCATTGATCTGCATCCACGCTAGACCGTGATGAGGTCCTAGGTCCGTGCCTGAATGGATCCACGGTGACGGTGTTGTTTTCTCGTTCGAACTTCGAAGCCCACAACCAGCTACAGGATGATATTCAGGATACTTAAACAGCTGGGCTTAAACAGCTGGGGTGTTTCTGAGAGGCCCCATTGCGAAGATGGCGTTCGATATGCCTGAGTCAAATCTTCTTGGGTTCATCTTCGAGGCCCTCTTCTACGGTGAGGGCATTTTCCCACCCGGACTACTCATCCTAATCATGACGCTCACACCATCGGAGATTCTAGGCGCCTATGTCTTCGTCTTTATAGAGCATATGCGAGTCTTGTATCGGAAGAGGTCCAAGACTTGGTCCTATCTCTACTTTCAGGCCACGAGCTTTTTGCTTTTTGTCCTCATTACAGCAGTAAGTACTTCAGTCCCAGGGAGGAGTTCAATGAATTAACTTCCAGTTTCCTTCCAACTTCAGCATATGGTCGTGGATATTGCACGAGCAATGCGAGCGTTCACAGGAGATATGGGGACACCGAATTCCCCGATGACATACTTCGAGGAATTCAACACTCTAGACAGCCGACTTCGAACCGGGATCTATGACGCGGTCACTCTCGTCTCTGACTTGTTCTTGGTAAAGCCTTATATGCTATAAGCGGGTCATTACCAGATTAATATTTCCCCCAGGTTTATCGCTGTTTCATTGTTTGGGGCTCTAATTATTTTGTGGCCCTTGTACCGTTCCTTTTATTCGTCGCCGACATCGGTGCGTCTCTCTTTCCGGTAGTCAAAGAGGCGTTCTAAATGATGGCTTTCTCGTGGCCTTACAGTCATAGCAGCTTGGGCCACAGATTCCCTTAACAAGACACGCTCAGGAGATCATTTTTCCATGACCCTCGTTGGTCTTAGAGCGAAATATATGTTCATCGTGACCCTTGCTTTAAATTTGCTATGTACTGGTGAGTCGGACGTATCAACCTCCTCGGCGGTGATTGAGCTCAACTTTTGTCTAGTTTTAATCGCGTACAGAATTTGGTATATCCAGCGACAAGTGGCTGGGTACTGTGTACACAGTGTCCATCCCCAACAGAAACTCTCCAACGTGATCATAATCATCATCGAGTCCGGTGAGGGCGACGCTCTTTATACCTGTGACCAGGGTGTTATATCTAACATCGGGAAACATGATAGCGGCCATTTACTCTGGAATTCTCATTGCACTCATCGTCACAGATGTAACTGGCTCGCCTTCATTCTTCATGCTCCTCAACCTCGTGGGTTCCGCCTGCTTCCTGGCTATCGACTCCAGTTATTAACCATAGAACGCCTGTCCTTCAGATATCCCCTGTTATTGTAAGTGTTTCGTCCTGCGTTTGCTCGTGCTCATCGGGTTCGAAATCGGCGTTTAGGGTCTAGTTGTTAGTGCACGATGTTTCTCTATTCCTTGCATTCTGATAAGTATTTGTGCATCAAGTTCTCTGCCATCATTGTTAGGTCCGGTTCCTCGAGCGACGATTACACTTCAAACCCAAAGTCGACTTTCAAGTTCGATCCCCGAACAAGTGCCACTGCTACTATCGGCGGAACACGGCTCGAGAGGAACACCGGTGTTCATATCCACCTTGAGACAATTTCACATCAGTCTCCTTCTGACAGGACAGGAGACGAGAACAGTCGCAAGCAACCAGTGGATATAGTTTGACGACGGCGCGGCACCTCTTTCAGTTCTGAAATCTTTGCAATTGTTGCCTTTCTCCGCGAAGACAATATGCCATTAGGTTATCATTTTTGTACAATCTAATGTCCTTGAATTGTAGTTACTTTCCCCGTGTGGTAGCTAGCCGACTGCCATCGTAGTTGTAAAGGTTGTGGATCCAGAGTCCATTTCGGGAAATTGACGGTCCTTAAAAGACAGGGGCCGCGTGATCATGATAGTCTTGGAGTCCCAAGCAGGATTACGCATGGATTTGCTATTCAAATGCCTGAAATCGAGGAGCTTCGAATTAATGCACGCTGTTGTCTCGACTTCCGAAATTCTGAACAGTTTTGCCCTTCCCGACTACACCTCAGTGAGTACAAAAGCTTCAGTACCAAGACGAACTCACGGATCTCTGTCTTCAGTGCCACAAACTCTTTAGGATCCATACATATCGGGGGCTTGTGATGCCGTAGGTAGCTCACATGTACCACAGAAGGCCGCCCAACGCATACCGTGCTCTCCCCCTTCTTCGGGTCGATGGGCAAGCCGAACTCGGAGGCAGGTCTCGTGGGCGGGTTGCCTGGATGAGAATGTGACATTGTAGCGATCTTGACGCAACCTCGAGAGTCGGGTGGGGTGAGGACGATGACGGGATGCTGACCGACGTTACTCTTAACGTTGTTCAAAAAACGACCTTAGGTGATCAGCCAAAAGGCTTGAAGGTAAGTTATTTATCTTACCGATCGTGGTGGACGCGGCTCGAAGAATTTGGGCTTGGTTTTCATAATGTAGCCCTCCTCTACTTGCTCAGGTGGTGATGAAGGAACATCCAGGGATTCATCGAGGAAATCTGAACGCTGATGCTGCATTTGAAGTGATTGATACATTGAGTGCTCTTCGTCTTACTGTGCCAACGTTCAGTCTAAGCAGAGAGATAAGAAACTAAGCTCCCTACACGGGTCAAGTCGATCCAGGGGGAACAAGAATACAGCAGGCAGAATCTTCGAAATGAAGCCTCTATGAAAGTCCAGCTCTGACGCCCCAGCATGTCCGAATGAATATGTAGTGTTCGAGAACACAGCTTCGATGGGATCCTCGCAGACATGCAAAGATCTTGAAGCGCATATCGTCGACGTAGACGTTCGAGATTCGCTTTCCACTTCTCGACGGAGAATGTAAGTAAGATCGGCCAAGGAAGTCTTTCTCACATGCTGAAACGTGGAAGATGGAATGCGTATCGTGGGCGGAGAGCGTCGCATATTGGCTTGTAGTAGTGGTGAATCAGATCTGCACATGAATGACGGTGTGAATATGCGGAAGTCCAGGGCGGCACGCTCGACGCTCAGGACTTCCGGTGTGATCCACACTGGATGGTTCGGGCCGGATTTCTAGAGGATAAAAATAGCACCGTCAGCAAGGTAGATGTAGAACGGCGTAACTTCAGTTTCAGTAGGTAAGAAGATTGCAACTTGTTCTGACCAAACGTCCAGTCCAACGTGCCGTTGCGGCCTCCGTCCATCTCTCCTTGTCGCCTCCAAATCTGCCAGTCAAACGCGACGAATGCTGATCTGGAACCGAGGGAACCAACACGCTCATAGAAAAATATGTCCAGTCCATCACGTATTGCAGTAAACTCATACCGTGTCTCGCCCGTCATGTCTGTCATCCACTTATCCACCTCAGCGCAGGTGCTTCATGTAACATTCTGTTAATTCTTCTCCGGCATCACCAACCCTTCACCAACTGGTGGTCATTGGCCAACACGTCCCACCCAATATTCCTCCCTGAGGCAGTCCATCCAACAACGGTGATTAGCGCGATCTCAGCAATGCGAGCGACGCCCTTGCAGGTGCGGTACGTACTTGTCCTTTCGCCTCACCGTAAAGCCCTCATGGAGGCAAAGCAAACGGATCGATCCTATTCCAGAGTGGGGTTTCGGGTCATCGCTTTCATCCGGAAGAAGAAACGGTTTGTTTTAATAAAGTGGGACCCTGAGGGTTTGTAAGAGTCGGGACTTTCGCGTGGGGGTCAAGTGCGCCACACGGAAGCATTTCAAGATTCTATATTCGTATACGCGATAGTCATCTAGAGCAAATGTCCGATCTGGGGAATTCAGGCCATGCATACTTGCAGTCGGAGTACGCGTTCATTGTTATTGGATTTTCTCTTGACGGTCGATGGATTTTCTCTTGACGGTCGATTAGAAAATGGAATTGACAAGCCCTCCAGCGAGCGCGGAACCTGGATAAAAATAGGCGCCCGTTAGCAGGTGCGACATGCGGAACAAATAGCGGCCAACATACCGGCTCCGAATCCAGCACCGCCCACAGCGGAGTGCGCAAGCTACAAGCCGATGTCAGCGACCGTCCAAGACAAGGAAACAAAGATATGACGCACAGTGTTTCCTAAGCCACCGCTAAGGAAACCCTCTTTCTTAGGCGGCTCCGCATTAGCAACGGCAGGCTGGGCAGGTGCTGGCGGGGGCGGGCCAGAGTACGGCGGGTACTGTGCACCGGGAGGCGGGCCTTGAGGAGGTGGAGGGCCGTAGTAGTTTTGTTGAGGTGGCGGATACCGTTGTGGAGGCGGGGCACCGTATGGAGGTGCATTCGGAAAGTGCATAGGGGGTGGGCCTTGTTTGAATCCGTTGTCTCGAAAAGCAGGACCATCTGGGGGCAACTTCTCAACGTAGCTCGAAGGGAAGAGGCCTTCTCTCCCGTTGTATCGGCCTTTCCACCAATCGTTGTTTGTGTCCTCGATAACCTCTATGACGCTTCCCGAGGTAAAGGTGAGATCGTTGGGTTCCTAGACGACGATAAATCAGGAGGACAACACGGGGTTGAATGATAAGCAAAAATACCTTGCCGCTCTCGTTCCAGCTCCATAACGCCTTCGCCTTGAATTTAATAGGTGGTGTCGATCCTCGAGGATGAGGAGGCAGTGGTGGGGGTGGCACAGGCCTTGTTAAAGCTGACTGGAGGCTCGCATTCTGATCCGCAGCAGGTGGTAATTTGGCAAGAAACACGTCGGCGTCGTACTGAGATAGCTTTTGAAGGGACACAAGGAGAGCGATGTTGCCCTTTGTTTGAGCGACAACGTGTGCAAGTGCTTGATTGTCCTGGTCGTACATATTGTCGTCTGTAGACTTGTCCGAAGTTGAAAGGGACCTGAAAGGGCGCCGAACCTGTAAATCGTTATCCCCGTAAGTACAAACACGTGATGTAAGGAGCTCAACGCGTCCGACGACACTTTAAGTAACTCGGACTCGTCTTTTCTTTCTACCTGTCTCCTTCCCATCTGAATGACCCTCTAACGATCAAGATGAACGAATTTACACCATTGAACAGACCTCAACAATCACAGGTCACAATCGATTCCATTGCGAAGGATTGTCCTTCTGGAGGGTTCAACGTTGGTCCATTTTGCTTCGTCTCCTACTTCTTTGTTGACCAAGTGGTTTAGTATCCTACGTTCCGCCAACTCAACAAACAAGCGCGTATATATCTATCACAGCCATTCAGCCTCAATCCTTCAGTTTCGTATCATCTATTCGCCGTCTCGAATTCAAAGGGTTGGTTTGCAGCAGTCCAGTCGACGCTTTCAGGTTCGGGTGCGTTACTTGCCTAATTTTGTGTTTTCATGTAGCTCAGTCCATTTTAGCACTCATATTCTCGCCTCTCGAGGACCTTCGCTCGGCCTTCACTGCAGCCAAAGAGGACGCGGAAGGCCTCTTCTCTCCCAAACGAACCTTGTCTATACAAGCAGGGAATGTCAACATCATCGACTTCGCATGCAATGATACGCGCTTGATTGTTGGACTTGAGAATGGCTCATTGGGCGTGTACGACACGGCCTCGTTATTCACGCCAGGTACAGAACCAATTCAACCACTGAGGACGGCCCAGGTTCAGTCATCTCCGCTCCGCCAAATCGCGCCGAATCCTGGAACAGAGGCCAACTTGAGTGAACTTTTTGCTGTTGTTGGAGATGGAAAGGTGCAGCTGTTGAATATGCAGTTGGAACCTCAAGGAGGTTGGGAAGGAACAGACCTCATGTCGCAGCCTATTTCTGGTGAGTCATTGTTCGATAACGGACCCGACTTTGAGCCTCATATCTCCTTGTTATCTAGTGGCATGGTCGCCGAAAGGGAAACATATAGCAATAGGCCTTCAAACAGGCGATATTCTGACGTTTTCTCTGACCAACAAGTCGACTCCACACAAACACATTCCGCCCACATCCGACGCAATTTTGGTATCACTGAACTGGCTCGGTCCCGGACACACCTTTCGCACAAGCTACGGTGCCCAAGGTGATATAGCCGCCAAGCAACATATTATCGTGCTAGACACCAAGTCTTCAACCGCTATATACTTCGCGCCCGACCATCCCTACCCTTCGTATGATCGAACACAACAAAACGCCTTTGTCCTTACCCTGCACAAATGGGACGAGGAGGCAGCGTCACAAGCGGATAGCAAATCGCTCACAGTCGTAGGGGATGTTTCTTCAGTGGACCTCGAAGTGCTTGGCAACGTTGGAAACAACTGGCATAGACACTCTCAGGAGAACCAGCTATCGTTACCTTTGGATAAGTCGATGGATGACACCATACTGTTGGCGTTGGAGGCAGACCTTACCGACTCGAGTACCAATGCACCAATTATGTATGCCTATCTGAACGATGGATCGCTACAGGGATGGCATGCTGAGCACCCGAGTTCGAAACCATACCTCGGCATGATTACTCTGGGTGCCTCATCCTCGACAGCCGCCCCTGCAACCCAAGCGTCTAAGGATGCCGACATGGGCATAGACGCTGAAACACCATCGACGTCTGCCTTCGCGCAGCCTGCTCCAACTACCTCCGCCTTTGGCCAGCCAAGCTTTGGGCAAATGAGTTCGCCATTCGGTCAGACAGGTGGGAGCACTTTCGGTCAGTCCAGTTTCGGTCAGGCGCAAAAAGCCCCCGCCTTCGGTCAATCTTCATTTGGTCAGCCGTCCACTACCAGTGCTTTCGGTAGCTTCGGTCAAGCAAACCAAACGAATGATACCACCTCAGCATTTGGTGCTGTCAAGCCTGCAGCTGGTTTCGGCGCCTTTGGTGGAGGAGGTTCGACAGGAGCTTTTGGTTCAGGTTCATCGGTCGGATTTGGGTCTGCAGCAACACCTAGTGCATTCAGCAGCTTCGCCTCCAACACCACAGGCAATGTATTTGGGCAAGGCAGCTTCGGTGCGCCTGCCGCCGCATCTAGCCCGCCTGAAAATGCAGACCCAACATCCATGACTCGAGAGGCCTCTATGTCAGATTCGACCTCTGGCTTTGGAAGCATGGGACTCGGCAGCGCAACTCCTTCTGACCCCAACGCCGTCAACAGCATGTTTGGATCAATCCAACCAGGATCGTCGAACAACCAGACGCAGTCGACGTCTGCATTCGGCGGTGGGCTCGTCAAACCTGCCAGTGGGTTTGGTGCATTCGGAAGCTTTGGATCGGGGGGTGCGTTCGACCCGAGCAACAAACCCGCACCTACTGTCTCAGCATTTAGCACTGCGGCACCAGCAACGACCACGACGACGTCATCTAGGTTTGGTCAATCTGGTTTCGGCCAGACCTCTTTTGGCAAGCCATCTTTTGGCCAACCGGCGTTTGGAAAAACGAGTTTAGGCGCGACACGTGCCTCGACGACGGCGCCACTGAGTGGAGGGTTTAGTGCATTTGCTAGTGCGCCGACTTCATTTGCTGCCGTGACTCAACCTCAGAAGACATCTGCTTTTGGGTCCACAGAGGCGAAGCCTGCAACGACTGGAGGGTTTGGTGCATTTGCTTCGAATGCCCCGTCTGCATTTGGCTCAACAGCCACGACGGAAAGCAAGCCTATTTCTGGAGGATTCGGTTCATTCGCGTCGAGCACACCGTCGGCGTTTGGTTCTACAGCCCCAGCGACGCCATCGCCTGCTCCTGAACAGAAGCCTGCAGGTGCCTTTGGCTCATTCGCCGGCTCGTCCTCGGCATTTGGCTCAACAGCAGCCCCAACAGCGACGGCTTCAGATGTTGCTAAACCAGCTGAGGCCGCAAAAACCTCCATCCTCGAGGCACCCTTTGGTGCAAGTTCAACCTCGTCGAGCATCTCGCCATTTGGAGGAAACGACGCTAATAAGACAGAAGCCACCAAGCCTAGTGCAGAGACTGCTCAAAGGACATCCGTATTCGGGACACCCTTTGGCGGAGCCTCGTCATCCTCAACTGCCTCCCCATTTGGAACAGCCCAAGCCAAGTCGCCATTTGGTGGTACTGCGCCAGTCAGTCCCGCGGAGTCGCCAACGATCGGCAGCTTCGCTCTATCCCCTCCTTCATCGCCCGAACCAGCGCAGAAAACAGGGCCGCCCTTTGGCGGTGCAGCCAACACGATGCCGACCACGCCTTCTGGAGGTGCATTTGGTAATATCCAGGTTACGCCTTCTGCTTTCAAGCCAGCCACTGGGTTTGGGGCGTTTGGGTCAACGACTCCAACGGACTCGCCATTCATGAAGAAGCCTGAAACGACTGTACCTGTCTCTGTGTTCAACCTCAGTTCGACCCCAACAAAGACGCCTGCTTCCTCGACAGCGTCACCGGCTTTCGGTACGACTTCTTTTGGGATCCCATCGACACTTGGTGCCCAGAAATCGCCGTTTACACCTGCCTCTCCAGCATCACCTACTCCTGCCATCAAACCTGCTACATCTAGTGGAGGGTTTAGTGCATTCAGCGGACAGGCGTCTGTATTCGGGACGCTTGGTGGCTCGGGCAAGTCTTTCTCTGACCTGTTGAAGACGGGTGGCGAGGAGACAAAGGACCCTGCCAAACCCACGGTTGCAGCACCTGCCACCCCACCGCCGAAGGACAAAGAAGAGAAAGGGAAAGAAAAGGATGAGGATGAGAAGCCCAAGACCCGTGTTTCTGTCTTCGGGACACCTGTTAGTGCACCACCGACTGAGCCAGAGACCAAAGACGACATGCCCATCTCTGCATTCGCTCCTGTCTCTAAAAGCTCAAGCGGATCTTCAGAGGAGAAGGAGGAAAAGAAGGCCAACGATAAGAGCGGATCTTCCGGAGTTTCGGACGAGCCGTCTTACGGAAAGATATCTACATCTTCTGCTGCCAGCTCCTTTGTCGATGTTACTGAGGAGGACGGCAGAGCGGAGGAAGGCGAAGAGGGATCTGAAGGAGAGGACGGGGATGGCTTCCTTACGGAGAGCAACAGCGAAGATGGATCCTATCACCCAGAAGAGTCGGAAGAGGAATCTGATTCAGATGCCGATGCGCAGGTATCAGATGAAGAGGGGGAAGGTTCTCCAGAGCCAGCGTCTATTCCTCTGCCTTCTTCGCGTTCTGCTTCTGCCACTCCTCAGCCTGAGGTTCCCAAGATCGAGGTCTCGTCATCTCCGGATGATAGCGAAGGCAAGTCACCCTCTCCCAAAACGCCAGTACGAGAAGCGAGCACAACGCCGCCTGGAACGCCTGCGAAGGAGACCAAGCCACTGTTTGGCACTCCAGGTCCCTCCACTCCGCCTACAACTGGCACTCCGACACCATTTGGCTTTGGTCTTGGACTTGGACGTCCGAGCACGAAGCCTACACGAAGCTCGCCGCTTGCCAACGCCGTCACTCAGGAGGATGAAGAGGAAGATGGGGCGACAAAAAGTCCTATTCCGCCTCCCGTTTCTCCCAGACCAATATCCAGGAGGCTGCCTGTTGAGCCAGAGGGTTCGAAGAAAAAGTCACCAACACCTGAACCTCAACCGCCGAGTGCTAAGCGACCAAAGACGCCCCCGCTCCTGTCGACGATCCCTACACCTGCGATGACAGTCCCTCTAAGTGCCACTCCAACTACTGCGAGCTCTACAGAGTCGTCAGGATCAAAAGCTAGCCCTTTTGGTCTTCCTGGCGTCAGTTCCACTTCATTCGGTATATTGCCTTCAACCAAGGACGCGAGCCCACCCAAGGATGAGCCTGTGCGTGCGGCAGCCGCACCTCCTGCCCCAGCTATGTTCGGCCTGCCACTACCCGCTACTGCCGCCACTCCCTCTACAAAGCCCACAAACGTATTCGGCACAGGGATATTTGGAGTACCTGCTACAACTTCCTCTATCCCAGTGACTCCGAGCACGACTGGTGCAAGACCTCCCGGATATCCGCCAACACCGCCGCTATTCGGAGTGCCTCCGACACCACTGCTGACACCGTCGACATCGACGGCTTCGGCTCCTCCTATTTGGGGGCAACCTAGGCAAGCACCGACGATGCCTACGCCAGGAAGTATCTTTGGCATCCCTCCTCCGGGATCTGGGCAAGGTTTGTTCGGCATGCCGCCAGTAGGAACGTCGCCCCCAAGCAAACCAGCTGTACCTCCACCTTCTCTGTTCGGTACGATAACACCAGTCGCTCCTGCTCACGCGCCTACGCCAGCACCTCTGGCCGCCCAGACGCCTCCTGCTCAGAGTCCGCAAGCACCCTTGGAGGAGGGAATGCAAAAGGAATGCATGAACTTGGCTATAACTATGAATCGTGATCTCGAGGAGGCAAGTTTGTATTTATTTTTCATGCAAGTACGATTTGGCTGATATTTTCTCTAGTCGGCTCGTGTGGCGAAGAATGCTCAAGAACTACGAACACGCTCGACCATGTCTCTAGGCGGTGGAAGGAACAAAGTCGATCTTGGCGATCCGTCGAAATGGTCGTTTTCCGACTTGCCTCAGTTTGGTCAGGTTATGAAGCTATATGAGAAAGACCTGGAGTACCTGGCTTCTGAGAGAGAAAAACAGAGGCTGAAGTTGAAGGAGATCCAGAGCAATATGCTCAAAGGTGTGTCCTTTTTGTTCCTTACATAAGTGTCCTCGAGGACTGATAATTTGGGTAGCTGGGACGAGGAGAGAAGAAATCGCACGGTTCAATAAGGCGAAAGATGATAAGGAATTCGCTAAGATGTTGAGGGCGAGGACATTAGGTCCTGAGCACAGCGAGACACAGACACAGCTTCGGAAGAGCATCAGAGTATGTTGGCCTGTTTCTCCAAGTTGTTATCAGCTTTGCCTTACCCATGGCCTACAGACTATCCGCGACCGTGTGCAAAAGCTCGAGAAGCGGTTGCAGGACGATAAGAAGAAACTGTCGCAAGCTCAGTCCTGCAAGCCCGCTTTCAGGTAGGAATCTCTTTCAACATTTGCTCGAAATAAGCTGAACAGCCTCCCAGAGCGCCATCCCTCGATACAATTAACCGCACCTACCGAAATATTGAGCTCGCAATTGAGCAGCAATCCGACCAGGTCACCCGACTAACTTCACGCATAGGGAAGCTGGACCTCAACGCTGTTGACACTTCCTCACCTATGCGTGACGCTCGCCTGCCCGATCGGCGGCACGGAGTCCGACCAGAAGAGATCGTGCCCAATGTTGCAGTGACGACCGCTGCAGCACTCAACGCTGAGCGGTCCGCACAAAGGCTGAAGAAAGCTCTTCTGGCGGTACGGAAAGAGCCATTACTGAACACTAAAGCGCTTGCGGCACCCAAGGCACCTGTGGCATTTAACACCCCCCAGCGGCCTGGTGCTGGATCGAACACGGGTCTGCCTACAGGCTTCGCGTTCCAGGCGCCGATCAAGGGGTCGCTCTTCGCTGAGACGCCCTCGCCCGTTCCTTTACCCGACTGGAACTTGGATGTACCAGAAGACCAGTTCGACCCGACGGCGACACCGTTGCCGAATACGAGGAGGGGTGCAGGCTCAGGGCAAAGGAAACACCCTAGTGTGCCATTGAAGAAGAGTGCGGGATCGAGTCCTGGAGCACCAACGACGGCTGCAGTGCCTGTTGCTTTCGATTGGGGTCCGCTGCCTAGTTTCTCGAACCCTGCCCCTGCAGCGGGTCTGCCTAGGTCGTTTGTGCCCATATCTCCTGCCAGTAGTCCCACCGCGAAAAAGTAGTGGAGTTGGAGATGAGATTCTATTTGTACTGTCTACTGTAGTATACACCAACGCTGTTGTCTTGTTTTGATGGTCAAAAGTCCATTTGTCTGCCAATTCGTCAGGTTCAAGATTTGTTTTAAGTGAGTACAGGTCGATAAGACAGCATATATTCTACATTTTCACCATCATTCCCCTACGTTGCCTTCTCCGCCTTTTCTTCCGTTTCCGCATCGGCTACCCGCTCTTCTTCATCGCCTCCCTCCTTCAGGTCGGGCCGAAGGTTATGCGGATCGTCAATAATCGACTCCATATACTCGAGGGCGGCCTATAAGCACAAGATGAATGGAGAAGAACAGAAAGGAGGGTCTAGTATGGGGCGAATCGGTTGTCATTGAGAAAATCACTGCGCACCCTCCCGACTTCACTGAGCTCCTGGTTCTCGTCTCCGTTGAACGTTTCGAATGGGGACCCGTTGAGATCGACAAACGCGTCGTTGAGACCGTCGTCGTCGTCGTCATCGTGTGGATCTGGGTGGAGGGCTGCACACTGGGATAGCGCCTCAAAAATAGCGTCCACTGTAAGGGGATAAAGGTTTGGATAATCAGTGGTTAAAAAATGGCCTTGGAGGGCGAGAGAACGCACACGACTCTGGATTTTGTGGGACGATCGTCAACTCGCGCATCTCCGTGTCTTCGTTCTCATCTACGGGTGCTCCTCCATTTGGTGCTCCTATGCTCTCGTCCAGTTGGCAGTACAGTGATGGGCCAGTTTCACCGCGCGAGACTGCGTGTAGAGTGATTGTAGGGTACTCGATCTGGAAGCCAGGCCCAGATGCGGGCATAAACGCGAGAACACTAGATAGATGAGGTTTATATGAGTCCAAATCCCTGTTTTATTCAAGTTCTGGAGCACCTCGTCAAGACATAAAGCGTGCCTATTGTGGGCGCTTGTCCTGAAAATTTCTCGAGTGGTGGATCAAGAGCGACCGCGACGTTTTCCTCCTTGTGCTTCAGAATAGGTGGGATGTCTGAAAACGAGTTTGGCGTCGACGCGATTATGTTCGCATGCTCTTCGGGGGAGACGAAGTTCGGGATAGCAGTGATAAGATTTACTGCAGGCATAGAAGGGAAGGAAAAGACACGACTTACTCAATTAGGGTTAGGGCAGGGATGATCGAGAAACCCGCAGTGAGTCGGCATTGCCATCAGTGTTTGTGCCGTCGACCACGGCTCCGTCCTTGTTATTGATCAATATGTTGCTGTACCTTTCATTTTCCTTGACCACAACCACCACGACCCACAATAATGTCGCCTCAAGATCCACAGGCAACCGCCCTCCTCACCCACGTTCTCTCTCAGATTGAGGCCAACGTCCAGTTCCTCGCGGAGCAGGGCTACATCACGGCGGGCGATGCGTCTGCCATCCTCACGAAACTCCCAAACCCCGGCCACACAGCTCCAGCCCCAAGCGGTATCAGCGCAATCACGTCCAGGATGTCGAACTTGATGGGTGGTGGAAACAATGCATCTGCACCGCGCGCCGTGCCCCCGACGCCAATGCCAGCCGCACCTGCGGTCCAGCAATGCCGTGCTATGTGGGCGTATTCAGGGGAGGTAAGCATAACCTTAATCTCCCTCTTCGCTGCGTCTTTCGATTCATCCTGTCTGACGTAGGACACCAACGATCTCCCTTTCGCCGCTGGTGATATCATTGAGATCGTGGACGAGACCAATCCCGACTGGTGGACTGGCAGGGTGCATGGCAAGCAGGGCATCTTCCCGTCTGCCTATGTGGAACGAATTACACCACAGCAACAGGAAGGCCCTAAGAAGCCCTACAAGCCGTTCGGAGCAGCGTATCATGGCATGGCCGCACCACCGCCCCCTGGTCAAGGGACCAACGCTGTGGGACTCCAGGAGAAAGAGGGAACGGAGGAAAAGAAGAATAAATTTGGAAAGTACAAGGATACAGTGAGAAATGTTCCCCAGCTTCTGCGATTGATTGATGAACGTGTTATTATGTCCAGCTGGCCCACTCTGCTGTTGGAGGTGTCGGCTTCGGAGCTGGTGTGCTTTCTTTTCTCATGGCAATAGACGTGGCTCACAATTTTGTCATAGGTTCTGCCATCGGGGGTGGTCTCGTTCGTGCTATCTTCTAGGTTGCCATTATTTCCTCGTACATTGGACGCACATTTGGAGCTCTTTATCCCCGGGTTTCCAAGTGTTTTATTTCAACCACCATTCCTTGATATTGGGATGTTGCTACAGCAATCTAGAAGACGACATATTTATTTCTGGGTTGGTTATCAGGGATATATGGATTCTATTCCCGAGCTATACCAAACACATTGTAGGGCGCACAACAGAGGTTGTACTATGGTGCCATACTTGGCTTATTTTCTGAATGGCCATGGATCCGACAGATGAAGGCTCTCAGAACAAAGGTCTTAGCCATGATCAACATTTATTTCCATTATTGCAGGAAACCATGGGCTGAGATGCGCTAAGCGCCCATGAGGTTTCACGACTCCACTGCTCACAAGCTCTCGATTACGTAAGTTGACCTTTTGAGTGAGGTCATTACCAAATGGAGATAGTTCCTTTCGAACGGGCCGAGACAACCTCGAACTTACGAAGAATAATGGCAAAATAGCATATCTGGGGGTTCAAGGACCCGTATCGGTTCACGTTATGTAGTTTCGCATCGAAGAGGGAGTATATGTCCCGCCATGGCCCACCATCGCGAGTTGAAGGAGGAACGAAAGTTGCAGCAGGTTTCATCAATTGAGGCAGTGCTCGTTAAGAGTGGAGTATGCGTTGCTCACACAATTTCATCCGCCCGTTCACCTTTCCCTCTACGGTATGGATTGGTTCCAACTACAAAGGCATACACACCATGCTGTCGAGGAGGGAGGGTTCGGGGAGCATCAGCCGACCTTCATCAAGGCACTAAGTACGTCAATCATCCGCGTCCATTGGGTTTATGTAAAAGCTCCAAAATCTACAATCATATCATGACAGCCCATTCACGTTCCAAAAAGCTGTCCCCCATCTGAAATCCGAAGAAAGAGTATCACGGTCGATGGGTGTATATCATGGCTATCGCTCCTCCGCAGTCCATTGAGCATTAATTGCTGAATATACCCGTCCAGTGATCATTCGTCTTGCTCGTTTCGTTGATTGGGCTTCAGGGGACTGGCTGTGAACCCTGCTTCCTTAATCTCGAAGCGGTTCAACACACCCAGGAGGTTCTAGAATCTAAAGTGGCATGTCGGATGGTGGACAGAGGTGCTGCGGTTGGTGGGGCAATGACACCAGCCTCTACCGTACACTATGTTCAGTGTAGACTTGACGAGCAAATCAGAACTCGAATGTATTATCATTGGACACCTTTGGACGGTAAAACAAACATCAACTGCCAATCATTCAATTCAATCTGCCTTTTTCGGACACATCAAACGTCGCTTAAAAGAGCTCAGAGCGCTCGATGGTCAGCCCGGCGATCACTGTACTCTCATCCGCACTAATAAAATTTCCACAACGCTCTCATTGACATCCATTTGGCTCCTCTAGAACGACTACGATTTTTGCTTGACTCTACAACTCCTCGGCATTGCGCGAATAATGGACCTCGGTCCAAAATGCGACTATCGCGAGAACGGGGCTTCTGTCGCAACTTGTGAACCTGTGCACCGCTAAAATATCCTGAGGGGCACACCCCGCCACAATATCCCTGGTCAAACGTGTTGGGTGAGTACTCGAGCTTTCCCACTGTACCAGAGCCTCGTGGAACGACGACTGCGCAGTCCCGCCGATTACCCCGCCCGCATACGTCTATGGCACTCACGCGACAGTTCCATATCCCATTGGTATGGATTACAGACAATGAACCCGGCATTCGAACACCACTTGGTCCATTATTTCCCTTGATCCGCTCTCAACTTCGAGTGCTTGGCGATCCTGAAGCGCCTGTGGCAGAGGAAGCAGTGCTTTCAGAGCCGCCAGCCCCGTTCTCGATGACGAACTTACATCTTTCCCTTACCTCTCTTACGATGCTTCTCGCTTCATTATTAGAAATCAAAGACCCCCTGCGTTGCAGGATAGGATTCTACCACCATGATATCAACAATAACTCGCCGAGACGGCGTTCAAATCCCACCTCACCGTCTTCAAGCATATAAGGTCGTGGATCTTCTGCAAATCACTTTAACTATCTCTAACAGCGGTTTCGACTTTTCTGTACCCTCTTTCCAACTCTCCTACCCCGTATCTTTCCCCGATGATGTACGGCAACAATCCATACGCACAAGGTGGATGGTTTAACCCCGAAAACCCTCACTCGATTAACGCTCCGTCATGGAGCGTCCCAGCCATTCGCCAACCTTCTATCCTCGGTGCACTTCCCCGGATCGCAGGCGGAGAAAATAGTCAACTAACCTTCCGCCTGGCACCAATCCACCCCGACATCTTCAACTGCTCTCTCATAGGCCCCTCCGGTCACACGATCCTCACCGTCTCTTCCGAATTCACTGAAATGGGCGCCTACACACACTTCCGAAAAGATGGGGCGATCCTTGCGACCATTGACTGGTGTCAAAAACCAACGGTCGTTATCCACGGTATTGTTAATAAACAGCCCATCTCTCAGTGGCTTTCACTATCCGCTGACAGGAAGTAAGTCCTTGACATAAAGTTCCGTGGACCAAACGATTGATATCTTCTTTTAAATTTACCAGGCAACGCACGCTCATTGCGAGGAATAACCGGCCTTTCACTTGGGTGCCTCAACAGAGTCAAATATGCGTCAGTGATTCTCATTGAAATAAACTCTACTCATACAATGACGTACTCATGAACGCTGCTACTGCAGCTCTACGCAGTCGGTTCTATCTCAAGAGATCCTGTAGTGCGAGTAACGCGCAATCACGACAGCATACAACTGCAGCTGTCCTCTGAGGCTTTCCAGAATAGTCTTCTCGAGTCGGCAATTGTCGCCGCAGTATTGCTCCAGTCTGGAAGAAGAATAGATTAGGCCAACAATAGGCGCCAACGCACTTAGAATATTTTATATATATGTAATGGATGAACTGTTATTAGTCATTAGTAGAACTACTTCAGCAGTATAGACGTACGTAGCAAGGACTAAAGTATTACGCGAAATGGCAATAGTAAACTGCAATGCGGAACGGCAAGAAACTAATCCAAGGACCTCCTCTCCAACAACTTTGTAATCTCTCGGTGCTCGCGCAGCCATTCTGGGAAAGTGACTTCAGGTCCTCTATTCTCTCTCACCTCGATCAAATAGTTGGCGAACACAATGAGCGCGCCATAACGGTACCTGGGATGCGATGTCAATTTGCTACAGCATCACTTAGAGAAAGCTCACAAGTAATTGACCGTGATATTCCGCAGCTTGATCTCTTTCGCTGTTCCCTTCTCCGTTGCCTCAACCTTCAGCTTGTAACTAAAAGACGGTCATTGCTACACGTGAGAAGGAGACCGTTCAGGCCGCTTACTCGTAGATGGCTTTTCTCAGATTCTGGACATCTTGCATCAGATCAATTGCCCGGTCCGTGAGCCGCTTGGCCACCTTCCCGTGCGAAAGGACACCAACGAGCTGAAGGATGGTCTTATATTCACCTGTTCATCTTGGTCAGCGTTCAACACCAGTCGTATACATGTATAGGCTCACCAGCAAGGTATACTTCCTCCTCGGATGGGCCATCCATCGTATCATAAATTCCTAGAGCGAGTTCGTCCTCAACAGGCACCTCATTCTGCACCGACTCCCAATTCATGGTCGAAGAAATGAGGCAAGCGCTGATCATCCCTGTCGTCGTTCTTCCCCTTCCCATCTGACAATTGAAGATGAAATCGCCAGCTTCTGGTAAGCCAGAGCGCACTCTGCTCAGTAATTGAGCTAGAGCGTCCGGAAGAGGGGCTTGCTCGTCGGTCTATGACGGTGTTAGTCGAAGACACTCAAACAGAAGGGGAATAACACCAACAATTGCCACTCGGCCGTAATCAATCTAATACATACGTCAGCTATGATCGTCCTCATGCGAGGTATGAATACACACGCGATAGCCTTGTTTGATGATCATGTTGAAAACATCTCGAGGAGTCATGATGTCGTCCTCTGTCACATCCTCCCAGATTGGGATGATCGAGAAGACACCTGGCCTCTCCTCTACCTCGTCGTGGAGAAGGATTCTTCCTTCTCCCTGGCGTACTTCGCGTAGAATATCTTTCTTGAAAGCGTTTTCCATACCTTCGACTACTGCTGTCGTGATGCCCGTGGCCCTATTACCGGTTAGGTGACGAAGATATTCGTAGAACCCCAGACTCACTCAACGTTTTCGAGCGGGCGGTTCACGAGTCGTAGGACGTGCGGTCGTCCAGAAACGTAGATCACCGGTTCCTAGAACATTGTTATTGGCATGTTCAAATCGCACCCTGTGTCCACTCACCTCTCGAAGCGACGTCCAGTAGACCATGTTAGAGCCGCCGGGACCAGCATCGACGCGCTCAAGCGCTCGTTTCAAACTAGTAATCGCATCAGCAAAAAATGTAATGTGCTGATGCTGTGAATCGTACCCTCCAACGGTAGGCATTCCACTGCAAACAGACGATTGAGAACGACAATACGGGAGAAAGTTGATATACGTACCTTCCGCAGATCATCTTACCGTCGTCTTTGACGACGAAATCAGACGCATCCAGCGGGGATGCAGCGTCTGGGGTAACTAGCTGAAGAGTCATTGGGAGCCTGCGGAAATTCGGTGAACCCTCAATGCGCCTGAAGCAAACAAAAATTCATTAGCTCATGTCCTGTTTCTCTGGTCTCACGTGCAAATCAAGGCTCACTCTGGAAGGGTCATCTTTTGGAGATTGGAGAAGAAATCGGACTTGATAATCGTCGATGCTGAAAGAATGCTGCCATTTCTGTTTACCACAACTCTTGTGACATCGTCTGGATCGGCTGCGCTCGCAATATTGTTTGCACGACCAAGAGGCTTTAACGCGTTTATGCCGTCTGACAGCATTTCCTTTTCAAAGGTTTTGATCACGGGCCGATTCTTTACGAACGTTTCTACGCTCTCGAAAGACTGCATGGTATCGGGTTCCGTTGACTGGAGATACGACTGGAACACGATCAACTCGAAGTACCTGCGAAGGTTAAGCAGACCTAAAAAGACATTATGGCCGAGGAACCGTCTAACAGAGATCTAAGACCAACCTTTTGTTGTATGGACCTTCTTTTGAAGGTCGTCAGACGCCTCCTCCGCACGAACACGGGAGTCCTCAATGGCATCTCTGAGGTTGTACGCAGCCGAGCATCGGTCAATGGCATCGTCAACCGCGTTTTTCACTGCTGGCCCTTTGCGAATAACTCTCAGGAGATCTACAACCATGATTAAACGAGCCGAACACCAATAAAAACATAGCAAGCAGGGCGAAACTTACTGTTGATCACCTGATACGAGTACCTGTTAGGCGCTTTCACGGGCGGCTCCGTGAGCGTCATCGACATTGACAACGTCCTCCTTGCAGAAAAGGGGGTCGTCGGCGGCGAGGGGCGGTGCACCTCCAGCCATTCCCGGATGAGAACCAATATAACCGAGGCCAACGTGCTCCTCCCGCGTCCAAGCTGACAATTCACAACAATGGGCGTATTTGGCGACGTCCTGAGCACGACCTCGATGAGCTCTGTGAGGTCAGCGAAGTCTGGCGGCTTCTCAGCTGTGATTGGGATTCGACTGTACTGCAGCGATACATCGTTGACTTCCCGGCGCGATGCCATGATGTCCTTGAGTACGACCACGTCCTCAGGCTGAACTTCTTCCCAGATCGGCACGACTGTCCCATCGGCTGTCTCTGTATGCAACAGGAGGCTGCGGGAGGGAGGTATTGTGAGGAAATGTTGTCAGTATAAGGGAGCGCCAACTAACCGTCCACCAAACGAGTTGAGCTCTGCGATGACGTCGTCTCGGAGCCTGTCTTCGAGTATCTCTAACCGCGAGGCCGAAATTCCACCATAATCTAACGTAATGTCTATTATCAGATCGCAAACAAAAAGTCAATACTCCAGTCAACCACCCACCTTTCATATTCCTCAGCGAGTAATTCTGCCTCCTCAAGCAGTACGGTGCGCCATTGATGTATACTATCGGCTCCTCCCTCAGCGTGATCCACACGACCTTTGACGCATTCGGGTGGTTATTCTTGATCCTCGATACAACCTCGTCGATCGCTTCGAGCGTGGGTTGTCCGAGCACGTAGATCTCTGTTCCAGGGACCTGGCGGAAGTTGATTGCACCTCGAACTTCGTGTTCAACTTGGGATGACTCCCGGAGCCATTGGTCGGATTTCAGGAGGGTGCCTTCGCGTAGGATGATACCACTCCGGTGCTAAGACCATAGTGAATTCTCTGAATGTGACAGGAAAGGGATGTCATACCTTCACGACATGGTCAGAGTATTCGTCTCCCAGAATCTGCCCACCAGCGATAGCCACATCGTTTCGCTTCCCTGGTATCAGCGATCGTGCCTCCGAGCCTGACTTGGACAACGAGGAAAGGTCGTTTACGGGGGCAAACACGTTCAAACGCGAGCCATGATGTTTGCGCAGGAATGTCACTTGTCTGCCATCCAATCCAAGCGTCATCGTCTTGTCTGACAGGAATATCATCAAACTCACGTCCAGATCTCCGTCCTCGCCTTCAACCAATCCGAGAAGCTCTGGCTAAACTGCCCGTCCGACTCCTCGACGAAGCTCGCGAACGCGATCATGAAGAAACTAAGAATAGCACACGTCAGGTGACCGCGATCAAAATTAGCGCCCAGACCAAAAAGGGAACTCACTATTTTTCGAGCGCCTTGCCAGCTTTGCTCAGGAAATTCTCACCCCCTGCCTCGTCCATAGTTGTTAGTGAGTACTTGAGCCGGTAGGTTAGAATATCCTCGCGGAGGTTGGTGACCTGGTTCGCTGTTCAAAAGAGTTATTTTTAACCAGCGATGCGGATTACGGAAGACATACTAGCATCAATGACGCGGTCGACGAGCCGCTTCGCTTGAAGGCCGTGGTCTAGGCAGCCCAGCAAGCTCAATACGACGCCGTAGTTCCCTAGGTGCGCCTTCCTCAGGTTCTCTAATAATGTTGGCTGAGTCATGAGGAGTTCGATGGCGGATTGCGTGTTGTTGTCCTCGAGACCTGGTGGTCAATTAGCCAAAGAGGAGAGAAGAAAGCGAGGGACTTACATTGTTGGAGGAGGTATGTCAATCGAAGGAGGGATCTACTCAGTTCCTGTTGGGCGTTGGCTTGCTCGAGCGATTGGAGGATTCGGCTCTCGGTGGGCTAACCAAACCCTTGAGTTGGAGGCATCTCAAACTGGAGACAGATACGACTCACAGTGCTCGTCCCTGGACTCGACGACAGCGGGTTCACACCATTAAGCGCTTTGAGAGCATATGGGTCGTGACCGCCCTTGTCCATGATTTGCTTCCTTCGTACAAGCGAAGCGGCGACCATGGCAAAGGTTGTTCGGACCGCGCCCATACCGCATGAAAACACGAGAGCAGTCTTTGTTGGGTCTGTTTCGCGAATTACACGTAGATACGCGTCAAGATAGTTGTCTTCGATTGGACGGTCTGGAGAGATGGGGATTCTGAAGAATTACTAAATCAATATCTCCAGTGTTGGAAGCCGCCACTTGTGCTCACCGATGGTACTACTCGAGATCGTTTAGTCAAAGAGAAGGGTATAGTAAGACCTGACTCACATCGACATTCCACCCTTCTTTCTTCATGAACTCCCAAAGTTCCCGCGACGTCTTCACGTTCCCGTTATCCACAGCCGTCCATGTCGGTAAGATCGCTCCTTCTCCACTGTCCGCAGCTACACAACCATGAAGACACACTCAAACCCATCAAAAAGTAGCTACGCACCGACTTCATTATGGGTGAGAACCACGCCGCCGTACCTAACAGCTTCTTGAAGGATATCGTTCTTGAGGCGCGTCTCGATAGCTTCAAGATTCTCGGCGCGATCTGACATAGAAAGTGTCCGACGCGGTTCGGAGGCGTCTCGGAGGACAAAAGGCCGGCCGGAAATGTAGACTGGAGGCAGGAAAACACGAGATTAACAACCATGCAGTACCAGGAACTGCATAGTGTTCCGTGTGTTCAAGATAAGAAACTCACTGATGGGCTCCTCACGCGTCGAGAACCAGACTACGTGAGAGGGGTTCGTCGTGTTTGGGCGGCATCGCAGGATGGAGAGAATAGCACGAAGGCCCTGGGTACGAGGTTGGGCTGCGCCGAACACGTTGAGGTCCCCATACCGTGGAGCCCGGAAGTTCGGCGCGCCATGCACGTTGAGGTCAAGATCCAGCGCTCGGCCTTTCCCCACGAATCAAAACTCAATTTCAGTAGGCACACGAGCACAAAAAGAGAAACGCACCGGAAGGATAGTGGTCCGTCTTCAAGATAAAGCCTCTCGAGAGCACGCTCCCTGTGCGAGTCTTCACAACCGATGGACCTGAGCGTTGCAGGAGGTCCGTAAGATCCAACGACGTCGCCCCTCCATCGTCGATCCCTGCTCCTCCGCCTGATATGGAGCCTGCTGAGCTTCGTGGGTCGCGCAAGTTCGGATACGAGTACTTGTTCTGCAGAGTTGGTGGGATCGATGACGGTCTGTTCATGCTTGGTGAGAGGCGTCCACTAAGAAGAGAGCCCCGAATTGCTGTGGGTGCGGCGTGTATCGTTCCAGGAGCCGGCGGTACGCTAGCAGGACGGCCTTCGTCCGAGAGGGCTTTTGCGAGGGGACTTTGACGGTTAGGCATTCCTTCGTTGGTGTCCGAGGCGTTGGTGGTTCTGGAGAAGTTCCGAATTGACAATATTTGGGGAGTATATCGTTGTGGGGAGGTAAGGAAGTCAACACGTTGTGGACGCGTTGCAAAGAACATGGATCTTGGGGGCTTTGGCACGCCTGAGTCTTGAGAATGAGATTGGGGTTAGGGTTCTCCACTTTGAAGATTAGATTGTCGACATGTTTAGACTTCGAAATGATGGGACGGCGGGGCCTTCAATGGCGACGAGCTCTTGTGTTGGCAACTGACCAACTTTGCGATCACTTTGAAGAATTTCAAGAGCTTTGCAGGCAAAGTCATAACAAGTCAGAGCAAAGTCAGAGCAAAGTCCCCTTCACTCACGTACTTATTGCGTTTCACAAGGAAAGTTCGACAAATGCTATGGGGCTGGCAAAGATCTGACCAAGAGCTCGAGAAGAAAAGGTGCAGAAGGGGCGCGCAGTGGTGGTAGAAACCTAAGTTGCGGGGGGGTTACGACGACGTAATTACCTAATCAACGCAGCGTCGAGACGCGTGAGAGTCTTTCTTTTAGAAAAAGAAAATTACCCTGTCACTTGGAGAGATCGTTGAACTACTGCCAGTCAAAGATGTCTTGTACCCATTCTTTGCGCCGCACTGGACGGCGATCAAAAGCTCAACCAGTTTCTAATCCATTTCGCCGACCCATCAGACCATTGCAAACAGACTAACACCAAAGGCCGAAGGCATGATGGCAACATGACGGTCTGACTAGGAAGATTTGAAGAACCCTAGATAGAGGAAGCTGATGGACACTGCCGCGATAGTACTTTCTAAGCATTTGTAAGTAACTCCTAATGGTCTGAAATCTCCACTTTTGACCTTCGAGACACGCACACATCCCACGCCGCCTCAGAGAGCTCGGCAAATGGCGGGATTATCACTCCTTGGAAATTACCACATCAGGAAACTCTGCACTGTTTCTAGATGATCAAATCCGACGCCAATTTCTTGGGTGCCTTCCAAACATGGGTTGAATTACCCAAATAAGGATGGTGAATGCGCCGCTCTGAGGAACGACGCCGCATCCTATATTTTTATTAGAATAAAAACAAGTCTATAAAGGAACCCCTGCCAGCCCGTTTCCCCAGCACCCACAGGTCTCTGTTGCACTACCCAGCACCGTGGACCCAAACCAGCCAACCAAGAGAGCTCTCTGTCAACGACATTCGCTGTTGCGCTTGACTTGAGTCCGCCGTCACTCGAGCCGGGTGGAGTCGTTGAGCGCAAGTTTCTTGAGAAGGACAAGTGACCTTAGGTCAGTTCTCTCCTTCAATGAGCCGAGGACATCCTGACGACTCCCCTTCTACTAGGTGCTACTCACAGATTTACGCGTCAGACGCGGTCAAGCGTGTCGTCGCACGTTCTGCGTCGAAGTTATCGTCTCTACAAGGAAATAGATCACCTTCCAACACCTTCAAGTCAGACAAGAAGACATAACTTGTTGGTTCCAAAGCCCGCTCTCTCTCGCTTTCCCAATAATCGTGCTTCTTTCCATCTATGCCACGACCTAATACCCCATCCCAATTCACAATAAAGAATGAGATCAAGGAAGAGCGACAACCCATAAACCCTTATTTAAAGGAACAATTTCTTCAATACCACAGCGTCAATTTATCACTCCCGGAACCGCGGTTCAAGGATGCTAACGGACGAGATTTATGGCATAACATACTTAATCAAGACGCTTTTGTCGAAGCCGTGCAAGTTTTAGGCATAAATATACGCGCCAAAAAGAAAAATCCTTTCCTTAATGGCTTCGCCTTCACGTCATCCGACATGGTTCATCTTCCGAAAGAAGAATCATACCACCTCTCACATTACTCCATAGAAAAACTGTTTCAAGAGCTCCACAAATGGATAATGTGCAGCGCGCAACCTTCATCGCTATCTACGGCGATTGGGGGCGTCCATAACGGCGAATTTGACGCTCTCGACTTGAGCGCTAGCACTCCCACTCCACTCCCACGATCCGCTCCACAATGCAACATATTTCTCCGGGGACTACGAATAAAGACACTTGATGGAGACCGCCGCACGGGATATCTTGAGGTTGACGTAGAACTGGACTCGAGGAATTGTAGCAGTTGAAATAGACATGCACGGAGTAGTTCGAATAGCCTGCAGCGTCCAGCTCCCAGGCAGAATATTCCATACATATAGATGTACTAGAAGGTATACCGCGATACGAAAGTGTAGAATTCAAAAAGAGATTCAGGATGCATTCGAGTTTGGGATCGTACCTGTTTTGCCTATTCCGACTATTCTTGCACCATCCAGCGGGGATATCCGCCTGGGCCCCTCTTGATCCTCTCGCAATAAGCACGAAACAGCTCTCTGTCTATTTCTGAATCCATGTTGTGACTCTGGACGTGAAGACCCGACGAAAGTCAACACGCATCGTTCAACAAGAATTATCGCAACGAATTACCCAAAGGCTAGAGGGAGAGGGCATGAGTGTCGCGCTTCGAGAGACGAGGGTCAACTCACAGCCTATGGTAATAGCATCAGCGTCACTGATCAGCGTCAATTTTTTGGATAGGCTACGACATACTACGCATCTTCAGCAAATCAAGATTCCGAAAGGCGAGGCCAAAAACGAACCTGCCACTACCTCACCCCAATTATTGTGCAAGTCAGAATATCCACAAAGTAATCAACTCACTTCGTCCTATATAAGAGGGTGGTACGTTAGTTCAAGAATTAGACGGTAAAGTGAACCAAGAATATCGTTCGACTTACAAGCTAATGGGCGTCCGCAAGCGTGATCAGTGCGTGAGAACGCTGTGAGATACCTTGAGTGCAACTCAAATAACTAGCAACGTACAGGCTAGAAACGAGGAACAGAGTTCAGAGGTAGTGGAAAGCATGACGATATACCATGTCCTGGAGACGTAGAGGATTCAAACGCACCCTGACGTAGACATGAACCGCCCTGTAACGATCACTGTTGTCGACGAATGTGGGTGGAAAGCCCATAAACATATACTTCCAATGAAAAGAGCGCCTCGTGTATCCGACCTTGACTGTACTTGTTACCTGAATTCTTTGATCACAACCTGGGCTAAGTATAAATATTCTGTCAGGCTCGAAAGAGGCAGCGTCATAAAAAGCTTGACTTACCACTCTGCCCAACCGACCGCGTTCTCCAGATCGATGGTGCGCTTGCATTTAGGACGAGGACAGGTGTATTTTTGGATGATCCCGTTTCCTTGAACGTGCCACTTCATAACCGCCATTCTCACTCTCATACCGGGTGTCACCTGAGCCCAGCTTTCGGCAGAGTTCACGTCTTTGTCCCCGAAATTGTCACAAAATACGCTGTAGTCATGCCATTTGACGAACTCGTGTCCTGGTCGATCGACGTAATAGCCCTGAATTGTCTTTAGAAACCTCTGTGTGCGACGAACAAAAAAGATCAGTAGGGGGACTTCGATCAGGAGCGTACATTCCGTACCTTCATGGGGAAGCACGCTGCCTCCGGAAGTAGGGTAGATTCTCCGCAGAAGTCGACAACTTCAATCGCGTTTGCTTCAGAGAGCTGCATTCTCTTCGGTATCTCGACGACAATCGCACGCTTCTCCACACTCGAACTGGGAATGATCGAATTGAATGAAAAGGCGACACTCAAGAGAAGTAGATCCAGAGGATTCATACGTGGTAATGAGTATCACCAAATTCATTTGGTGTGCTATAATCCTCTTCTGAACCCTCGCGACGTCCTCTCTCCGAAACAGGGCCCACCAGACTTTGCGAAATACAACACGCACAGAAAAACTTCTCCGTCTCGTCAGCACTTGACCGTGAAGCGCCCTATAATACGGCGCAATGACCGCGAGGAACGAGTTCACGAGTGCACGGCAGCGGAGGATTTCTTCATAGATCCCCGACCTCACTTTCTCGTTGCTGGGCGTCGACTCCAGCTGCTCAAGAAAGTCCTTGACGTTGTCGAGGGTCCGACAGAACGCGAATAGATCGTCGATAAGGTTCCGATACTCTTCGGAAGCGCCCGATCCTTCTCTTAGGGCGTTGGCGATGAGGGTGATGATCTGGGCGAGGGCGACTATGTCGCCGAGAGATGCTGGCATGAGGATCATCGTGAGCTGACACGGAGAGCAAGTGGGGTGCAGTGAGGAGATCTAAACGTGAAACTTGAAGCTTGAGCTTGAAGAGTAGTCGATTGATATAACGCTGGTAGACTCGTACTATGCTTGGCCTACACGTTTTCACTGCATGCCCTTGTGGGTCCTGCATCTGTCAAGGCACGACACGGCAGCATCAGCCGATGGCGAAGATACGTATATTGGATGAGAGTCGATGACTTCAGTCTTCAAATCTTTCTGAAGTTTGAAGATTCGAAGCAGACTCAGGAATGAACCAAGGAATAGAGAACGGGGTTTCTGACATGGCAGGACACGCAAGGAAGACCGTAGATGAAAAGCCACGCATAGGCAAAGCCCAAACAGGCTGGATTCTCCTGCAAGAAAGCTTCGGCATAAGGTGGATATGAATGTGGTTGAAGGGCTGAAGGCAAGTGCTCTAGAGATGTACTAGGGTTAGGGCCGGCTATAATTGATGTCATTTCAAGTTGCGTCTTTTCTAGTGATCACTCTTGTCCGTCTACAAGAATGCTTGTTGCCGCAATCCCTCTAACCCCTTGCCAGCGGGGTCCCTCTTTCATTCTCCAACCCTTTCATTCCTTCTAAACTGTCCCTTGAATGCTCCTTAAACCTCAAGAGAGTCTCTGCCTCGCATATTATTGTTCAGGCCACGGTGCGTCTCCGCAGTCTCTCATCCCCGTCGACTACAACTGACGACGCCACAGGTTACGGACACGCAACTCGTGTCTCTGCGTTTACGCGTTTACTCCTCAGCCACAACAGCACCAGTGTTGAGCATGCGCCAACGGTGACGGTCTACATTATCTCCTCAGCTCCGCAGCACGTCTTCGCCGACAGCATTGCGTGTGGTGCGAGGTACAGATACGCCGAGATCGATCCGGTCATTGTGCAGCCCCTTGCGTACGTCTCCTGCTTTCCTGGCCTGAAGGATGCCTGACAACGATTGTCTCAATAACACGACGACATAATACAGATATCGAGTAGACCGCAGGAAGAGTGTCGAAGTTCTCAAAAATTTCTTGGACAAGAAGGATGAACTTCTGCACAGAGAGAGGGAGTGGTTAAAGCAGGCTGGAGCTCATGGGGTGCTCAGCGATGCTGCATTCCTTGGATGGTGCGTCTAAGGCCTGCGTTGCCTGTCTCCAATTGTTCACTCATTGTCCTTCTAGCCTAGCGGCGCACGCAGCTGGTATACCCTCGGCGCTCATAACCAACTTCTCTTTCGACTCCGTCTATTCTTACCTCTCTACACCCCTCCTCGACGCGTCCAACCCTGGAGCATTGCACCACACCCATGCCCATGCCGACAGTCTGGGCCATGATACCTCAAGCCTCCTTGATCTCGTCCCCGACATGCCAATCCCGTATTCCGAGCTAGCACCACTCGTAGCCCAGATTCACGAGGGTTACAGATGCGCAGACCTTCTCGTCCGCTTGCCAGGGCACATCCCTGTCCCATCTTTCTTTGTACACCCCCCTCTACCAGCGTCTGAGTGGATTGACGTAGACACGAGACGCGTGCGGCCAGAGATACTCGATACCCTCTTGCGGCATCCCAAACATCAAGATCTCCAACCCAGTATACCCATGGCCTTATCGATACCCCTAGCACAATCACGACCAGAGGACACCCCTAGGCCTCGACCTCGGACCGTCATTCAAGCACCGCTCCTCGTCCGGCCACCCTCCTCGGGCCCGGGTATGTCTGTGTACACACCCGAGGGCAGGTCGAGGCTGCTCACTTCGATTGGAGTTCCTGCACACCTGCACGACCCAACAAAGACGAAGATCCTGGTCGTGTCGTTCGGCGGCCAGGTGTTCAAGAGGCCGAACAGCAAGGCTGGCAGCCGGAGTCATAGCCGGAACGCGTCAAGGGAGGACGTGACGGGGCTGGTGCATGATCACCATAAACACCCTATGAAGATCAACGGTTTCACGTCGATATCACAGCCGGGTTCGAGCACGACGCCAGAGTTTGATCTGACGAACGCGACAAGGTTGTTCCAGGAGCGTATACCCAGGAGCACACAGCTGGACTTGCATATGCCTTCACATCTGTCGAATCTCAATGGCACGTCGGACGGCCTTCATTCCGGCCCGCCTCCTACTCCACGCCTCGCGACCCCATGTCACCTCTGGATACCCGGTGCCCCGCCAGCGTCCAAGCCCCTCGCTTCACCCACCATACCCGGCGTGCGCACCGTCCCACCCACGCCTCTGGCACCCCAGAACGGCTTTATCCTGCACGCACTCGAAACCCCCGATCTATTAGTCGATTCAGGAGACCTCCCAACCTCAGAAGACCCCTTCGACTCCGACTCCGACTCCGACTATCCGCGCCTCCTCCCTGATTCCTCCTGGATCGCCATCGTCTGTGGAGTCTCGAAAGAGCAATGGGCGCACCATCACGAGGGAGAAGACGGGCACCTCCCGGAGGAGTTCTACGTCGCCCCGAGGGATGTGTACATGCCTGACCTGACCGCGGTGGGCGACGTGCTTCTTGGGAAGCTGGTGAGTTTGATTTTGAGTGCCTACGTCATTTTCATTTTGGGTGGGAAGGCATCGGTGGCTTGGCGCGATTGCTTGGCGCTTCTGGTGCCCTAATTCGAGGCGGGAGATGCGAGCGATAAGTAGAGGTGGCTTCGAGTCTTCGATCATATTCTGCTGCTCCTTTTTTGAGCAGGTCGTTGACCAGTTTTGACTTTGTCTCTAGGGATATGGAACGGTATCGGAGTGCGTCGACGCATGTACACCCTTCGTATATGGTACGTATGAAGCATTACATCCGGCTTAACCTCGTCGCTTATCTTTCGTACCACGTAGTCTCGCGACCGCTCTTCATTGAAGAACATGGCCTGCGCCTGCTTCTCGAGCGAGAAGGCGTCGGCGTCGAGCTCTCGCGACAAGCATACGAGGCAGGTGATTGGGGCATTGCTGTATCGGAGGCACTAATTAAGGGTGCGGCGATGAAGGAACGCAAGCGGCGTGAGATGGAGATCGCCGCTGGGTGCACCAAATGCTTGAATGGCACGGTCAACGGCATACAGGTGGAGAAGCGGGCAAGCCGAGACGAAGAGGCTAGGAAGCTTGCGCTGGAGGTGATGAATTGGGTGAAGGATTGGTGGAACGAGGTTCCGGCGAGATAGGTGCCCCTAGTGGTTTGGTGTGATCTGGGCCCAGGCTGAAGACACCGAATGTGATACGCCGCTACCCAAGCTCAAGCTTTAGCATTAGCATATGAGCCGCAGCTGAGCTGCACTAGATAGGAATTCATTCCTAGATACCGATAGACACTTAGATAAACGGGCCTTGATTGGCTACAAGTGCATAGTATGATTGGTATGATAACATGACAGTGGTGATATGTACTGCAAGAGAAAAATCCAGGATAAATTTAGACTGGGAATTACACAGGCATATGGTTTCACTCCGGAGAGTATGGTACTTTAGGTGAACGAAGAAGTGTGAGCTTAGTTATATTTCTTCCCCTCCTCTCCGCTCCCTCTATCGTTGGCATCCAGCACCAGGACTACGAAGCTCAAAAAAGTCTTGGCAAATCACGTGTGGTGACGAAATGGCGTCACAGCCGCCCTCGAATCGGAGGGCGTCTGAATCTGTGACTTTGTACCCCAACTCGTTGCACTCCGGGAACCTCGTATGACTCCTGCTTCCGTCCTTTACTAGCGTACTCAACCTAGATTTTCTACTATGGCCTCCCCATCGCAGCCCCTCAACATACGCGGCCGTCGCGCTGCCCAGGGCAACAATGAAGGGCCCACCAACGATCCCGACACCGTCTCGACGTCTTTCCAGGGCACCCCGAACTTCGGTACCCCGGATCTTCGTGCGGCGCTGAGGGCGCAGTACACTGGCACGCCACCACCACCGAATATCCCTCTTCGAGGAACACCATCGAACAGGCCTGCAGCAACCGCGTCGGCGCCCTCACTCGTGCCGGGAGAGGCGTCTCCTCGTCGGTCTCCGCCCGCTGTGAGCGGACTGTCGGCGACACGTGCACCTGCATCCGACTCGGCCGTTGTCGTAGGGCCCGTCCCAGCACCGACGATACCTCCAGTGCCTCCATTACCGGGAGTGACGCCCCCAGTACCTGCGGCCATCGATTTGGACGATCTGCCCGTGGAGGAGAAGGCGCGTGTTCTGGGCCGACACCTCGTGCCGAAGGAGCAACGAATAAAGTCGACTGCTCCGTCTGTGAAAGAGGGGCAGTCTGGGTCGGGTTCTGGGTCGGATGCGGGTGACTCGCGTTCGCGCCGGTCCTCGTCTGGCGGAGGTGCGGGGACGAGTACGCCCCAGCAGCAACAGAAGGCGAGGGAGGATTCAGAACCGTTCCCCATCCCATACGACGCGCATGGCGCGGATGTTACGTGAGTTCTTTTTTTTTTCTTCGCTGCTCTTATTTCTTCTCTATTCCTTCTTGCTGGTCACTGTCCACAAGTCTGCACGCGCTCTCTAGGCCTTAGATTCTTCTGAGATGTCTTGGGCATTCGTGTTACATGACTTCCTTTAGCCCTTACTATTCATCCACCGGATCTATGAACTCGTGTTAACTTTCTCCCACCCTGATAGACACGACATATACAAGTGGCACACCGACCAGCGGCGCCAGGCTGCCCGCGTCCGCTCAGCTTCCTTCGCCGGCCCGAGTAATGCCCCACATCCTGCCTTTGAACACATCCATGAACCGGGCGGCTTTAGGAGGAACTACGTGAAGTTGCGTGCGAACGAGCAGGGTGCTGAGGAGCCGGAGATGCTCAATAACTTTATCGACTTTTTGTTGTTGTTTGGACACTTTGTGAGTACCTTTCTTCGTACTATTTTGTCACGGACGTGCAGAGCTAATATATGCATATGTTAGGCCGGTGAAGACCTCGAAGAAGATGAAGACGATGACAAGGACGAGGACGAGGAGGCAGCCGAGACGGAGGCACTGTTAGCTGCTCCTGAGGTTGACGAAGCGACCCCATTGCTGAGCGCAAGCGTCTCTTCACTATCGCGTGCACGTTCGAGGAGCAGACGACGAAGGAATTCAGTCGCTACCCAAGGAACAGCGACCGTGACTCAGGCAGTATTAATGGTATGTTAAAATAATTCTGTTCACCTTCAGGTTATTTGTGATGGTCTCCTAATATTGGACTCTAGTTGCTGAAGTCCTTCGTTGGTACTGGTGTGCTATTCCTGGGCAAAGCGTATGTCTATCCCACTCTTATAATCCTGGTCGATGACAACAAGAATGCGTAGGTTCTATAATGGCGGCCTTCTATTCTCTTCCTTAACCTTCACATTCATCGCCTTCATTTCGCTGTATTCTTTCCTACTATTGGTCAAGACAAAGTTTGTCGTGTCTGGAAGCTTTGGAGGTGAGCACACGTTTGTCATTGCGTTGCCCTGGTTGGTTGCTCAAATTTGGTCATGACAAGACATTGGCGGGGCGCTGTACGGCCCGTGGATGCGTTACACCATCCTTGGTTCCATCGTCGTTTCTCAGCTCGGCTTCGTGGCAGCATACACGATCTTCGTCGCGGAGAACCTGCAGGTATGCCTCCTTTTCTTCCTACGTTGTTCCCGTTCTAAACAAGTACCAGGCCTTTGTCATTGGTGTGACGAACTGCGCCAAACTTATCCCAGTGGAGTACTTCATCGTCGCCGAGCTCATCGTCTTCCTCCCACTCGCCCTCGTCCGAGACCTCGCGAAGCTCAGCTCGACGGCGCTCATCGCGGACGGCTTTATCCTTGCGGGTTTGCTGTACATTTTTGGCAGCGAGTTCTCGATCCTGGCACAGAAGGGTATCGCGGATGTCAAGATGTTCAACCCCAGGGACTTCCCGTTGTTTATTGGGTGAGAGGCCCGTCTTTTACATCATTGTGCAGGTTGCTGACGTTTTTTAAGGACGGCGGTGTTCTCATTCGAGGGTATTGGTCTGGTCATCCCTATCACTGATGCGATGCGCGAGCCTCACAAGTTCCCTCGGGCACTGACCGGCGTGATGATCTTCCTCCTCTGTAAGGCTGCTCTCCCCCTTCTTTACATGAACTCGTTGACCGATTCCCGCCGATCAGTGCTTTTCGGCGGCTCCGGTATTCTCGCGTACCTCACCTTCGGCTCTCAAATCCAAACCGTCGTTCTCGTGAACCTCGACTCAACCTCGAAGATGGTGCAGTCCGTACAGTTCTTGTACGCACTCGCGATCATGCTCTCCGTGCCGCTCCAACTCTTCCCGGCTGTCCGTATCCTCGAGAATGGCCTGTTCACACGGAGCGGCAAAGCGGATACCCGCGTCAAGTGGACGAAGAATGCTTTTAGATGGGCGATGGTCCTCTGCTGTACGGTTGTGAGCTGGGTTGGCGCGAAGGATTTGGATAAGTTCGTAGCATTCGTTGGGTGCTTCGCTTGGTGAGTCTTTGGTGGCTGTGAGATGAATGCGTGCTGACGCTGTCATTTCAGCGTGCCCTTGTGCTACGTCTACCCAGCCATGTTGCACTACAAGGCGTGCTCGAGGACGCGTAGGCAGAAACTGGCCGATATTGCTATGATCGTCTTTGGCATGGTCGCTTTCGTGTACACCTCCGTCCAAACTCTGAGGGTACGCCTTATCCTCTACACTTTTACCCAATTGCTGAATTCTGGTCATGAACAGTTGATGATTGAGCCTTCCGCGCCTGCTGACTCGCCTCTTGGATATTGCGATGGCGGCAGGACGTAGACTCGCCTGGTCTTCTTTCTAGCTCTGGGTGTGGACATTGACTTCATTTACAGGGTACACTTCTATGCTAAGTCTACAGATAGAAGTAGATAACATTGCATGTTATTCATCATGATCTATGGAGTTGGGGCATCATTCATTTCGCCCATTACACATTTCGGTTTCTTGTGTTGCTTGCTTGCATCCTACATGGACAGACGCCATTAGCTCGGTTCATTTATGCAGCCGCAGGCCCGCTTTGCCCTCCATAGTGGTCACGGATCTCGTCTTTTGTGCATTTCATCTCGTGTGTTCACTTAGTGAAAAACCCCCACAAGAGTCCATTCTGTTGTATTGGACATCAAGACCCTAATTTGGCAATCGCACTACCCAAAATGGTCTCCGTGATGCGGTTTCAACAGAACGGCCAACTTTCCGAATGACACGCGTGCTGTGTCTACCTTCGGCGCGATAGCTAAGGCCACGTCTCCAGCGCAATCAGTCCTTCAACCTGGGGCCTAAATCAATGCTCCAAGAATAACAATTATCCTAAGTGATTTACATACATACAATAGTGTACAATGGCAGCGCATACAATGACAAGGACAGAATCCTGAATAAGCAAGCTAAGCAATAATGTAGGGCACCGGGCAGGAGGAAAGCAGGCAGCCAACAGGTACGGATTTTCAGGTTTAACGAGAGCGGGGTGGATAGCTCATCGGTCTTCTTCAACGAGGGGCAATCGTGGCAGGTCGCCCGCATTCTCCCGCTCCTCGTGCTCTTTCACACGCTCGATTTTCGCTCCAGCGGCCTCGAGCAACTTCATCGTCTTGTCCACCTGGACTTCTCTCTCCTTCTGGTCAAGATCATCCTCTCTTAAAACGCCTGCACCGCCCAAACCACCGCCATCTGCACCGCTACCAGAGTGGTTCGCGAGGACACTCGATGCTCTGCTCAGCCCAGGTGCACCAAGGACGCGCCTGACTTGCTTCCGCTCTTGCAAACGTTCCACATGGCGCTGGCGCTCCTCCATCCACTCTTCTTCCTCCTCGCGCGTCATGACGACACCAATCGAGTACCGGCGCGATTCGCGTCGGCCGAGGGGCGACACAGTGACACCTGCGCTGTTCGCACGTGCGAGGGATTCCCGGATAGTTCTCATGCTCTCGCGTCTCTTACGAGGGCGACAGTCGGCTTTGCTTTCTTTTCCTCGTTCGTTTTCTTGCTGTGGGAGAGTCGACAAGCTGTCGAGGATTTCTGAGTGCGAGTGACCATGATGGCGCGTGCGGTGGGCACGCGGTCCGTCCGGACCACTCTTACGACGGCCGGGAGCCGGTGATGGCGACGGTAAACGCACTCCCGCCGCTTGGAGGACATCCTGAATTGGGGCATGGTCTTTCGTCGACTGCATTCGATGCGCATACGAGCATGTCAACCTTCAGGCCGAAAATAACGCCATCAGCACCGTGAAACTCAACACAATTTGCACCGAAAACTTACCCTGGGCCCATCACGAACTCCCCACCGAGCTGGCCAACGTCCCCGCCCTTCTCCCAGACCGGCATGCCCACCTTGATAGCACGCACGACGACCATCGCAAAGCCACTCATCAACCCATGCTTCACATAGCCATCACGCTTCCCCCTCTTCTCCTTCTCTGACTTCTCTGACTCGGACTGTGATTGATACCCTATAATCAAGACACGACGGCCAACAAGAGAAGAGACTCAATCAGCGAAGACATTCAACATGACAGACGAAAACAGTCAATCACCTTTATTCCTTTGCTTCTCATGCTGTCGTTCGCGGTGATTCGGCTGACGTTGATGGAGGTGTTCGCGCCGATGTTGATACTGTTGCGCCAACAGGTCGCCTTCGCGGCCCATCCCGAGAGCCTTGTATACCGCGAGCGAAGGGTCCGTGTACACCTTGAAGGGCAGCGCGAATATCTGCTTGTACTTCGCGATCATCCCGTACGCGCCGTTGCTGATGATCACAAAGTCCACCTTTTGCTTCTTCCTCTCCCTCTCTTTCCCTTCCACCTGCTCCTTCTCGCCAAGTTTCTCGCCCTTCGCCTCCATCGCCTCCTCAACCGCGATCTTCTCCCAATCCGCGTCCTCCGAATCCGCCAAGAGCATCTCGGGCTTCACGAGCGTCGTCAACGCCGACATGTAGTCCTGGCATAGGGGGCACCAGAAGTGCCTGATGAAGACGACAACCGTCCGCTGCTTCCTGAAGAGCGATCCGAAGGAGACGTGCTTCCCGTCCTCCCCCGTCACGTAGTGTGCCGCAGCGTCGGCAATCTGGGCTGCTGTTGGGAGGGCCCATTCGGTTGGAGAAGGAGATGCGGTGGTGGCTGAGGATTTCTCGCTGTGGACATCCGGCTTCATCTTGTGCCTGTTGCCGGTAGGAGGAGGCGACTTTGGGACAGGCGGCGGCGGAGGGAAGGAGGAACCTGCTTCTCCTCTCCCTGGGTCTGCGAGGACGGAGGAAACGCGACGTGGACGTGCGGTTCCACAGGTGGTGGCGTACATTCCACCTTGGTGCATTCCTTCGGCAACTTCACCCCCGGCTTGGACTTCGTCCTTCCCTGCTTCGAAGGCGCCACCACCACTACCGACCGCTTCCTCTCCACCTCTGACTCCGAGCTTCTCGCTACCTTTCCGCCAGCAATGTCCGAATCGACGTCGTCCGTGCCCTTTAGTGGTTCAGTCCCAGACCGCAAGATCCCCGGTGGGCGTGGTGCAGGCCGGGGTGCGATGTACGCGTCCGCGTTGGCTGTGTGGTCCGCGAGTGACTCTGGTGGCGGGGCAGGGTGGGGTGTCGAAATCGAGATATTCACAATCGACGTATTCGAGATGGACTGTGTGGTGGGCAGGCCTTGTGTTTGGGCGCTTAGCGACCCGTTGGCGGTTGTACCGGGCGGTGATTTTGCCTTTGACGAAGCCGTAGGAGTCGAGAGCGGGACGGGTACCGAGGATGTGCGTCGCTTGAACATCTTAGGAGGTGGTGGCGGCGGCTGAGCTTGTCCTGAAGCTGGAGCTACCGGTGCTGCAGGTTGCGCCGCTGCTGGAGGTATCGGTGTCGTCGCTCGACTTCGCTGGCGAGCAGGAGCAGGCAAGGGAGCCTGCACAGACCCGATAGCAGGCTCGACAGGGAGCGTCTTCTCCCTGCGGTGTCGAGGAGTGGCATCCACCACCTGTACGGGGACCCCTACCTTTAAGTAGTGGGCGGCGATATCAGTGTCAGATGAGTGTCCTTCTCTCTGCGGTGATCATCAGCAGCCTGATAATCATGGCCAGCTCCAGCGTTTCGGCCACCACCTATCCTGGTGCCGTTGTGATTCACACCAGTGCCATTCGAAGAAGCTTCCGGTGTCACCACAACTGCTGCACCCGGATCTGCGAAGATGGAAGGCGATTGTCAGCTATGATATGTTGTCTCTATCGCGTCGTGTCTTACCTGGTGTCGTCTTCGAATGCGTGTTCCCCTTCCGCGTGTTGTTGGTAGGCTCAACGGCATCAAGACGTCTTGCCTCGTTCTCGTTACCACTAAATGGCGCATACACCTCTGGCGTTGGACAACGATTCGCTGTAATCGCACTTTTGGCTTGAATAGCGATCGCGACGCTGCCATGGTCTCGGTCGTGCGCTTCCCAAGTCGCGCTAGCAATGATGGGGGCCGAGATGGTCGACTTGCGCACCGCCTGACGCCTTTTGCTTTTGCCCTCCCTCTGTGGCGTCGACGCTGGGCTGGAGGTGACGCTGGCGCTCGTGTCCGTCGCCACGCCGCTCGAAACGCTGTTCTTCTTCGGCAGAAGGAACTTTGTGAGCCTGTTCGTCGTCGAGTTGTTGGACGCGCCGCGTGTGAGTGGCCCGCTAAGCTTTATGGGTGGCGCGTCGCTGTCCGTGTCCGTGCCACTGCTGTCCATCACCGCTTCTGCCCGCCGTCCTCGAACATCTGTCGTCGACGCCGTGGGCCAAGGGTGCATGATGTTCGTCATCGGTTTGGCGAGCTGCGTCTGCGACGCGTTGTGGGTATCCCACCGCGACATGAGCGGGAATCCGTAGTGGCTTTCTGTGGCACCAACGTTGAATCCCAGCTGCGAATGCGGCCTGTAGTGGCCTATCCTCGCTGGCGGCGATGGTGATGGGGAGCGCAGCGAGGCCGGTTTTCTCAGGACGCGCGGAGTGGCGACGGAATGCAGGTAAGCGTCAGGCGACTGCGGGCGCGACTCTGGGGCGTCGAACACGCTATTGGCGAGTGTCTCCTGGCTGGGTGTACCATATGGCGCGTGGCGGGCGTACGGGTACGCAGAGGGCCCGAAGCTTGAGCCCGTCCTATTTCTAAGGACCCAGAGTGGCGCGAAAGGGTCCTGTGGGTCAGGCGTAGGATATCTCTCGGAGATATCTATGGTCGGAGGCGGCTTCCGCTTGATACGGTAGCCTGGCGGTGCCCTGAGGTCAGGGAACGAGGTCGACGACGAGACGACTGCCATTTTCGACGGTGGTGTTGGCGACTGCAGGGCGAACGGCGAGCAGTGAAGCGAGGGAAGCGGGGTCAAAGCATGTAGGATATTAAATAGCGAGCTCGAAGCACGCTTTGACTGCAAGGACGAGGGGCCTTTATGTGAACGAAAGAAAGAAAGGCACGGAAGGCGCGAGGCTGACCTCAATCCGATTCGCCCACGTGCACCTGATTTCCTTCCAGTCTTTTCCAACTACGTCTCTCCCGACTCCCTTCCATCTTGCACCGCCTGGCCCGTTATCTTGAGGCTCCTGACAACGTAAAGTGCTGCGTCTTGCAGCTGTAAAGGCGCAAAAAAGGGGGAACTTTTTTGTGGTCCTCGGTGGTAGCTGTGCCTCACGTAATGCAGACTGGCAGACACGAGGCGACAAAGGAAGGCGGACTTCCATATCGGGAAAATTCTCATATCGATATCGGACGCAAAGCCAAAGTCCAGCCTCCAGGCCTGCTTTACCTCAAAGCTGTTGCTATGGTCCAGCAACTGCATGTCGTCTAATTTTGCCTGAAACATGAAAACTGAATCAGTGTGAGTTCTGCTTTTCTAAATTTCTATGGGCGCCTGACGACAGATAAGACGCGTTTGTGAAGGCCTAGCAGCGTTGACAAGAGACGTTCATTTCTGTGAACTGCAACCTGCGGAAATAGGTCGAATCGTATGACTCTTGAAGACTCGACAAGGCATGCGTTCGCCTGCGCCATTTAACGGATATCAACGAAGCCGGGCCTCCAATCACCTACAACTTGTGGTGTCCTTGTGCAGCTTGTGCCCATTCCGACGACATCAGTGTTTAGATATATAGCCGCTTGTTCACTGGCATGAATCAAAGCGTACAGTGAGATACATAATTCCCGACCCCACACTCTCAATGGGGCCAAAGCGGGACCAAAAATAGCAAGGTCCCATCGCGTACTATTTTTAGATCAGTGGCCCCTAACCGACTAGCCACTCCAACCAGCGCTGGTCTGCTCCTCAATTCGCGATTGCGTGTAACGTCACCTTCGTCATATCTTTTATTTTCAGTCAGGAGCTTGCGTATAAAACCCCTTTGGCACCGGCGTGAAAGCAGAGCCATTCACACACCACTCATCATCATCATCATCATCATCATGTCTTCTGTAGCCCCCAAAAACAACAATGCGAGCGACCAACAGACAAAAACCGGGCCCCCTAGCAGCGATGGGACATCCTATCCCGAGCAGCGTCATGCTGGTCAAGTCGGGTATGGGCCTAACTACCACACTGGTCCTGTACGTCCCATCAACCCCATCCCAATTTGGGAGATTCTGACACAATATCTCATCTAGACATTAGAGGAGAAAGTCGCGGGTCTGAAAGAAGAGCTTATGGGAAAGGTCACTCGCAGTCCTGCTCGCGTCCAGCACGGCCGTGAACTTCTCAGCGGAGAGGAAAGGCGCAAGAAGCTTAGTGTAGATGCAAGTGAAAATCTTTTCATATCACGTCTCTTACTAACTTACGGTCAGGACGAGCCAAACCCCTTCACCGCCGCCAACAAAGACGACCATGAGACCAAGTCTCCGGCGCGCTTACCTGGACCGTCCGTTGGCGTCTCGAGCTCTACTGTTCCCTCCAATTCCACTGTTTCCGCCATCAACTTGGACAGACCTTCTTCTGGACCTGACCAAAACCCACAGTTCCACTCAGGCTACCCACCGAGGCCCAACCCGTCTGGAATGGTAGGCGACCGAGGTTACGGTAAAGGCGCAAAAGAGTAGGCGGCTACGGTCGCTCCACAGGGAACGCACGATGCGCATGTCCAGAGCCAAGGAGAGGCAGTGGACCGCGTCAAGTATATCTGATTGAAAGAGGAAAGGGGGCTGTAGCGAGAAGCTCTTATAATTATACGTTACGAAACAAATTGTCAAATAATACTGTCTCCATCTCTCTTTTGCTTGAAAATGCGCTTAGTGCAACTTGCCCTCACCTGGGATATATGCATAATCCCTCCATGACGCAAACGTGTTTATTTCCTCAACAAATTCGACGCCAAAAATAGAGATCACGCCACGGACCCACCAATAATGATCCATTCCTTTCGGCGCTTGTCCAGCGCTACTCTATCAAACGCTCCATACGGCCAGACTCACGTTCCAACTTCAACCAAATCTTACTAAGCTGTTCTTCTCCGCTCTGGCTGGTCATTCACCCTCCAGAGTCCTCCAAGCCGCTTTTGACATGCCCGTCTTACCCGCCGGCATGCGGTAGATCATGCTCGACTTCACTCAAATTAGAAGTCAAAATCATTTTGTAAGTCTTTGATCAGGCCAGTCGTCGGTTACGGTGCCGAGAATAGATGAGTCCTCGAGGTCGATGCGGGATTGGTTGCTTGCTCACGAATCGAGGCCACAAGCTCGTTGGTCGACGCCTCACTCGAGGGTATTCGGAAGTCCATGTCACTCCGGACTAATCCAATGGAACTCGTTCTAACATTCCAAAAGCCGAGTAACCTCAAAGGGGGCTTTCATCCGTGCCTATATCGCTGCCGAGATACCTCCCGCGGAGTTCGCATGGCAAGCCGTCACCCAAGCGATGAAAGAGGACGCATGCTTGCAGATGCTCGCCAAGTTCCAGAGCGAACATCAGCATTCAGAGCTCCGATTTCGGATTCTGCAACATGGGTATATAATCCCTCGAAAGCGAGCCGCCTTCTGCGTCGTTTTGAGATTCCCTCAGAAAACAACCTCTCCCAACTTCGATATTTAACAATGGTCAAGCTCTCCGTCCTCGCCTTTTTGTTGAGCACGTCCTCCGTTGCGTTCGCTGCTCACACATGTACGTTGCTTTACCCTCACGTTCTTGCTGGAGCTTTTTATGGACCGGGAACTTTGTAATAGTTGTGTTCAGGAACAACTGCGGCAGCTCAGTGAGGCCCGTCATCGCCAACGTGAACTGTGGGTACTCTCCGCGGTGCAGCACCCCAGGATCTGGCGGTGTGGTGCGTCTTGCCCTTTCTTTGTTTCCTTAAGTTAACTTCAACGCACTTCCAAAAATTCTCAGCCCAATCCCGCGATTTCGTATACGGGTGCCCAACCTAACACACTTGGGAGCGGCGCTTCGCAGACCATGACAATAAATCGCCAGGTACGTCATCGTTCTTTAATACACGCAAAGGGTTCTGATTGGGCGCTGTGACAGTGGAACGGCCGTATCTTCAATCAAAATGGAAGGTGTGGCGCAAAGGGAGAAGGCTGCACCATGGGCGAGTTTAACTTGGACACTGGAAGTCAGTGGACACCTCAGGTAAAATAAGTTCGTGACATTCCGCCGAAATCCTGTTGCTGATAGGCCTTCTTCAGGCGTATGATATTTCCAACATCCAGGGATTCACCCAGTCCATCCGCATTGCTGTCAATGGATGCGATACAGTCACCTGCACGAACGTGAACTGTGGGTGCAGGAACGCTTATCCTCCCGGAGTACGCAACCTTCTACTTGGCCAAACAACGAACCTAGTCTAACTGAACTTTATTTCAGGACCTGAGTGGCTGTGGAAATGATTCTCCGGTCCGTGGATGCTCGGCAGGAGATAAGACCTGGACGATCACTTTCTGCCCCTGAGACGAAAACTGAATGAAGTGAACTTAAATAATGTGGAAGAAAGCTACCTGGCTTCGGTGAAGAAAGTGAATCAAATTGGGAATGTCTAATCAGAAATGTGTATGGTAGCACTTACTCTGTGGAGAGAGTTATGCTCAAGTGTTTGTGGACGAAATATAATGGTCATCCGCTTCGTCGGCCCACAATGTATTCTCAAACTGAACACGGTGCAATACTTCATCAAGCGGAGTGGTCTCCTACTTTGCGCTTGGGTGCACAACATCTGCATCGTCGTATTCTCCACTCGTTTGTCTAGTTCCGAGCGCTGGTGGTCAGGAGGCGCCCGACACGATGCCAAATTTCCAGAATTACCACTCCGCCCAACCCGTAACCCTTACGGCGTCTCTCTCCGCTTTGACACGGGGCCCCGATCTCCGACCTGGATCATTCTTGTGATCTTCCTCGGCCGTCAAGGAGCGCCACGCTCATGTGTGAAGGAATCTCTCTGGACGTGCCTCTTACGAAACTCCCGTCCTCCCAGCTGACAGAAAGACTCGAATAATTATAATTATAACTCAGGTTTTGATAGCTTTGATATCCACATTTGATTTATTAAGATCCGCCGCCGCAATACGTATTACAGCACCGTTCGAGGACCATAGCATTCCAAATTGTGTGAGGTCGAAAACGGGATGGAAAACGAGGCAAAAATAGACCAGAATTTTTGGGATATAAGGGAGAAATTTCGAATGCCGGCCACCAGGAACAAAGTCTCTATCTCTCCTCCGAAAGAAACAGCGATATGATTCACACCAAACTTACCGTTTTCGCCTCCATGCTGGGGTTAGCGTCTCTTGCTGCCGCTGACCATACGTGTCAGTCTTCATTCTATTTTCTGTGACCATACCAAGGGTATTGACGACGTGCGCAGTTATCTTCAGGAACAACTGTGCCAACTCTGTCAAGCCAGTCATCGCCAATGTAAACTGCGGGTATTCGCCTCGGTGCAGCACTCCAGGCTCTAGAGGTGTTGTGCGTACCAGTCCCGTCGGGCCCGCTTCCTAATGTTATATTGACTCGCTGCACTTTTGCCCGTCCCTCTCGGAATCAGCCCAATCCCGCTATATCCTACACTGGCCCTCAGCCGAACACCCTTGGAAGAGGCGCTTCCCAGACTATGACAGTCAATCGCCAGGTATTTCCTCGTGTTTGGTCGTTATAGGATAGGGATTAACCTTGTCGTGTGATGTGACAGTGGAACGGCCGCATTTTCAATCAAAATGGCAAGTGTGGCGCGAAGGGAGAGAGCTGCACTCTTGGCGAGTTCAATCTCGACACTGGAAGTCAATTCACTGGCCAAGTAGGGTTCTAGGATTGTACCACGCCTTCAGGATGCTGACAATGACTTGCTGCATAGGCCTATGACATCTCCAATATTCAGGTCTGGTCCCGGCTCTTCGAAGTCGCAGAGATTGTTTCTCACGAAGTTCTGGAGTGCAGGGCTTCACCCAATCAATCCAGATCGCGGTCAATGGGTGCGACACCGTAACTTGCACCAATGTTAATTGTGGGTGCAGAAATGCGTATCCACCTGGAGTAAGAACCTTATCGAGAGGATTATCTGGTGGCATTTCTGACGTTCGTTGCTAGGATTTGAGCGGTTGCGAAAATGATTCTCCCGTACGAGGGTGCTCTGCTGGAGATAAAACTTGGACCATCACCTTTTGCCCTTGAGGCGATCCGGACAGCGCTGCAATATTCAAGTTGCAGCTTTATTCGAGATTATGAGTGAACGGTTACTGTCTTCACAAATCTTGCTTGGATGTGCTCGATTTCCGGTGGTGTTTTTTGCTCATTGGGAATAAGATGTGCGTATACAATATGCCAAAATGACTCTGCAGTGTGTGGAGAGGTGAACAAATAGAATGAAGGCGGAGGATATTATGCCCAATTGTCGATTAGAGAGTCGCGCATCTCTCCTATCACAGCAGTCGAGTCTTGGCCTTGTAGCTCTGAATGCATGGGATGAGAAGGCAACAAGAAGATTTTACAGGCGAACTCACTGAAGGCTGCCTCTATCACGCTGATCTCTGTCGCTGTTGTCTCCAAACCAGTGAATGCACACCAGTCATTGACCACCAGTCCAGCACCAATGACGTCCGAGCCTCGGTTCACTGTGCCAGCCTACGCAATTGCTCAATAAAGGCAGTAAGAGATGTAAAGATCCGGCAACACTCACCACTAGTGGGACTTGCAACAAGCTACTCAGCTCATCCTGATCTTGTACACTCGTAAGGGGATGTACCAGTCCGCCTTGGTTTGTGATGGCGCAATAACTTCCTACCAGCACGTTGTTGGCGATCGTCTGTCGGAAAACTTCCACCTTCAGTACATCGGCGATGATTTCTTCTGTTTCGCGATCCACATCGGGATGAACGAGAGCGACGTAGTCGTTGCAGGCTATCACGTTTCCGAGTGCTGACAGTCGCTCCTCGACACGTTGAATGGCGACAGAATCGGGTAGCGAGTTGCGAAGATGTTGTAGCTCTTGGTCGGTCGCTGTTGAGGGAACGAGGAGACCATGCCGGTTTCCTGTCGGAAGAAAGCAGTAGAAATTAAATTAGCCTATAAATCATGGAAGGCCCTGCGGGAACTGGACGAACCTGCCGTCAAACGGCCAATTATCCGTGTGCCGCCAATGCTGGTGTGCACGATCGGGATCACATCCCCGAGCTCGCTCTCGAAGGCGGAGTAAAAGTTGGTGCTACCTTGGATGGCAGCAAGGCAGTAGCTGTTGGTCAGCTTGGCGAACACGCCGATGTCACTGTGGTTCTCGAACTGGATGCCTGGCGATGATACTAGTCAGGGATGGGTGTTTTGAGCTGGATCAAGAAGGCATACGGGTAGCCATTTTCTAAGGGGAGGAAGTCGTATGCACTCCTTCTAAGCGGTGGTAGTAGAGTTTTTGTTTTAGGGGAGGAAGAGGGCGATGAGGGCGGTGGCGAGATCGATGGCGTTGGACCCTGGACGCGTCTGAGCTTTATACGATTAGCGATTAGATAATTTGCTGCCTGTTTCTATCATCGAGTCACACTTAAGTCACACGCGGAACCTTTCGCTCGATCTCCTGTCAGAGGCTACCCGCGGCTCCGAACGCCAAAAATTCGACGCGTCTCTTCATCTAGAACCAGAGAAAGAGTCACAAGGAACAGACTAGTGTCCTGTTCCAGATGCTTTTCATGACTCGGAGCTGTCGACATTTACCATTTTCCTTTCGAGCCGCTCGGAACATCGTGAACACGAGGCACTCACAGCCTTCGAAACTTCGGCTCATTCACGATGCGGCCTCCAACTCGACGCCGGTGGAGAAAATCATACGTGACAATATAAAGGTTCTTTCCTGCTAGTCATTTCATTTACGAGAGTTTTGACCTGGCAGTTAGGTCACTGGGCCGCTGCCTTTTGCGACTTATATGCAACTATGTCTGTCTCATCCAACCCATGGTTACTACATGAACACCGCCAATGAGGTTTTCGGCTCGAAAGGAGACTTTATAACGAGTCCAGAGATCAGTCAGGTTTTCGGAGAGGTATGCTCACTCTGAAAGTAACGTTATAATTGGATGATGACGAGCGCAGTAAACGCTGTATAGTTGGTCGGGGTGTGGCTTTTATCTCAGTATGCGAGCCTTGGGAACGAGAAAATCCCATTTAGACTCGTTGAGCTTGGGCCTGGTCGGGGAACGCTTATGGACGACATTTTACGGGTATGTTCCTCCAACTGATGTGTTGACGCGTTAATTTACGCGCCCTCAAGGTGATCGCAAGACTACAGCACACAAAGCAGGAAATCAACGTACACTTGGTGGAAACAAGTCCTGCTATGCGCGCATTGCAGGACGCAAAGCTAACATGCGACAGTCGACCGAATGTCCTACTCCATTGGCACAACTCCATCAGCGAAATCCCTACAACTTCAGAGTACACTATGCTTGTGGCTCACGAATTCTTTGATGCCCTTCCAATTCACGTTATCCAGGTAAATTTCCCAAGGTTTTGTGACCTGTCCAAGTTACTTACTAGCAGGGCTAGAAAATGGAGACTGGTTGGCATGAGGTGCTCATATCCTCCGACACACAAGGACCAACGCAATCCATCGGCGTCAATGACGCTCCGACCTCTCAGCCACCCTCACAGTCAGCCCAAACTGCTTTCTCTCCACTTCGCCGTGGACTCGCTCGGCAACCGTCTGCCGCATCCACTCTGCTCGGACATTCATCGCCTCGTTTCCAAAACCTACCCGTGGGCTCGACGTTGGAAGTATCGCCTACGGCCTTCAGAATAGCGAGGAAAGTGGGCGAGCTGCTTGAAGCAGGAAGGCAATTAGATGGCGACAAGCTGTCTACAGGCGGATGTGGATTGATTATTGACTATGGTGGTGGTCATGCATCGAGCAACTCCTTCAGGGTGTGTTTAGTTTTTCATAGCTGCGTATTCCACATTTTGATATTCTCTGTGACTACCAGGCGTTCAAGGATCATAAGATCGTCGACGCATTCCATGAGCCAGGAAATTGCGATTTGACGGCAAATGTGGACTTCGCATACCTGACAGAAGCAATGAACGACCTTGGTGCGTTTCAAAGACCATCTTGTAACATTCAGTTTCCTGATATCATCCTGTTGGAATTAGTGGCGACGTACGGACCCATAACCCAAGGCTCGTTCCTGGAACGTATGGGTCTACAACTACGACTCCAAGGGCTGTTGAAGGCGGCGAAGACGGATGACCAGCGAGAGAGGATTAAAGAGGCGGCAACGAGGCTGGTGGACCCTTCTAGGATGGGAAAGGAGTACCAGGTCTTAGGAATCACAAATAAGCCTTCGCAGGAGAGTATTTGGCCGTTTGTTTCCGATGTGAAGTTGTAGTTTGCGGGGAATGACATGTCCATCCATCTGCCCGCCCTCTGAGATGTTCCGTTCGAGACGAGTGTATCCCAGATAGTATGTCATCAAGTTCGAGCGCCCTCTCTTCGAGACGAGGTGACCGCATGGGGATCCTCTTTGCTAGAACGACGAGGTGACCGCGACTGACTGCTTCTCCGCCTTCGGGACGATCGTCCTTCCTCTTCGGTTTCTCGGTCTCTTGACCGCTTTCGCCGGCGATGTCTTTCCCGTCTGTCTTCCCGTTCTTCCTCGTCACGCCTGTGTGTTCTCGATTTCGATCCCTCCTCCCCCTCAACCTTCGATGTCCGCGTTTCAACCTCGTGTTCTGGTATACCATCCACCTCTCTTCCTTTCTCCTTCTGTCTCTTCCACATCAGCTTCTTCAGACATTTCCCGCACAGAACGACCTTGACCAATGCCGACTTGGTCTCTCCGTGTTCCACGTACACGAACGGAAGCTCCAGTGTCGTCAGTATCGGTTTTGGCTGCACGTTTCGGAGGTGCGAGGCGAAGTGAAGCTCGCATCGTGTGTTTCCGCAGGTCTCCTCCCCAGCTCCTGACAGGACCTCTTCCTCCGTTCTCCAGCGCAGGGCGAACTGTTGGGATATGGGGTGGAACAAGGTAAGATCATGAGTACGGAAGGGCCAAGGGTAGCACGCACGTTGCCTGACTTGTAGTGCTTTAGGTCGCAGACTGCGAACTCGCGGTATAGGCTAGCATAGTATTTCGCTGCAAGCTTCTCATCCCATGATGACGCGGTCTCGTCTCCCTCTCTCAAAAACCTTGGAAAACCGCGATTAGTAGATAGATAACGTATTCAGGCCGCGCCTGCTCACTTGTGTGATGCTTTGAGGATCTCAAATTCGGTGACACCCACAGGTTTGGAACTCCCCGAGCTGGACTGGCCGTGCCTCTGAAGCGACATCTTGGCTGTGGCGATTGATCACGCCGCCTGGGGGATGGAAAGGGCGAGTATATGGAAAGGGCCACTATCATGCTACTTAAGTACGCCCGAGTGCGCACCGTTTTGGTTTCGGATGTTTTCCCACGCCGTCCATCGTTAAATTCAAGCAGCTTCGGCGCCTAGTTCCATTCCTGCCAGGTTCCTTGTACACGGCTTTGTGAAAGGCAGGTCTGGTGGGCGTACGGGAAGGAGATCAAGGCCCAAGGGATATTGCACCAGCTTTCCTGTTCCGAATTACTGCATTGTAATTTGGAACATCTTTCGCTTCTGGCATTTATTGTCAAATAATTCCAGTGGGAAGTCTAGTTACAATCTGTGACTCACAGACGGAATCCTGAATACGGTAAATGTGCAACATACTTTTGTCCAAGCACGATCAACAAAAACGCGTCGCGACCGTGGGACAATGCGCGAGTGGAACAATGCACGTGTTGAGGTGGAAGCCAAATAAGTCCAAGCAGAAGGGCGCGCTTTGATCCAGTTTTGGCACGTTTTGCGATCCTCCTCAACTCTCGTTACCACCCCGCCTGCGCATCACCCGCCCCCTCATCGCTATCCCAAACCCTCACCACTAGCACCAGCCATAAGCTTGCACTCAACCTGCTGACAACCGCGTGCCAGCCAACTTGTGTTTCGAACGTGTTACATGTCATTTTCGGGCACACCGTTAGGTCAAGGCAGACGTCTCGATCACAACACTTTTCTAGGGAAACCCCCATCCACCGGTGCCGTTCCACCTTCATACGCTTACGGGTCCGTAACTACCCTTTTCTGCTTCCTTATCCCTTCTCTTACCTATGGCTCGTCATGCCACAAACAGAGCACCGACACTTGGCTCTCGATCGCCGCCAAAGCCCACATCTCCTTCGCGAGACGGAGGAAGACATCCAGACGAGGAGAACGAACCCGCACTCGCTCGCTTTGCCCGCCTCAAACAACGAGAATCAGCACTCGACCCCGCACATCGTCCCGGCGCACCGAAGATCATTACATCACCCAATCCAGAGCATTGGTCTGTCAAGGATACATCAGTGAAGATTGCAACTGCCTTCAGCCAAGCAGCCAACGGCGACATGAGCGCTTCCTACAACCACAACAACTCTTGGGCCTCGACCTCCCGAACCAACGTCGTACCTCGTAGCACGTCCGTTGAGTACGAGGCCAGTGCACCAACAACTATCAATCGCAAGCTTGCCCCTCCTCCGGACAGGTTCAACCGCAACCCCAATGGTGTCCGGAAACCGCTTTCCAAGACCACCTCAATACGGCACGTGCCCGACTCTGAGGGAGAAGAAGACTCGGTGGGAGCCAACGGACGGGGAAAGAGCCCTTTCGAACAAGGCGTAAATTTCGCTAAACAAGCTTTAAGCGCAGCGGCCTTCTACGTTCGCCAGCGCTCTCATGAACCCGAGGAGACATCTGGAGAGCAACGTTCCGTGAACGGAACCAACAATGGCAACGACTCTAGCTACGACTACGCAGCGGAGGAGACGGCCTTCCAATCGCAGAAGAAAACCGCTGCCGCTCATAAACGCAACCGCATGTCAACGGACAACAAGGCGTACAAGCCTTCTGCCTCGAGCGAAGAGGAATCGGAATTATCAGAGGGAGGAAAGACGAAGAGGAGGAGGAGGAAGATGAAAAAAGGGCCTTTAGGTGGGCCGTTAACGAGTTTGCCCACGTTTGGTGCCGACAAGAGGAGGAAGAAGAAGGGACGAGCTTCGAAGGGCAACATCGGTGGTCCTGAAGGAGAAGAAAGTGAAAGCGAGGAAGATAACACGCAAGTGGAAAACGTAAGTTCTAGCCCTATACCTATCCAAGCCAGCTGTAAAACACCAGCTACAGCAATCTCAAACATCACAACAACGAAACTCTGTGCTTCGCACAACCAACCCTCCACAATCTCGCGCGTCCGTATCGCGACTATCACAAGAACCATCTCTGCAGCATGACCCAGATGATTCCTTGTTGTCCGCTGAGCAAGGTCTCCACTCTATTCCCGAAGTAGAAGAGGAACTCCTTACCGCAGAACCAGTCCGCGCGTCATCACAGCAACGCCGCGGTCGTTCACGTACACCAGCACCTTATGCGCAACCCTCAGCACCCTTCTCTATTGGTGGCCTCTTGGGCAGGATCGTCCACGTCGTCATCAAGCTATTCGTTTGGTTCTTCTCTGGCATGCTTTCCTTCCTGAGCATGCTTACCTTCCTATTTGGGCAAGTGTTCGGGACGACCTTCGACGTGATCCTCCGGCGACCAGCAGCATGGGCACGAGGAGCAGGTCCATTGCTGAAGTATTTGGTGCCTGGCCTTGTTCTTGTTGCGTCATGGTATGCCCTTCAAAGCATCCCTATCGCCTCCTACATCCCAGAGTTATCTTTCCCATCTCGATCGCCTACATATCAGTCGCCCGGAGTCCCACCCGTCGATATCGCTGACTTCTCAGAGCGTCTCCTACGCGTCGAGAAAGTCCTTACCGGATTGTCTGCCACTACGGAGCAGGTGAAGGCCAGATCGGAGGACGGGGACAAGAACTTTTCCAAGCTGCGGAGTCTGTTGAAGTCCCTGGAAGACAGACTTGAGGTGGAGACCAACAAAGTTCGCGATGCGGAAGCGAAGTCGAGGGACGCGGTCCGCAAGTCGATCAATGGCGTTAAACATGATGTCGAAATCCTCCAGGCGCAGCTTACCGCCCAACAGAAACAAGATCAGAAGACACCAGGCGATATCACTGACGAGGAAGCTCGTGCTAAACTTAATGCATTGGAGAAGCGAGTTGGTGGGGTAGAAGGAGACGTCAAGGAAGCGTTGGAGTTGGGCAAGAAAGTCGCCACAGCGCCTCCTCCAGCAGCTGCACCAACGGTCCCAGGAGCCGCCTGGTGGAACAAGCTAGCAACTGGTGCTGGCTCCAAGACAGGTCTCCAGATCAAATCGTCGGATGGACAAGACGTGACAGCCCTCATCTCGCACCTCGTCGACAATGCAGTGACTAGGGTGGGCAAGGACGGCATCGCGAAGGCGGACTACGCGATGCATTCAGGTGGCGCACGGGTTGTCCCGTCGCTGACATCGCCCACGCTCGAGATCAAGCCGAACGGATTCACTGCACAGGTGATGAGCCTCTTCACTGGGTCAGGGTCCGCCATTGGACGCATGCCTGTGGTCGCTCTGCACCCCGACTCGCACAACGGACTCTGCTGGCCCTTCGCTGGCCAACAAGGACAGCTAGGTGTCGCGCTCGCAGCCCCGGTTTTCGTGGAGGAAGTGACGGTCGACCACCTGTCGAAGGATGTCGCGTACGATATGCGCAGCGCCCCTCGCGAGATGGAAGTCTGGGGCATGGTTGAGGGCAAGGACAACATCGGGCGGCTCAAGGCGTGGAAGGATGAACGTGCGACACGCAAAGAGATGGGTCAGGTCGACGAGTACGAAAGCGTGGTCTACCCCAAGACGCTGCCGAATCATCCCGAGTACATCCGCCTCGCAAACTTCACGTACGACATCCACGCACCGCAGTATGTGCAGACGTTCCCTGTGGACCCGGAGATCAAGGCCCTGGGAATTGACTTTGGCATCGTCGCGCTCCGGGTGTTGAATAACTGGGGACGGGACGAGTATACGTGCCTCTACCGGTTCAGAGTGCATGGTCAACGGATTGGTGAAATTCCCGAGCCCTATTCCGGACGTGTCGAGGATGGGTCTGACGCCTCATCATAACAAGGTTACCAGCTGCCAGTTTACGATTTGGCCTCCCGCGGTCAGCCCAACGTGCTCATGTCCTTCATGACCTCACGATCACCTGCGATACTCACAATACTAATTATTCTCCTTTTTGTTGCTATTCTTTCATTATTGCTTATCTTTTTTTCTCGAACTCCGCCCTTTAGTGTACTGACTGGGCTTCCCTCCCATCTCTCGGCGCATCCGTCTCCCAACAACCCGCACTGTGTACTACTCATCGACCTCACATCCCATCCTTAGTCATCGTATTGCTGTCCTCGCATGCCCACGACATTCATTGCCCATATGCTGCCTGCTTGCTACAGTATGTACGCATGCTCAGTCATCATCCCTCTCTCACACAACATGCTGTCCCCCTCATTGTTGTTCTGGTTATAATTGCGTATTAGCACATGCGCCTCCATCACTCTCTGTCGGCTACATATTTACATAGATATTGGTATATTGGGTTCTGAAAGCAATTCTAATTTCCCTGAAATCATACGATCGCCCTTGTTAGGCAGTGAGCGCAACGTATGACCAAGTGGTGAAGCCTTGAAAATGTTCACTTCGCGATACAATCACGAGGTTGAAGAAATCCTTGGGAAGCACCTCACAAGTCTGAACATAGACGTATTAGGACCAGTCATAGGAGGCTATGGATTTGCTGCTAGTATAACCTTGATTAGCAACATTTGGTCGAGGCTTCCCTCCGCTCAGAAGATCAGTGAAAAGTGAAAGATGTTTCTTGGATAGATTGGTAGTGTGACATGTATGTATAACATTCCTAGATATCAGCGAACGAGTCTGTAGCCTAAAGAAAAGTTGAATGTCATCACATTTGAAGTGGCGACGATCGAAACTTGCCTCTACTAGTAGCTTGGAGATCCCGGGCTCTCTGGAAGAATGGCCTGCGTCCGGCACGATGTGGAGGGTGATCTCAGGCCAAGCTTTCTTCAGAGCATATGCCGTGGTGGCCTATGTGTCTTGTCAGATAAGCATAACGACCCGAAGGTCATTGCAGACATACCGGACAAACAACGTCATATCTTCCTTGGACGACGATCGTTGGAATGTGACGACTTGAAAAGGTAAAGCAAGTCAACAGGAAGAACCATGCTTGATTTTGCGGAGCCCTACATCTTGTCGATCTCTTGTGACTCGAGAAGCTGGCCATCTGTCATGAATCCCTGCCAGAAAAGAGGTTAAGGGGTGGAAGAAAAACGAAACAGGATCACCCTCACTTCATTGACGAAGTAGTGATTCTCGATGCGGGCGAAGGCGCTGAAGATATTCGCCGTCAGCTGCAAGAAGCATCGGATCGAAAGAATGCCCACTTCGCAAATTTATCGTCGTCGGCGTGGGCAATGTGAGCGGGGTCGACATAGAGCTTCGAAGTCCACATCCTGAGTATAGTGGTCAGCCCCAGTCATGAGAAAAGAGATATATGCTTCGCGCACTCCCACTTAGCCCACGCTTTTGCGGCCTTGATACGGGTTTCTTCGTCGACGGAGTTCAACTGAGCATGATAAGCGAGGACCATATCTTGCCTCTCGGCCTCGGGGATCGGAGCAACATATTCATCCCTGTCAGCAAATTCATTAGTTGCACCAAAATTCTCGCGGAGGAAGGTCCTACCAAGCCTCAGGGAATAGATGAGAGGCACCGTCTTGATAGAAGAATTTAAGTTCACTTCAGGCAATGGGTTAGGTCTTGATCAGTGGGAATGATTTAAATGGGATCCCACCTCTTGCGAAGCGTGAATATTCCTCTGAAACATAATCAGCGGACTGCGAGAACAGATTAGATATACAAACCGAAGCACAAGGCTCTTGACACGGTCGGGATGGCTCTGAAGGCGGATTTAACGCGAGGGGACTTCAGCTCAGTAAAAGAAAAAACTTCACCTGAGCGTAAGCTAGAGACAAAGTCGATCCCTGATATTCAAGGAGAAATGAGTCGGTCATCGTGGTCATAAGAACGCACACTCAACATACCCAAGAACCCCCGAACACATGCCATTTCTCGATCTTGAGCAGTTCCCTCAGTTTCTCGATATCTTTAACAAGGTCCCATGTTGTGTTCTCTTCCAAGCACGCGCTCCTATGGAAATATAAGACTTAAATCATGAAATATATGTCTATCTTACGGGGTAGACTTTCCAGCACCTCTTTGGTCAAAGAGGATGATCTAGACAGGGGTCGTAATCAAACTTGAATCCATACCTCAATGAACAATCCAAGATACCTTGTACTTGTCAGGGTTAAAGAACCCTCTGTCGGTTATATCTGTACCACCGCCGGGGCCACCTGCCGTTCTTGTCAGGCTTGGTTGAGACGTTCGAGGACGAGCCGTGGTTGAAGCTGTGCATACCGTGCAGGAAAACAACTGGATTCAATCGTCAGCACGACCATAAAGAACTCCTGGTACTGTGAGAACGCACCAGGGTTGCCATCCTTCTTCCCAGAGATTTCATAGCTTGTATCCACCCTTGAGATAATCAACCGAATGAATTGGGCTTAGATGCTCACTAGAGCTCATGGATGTCAGACACCTTGAGCCTGCCGGTCTCGAATGGTTCAGTTGGTGGGTACATCCGTAGAAATTCTTTTCGAAGGAAGGTGATATATGGACGATGTGGATCGTAGATGACAAGCAACCAGTTGGGTTCTCCACTTGAAAGCAACCTGGGGAGATCCGATGAGCCTGAGAGGCATGCCCATTCGGCAGGTCAACCTAGCATGCCCGAATCGCATTGTTGCCTGTTGGGGCTGGCGACAAACATGCCTCCCATATCCGGACGAGCAAGTTCAACTTTCCATCCCTTCCCCGCTCCCCGTTCCTCTGCCCCTGCTACCACGCGTTTTTGCTGCTTTCTACGTGTATTCTGTACGCACATAGCATATTGAACGGTCAGCTGTCCTCCGTATGTCGTTGCATATGTTCTGACGACGACAAGCCAGCATAAACGCATTCTTCGAAACAACATTTAACGCATATCTCGCATGAACTTGAATACGACTCAAACATAATGTCCATGACATACGCACAAGTTACGACACACGCGTCTGAGCCCTCAGACCCACCCAGCACTCTCGTGCATTCGCGAAACCTCTCCAACGTATCGAGTGCGACGCTGCATACAAGCACGACACTGCATTCTCAACCTTACGAACCCCTTCTTCGCCCCATAACACCTACACCTGCGTCGGGAGACTTCTACGACGTTGCCTCCCACCAGTCAAGAGCGTCTGACAGAATCCTTTCTCTGCCTCGCTGGTCCCAGAGCAATGTTATGTCTCGAAACCCATCAAATGAACCGGAGAAGAAGGGGTCGTCCTCCTACGTGGATACAATACCTCGGATACGCGCTCGGAGGATACGGTGGAGCAAGAGATTGCTAGAGACGGTCATGGGTGAGTTCTGTGTTTTAAACGTCAAGATTGTGAATAACACTTGCATTCGTAGTTATATGGGCAATCTACAGCACTGCACGATACCTCCTCGCTTTTATGATATATGACAGTACAACTGGGCAAGCGTTTGCCCTTGTCATGGGTGTCTGCACGGGCCTCTCCTTTGCGTTTACGTCTTGCGCTGTTATTCTTTCATTCGCGCAAAACTCTCTCGTCATTCACGGGTTCTCTGTTCGAGCCCTCATTTCTCTCCAATCTACGCTGCAATATCTAGCTTCGTGCTGCTTTCTTGCGCCTACTATTGCCAACTTCGTCCTCATTTTTGTTTGGAAAAAGACCTCCGACCTGGAACTACAAACACGACACCGTTGCAGGCTCGATGTTGATCTGATATGGTCGACGACATCGTCTCTTTGTAACCATAAAACATACAAATGGGCCTCTTGGATTACTCTCTCTGCATTGCGCATCGTACTCACGTTAATTATCATTGTAAGTCTGCCTCTCTTGCTCTTCCTTATTCAACACGGCTGACGGTAAATATAGATTGTTTTCCATCTCATTGCATCTTCTCAACAATTTATGCCTGTGCGACGTATTTCAAAGCTCGATTATGCCAAAAGCAAGAAATCCCATACCCGTCTGGAATCGTGCCAAACGCCACTTATGCCCTATTTGCACCGCGACCCGAACGTCCAGCAGCAAGCGTCGGATTCCACTTTATCCGGCAAGTCCTCTCCTCGCAATCGATTGCGACCCACCCGATCTCGATCCTCTGGCTTGTCCGAAGAAGGCTTGCAGAGCGAAGCCCCCAGTTATAACAACGAGAATTTCCTGCCCATGAACAGCAGCCAACCAGAACCTGATCGCGAATTGGGCGGTTTCGTTGACCGTTTCCGGCATCTCATTTCCCAGATAACCCGAGAGACAGAAGAAGGCCTCGCTTTTGCCCGGTCCGACGATTCATCCTCATCTCGTAACACACGAGAATCACCTCCACCTCGAAGTTCCCCCAGTTCCTCCGAAATAGACGTCGAAAACGCTCATCGCCATCCCGACTTCCACTATGACGACGACGACGACTTCTACACTTCGTCGTCCCCAAGAGCAGTGCCTTCAGGCAACTACCACCAACTGTACCCCGAAGACGAGCAGATCCATATGATGAATGGGATAGTAAGGCGAATGCCCACCATCCAGTCGCTAGGGTCACGTGAAATGCGTAGTAGCATGGGTGCGTCCAGCACACACACGAATAGAGATCGCGCTCCAACCCGAAACACTGTCATATCATGGACGGGCACCGACCTCTCTATTGGTAGCGAACCAGCGCGCAGCAGACCCAACAGCCTTACAGCGCAGGCAGAGCTCCTCGCAGGGATGTTCGGTAAGATGCACGCATCGGAGATCGGGGAGCTGTTAAGGCGAGAGAACACGGTACGGATGGTGGACAGCGGTAGCTTGTCGATACCCGACGATATCTCGGAGGCGCTGCCCGAGTACGACTCGACGACCTCTGGGACGAGCGGAAGCAAGGCGACGACAGACTCGTTCCATACTGCTAGCTCTGGAGGGACGCAGAACTCGATGACCCGCGCATTGAAGGATGCTGTAAGGTCGCCAATGGAGCTGCCTGCCCATCTTCAGGTAGCTCAAGGGGAAGATGAAGAGCCTGAAAGATAAGCTCCAAGTGACATAGGCTGGACATCAAATAATAGAACGGACAACAGGATAGAATTTACGATATTTGTACTTTACATACCTTTGCAGTGCGTAGTTCGAGAGTCCTCGCCTTTTTTGCCTGAGAGAGCGAAGATAGAAAAACCTGCAGTGGAGGTTTGGACAAAAGATTTGAGGAACATGCCAAGCACCGCTACATGCTCTAATTGGTCCGATCACTGGATGGGCAGATTCGGTGCCTTGGCAGACCCTTCCCAGTGGTTGGGCGTGTTCTAGGGTCGTATCATATAAGACCTGTCTTCACCACCCACACATCGCCCTTCTCTTCCCCTTCTTTCCATTTCGTAGGGCGTCCAGGTCCTTTGTTCTCTCTTCATGTCTTCAGAAAAGCACTATACGGCCATCCGCCCACCTCCGACAATCTACAAAGAGGATCCGCGCGCCGTGCTTTCAGAGCACGAGCAGAAGCTATATGACGAGGTCCTGGACCACTTTGCGAAAGAGGACTACTCGCTTCCCCACATCGAGAAAGGACAGCTTACGGACGATGAGAAGTTCTGGCTTTCACGCGAATGCCTCCTTCGGTATGCCTTATTGCATGGCTCTATCTTATGCATAGGCTGAAGTTGCTGGCTAGGTATCTACGTGCTGTAAAGTGGAAGAACGCCCACGCGGCGATTCACAGACTGGAAGCGACTCTCAGCTGGAGACGCCAATTCGGTCTTTACGACCTCGTCAGTGCGAGCCATGTTGAACCTGAGGTAAGCGCTCTCACCAGTTCAATACTCATAGGACGACATAACTCAGTGTCTGCCGTTCTCTTTAATTCAGGCTGTTACGGGAAAGGAGATTCTCTATGGCTATGACGTGAAGGGAAAGCCTGCCTTCTATATGATCCCCAGTCGCCAAAATACCAACGAGGCGACGCGCCAGGTTCAATACGCCGTCTGGATGCTGGAGCGCTGCATAGACCTAATGGAACCCGGCGTCGAGTGAGCACTCCAAAATCTTCCTTCTTTCCTCGCTAAAGCTCTCTTCCCCCTCCAGAAACATCGCCCTGCTTATCAACTTCGCCGACCGCGCAAAGAACCCGTCCATCGGGACCGCTCGCACCGTACTCAACATTCTACAGGACCACTACCCCGAGCGGCTCGGCCTCGCACTCATCATCAACGTCCCCTTCCTCGTCAATGCCTTCTTCAAGATCATCATGCCCTTCGTCGACCCTGTTACGCGCGAGAAGGTCAAGTTCAACCCGCACGTCCTCAAGGACGGTCTATTCACCCCCGACATGCTCATGAAGGAGTGGTGGGAGGGCGACCATGACTTTGAGTATGTGCATGAGAAGTACTGGGGCGATCTTGTGGGGTTGTGTGAGAAGCGCGTGACGGGGTGGAAGAAAGCGTGGAGAGCGCAGGGCGCGAAGGTGGGCCAGAGCGAGTGGGCGTATAAGAAGGGGAAGGCCTCGGCGGAGGATGGGCCTGAAGGCGAGTTCGACGACGATAAGAAGGAGGAGAAGGTGACTATTACTGAGGCCCCTGCAGCCGCCGACGAGCCGCCTGTCGTGTCCAAACCGCCCAAAAAAGCAGCAGAACCCGAGGTCCAGCCTGAAAAGCCTGTAGATGTTCAGTCCTCTGAATCACCCAAGAAGGACACGGAATCTGAGCTTGAAAAGCCCGCTGACTCTCAATCCTCGGAGACAACGAAGCGGGAGAACACGGGCAGTAATCCTGCCCAGACAGAAGGGACTACAGCTGCTCAGTCTGGACCGTCAACTGTGGCCGTTTCTGGTGCGGGTGCTGTTTCTGGAGGTGGCGGAGGTGGTGACGCTGCTGCTGCTGGAGGAGATGGAGGAGGAGAGTGATTTTTTTTGTGTTTTATCTCGGGGCTTGGTTCTAGATGTTTGATTGTTTCGTCCGGGTTAGATATAGGTCCTCGCTTTGCTGAATCATAGATACCACATTCCAGTTGTGCTGCTAGTTACACTCGTATATCCTTCAGATACATCCGCTACTTTGGTTCTTCGGTTGTTGGAGTCTGCATGCCTGCCTTTCTGAATGCCTCGTGCTCGGCCTCTGCTGCGATGAACTCCTTGCATTCCACTCTGCTCTTCTTGACGTCTACCCTCCACAGAAAGATGGTGCTGATAACACCACTGTGTACAATCAATCTCATGCGAGCCTTTGTGAGAAGTCAAATACACGTACAGCGTGAACAGAAACGCGAACGGCATGTTATCATTATTATCCGATGCCGTGATAATTGCGCTCGAGACGAGAGGCCCAATGAACGCCGACGTTTTACCAACCTTCCAACGGCAATGATTAAACAGGTAAAGGAAGAAAAAAAATAGAATATACACACCACAGAAAAGAGGGCAAAGAATAAGAACCTGAGGCGGAAGCAAAAACTCTTAATTTAGTAATAAATGCCTAAAAAAGAAATAAGTCACATTTGTGGCAAGGGAGACACCTCGCTTATCATTGTTTGGCTGTATGCGTACCACGGACACACCATCAGACCATAAAAAGCCTGATACACCCTATATCGACCATGCTGTTGATATGACATCCTTGAGGAAAAGTACTAAGGAACATACCAGATCTCCCAGACGTGCTTGAAACCGAATTTATTGGTGTGGATGCCGATCAAACCCCATATAGTGAGAACCTGGGTAGTACTGGATGAGAGCTGTATGTACAAGTGTAATTCATCGTATCTTACTATGATCCAAAAGACGTTGAAAGATAGCATCTAGAATAGCTTATAGCCATCAAAAAAGTCGCTTATTTAAAATTTTGGGAAGGACGTACAGCCTTTGTTGAGATTTTGTATCTCTTCTGCACAAGCCAGAAGAGACTTAAAAGATATTCACATTCTGCAAGGTATTGTATTCCAGTAAAACAACGACTTACTAGATGCCGAGGCCTTGAGCAACGATGCCCACGATCAATAAGAGCGTCAGGTCCAACGTCGAATAAAGAACCACGCTATACGGCTGTCAACTTCAGAGCAGCCAAAAATGGGTTGGGATCACCTATTTTGGAGGGTCGCAATGACTGTTCTAAGGAAAGGAGGTAAGAGCATGAAAGAACAATGACTTCCGCGCGGCATGCTCACACAGTGGTATTCAGTACGTCGCCCCTATACGAGTAGTTGGTAAATACTCTCGACAAGAAAAAACACTATTTTTGCTCACATCAGGAAGTAAAAGATTAAATAGAGAAATGTCTGCTTCAGGCGCAAGCATTCTCGGAACGCGACGTAGACTTGCTTGAACCCGATCGTCAGCAAACTTGTCCCAGGAGGAAGATCTAGCCCAGGGCGTCGTTTCTCAAATATGAACCATGGAAGAGCGCATACAACTGCACGAAGGTCATTTACCCGGTAGATTAAAACTAGACAGCCGATAACTTACGCCATGCACCACCTGAGAATGCGATGAGAACGCTGAACGCCTTGGTATTATTTTCTGTGCTGTCTTCAGCACGTAGTCCCTTGAGGATACCGACCATAATGGCTAGAATAGTTATTTCACCAGCTGAACATACAGCGAAGGATATATTGGAGACGCGATTCCTCGCGAGTGAGTGGAAGCGAGCGTGATCTTCGGACCTGCATTACGTGTTGAACTACAAAAAGGGCGAATTTTCAGGCAAGCAACGCACGATTTTTTGCCGCTTGCAAATTCTTTTCGGGACTCCTCTACCTCGGGTAAGTCGTAAGCAAGGCCAGGGAATGCTGCAGTCCAGAAAGTCAAAGAACACTTTGGGATGTTGAATGTCATTCCTTGGGCGTCGAGCAAACTCCACCCACCTGATACGTGATTACTGGACAGATGGGATTGAGCTCGACTTATTGCTGGATCATGAGAGTTTGAAGTACTTACAACCGAGAATGTACAAAGCGACACCAGCTCTCCATTCAGATGGTTGCTCCACACCAAGCCAGGCAAATGACACCCCGACCGCTAGCAAAGTGAAGAATATGGTGATATTTGGTCTTAGAATATTGATCAGAAAGGGAGTCCAAATGCAAGCAAAGTTCAGAACCTCCAAGTACCATAGTCGGCCCAAGCACCAATAAAGATTAAGAGCACCGCTTGAATGGCAAAGCTGATCCCATTCGTCAAAAGAACGATGGAATTGACTAGGAATGTCTTATCAGTGATTGCTATATATGCAAAATTGCGAGCCACCTACTGTCTCGAATTCTTCCGAGGTAAGGCAAGACGCAGCCATTGTCGCCACAGGGTGCACCTGGCCCTATGGTTGGGTCATATCCAGCGAGAAAAAGAAGGTTTTGGAACTGTGAGGGTCCGAAGTTGAAGCCCGCTAGCCCGTTATTCCCAACGTAATAGAGATAGTACGACCAGAGCTCCAAACGTGTCGTAGTCCATTTACGAGCCGAAAGGTTCGTTTCAGGCGAGTCTTCGGTGGCTTCTGTGACTGAAACAGTACGCTCTTTCTGTTCTTCGTCTAAAGACATCAGGGAAGAAAGAAAAAAAGCGATTTATTGGAGTAGATAAGCAACCAAAAGGAAGACATTTTAAACGCTTTTGGGCAGTGGTGGGAGAAGGCGAGAGTTAATTTTGACGGGCCCATTCACGTGCCAAGCGGAGGAACGGACAAACCCGGCTAACTTTGCCAACAATTTCGGCCTCATCCACCACGAACTCATTCTTTTTCCTCGTCGTTTGGCTTGTCAAAGCCACAGCCTAGCGGTGCTTGGCATGTATCGAGCTCTACCTGTCTCGAGGCAGGTCGCCTCGACATCCAGCAGGCAATGCGTAAAGGTCATCAGACGGGTACGCACGAGCCTCTCTGAAATCTTTCTTCAGCTTATTGAAGGGTTTCTGCCGTCTAGCGTCTGACAACCGAAGCTACTGAAGGGGCTGCGTCTCCCAAGAAGAAGAAAATGCTGCGCAAAATTTTATTGACTACAACAGCCTTGACTGGCACGTTCTACGTCGGCAGCACCTTCGTCGCGTTCAACAATCAGGCATACTATGACCTCTTCTCGGACAAAGTTCCTCTCGGACAATCGATGCTTGATTTCGCTGAAGCTCGGAAATGGGACGAACTCACCGTCGGTGACGTTCTTAAGGCTGGGTCAAATGTCGTGGTGACGACATACCAGTTTGCGTCTGACCTCATCAACGGTACAACGCGACCTTCGGACGTGGTGGAAAAGGCGAAGGCGGCTGTGGAGAAGAAGGCAACCGAAGCCAGAGCTGCGTCCCTCAAAGCTATCAAGCAGGCCCCTGCGAAAGCAGAGCGTGTGGCTCAGCCGGCCCAGAAGGTGACGGAGGCCAAGGAAGAGGTGCAGAAGGTTGTGGAGAAGGCGGAGACCGTGGTCAAGGGCGTCGCAGATAAGGCGAAATTCGAATATCAAGAGTTGGTCCAACGGGCAGAAGCTGCCATCGCTGGAAAGCCCTATGAAGCCAAGGACGCGCCTTCAAGTCTTACCGACACGAATTCAACGCCGGTTCCTGCAGGCAACGTGTACGATCGTCCACTACCTCTTGGATTCGAACCTCCTCCGGGCTTCTCTCGTCCTGTGCCTCCCAAGCCCAGGGTCGAGAAAACGTCCCAAGAACCCGAATCCATCGTCCTTCCTTTGGTCTCACCTGTCGTTTCGACTGTATCAGAACCTATCATCACCCATCTTGCCAGTACCATTGACAATCTTGCCAGCTACTTGAAAGCGGACCCTAAGGCCGCCCAGCAAGCTGGTGATGTCCTCGAAAGTGCCAAGACCGACCTTGCTGCCCTCGTTGACCGCATTGACGCGGTAAAGGAACAAGAGAGAACAGCACTTGAAGCAAAACTTGATGAACAGACCAGAGAATATACCCTCAAACTCATGGAGCTGGAGATGGAGGCACAGGATAAATTGGATAGCCAAGAGGAAGGCTTCAGGCAACTTTTCGAGCAGGAAAGGGCAAGGTTTGTTCAGGCATATCGGGAAAAGCTGGAACACGAGCTGAAGGTGCAGACTGAACTCATCAACGAACGGTTCGTTTCTTTCCTTGGTCCTCATGATGTTATGATTTTAAGCATCTGTTCTTCCTAGCCTAAAGGAGGAAGTCATTGCCCAAGGTATCGAGCTTCAGCGCCGATGGATTCGCGAGGTGAAAGTGCGGGTTGAGCAAGAGCGGGGCGGTCGTCTTGCTAAACTTGATGAGCTTTCAGCAAACCTCAAGCGTCTAGAACGTATCGCCCTGGACAATTCGGCTTACCTTGATGAGAACATCCGCGCCCATGCTCTTTGGTCTGCTCTTCGTGCTCTGACAAGTAGCGCCACTTCGTCCCCCGTTCGGAAACCCTTCCGTGAAGAGCTTCGCGTTCTACGCCACATAACAGCTGCGCGTGAGGATCCCGTCGTTGCGACGGTGCTTGATACACTGGACAGCACCGACGTCCCCGACGTCGGCGTGGAGCCTTTCGCCGATCTTTCGACGTGGTTCATCAATGAAGTGTCACCCAAGGTCGCCCAGGTCGCCCTTGTACCCGACGAGAATGCTGGAGTCTTGTCGTATCTCGCCAGTCGCGCTCTTTCGGGCTTCAGGTTTAAGCATCAGGGCCTCGTACCCGGGAATGATGTCCTGAGTGTCCTCGCAAGGGCTGAATATTACCTCAACGAAAAGGATCTCGATACTGCGACTCGGGAACTAAACCAATTGAAGGGGCCTGCGAAGATTTTGCTGCATGACTGGTTGGAGGCTGCGCGCCGGAGATTAGAGGTCCAGCAAGCTTTAGACGTGAGTGCACCGCGAGCTTTTTTCTCTCGCTGATGTATGCTAAGGAATTACAAATAGGTTGTACATACGCAAGCCACTCTAGCTTCCCTACTTGTTGTATAGATGCAGTAAAATGCAAACCTATAGACATTAATATTGGACTATATTCAGGGAAATCAAGACAGCGATCGGGATAGCATGAGAGATATCGATAAGCAAGAAGAGTTCATGTGAGTTAGAAATAACCATTAAGTGGTACGGTCAGTACGTCACCCATTGGCATTGATGGTATCGGGAGCATCGGGACTCCGGCGCCTAGTTGCTGGATATCGTAAGGTGCGTTGGGCACAAAAGAGCCTCCCATGGCGCACTCGCAGATCACTTGAGCGCGCCTGACCACAGTCTAGAGGGTGTCCATGAAATCAACGCCCAGTCTGACATATCGAATGGAACCTGCATACCTGAACAGTTTCCTCCATGCCCGGTATTGGAGTGGCCGCACGAGAAACCTTGACAAGGCCAGGGAATATTGTTGCTCCAACACGATCCAGTTCTCCCCTCTCGCTCTTTAGGCAGCGCTTCACCAGCTCGATCTGGCGTGGATATAGGGTGCTGCCCAGCTCGGGTACGAATGCACGATAGAAAGCGTCGCTCGAGGGGCTTCCTGACCCGTGGAGCATGCGCGAGAAGGCGTAGGCCGACTCTAGGATTGAGATGCCACCTGATGCGGGTATCTTCCCGTTGAGCTTCTTCATCAACTCTGGGACTTGTTCGTATAGAATGCTTAAAGACATCTCCGGTGTGCAAGTATCCACAGCCGCAGAAAATGTCTGTCGCCTCCACACGCTGGCCACGGTGGGGTCGCCTACACAGATAGGAACCGAACAAATGTTAGCAGAGCAATCAAACTTGGATAGGATAGAACGGTTTCCAGCGCCAAATGTAAATGGAAGAGGGCCAAAAATCAGAACTCTGCAAGAAGGATCAGAAACTCACGAGCAAAGATGTGTTCATGGATCCGTGTTAGCTGGATATTTGCCTCGGTAGAATTCGTCACGATCAGACAGTTGATGATGCCTTCAGAAATACTTTCGGCCATTGCATGTCTTAGGTAACTCTGCACTTGCATCGGAGTGGCCTCGATTTGGGCGACGTCGAGCCCGCCAACGATGTCGTTGAGGATGGCTGCACAGAGGTCTTGCAAGGGGACTGGAGGCGCCCGTATAACATCTGCCGCCCATCGGTTGATTAATTTGTCTAGCTGGGAGGCTGAGTTCTATAGTTACAAAGACAGAGAACAAAATTTAGCTTGCGACATGACGGTCTAGAACGAAATACAAGACTGACTTTAATAGAGAAATCGTCGACCGTGTTCCCGTTATGACCTCCGATGGAGGGATTTGAGCCGCCTTCAAGCAAGGCGATTCGGGCACGCAGCTGGGCGACCTGCCTCTCCTGCTCTTCTAGCTGTTTTCTTTGCTGCTCGACCTTCTCATGTGCTATTCGCTAGTTCATGTCCCGATCCATAAAGTTAGCTCTAGGTGATCCTCAAGAGCAAGGCCGAAACATACGAAATTTGTGAGGGCGTAGCGGTACTGTTCGCCCGAGACGGCATCTTGCGGTGGTTGCGGTTGTCCGTACATGTTTGCGTTCATCGTGGCTGCCTAGTGCGAGGAGGATGGACGCAGTGGAGGGGTGGTCCAGAGCCGCCAGTAAGGGTGCGTGTTAGCCGAGAGCGGTGTTGCAAATGGACGCAAAGGTGTCCACAGGCGATAAACCTAGCCAGGAAGAGGAAAGACGATATCCACTACCTGAGGTGTGGGGTCTGCAATGCTGAGCCCCCGATTTATACGAGAGATGAGACGAAAGAGGCGCTGACCTTGACACTCCTGTCAACATAATTGACCCGTAACCACATTCGGAATTTTGTGTGCTGTACCGCCGTTTCGAGCTGCATCCTGTGCTAAACGGAGAACGAGCATCTCCATCTATCGAGGAAATCAAGATGCAAGGCCATCGGTATTCCAAATCCATCCTCACTGTGTGGTGTATCCGGAATCCTGACGGGCGCGTGACGGAAGGCAGTTGAAGGACAAGGTAATATCAATATTCTGGTCACTTTATTCTCACAGGAACGACTTCTAAGTCTGACCACGGGTAAGATTTGAGTTTAGATAGTAACTTAATGTCGCGCGGGGATGGTGGAATAAGCGTTGGTTATCGTTAAAAGACATATCTCAACTTAGTACTCCATGAAAATTTCCGATTCCACGTCGACGGAGTAGACACTGAGCGCTGAGCACTGATTGACTCGGACGATCAGGCCCCGTTTCGAACGACGTCAGCACCGGGTTCTAAGTCAGTTGTACATTTCGAGCGCGATCCTACACGGCAGTTCAGTCGATTGGATATGAGTCCGGCATTCGACAACGAGGTCGGAGGAACCACCTTCGTAGTTGGTGGCGGCACCCAGAAAAAATAGAAAGAAGCTGATATAAAATACAAGCATACATCACCGAACGTTCAACCCGCTTAACCCGAAATCTCCAGCCTTCTCGGTGGGTTTTACGACATCGTTGAAAGGATCTCGCACGCTGCCTGTCTTCGCACGCCAGAGCTGGGTATACAACGCCTTTATCTTTTGCAATTCAGCATCGATAGACGCGGTTTTACTCGCGAGAGCAAGGAAAGTTGAATGCTGGGCCTGAAGTGTCGCCGAAATGCCTGGAAGATGACACAAAATAAGTCAATAGGATCATTTATGTCCAGCTAGTGTCTAGCATACTTTGCGGCGTTTGCATCGAGTTCGTTGCTGATGCAAGTTTTCGTTCGATTTGCTGTACAGGTTTTGCTTAGTAGAAGGCCTAACTGGAGAAATGGGAGCTTCTAACCTCAATCGTAGCCTTGTACCAGGCTAGCCGCTCCTTCATCTGGTCCGTCACACGAGTGAAATACCTGGGCACATGGCTGTTACTCCAACAACCAGGCAAAAATCGAATTTGACATACTCCAGCGGGAAGGCTGCATGATCTTTGAGGTACGTACTCCCACTTTGCGGATTCCTAAAACCATCAATGATACGCGTCGCCACAATGGTATCTTCGACGGCTTGATCCACTTTAGCCTTTAGGTCTTGAGTGATATGGCTGTCGTTTCGAATTGTCGTCGCAGTTTTAACCAGGTCCTAATTTAAGAAAGCAGCAGGGGTGAGCAATGAAAAACTCAAGGAGAATGATCAGTATCACTTTGTGCAGGCTACGAATCGCGTCATGTCCCTTGGTCGGCTCGTCGCCTAATTTCCGCTGTTGGAGATCCTTGCAAATCTGAACTCGGCCTTGGATATGTGTGCTTGAGAGTATAGTTCAGAAAAAGGGGAAAGACCAGAGCTTCCAAGCTTACTCAATGGTTTCCAGAACCTTCTTTATATCATCTGGGAGGTCGTTGAACTTGGTAGATTTTGTGAACGGTGGCGGTCCAGCAGGCTGGGTTGATACATTCAGATTCGTAGATTGACCCAAGCCGAACCCAGTGTTCTGCGTCGTGTTTCCGAATCTAAAGGATCTCTGTGTCAGTGGGTGTTCAATGAAGCCCGAGGCCGAAGCTTACAGACTGCAGATTCTAGTCAGTATCTCTCACAAAAAAAATACCGGATAGGAACTTTACGTACTTGGACTGAGGTTGCTGTTGGGGCTGTTGTGATTTTGTCCCAAAGAGCGTGCTCCCACCGCCCAGCCCACCGAATCCACTTGTTCCTCCAGTCGTACTTGATCCGAAAGCACCTGCCGGCAGCGTCGCCTGTGCTTGGAGCGGGTTTGTGGCCGTCGTGGATCCAAAAAGACCACTTTGTTGAGGTTGCTGAGTTGTGGTGTTGGCATTGGTATTAGTGCCGAAGAGCGTGCTACCGAAAAGGCCACCCTGTGGTTGTTGCTGTTGTTGCTGTTGTTGCTGCTGCTGTTGGGGTTGTCCAAAGAGGCCTCCCGCTGCTGGCTGTTGCTGCTGTTGAGGTTGGCCAAATAGGCCACCTGCTGGTTGCTGTTGCTGTTGTGTCTGTCCGAATAGACCTCCTGCTGGTTGCTGCTGCAGCTGAGGTTGCCCGAACAGGCCTCCGGCAGCAGGTTGCTGTTGAGGTTGTCCAAAAAGACCTCCAGTGTTTTGTTGGGGTTGGGTCTGCCCGAAAAGACCTCCTGTTGTCGTTTGCTGCTGGGGTTGGCCAAAAAGCCCCCCAGCATTGGTCTGCTGCTGCTGTGGTTGTCCAAAGAGGCCTCCTCCGGTCTGCTGTTGATTTTGTTGTTGATTCTGACCGAATCCACCGAACAGTCCAGTCCCTTGAGGCTGCGTTTGGCCTAGAGGAGGTGCATTCGACAGGCTGTTAGCTGGTTGCTGCTGCTGAGGTTGTCCGAATAGAGAAGTTGTGCCAGTGGCAGGCTTCATGCCAAAGGCTGAAGTGCTGAGAAGACGTCAGTGCAAGTGATCAACCATAGGAAGATGGTCACACTTAGTAGCAAATGCCATGATTCGTAGAAAAACACGTCGATGTCGCGAATTGCAGGCTTATCAAGTGATTATACGACGAGCGAGCAGGATCCGTCGTTGACGTTAAAACACGATCCACAACGTGGATCGTGGGAAATTGTCTAAAAATAGGACTACGTTCGGCAAGTCAGCCTAAAGCGCTCATAGCCTCAACCCTTGGAACTCACCCTCAACAATGATTCTGAAGAACACGGAGATATGCTTGCCTGTACTTTATTTAACGTGGAATGAGATGCCTGTTAATAGAGGTGTTCACGGACACGGCAGTAGCCATATTTGAACTCCGAGTCGAGCACACTGGCAAGTGACAAGGCAATTGGGCAAATTCCAAACAACGGAAACCCCGACTAATACTATGACGGTCCGTTCTGGACAAAAATACACGATTGAAGTTTTTTTTATGAGAAACCCTAATTTAGGCCGGAGCCTGACCAAATCTGACCAAATCTGCCAGTTTCGTCCCGAGACCGACGCTATCCTCCCGGATCCGCCATCTTCGCACCGTCTCTGCTCGATCCGGCCAGATCGACCCTCCCTTTTTTTATGACCCGTCGTTCCGATACAGGAGGAATCTGGCCACGCGGGACGATTCGTACGGATTCCTCCTCAATTCTTTTTTTAAGAAACATCTAGTGATTTTTTTCCCCCCGTGTGTGGTCAGATTCGTCCCGAATCCGACCGTTTGGGACCTTGTGATCTAGAAAAAAATTATGGTTTTGGTCGGAATCGGTCGGAATCGGTCGGAATCAGGGCGATGTGTTGTAGATCGGGAGGGGTTTTGGTTTTTTTTTGGGGTAGCGAACGAAGCGGGTCTAATCGGTGTGTTTCCTGCGGATTGGGACCGTATTGGACGGATTCCGCCTGAATCTGGCAGATTGGAGAGGGACTTATGAGGGAAAAAAGTAAATCTGTATTTTTGTCCAGTATGGCGCTGCATACCCGAGGCACGGTGACTGTGCCATATCACATCCAGACTTGTCGAGTACATATAGAATTGAGAATAAAGTATATGAAGAGCTGAACAGCAACAGGCCATTACTTCTGTGTCAACGGATAGGTAACAAGTCGGAGGCTCTGGCTAGGGCAACTGTCAGCCTCAGACAGTACTGTTTCTGAGGGCGAACCTTTCTTTCGACAGGTAATGTCTTCTTCAAAAGTAGTCTGATTGTCGGAACAACAGTTCCGCTTCTCCAGTACTTTCTGTATGCAAGCTCCAAAATCCTGCTTCAACGCTAATTTTACACCCGTTCTTAGGAGGATGTTGGTCGACGATGCTCGCCTGTTTCCTCAAAAATTGGAGGTGAGAAGGATGGCTGGAACGACGATGGGTTGGCGAATCTGTCGTAATTTGTTTTGAGTTAACTCTGACGAGGTTTTAAATTTGGCGAGTACGGCCCGATGTGTTCAAGGGGTCAGTATATAAACTGGAGTCAGTTGTAGACTGATTTTTGTCCATCCCCCGTCTAACGTCCAGTCATCATCGATCCCTCAAACAACTTCAACACCAAAAATTATGTGCGTTACAATGAGGTCGCCTCACGGGCCAACGTTCGCGATCGCTTATCGCTTCTTGTTTCATTCCCTCAAGCCATAGAGCCAAGGTAAACGAACGCCAACAACCAACGTTCCCCTCTGTTCATCCTGTAGGCCCATCGCGCAGATTGACGCCTGCCGTAAACTTTCGAAGGAACACCGCGAAACGTGGACACGAATAGCCGTAATTACGCTTGTAATTTCCCCAAGGAACGACTAGCCGAAGTAGACCCTTGCGAGCATAAAACTCGCTGCCCCAGGTTTCTTCTGACCAACCCCAACCTTTCCATTCCTAATCACTACCCCGCGTTCTTGACGCCTTCATGGCCCCGACGCTCAACCATCCGCCGTCGGTGACATTTTTTGACGACCATGTTCACCGGCCAGTCAATGTGGACGCTGCTACATACTACGGCAGTGAAAACCACTCCCGCTCTCGGACCTACAGCCACGTATGACGGCTCCTGCTCTGATCGTGCTTGCATACTGACGCAGTATACAGTCACAGGTCCACGGATACAACCCTAAGAAGATACCCGCCTTCCAAGATGACTGGCATTCACGCCCTCGTCGGTTGTCTCATGACGAGAAGACGGTCTCAGGCCCTCCTAGGCGGTTCCTCATCGACGTTGAAGAGACCATTCGTGTAGTGCTGGAGCAGGAGGATACAGACGGAGACTTCCAGATCAGTGTCACTGACGCTGGACCGAAGATGATGGCTTTGGGGACGGCCACCAGCAATGGGTTTAAGACGTTCGATATCAGGGTTCGTACGATTTTATCTTATACGTAACATCATGGCTTACATCGACTATCTTAGGGCACGTACATGTTGTCCAATCTGCTGCAAGAGCTCGCCCTCGCCCGCGACCACAACAGAAAGCGTATTGTGTTGGATGAGGCAAGGCTGACTGAGAACCCTGTCGACCGTCTCTCCCGCATGATCAAGCACTCATTCTGGCATTCGCTCACGCGGCGCATCGACGGAGACGGGTTAGAAATCATTACAGCCGACCCCAAGAACCGCACCGGGCGTGTAAACCCGCGTATCTACGTCCCCCACGGAGAGCCGGCAATGGCTGACTATTACCGAAAGGTGGCAATGGAGAAGCCTCACATGAATCTTGATGTTCAGGTCCTGCCGCCAAAGCCTGATGACCCGGCATTCGTGAAGAGCTTGAACTCCAAGCCTGGCTTGCTTGCTCTGGCTATGAACGAAGTGGATGATGGAGCTGGTGGAAAGACGCTGAAAGGTATTCCTTTCATTGTGCCAGGTGCTCGTTTCAATGAGGTTAGTCTTCAAGTCGTTTCCCAACGTATCCTTTCTAAGATGCAATGCAGCTCTATAATTGGGACTCTTACTTCATCGCCCTCGGCCTGCTCGTCGACGGCCAAGTCAGCATGGCGAGGGGCATGGTCGAACACTTCATCTTCGAGATCAAGCATTACGGCAAGATCCTCAACGGTAGCCGAAGCTACTACCTGTGCCGCACGCAGCCTCCATTCCTGACAGATATGGCGCTCCAAATCTACAACCAGCTTGACCGGTCGGATACCGACTCTAACCGTGATTGGCTGAAGCGCGCGATTCAGGCGGCCGTCAAGGAGTATCACACAATTTGGGTGGCAGAGCCTCGGATGGATCCCAAGACAGGCCTCTCACGCTATCGTCCTGACGGGCTAGGCATCCCCCCTGAGACCGAAGCTACCCATTTCACGCACATCTTGGAGCCCTACGCAGCCAAGCACGGTCTCTCGGTCCTTGAGTTCAGCGAGAAGTACAACGATGGTATTCTGAAGGAGCCTGCGCTCGACGAGTACTTTCTGCATGACCGTGCCGTGCGTGAGTCAGGTCACGACACGACCTATCGCTTCGAAAAGCGCTGTGCCAATCTCGCGACGATCGACCTGCAGTGCCTGCTCTACAAGTACGAAGTGGACATCGGTACTGCTATCCGCGAGGTGTTCGACGACGAGCTCGAGCTCGAGGAAGACTTCCCACTTGCACCATTCCCACCATCAATGGAGTCATACGCCAACCCGCGCCGCGAGAGCTCGAAGAGTCGTAAGCAGGCGAGTGAAGAGTGGTTCGAGCGTGCAGAGTTCAGGAAGCAGATGATTGACAAATACCTCTGGAATGAGAGCAAGAGCTTGTTCTTTGACTACGACACTGTCGCCGAGAAGCAGATTTTGTACGAGAGTGTAACTGCGTTTTGGGCACTCTGGGCAGGTTGTGCGTCCGAGGAGCAGTGCTGGAAGCTTGTGTAAGCGACTCCCATCCCACTTTCGTCCTTTCTGCTATTCAGGTCCTCGGGCATATGCTGATACTCTTGTTAGGTCTCGTTCCTTGGAGAAATTCGAGGTTCTTGGAGGTCTTGTTTCCGGTACCGAAGAATCGCGGGGTAAGATCTCGCTCGATCGTCCTAATCGACAATGGGACTATCCGTAAGTTTCTTTCTGTCGGACTTGGTCTGTTTTCTTATCTCTATGTCTAGCTATGCTTGGCCGCCACATCAAATAATGGCGTGGGTTGGTCTGGAAAGATATGGTTACCTCGAAGAGGCCCAGAGGTTGGCTTATCGCTTCCTCTATATGATGACCACGGCATTCGTCGATTTTAATGGGGTGGTCCCTGAGAAGGTGATTTTTTCTCCATCGAGGACAGGGCCAATCATTGACCTTGTTTTTGTAGTTCGATGCTGTCAAGCTTTCGCATCTGGTGGATGCTGAATACGGCAACCAGGGAATAGACTTCAAGATGGTTCCTCGCGAAGGCTTTGGTTGGATGAACTGTATGTTTAGTCTATCATTTTGGCTCGAGATCTACTCTCTAACGCCTTTGCTTCCTTAGCGGCCTATCAAGTCGGTCTTTCCTTTATGACCACTCATATGCGACGTGCTGTCGCGGCCTGCACCAGTCCAGAGGTTGTCTTTGGTGCCAACGTCAGCGGTGCTACTGGCGATTCCGCCCTGCTCACTCTTCCACCTTCCGATCCTCTTGGGATGGCTATGGAGAACTTGGATATTTCCGTTCCACCGATTTAAGGAGGGTGTCAATACTTACAACGTATATTTTGCAGCCACCTCTATTTTACAGCTAGGATTGTCCGTCGACTTTTTACGGTCGATGATGTTCCTCTAAGTATATGGATTAGAACGAGACCAGTGTCCGATTCGATTAGTTTACACCCATTTTTTTCCCATTTTCTCTCCATTTTTCATCCCTCGCACCATCATTCCGGCTAGAAAAGCATCTAGATATAAGCATCATCCTGTATATTCTATTGTTATTTCGTCGACCGTCTTTATACCACAAAGTATCTCAGGTCTACATGTGACGTCAACCAATGAGGTGATCACTCGTGCGCCACCGCCTCTTGGTACCGAACTATCACCAGCACTCGACAAGACGTCGCCCCGACCGCTGGTTATGCCTAATGCTATTACCATCAGCGGCGAGTCTGCTCGTCCCCTTCCTCGACTGGCTTTTAGGCAATCGCCGTGATGAGGGGACCCACTGCAATCCGTCGAACCAGCTTACACCATCTCTTCGATTCGAATTACGCCATCTCCATGCAGCGTCCACTTCCAACGCCGAGGTCGCTTTTGCAGATGTGCGGCCCAGCTCCCAGGTCTTCAAAAACATGAGCAGCTCGGATCCGTTTGGAAGCACGAAGCCGTCGTATGATGTTCGATCAAGGTTGACGAAGACATTCAAACCCTCGTCGTTCGAGGCACACAATCACGCGCGACTGCGGTCGCTCCGATATGGAGAGAACGAGTGGTTGGATTGGGGTGAAGATGAGATCATCGGTCCAGATGTAGAGAGTCGAGAAACTCTACTCGAGCTCGCGAAGATGACAAACAATGCATATGTTGAGCCCAACGATCCGGCGTGGTACAACCTCACTGATCAGTGGTCCATTGTACGTTTACTCTCTGCAATTTTTCTTGTATTCTCTATTGACGTGCGGAATGTTGTGTAGTCATATCCGTTTGGATGGGAGCCAGAGTCAGATGGCTTCCGTGGGCACGTATTCGCCACTGAGGATAATTCAACCGTCGTCGTCTCAATCAAGGGCACTTCTGCGGGCGTGTTCGGTGGTGGAGGACCAACAGCTAAAAAGGACAAAATAAACGACAATCTCCTCTTCAGTTGTTGCTGTGCACGCGTAGACTGGACGTGGTCGACAGTGTGTGGATGTTATCGTGGGGGATGGAAGTGCGACCAGAATTGCTTGGAGCAGGCGCTTATCGAGGACAGTCTCTTCTACCCCATCGGTACCGTGAGTCTTTTTTGCCGTTCTTTTCTGGGCTCTGGTTGACGCTGGTTGCCAGAATCTGTATAATAACATCACCTACATGTAGTACGTTATTCCTTCACCTATTTTTGCACAGACGACTAACTTTGGATCCAGTCCCAACTCGAACATCTGGGTCATTGGACATTCACTAGGCGGGGCTCTGGCCAGCCTAGTTGGCATAACCTTTGGTCTTCCTGTCGTAACATTCGAGTCGCCTGGTGAACGGCTAGCGGCAAGTCGTCTGCATCTACCGTCGCCTGTTCGTTTCTACCTGTTTTATCCTCAATCACTGCGTCTCATAATACATATACGTTCTAGCCCTCGACTCATCATGTTACCCACGTCTACCACACCGCTGATCCCATAGCAATGGGAACGTGCAACGGCGTCCTTTCTTCTTGTGCCCTAGGAGGATATGCGATGGAGACAAGGTAAGTAGGCCTCGAACGTCGAACCCTTCATCTCCGCCTTCGATTTTGCCGTTTTTGATGCCCGCCCTTTCGTTTAGATGCCACCTCGGAAAAACTATAGTTTATGACACAGTGTCTAACGCGTCCTGGACAGTGGATGTACGCACTCATGGGATTGTGAATGTTATTGAGAGGCTGCTCTCCGATCCGTGGCCGCCGAGCATCGAGGCGGGGCGAGAGGTTCCAGAGCCTACCGCTGAAGTAGACTGCGTGGTACGTCCTCCTCCTCTGCTTCTTGAGAAGCCTACTCTTTAGAACGTCCTTGACATGGTCGTCTTTTTTCAGGAATGCTACAGTTGGCAGTTCGGTGACTTTCCTGCTGGATAATATTTTCTCATGGCGGCACTATTTTGTCTCTACACTGGATGACTTTCCTTAACGATCTGGAATTTCTAACTCCTTTTCCAACACAAATTCTTCGGGATTGCCCGAGTTTTGAAATCAAGCAGAGTGCTTTACAGAACCGTAACCACTTTTGTATCTAGAACTCGCATGCAGGCGTAAGTTGTTTGCTGCATTCTGTGGCTATGCTGATAAGATAAGAGATCGCATGGCTTCGGGCCTCCTGCAAGCCTCGCTACTACACCCATGGGCGATCTCATTGACACCTTGCTCAGCCATCTCGCTCTCGAGGAGGACGAATATTGGGATGAAGAAAACGATCGCCTGCAGAATGCAGGCCTCTCTGGGACTGCAATCTACTTGGAAGCACAAGAAAATCGGCGGCACCGCTCAGAGAACCGCAAACGCCTTTACCTCATCCGAAATGAACTGCTCCCAAATCCACGAGAAGGAACACCATGGCAGCGCTTGCATAGCAGCTCAAGTGATCGCGGATTTATTACGACTATGGGAATTGATGTCAGTACATTTGAGTACCTCCTCCAATCTGGTTTCGCTCTCCTTTGGAACACTACACCCATCCCCCGGCCTGATCAGCCTATGACAGCCCCGCCTCGGGTGAATAGTCGATCCCTTGATCCTGCTGGAGGCTTGGGGCTGATCCTTCACTACCTCAATTCGACAATGCGCGACGTTAGCTTAATGGAGATCTTTGCTCTCATTCCCAGCACCGTCAATCGCTACCTTGACTTCTGCCTCGACATTCTTCTTTCAGTGCTGCGACAAATTCCCGAGGGTGTTATCAGGTGGTTAGAAGGAGATGAATTCCAGGAGAACAACTCTCTTATTGTAGCCCGACACCCCCTCCTCATGGGGGCATTTGGTACCATGGATGGCCTCAATCTCCCTGTCCAGGAATCACCCGATCAAGAGATCGAGAACGCGACTTTCAATGGATGGCTCCATGAACACTTCGTGAGTTCTGTCATTGCTTTTGGAGCTACTGGTATGTAAAGTGCTTCCTTTCTCAATCTCGTTCTTACACAATTCTAACAGGGTCTATTATTGCTTGCCGAATGAATGCGCCAGGTAGTTGGCATGATGCACGTGTGGCTCGCCCTATTTTTGAAAAGCTACGCACGAAAACACCAGAGGGTTATTACCTTGTCACGGATACAGCCTTTCCTCGAGGAACAGATCAAATACAAGGTCGTATCAAAGCCCCAATGAAGAGCGGAACTCGTCTTCCAGCAGATGAGAAGGAAAGAGCCCAAGTCAAGGCCTTTGATCGTCAACTCCTCTCACTTCACCAGGCAGCAGAATGGGGGATGCGTGGAATCCAGGGGTCCTTTGGGCGTCTCCGTATACCTTTGGACATAAATCATGTGTCTCGCCGGGGTGACATCTTGGAGGCCTGTGCACGGCTGTATCAAATTCGGGCTCGTCGAGTTGGCATCAATCAGATACGCAATGTGTACATGCCAATTTGGATGGAAGGAGATGAGCAAAGGCAAATATGGGAGCATTTCGAGGACATTTTGTTCAAGGATCAACGAAAACTTGATCGCGTAGCCCGCTTTCACTTGATAGAAACAGAAGAATAGATATATTGGTCTACATACTTTCCATAGTCTAGGGTGGGTATTCAAGAAAGTAAGAGGCGAAGGCGAGAGACACAATACTAGTAAGAAAGATAAGAGAAAGATGGTTCAATAATGTAATCTAAATTCTAAGCATCAGTGTTGGTGTCATCACGAGGAAGACCCTCTTCATCAGAAGGAGGGGCCCGAGGAGCACGGGTTGGGGTGTTGTCAATGGTAAACCGAACAGCAGGGGAAGTGTTGCGATAAAGTGTGGTGAGGGGATCTGTGGGGTCATCATCATCACTCCCCCCGGCCCAAGTGACATGACGCCCACCATCAGGATAAAGAGTTTCAAGGCGAACACGATGGCTGGGACTAGTATACCAGGGTGTATCACGACGATTGCTGAAGTGTGGCGAGCGGCGAGAGGTGCGATGTGGAGTCCTGAGGAGATGGTGCTCTCGACGGCGACGAGAAGCTGATGGGCTTTCAAGCTCGTGTCGAGTGAACTGGCGGGTAGCAGCTTGGTAGGGATGGCGATCACGATCTGCATTGTCGTTACTGCGGCGAAAGAGGGACATCAACTCGATACGATCCGCCTGACGTTCCGCTTCATATCTTGCTCGTTCGGCCTGCTGGAGCTGGGTGCGTAGGCTTTCAATTGCTTGTTGTTGTGAGCAGCTGAGTCGTGTGCAATGAACGCGAAGCCCGATCCTCGTCGCGGGCAGCCTGAGTTGCGGGATCAAGAGCAGTAGAGATTGAGGACAGTAGCTGCTGTGCATCGTTCCGGGATGAATTCCGAGCACGAGGCTGAAGAATCTTGTCAGCTGGGGGGCGGCGAGCCATGGGCCCACGCTCTTCAGTGTCCTTCTTGATCTTCGACTTGGTTGCACGCTGCCATTGGGTGTTGGTAGAGTCCTTGCGCGGTGGGTCGGCATCTTCTTTGTCGGACTCGTGGTCCTCATCCTCGTCCTCAGATCCAGAACTCTAA